TGTTTGAGGGGGGGACAAAGGACAACCAGTACATGGTTCGAATTTTTCCACAATCGTTTGGGGTAAATGTCCCAGGACCAGAATTAGCCATGTTTAGGTGGAGAAAGTAACTGTAGTTGTTTGTGGAGGGAACAGCTTTCGACAGTTCCAGGTGTCGACTTTTCAACAATCGGATGGAGTGAAAAGTACCTGGATAAGAGTGGGATTTATTAGGAGGTTCTGTTACTGTGGTCGTTTGCGGAGGAACAACAACGACAGTACAGGTATCAATTCGCCACAGTCAGATGAAGTAAAGGTGCCTGGAACAGAGTGAACACTATTTGGTGGAGCGGTCACTGTAGTTGTTTGAGGAGGAACAACGACAACGGTGCATGTGTCCACATGTCCGCAGTCAGATGGAGTAAAGGTACCGGGAACAGAATGAGCCTTATCAGGAGGAGAAGTGACAGTTGTAGTTTGAGGTGGAATAACCGTGACAGTACATGTGTCGACCTTTCCACAGTCGGAAGGTGTAAAAGTTCCAGGAACAGGGTTATGACTGTTTGGAGGAGCAGTGACTGTTGTAGTCTGTGGTGGAATAACCGTGACAGTACATGTGTCAACCTTTCCACAATCACTTGGAGTATAAGTTCCAGGAACTGGATTACGACTGTTTGGTGGAGCAGTCACTGTGGTCGTTTGAGGAGGAACAACCGTGACAGTACATGTATCAACCTTTCCACAGTCGGAAGGTGTAAAAGTTCCAGGAACAGGGTTACGACTGTTTGGTGGAGCAGTAACAGTAGTAGTTTGAGGGGGAACCACCGTAACGGTACACTTTGCCACTTTTCCACAATCCGAAGGAGTGTATGTTCCAGGAACAGAGTGGATACTATTTGGCGGAGCTGTAACAGTCGTAGTTTGTGGTGGAACAACAGTAACAGTACAAGTATCAATCTTTCCACAATCAGAAGGCGTAAACGTGCCAGGGACAGGATTACGACTGTTAGGTGGAGCAGTCACTGTTGTTGTTTGAGGAGGAACAACTGTGACAGTACATTTTGCAACTTTTCCACAATCAGAAGGTGTAAAAGTGCCGGGAACAGAATGGATACTGTTAGGTGGAGCAGTTACTGTTGTAGTTTGTGGTGGAATAACTGTAACCGTACAAGTATCGACCTTTCCACAATCAGAAGGAGTATATGTTCCAGGAACGGGATTACCACTATTTGGCGGAGCTGTAACCGTAGTAGTCTGTGGTGGAACAACAGTCACAGTACATGTATCAACCTTTCCACAATCGGAAGGCGTAAACGTGCCAGGAACAGGATTACGACTGTTAGGTGGAGCAGTCACTGTTGTAGTTTGTGGCGGAACAACAGTAACAGTACACTTTGCAACTTTTCCACAGTCGCTTGGAGTAAAAGTGCCAGGAACAGGATTACGACTGTTTGGTGGAGCTGTAACAGTCGTTGTTTGAGGAGGAACGACAGTAACAGTACATGTGTCGACCTTTCCACAATCGGAAGGTGTAAAAGTTCCAGGAACAGGATTACGGCTGTTTGGAGGAGCAGTCACAGTAGTAGTCTGAGGTGGAACGACAGTGACAGTACATGTATCGACTTTTCCACAATCACTTGGAGTGTATGTTCCAGGTACAGAATGGACACTGTTTGGCGGAGCGGTGACAGTAGTAGTTTGTGGTGGAACAACTGTAACTGTACACTTTGCAACCTTTCCACAATCGCTTGGAGTATAAGTGCCAGGAACGGGATTTCCACTATTTGGCGGAGCAGTCACAGTCGTAGTCTGCGGAGGAACAACCGTAACCGTACACGTGGGAGACACCAGACAATCCGTGGGCGTATGGGTGCCCGGGATCCCGCCGCTCTCGGTCACAGTTGTGAAATCCTGCGGTGGAACCTCCACAATGGTACATGTGGGCACCAGCAGACAGTCTGTTGGAGTGTAAAAGCCTGTAGTCGGGTGGAGACTGTTTGTGCCATAAGACGTTGTGGTGGTGACGACTGGAGGCACGGCGCAGTCTTGTGGGTCAAACAGAAGCTGCTGCACGAGATTGAAGTCGCTGACAGTCTGGCCGTCGGGCGTAGTATACGACACCGCCAACGCCAGCGGCCCGTTCCAGTTGAAGGTGACGATCTTGAGCGCGTACGCAAAGCCCTTTTCCAAGTACGCCTGCGTCGTTTTCGCCGAAGCATCGCCGGCGCCGGCAAAGCCACGCAAAGTACTGATGCTAAACTGCGAGGTGACCGAGTCAACATTGTCGCAGCAGCCGCCCACAGTCACCAACGACAAGGCGGCGCCGTCGTCTGCGCTGTCAATGGACCAGCTGTACACACCGGTGGCATCCGGAACGAAGTAACCCGTGTACTCGATGGTGAAGTTGGAAATGGTGAGGGGCTGGCCGTACAAGGTGCCCCACTTGAGCAAGTTGTTGCGGATGGTGAAGCTGAAGTCGATGTTGGTGAGCCCCGAGATGGAGAACACCTGGCCGCCCAGCTTGTAACCGTCCTGAAGGAAATTGGTATCCCAGCCTGTTTTGGAGGCGAGCGGGTATCTGTAAGCGACGGCATTGAAACCGGTTCCAAGAACGCTGGAAGGCACACATCCGGCGCCCACAACAGCGGCGAAAATGTAAAAGGCAAGCCACTGCAAAAACATACCGACGCCAGAAAAAACATGGCCGGGCGGCTCCAAGCGTATTTAAACGCCCATGGTGCTCAGGTGGGATGTGAAATGCATGCAAGGTTTACGAGCCTTGCCTTCGCGAAGTTTCGCTTGACAGATCAGACAACTTTTACTATACTTGGTCGCCGAGTTCTTTTGTCGTCGAAGCTGTCTCTTTTGTCGTCAAAGCTGTCTCTTTTGTCGTCGAAGCTGTCATTTTGTCGTCGAAGCTGTCTCTTTTGTCGGTCTTGTTTGTCTTGTTTGTCTTTTCTGTCTTGTTTGTCTGTCTTGGCCGGCTTCTCCGCATGTTTCCAGTGTGTTACCCACAGATGCAGAAGCACACGCGGCGGCTATTCTAGCTTCTTCCATGTGTCTCAGTGGCCAAAGAAAAATCAGCCACATCCACCTGGCCTAGATCTGCGGGCAGCTGCGCCTCATGGCAGATTGTGCATCTTCTAAGACATAACCATCATACAATGAAAAGTCGCCAGGCCAGCGAGTGGCGATTCCGCCTTTGAGTATCCGAAATACGGTAAGGTAACACAGTAAATGCGTTTACGGCAATATGTGTGATACTCCACACAGGTTTTTCGACATATCTGGAATTAAGGTTACAAATTTTGCCATGCGCATCAAGTGTCGCTGGATCTGGATGTACACGCTCGTAACTGCAGATCCCACCTTCGTTTTCCCTTCTTTGCTTAGAAACCGACAAAGAAGTGGTGTTTTGTCCCAAGGCCATTTCGAAGCCGCCATTCGAGCCTGCTACTGACTTTAGTACGACTGAACTTCCAACATGCCTTGTATGCCACATTTTAAAGATGCCACTTTTAGGCTTGTGATTAAGGCCGCTCTAACTCGAGCCTTTTCTGATATAAAAATTTCTTTTCTTCTTGTGCATCACACCATTTGTCTGCGCTTCCATGTCTCCTGTTATGTTATCTGTTGAGATTATGCAGTGACCGTAAAACTTCAGTTACAGGCCAATTGTTCCACTTTTTCCTACTTGGAGCAATTGCTTGTTTCTTCATCCAACAATTGGCTACTCGAATTGTCGTTGCGTGGAGCTAACAGACTTCGGTTATGCTTTTCCGCTAAATGCATGGTACTTTACCGATCTTTTGCATACACACTCGAGTTCGGCTAGGTGGCTGTTCATGCAGTCAGTCAACATCTCCACTCTTTGTCAGCGAAAATATGCAATCTATACCATCAGGGCTTACGCCTTACACTAGAATTTACCCAATGTAGTAATGTCTTGATATGCTTCTTTCTATCTGGTCTCCTTGCATGGGAAATGTAACATAGCCAGATTCACGGGATATGGTCGCTGCTCTTATGCATTTTCTTGCATACAGTTAATCGTGGGGCTGCAACTACTGATTCTACAAAGCTGCAAAAAAAATCTCTGAATCTCCGGGGATCCGGTTTCTTGCAGAATTTTGTGAGTGGGAATTGGACTACTAATAGCGACAAAAAGTCTATACTGTACAAAGATAGACACACATTAAAGATCGATATGCATGGACTGTATATAGATAGGTTTCCAGCCACCGCCGTAATCCCCGACGTTCGCCGCCTAAAATTACCCGAACTTCCATGCATCGGCCCACTTGATCTTACATGCATCGAACTTCTACTGTACGTCCATTGGTCATTTACGCACATCTGCAAGGCAATAGGATATATTAGTCAGATGGAACAGTCTGCAGACTTGTCTCGCATTCGCCCCTTTTGATGGCAACTCTCTTTTCTACTGATTCGACTCTATCTTTTCAGGTGTCCACATAAGCTTTATAGTCTTTTTTAGTTTTCTTTGTTTCTTTAGTTCTCATGCATTGCATTCTTGTTTGTCCTTTTTGGTGCTTCTTTGGCTCTTCCTTCGTGCTTCTTTGGTTTTTCTGTTCTTTTCGTGTTCCTCGTTTGTATACCATTTCCTTTTATCTCTTTAATTCTTTAGCATTCAGCATTTCTTTTCATCTCTTTAATCCTTTAGCATTCTTCAACTTCTCTGGGCACTATTTGGTAGGGTACAGATTGACCACTCTTGGTGTGTCACATATACTTCCTGTTTTAAGACTCCCAACATTGCCACTGATTTTTTTCGGAAGTATCGGGCTTCCCAAAGAACGATGCACTATTTTGTCCCCATAACCCAAAATTGGTTTACTCACCAAATATATAAGACAAGACCAGAAATAAAGACTCAAAGGTAATTATCTCGAACAATCCCAAAACATTTCCGAATTCCCTTTCTATCAGTCTTTTGAGTTCCTCAAATAACATATCCAGAATCGGAATGCTAGTCTGACATCAAGAAGTAGTCTATATATGAGAATTCTCCATAGATCTGGTCCCTCAATTATTCAAAAGAATGTAAACCGGCAAATCTGTAACCTTTTATACCTTAGTCCTGTTATTTTTGTGGTTACATTTTTAGTTCAAATGTATGCTTGAGGTATTTTACGAAATACACTCCTATGCATTAGTAATGTCAGTATATCCTAAAGATGCATTGACAGAAACAATCTCTTCTCCATACTCAAAAGATTCTTAATCAAAGGCAAAGAAATATATTAAAAGGTCTGGAAGTCAGTTATGCATGTTCTTTCGAGTTCCGAGTCACAGTCCACTATCTCAACAAGAATTTCAAATTATATTTTTTATTGCTTAACCCATAGCCCTATTCTTGATGTTGATTGATATAAGTGGATGTCTCTTGCAGATCTCTGCATGAATGCTTAAGTTTCAGTGTGCCGTTTTTAGTACAATGTGTGTCAAAAACTTTAAATATCACATCCATATTCCACAGCAGCCTACTCATTTAATCTTGAAAGAAACAATCTTGCTGAGTGTGTCAGTGCGGTGAAGTAAAGACTATTTATGATGTTACTTTGGCTAACGACATTGACACGATGCTGGGATCTCCAAATCAATTGGCCATCTAGTGAATCAACCCACATCTACACTTTACATGTTTCATGAAGTCAAAAATCAAGCATGAGATAACAGTAATAAATATAGAGGCAGAACACAATGACATTCCACATCTGTTGCAGACGTCGTAAACTAGACGAAATAGGCACACACGATGGCCAACATAGACAAACTTAGCGACCTCTTGTTCCCAAAGTCCTCGGAAACTGTGATCATCGTGGAATGTCCTGTATTGGATGAAAAGACATAGGTTGGTGTATTAGCGCCACCAGGAATAGAAGCAGTACCCAAGAGAGATGAAGCCCTCGATTCAAAAGTGACCTGCGAGTCCGAGTCGACGCCAGAAATAGATGCAATGCCAATGCCGGAGCTAGCCGATTTAGGTATAGACCCAGAATTTGACGAGTGCGGCAGAGAAGATCCTCCGGCCATTGAATTGTGAGTCAAGACTGATGAGGCTTCGACGGAATCTGAAGGTTGCTCAGTGCCTAAAATCGAACTATGGGAGGCCCTCATTGTAGAAGAAGCCAGGGAACTCTTAGAGGCTTCATCTGTAGTGAGTAGAGAAGAATGCATACTGGAGCCTGAGGCTGGTATCTTGTCAAGAGAGGACACGGGACTCTGAACATTGGAACCTAGACCACTCGAACCAGAGATATATTTAGTTGTGATAGTGGGGACGATCCTGTCGCTGCTTTGGCCACTGGACAAAACTCTGTCAGTCAAATCATTGTTGGAATCCGGTGCCAACACAGTGTCAGACTGCGGGTTGGAAGTGGGCCTGCTCAAAATCAGGGAAATGGTGCTTTCTGAGCCAGTGATCTCATATGACGTAGTAGGAAGAGTAATATGGATGGAAGTATTGTGGATGACTATGTCAGGTAGAGTAGGACTATTGCTTGCATCTGAAGTAGTGATGGGTTCTTTGGGCGAGAGAGAAACAGATCCACATTCATTATTAGAGCACAAACTAGAAGAAATGCTGTTGGAACCTGGATTGGAATCAGTGCTGAAGCTGGCTGTTTCGATAGACAGAGCAGAACTTGAGGTAGAAACTGGAACCGAAATGGAATTCAACAAGCTGTGAGAAGCTGAGCCTGAAGTTTCAGAGCTGGAGGCAACTGAATCAGCAAATGTGGATGTAGCAGAAAGGGTAGACGTAGGTTCTTCAGAACTGAATGAAAATGATTCAGAAGCAGACCTCGACGTTATGAATTCGGTGGACAGAGATTCTTTGGAGCTGAATGTCATGGTGGAAGATTCTTCAGGACTGGAAGTAAAATAATCCATAGAAGTTGAATCAGACTCAGGATTAGAAGTCATGCGATCAGTGGACGTGAATTCAGGTTCAGCACTGGATGAAATAACAGTTGACGTCGAAGCAGATCCAGAACTGGAAGTCAAAAGAGTGGACGAAAATTCAGAGGTCACTACTTCGGCTGAGGATGACTCCGAAACAGTACTGGATAATACTCCAGAGAAGCCGGATTCAGAAATTGAAGTAGAAAGAATAGGATTCGACGAAGAGGTTGAAGCTGAGCTGGAAACAAAATCTGACGATGTGGACCCGGAACCAGAAGTGGAGCTCATCGTAAGACCTGAGCTCGAAGTCAAGCCTGAACTTGAGCTAGAACTCAATGTTGAATTAGATCTGGACGTAAACTCGAAGTTAGAGCTTGAGCTGGATCCAGAATCAGAAATTGGACTAGAGTCTGAAGTCGAACTTGCAAAACTCAAGCTGGAGGCAGAACTTGAGAGAAAGTTAGAGCTTGGACTAAATTCAGAGGTTGAACTAGAGTCAGAAGTTGGACTTGCGGAACTCGAGCTTAATTCAGAACTTGAACTTGAGTTAGAGGTTGAAATAGAGTCAGACGTTGGACTGGAGTCAGAACTCGAACTTGGGGAACTCGAAATTACGTCAGAACTTGAATTCAATTCAGAACTTGAACTGGATTCAGAAGACAAACGTGGCAAACTTGAGATTAAGTCAGAACTTGGACTAAAGTCAGAATTTGGACTAAAGTCAGTAGTCGAACTTGCAGAACTTGAACTTGAACTTGAGCTTGCAGAACTTGAAGTTGCAGAACTTGAAGTTGATTCATAACTTGAAATGGATTCAGAAGACGAAATTGGGGAACTCGAGCTAAAATCAGAATTTGGACTAAAGTCAGTAGTCGAACTTGCAGAGCTTGAACTTGAAGTTGCAGAACTTGAAGTTGAGTCATAACTTGAAATGGATTCAGAAGACGAAATTGGGGAACTCGAGCTTGAGTCAGAATTTGGACTAAAGTCAGTAGTCGAACTTGCAGAACTCGAAGTTGCAGAACTTGAACTCAAGTCATGATTTGAACTTAATTCAGAACTTGAACTTAATGCAGAACTTGAACTTAATTCAGAACTTGAACTTAATTCAGAACTTGGCCTACTCGAACTTGCGGAACTTGAGTCAAAACTGGAAGTTATGTCAGAAGTTAAACTCAATTCAGAGCTTCCACTCACCGTTGGAGAATTCGAGCTAGGGTCTGCAGTCAGAGTGATTCCAAAAGAGCTCTCTTCCCTGCTGGAGCATATGCTGTCCAGGCAAGACAGGGTTTCCGTCTCGACGGATGGGTGGATAGTGGAGGAAGTCACATTGGAATACGTCGGAAGCCAGAATGAAGTAGACTCTGGTGTGATCACCGTTATAGTACATGTAGCAACTTCACCACAGTCTGTGGGAGTATACGTTCCAGGAATAGGATGGGCACTGTTCGGATTCAGTGTGACTGTGGTTGTCTGTGGGAGAACAACCACAACAATACAAGTCTCTGCGTATCCACAATCTGTGGCAGTAAATGTTCCTGGAGAAGAAAGTACACTGTTCGGGCTCAGTGTCACTGTAGTTGTCTGAAGTGGTACCACAACTACTGTACAAGTATCTGCATGCCCACAATCAGAAGGTGTATATATTCCGGGAGAGGAATGAACACTGTTTGGAGGAGTGGTGACTGTAGTTGTCTGGTGTGGAACAATCACAACTGTACACGTATTAACTACTCCGCAATCTGATGGAGTATATGTTCCGGGAGAAGAGTAAGTGCTGTCTGGGTTATGTGTCACAGTCGTCGTTTGAGGTACTACAACCACCACTGTACATGTGTCGACCACACCACAGTCTGTCGGAGTATATGTCGATGGAACAGAGTAGACACTGTCTGGCGGAGAGGTGACTGTGGTAGTTTGGGGTGGGACTACCACCACAGTACAAGTATCGATTCTTCCACAGTCGGTAGGTGTGAATGTCCCGGGAACAGAATATGTACTGTCTGGATGGGTAGTAATGGTTGTGGTTTGAGGTGGAACAACAACCACCGTACATGTGTCAACTATTCCACAATCGGAAGGCGTAAAAGTACCTGGAGCAGGATTGATACTATTAGGCGAAGAAGTTACTGTGGTAGTTTGAAGTGGAACAACAACAACTGTACAAGTATCAATTTTCCCACAGTCAGTTGGTGTGTATGTTCCTGGAGCAGAATTGACACTATCTGGGTGAGTAGTAATTGTTGTGGTTTGTGGGGGAACAACAACAACCGTACATGTGTCAACAATCCCACAATCAGAAGGAGTATACGTTCCTGGCGAGACATGTAAACTGTTTGGGCCCAGAGTTACGGTGGTCGTCTGTGGTGGGACGACAAGTACCGTACAAGTATCAATTATTCCACAGTCGGTTGGTGTGTATGTTCCTGGGGCAGAATGATCGCTGTTTGGTGCAGAAGTGACTGTAGTAGTTTGAGGAGGGACCACGACAACAGTACATGTGTCGATTATTCCACAATCAGACGGAGTGAAAGTACCTGGGTAAGAATGAGCACTATCAGGAGGAGCTGTGACAGTAGTCGTTTGAGGTGGGATAACGACAACAGTACAAGTATCAACCTTTCCACAGTCAGAAGGCGTATAAGTGCCTGGAGCAGGATTAATACTATTTGGTGATGCAGTTATTGTTGTGGTCTGAGGTGGGACAACAACGACGGTGCAAGTGTCCACTATTCCACATTCTGTCGGAGTAAATGTTCCTGGAAAAGAGTGTAAACTATTTGGACCCAGGGTGACTGTGGTTGTTTGTGGTGGGACAACCACAACTGTGCATGTGTCCACTATTCCACAATCACTAGGAGTAAATGTTCCTGGAGCAGGATTAATGCTATTCGGTGGAGAAGTAACAGTTGTAGTCTGAGGAGGGACAACCACCACTGTACAAGTGTCTGCATGTTCACATTCTGTCGGCGTAAACGTTCCTGGAAAAGAGTGTAAGCTATTTGGACCCAGGGTGACTGTGGTAGTCTGCGGTGGCACAACTACAACTGTACAAGTGTCAATCACTCCACAGTCAGTTGGCGTATAAGTTCCTGGAATGGCATGGACACTATCTGGGTTCAGAGTCACAGTAGTGGTTTGAGGTGGAACAACAACGACAGTGCAAGTGTCGATATTTCCACATTCTGTAGGAGTAAATGTACCAGGAACGGGATGAGCACTGTTTGGTGGAGTGGTGACTGTAGTCGTTTGAGGTGGCACGACAACAACTGTACATGTGTCGATTATTCCACAGTCAGTTGGCGTATAAGTTCCTGGAGATGAAAGCACACTGTTCGGGCTCAGAGTAACAGTAGTTGTCTGTGGTGGTACAATAACTACCGTACATGTAACGACCTTTCCACATTCTGTGGGAGTATATGTTCCGGGCGAAGAATGAACACGGTTTGGAGGAGTGGTAACTGTAGTTGTCTGCGGAGGAACAATAACCACCGTGCAAGTGGCAATAAACCCACAATCAGTCGGAGTGAAAGTTCCTGGAGAAGAAAGAACACTGTTCGGATTCAGAGTTACTGTAGTGGTTTGGGGCGGCACAACAACAACTGTACATGTATCTACCGTTCCACAGTCGCTTGGTGTAAAAGTACCTGGAGCAGGATTGATACTATTAGGTGGAGAGGTGACTGTGGTAGTTTGAGGTGGAACAACGACAACCGTACATGTATCAACTATTCCACAATCAGACGGTGTAAAAGTACCAGGAGCAGAATGAAGAGAATCTGGATTCAGAGTCACAGTAGTCGTTTGGGGTGGAACAACGACAACCGTACATGTATCGACTTCACCACATTCAGAGGGTGTGAAAGTTCCTGGATAAGAATGAGCATTATCTGGTGGAGAAGTAACAGTTGTAGTGTGAGGAGGAACAACTACAACAGTGCAGGTATCGACTTTTCCACAATTGGACGGAGTGAATGTTCCTGGAACAGAATGTTCACTATCTGGGGAAGTGATGGTTGTAGTTTGAGGCGGAACCACAACGACAGTACAAGTGTCGACTTGACCACAATCACTCGGTGTGAAAGTACCTGGAGCAGTATAGAAATTGTTGGGTGAAGAAGTGACAGTAGTCGTTTGAGGAGGAACTACAACGACAGTACATGTATCAGCATTTCCACAATCACTGGGGGTGTAAGTGCCATGGGACGGACCAGTTGTTGTCACCGTTGTCGTTGTCTGAGGTGGAACAAACACAACGGTACATGTGGAGTCATGCGAGCAGTCGGAATCAGGATATATACCCGGGGTCGGACGAAGGCTGTTGGTGCCATAGGAGGTAGTAGTGGTGACGACAGGAGGCTTCTTGCAGTTTTCTGTTTCGAACGTAACCTGGTGGATGTGGTCAAAGTGGGTCACTTTCTCGCCCGACGGAGAAACGTAGGAAACCGCCAACGCCAGCGGCCCGTTCCAGTTAAATGTCACGATCTTGATGGCGTACGCCAACCCTTTGGTCAAGTATGCTGACGTTGACTTGGACGATGCAGCTCCGGTGCCAGCAAATCCTCTCACGGTACTAATGGCAAAGTTGCTGGTGACACCATCAACCTCGTTGCAGCAGCCGCCAATGGTGACCAACGACAAGGCGGCGCCGTCATCTGCCTTGTCAATGAGCCACGTGTACACGCCGGACTCGTCTGGCACAAAGAAACCCGTGTACTCGATGGTGAAGTTGGAAATGGTCAAGTGCTGTCCGTAGAGATAATTCCATGTGAGCCTGTTGTTGCGGATGGTGTAGTGGAACGCAATGTCTGTGAGCCCGTCGATGCTGAAAAACTCGCCGTCTTCCTTGTATCCCTTCTGGAGGAAATCCTTCTCCCAGCCTTTTTTGGACGCTAGCGGATACCGGTATCCCACCGCCTTGAAACCAGTGCCTAGGATCTTGGAAGGCTGGCATCCGGCGCTAACCAAGCCAATTAGCGAGATGAGAAGCACGAGCCACGGCAAAAACATACTGAAGGAGAAGCCGGAGCGGCTTTTCTCGGGGAATATGGCGGCTTTTAACCGTACATACTATCCTGAAGACATGTCTAATTGCAAAGTCTTTGAGACGTCATGCATGATGTGCTAAACCGTTTTACGAGCGCTGCACCTTTGCAAAAACACATTTGGGCTCTTCTCTATGACGTCTGTGTGTACTACATGCTTTTAGAGGGGTTAATACATTTGGCTCTTTTTGCTTATGATTTTTTTTGTTCGTCTTCATGATTTTTTTGTTCGTCTTCATGAGTGTATTTTTGTTTGTCTTCATTATTGTATTTTTGTTCGTCTTCATGGAGAAATGGGGAAGCATGCCTTCTGTTCGCTTAGTCTTCCAGCATGATCTAAGAAGTGCTTTCTTGGCGGTTTCTATATAAGGGTCTTGTCTTCATGTATTTTCTGGGCTACGTGGGACTTCTCATGTACATAGTGATCATCAGACTACGAGTCGAAAATTATTGGACATTTAGCCGCTCTTGCATATTTGAGCGAAGGGTCTGATGCAGTTATCTCCGAGTCTACTCAACAAGGCATCTACACAGAAGAATTCTACAATCCCAAAGGAATCCAGAAACACAAAGGAATCCAGAAACACAACGGAATCTACAAACACAACGGAATCTACAAACACAAAAGATACTACAAACACAAAGGGTCTAAACACAAATGGAATCTTTGAGAGAAGCATAATCAAAAAAAAAAAAAAAAAAAACATCTCCCACCTTGCATATGTGCTATGAGCATGTATCTAGACTCTATCTGCTGACTTATTCTGTTGAAATGCAGGTTCAGTGCATGCTTTCTACTTCACAATGCATTCTTCATCTTCTTTCATGCTTCCTTAATCTAACCAAGAACTCGAAAAATCTACATGCTGCATGTGGCATCTTCCATCATGCGATCAGGAACGTGCAAACGTGGGTCTTTCAGATCTGAAGTCTTGATCAATTTGATGGGCATCCACTTTTCGTTTGATTAGCTCTTTCGCTGGACCTATATATTATACCATATGGATGGTAATATGATAATCAGATGGAGCTTCTGTCTCGGTTATTCTGTTCCATATTCAATGGGTGCTGTAAGCTAATTTTAGCGAGCGTCTGCATACACACCTGATGCCTCAAAGTTTCCATCTTGCATAACGTAATGCATAAGTCGCCATCGCGTACAGTTTCCCAAACTGTTTCATGTCAAGGACTCACAAATTGCTTCGACGTCTATGCATTACTAATGAGGTCACTCTTCTTTGGCCCAGTTTGTAAATAGCCTTAACTTACCATAGAAAAGACACAAGCCAATGCATGTACGACAATTTCCGACCACCTCGTTTCACGATGCCTGTGAGCAAATTCTTGCTATAAAGTCTTGGCTTTGGAGATGCATTTCACGATGCCGGGCTTTAGAAAAGGTCAATTCGGATTTTGCTCGTCTTGCAATCTAGACCGAATGGCCGTATTGGTTGCTGGAGTCTTTGTCTTGTGGCATGATAGATGTGCAGTTAAATCTCCGCCACAATAATTCCGGCATCACGTTTAAAGTTACTCATAGAAAGCGAACGGCAGAGAATTCGATTGCTTACGTAAAGACCTCAGTCAATTACTTTGGATAATCTTAATTTGTGGTAATAGATGCTTTTTCATTGACGTCACTGGTCTGTCATGCATTTAGACTGGCTATCCTCAAGGCAATTAATATATAGTCAGTTGCTAGAGTGTCCTTTCTGAAACCTGTCTTTATTATCGTGGGCTAAACCAACAAATAGAAGACTTTCTGTTTTTGGTAGGTCATCTTGGTGTTCATATCGATCATGACCATTCAGGAATGATGTAGGTATAGGCTCTTGGCATAAGGCAGATGCTTTGACAAGGCATCCTCTTTCAGAAGTTGAATCAATATTTCAAACCCCTGACTCTTAAAAAGCTCAAGGCGTGTGAGTACTGAGGAAGTCGATGTTCAGGTGATATGTGGAATTCATACAACGCGTCCTAAGATTGAATAAGCAACCCGAGATTTACCCAATAAACGTAATGAGTTTGAACTTTCAAGCCAGCGGAGGTAGCGAATACCTTTCCTTTACTTTGGATTCTTGTCAAATTGAGAGACTGGTGGCTCTGTCCTGACCTCCCTCTTGAAATAATTAGGTTTACTTTAAAATCTTGATGTGGTGTGAACGTGGACTTCATATCTGGATTTATCGCAAAAAAAAAAAAAAAAAAAAAAAAAATTTTATTTTCCGGCTGCAGTGTTCAACATGACATAATTGACGTACATGTGAATATTTTCGAGAAGAGCGAAAATATGACAATTGCTAAAGCTTTGCCAATTCTGGGGTCTTAGTGGCACAAGATAAGACTCCACTCGTTTATATTGGCAATATTACTACCCATCACTACTATATTCAATCAGAGTTCTGCATCTTCCCTGATATTTCCCCTCCTCGCATTGCATTTTGAGTATCTTGCATCTAGTTGAAGTCCATGCATAATGTGAGTGAAATAGCCTATCAAACTTCTCTATTTCTGTGGTACTCTGGCACTACAAATCATTTTTGACCAAGTAAAATTTGTCTGCAACTTTTCCTTCTTTGCATTTGCAGAATTTTGACTTTGTTTTTCACTCTGCACCTATGTTCTGAATGCCCAATAAAGATGCAATATTTTTTCGGGCATGAAAATTGAAGGAAAAGATTTTTTAGCACGTCCCTGCATTATGTACATCCTTATTCATACGCATGCTGAAAATGTAAGAATGTGTAATGCGTCAATATAGCCAAAAGTAATGTAGGCCTATCTCCGCCAGCTAAAACTTTGTCCATACAGGCAGATGTGACTTGGACATATTCACATTTGGTTTTCTCCTTGAATTCATCCATTTACTCAACCGGCTGTGTCACAAATTCACGTACAAGGATGTGTTTTTACTACGTCAAATCTCTTGCATTCCACTTCCGTCTTTGAAAGTTATTTTGCTCTCAAGAATACTCATATACTTGGCACCATAATTTGTCTGGCCGAGGAGTTGGTTTCTGCTCCGTCCAAGTTTCGCTATTTTTGCCGGCGGACATTTTGTAGCGTACTTCCGTTCTGCTGAAGCCGCATGCGTTTACATGGTTTCCCTGTATCCGTAACTAGTTCGTATGTCACTGAAACGTACATGTATACATTCCGGCTCTGATTGTCGATTTTCACCCTCAAAGATGTACTAGATATTAAAGGAGATTAATTTGTTGTCTATGGCCAAGAACACTAAGCCGATGTAGTTTAGCAAGCTCAACAAGAGGCCCAATATCTGGAGACAGGCCGGTTCTAATCCGTAGGCTTCAAAATTCTTGAAATAAAGGCACAGATGATAAAGCTTGGAACATTTGAAAAAAAGGAGAGGTAAGTATTAACTGACGTAACATCGTGTTACAACCTTATGCCTATCTAATGGAAGTTAGACGGCCCTTGGATTTGAAATTATGGAATTCGATAGCTGAACGGCTGACTAAATGTAGCATTAGCTTTTTTGTAGGAATTTTTTTTTTTTTTTTGTGGAAGACAACTCCATTTTCAAGGTTTATTTCGACAGTCCATTCCACACACGGCCGCTTAACTAAAGCTAGAAGGAAAGAGAAAGAGTACAAGAGAGCCAAATAACAGTGATCCTGAATCTTGGCCAAAAACAGAAAGGCTGATCACGGAGCTACTAAACGACAGCCCCACTTAATCACCAAAGCTCATAGTGTCCCTCGTCCTTTTCCGTATATTTCCCTATTTTTGAGCAACACTCTTACTGTTTCCGAAAGTCCAAGATTGCCCTCTGTTCCATACAAGAGAAGACCAATTGCTGGCATTTCCTATGGAGCTAAATATGCTTACTCCCCCACCGGTTTAGACTAGTTGGAGGATTATCCAGTCAGTTCAATGTGTTTAAGCCATTATAGTATTGAAAATACTCCTAGAACCCATAATAAATGTCAAAAGAACAGTTGATCCGGGAATGAGGCTTATTTTCCTAATAGGTACCGGTTCGACAGAAATCGTGCTTTTACTAGAGCACACCATCCGTCTTTAAAGTAAAGTCGTGAACTTCGGTATTATCAAGAATGTGTAACTTGGCCGAGGTTTAGTTGGCTTTTCCTCATGTTGCTCATCCTACTGACCAAACTTGATCAACGAAACTTTTTTACGTCAGTTTGGCTTACTTCTTCAGTGCATATCTCCAAAACAGCCCTATTCTATTCATAACAAAACGGAGCGAAATCGTTGAATCTATACCAACATTCACACAAAAGCAACTCTTGAGATAGTGTTCTACCAACGTAAGTTATCCTGTAGTTCGATTATATCATAATAAGTCTTCCATTCCTTTGCCAAAGAAGGCCGGAACTTGGATTTCTGGCTGGCCCAAGACGTGACTTCAGACGCTTGTGACATCAGTGGATTCAACGGTGTTCCTCTGGTCCATGCGGCAGAGCCAACACAAGAACGCCAGGCAACAAAGCCACTCTCTGAACTTCAATACATCGTCCAGACACTACAACTTCAGGCTCAAGCCCGCAGCTGCGTGGTCACACACAACGGTGACGTTTTTGTGTTCCCGGAGGTACGACGACGGCACCTGCGGGTCGCTTGCCTGGCCGAACAACGTCTTTTCAAGCGCCCAGGCCTTGGCCTTGCCGAAAACAAGAAGCACAATCTCGTCCAGGTTGTCCAAAATGGTGGAGATGCCCACGGAAAGCGCCAGTTTGGGCACGGCCGCCTCGGAGCCGAAAAAACGGCTGTTGGCCCTGACGGTGCTGGCGGCTAGAGAAACGCGGCGGGTCTTGCTATTTCTCGCCAGGCCGGCCTCGTTGAAGGCCAAATGGCCCTCTGGGCCCAAGCCTCCGAGAAACAAGTTGATTCTGCCAAAGCGGCGGATCTGGGCCTCGTAGTTGGCGCATTCTGTTTCCGGATCCGCGCTGAGCCCGTCCAAAATGTGGATGTTGGCCCGTGGGATGTCGATGTGGTTGAAAAGCTTATCGTACATGAAGTAGTGGTACAGCTGTGGGTGTTCGGGCCGGAGCCCGACATACTCGTCCATGTTGAAGGTGACCACGTGGGCAAAGGACACTTTGCCGTCTTTGTAGGCCTGGACTAGTTTGGCATAGACGCCTTCGGGCGACGAGCCTGTTGGAAGGCCAAGAACAAAAGGGCGGGCGGCCGAAGGCTGGAAGTCGTTGATGCGGCGCACGATAAGACATGCGACAAAGTCTGCCGCGGCGTCGGGCGAGGAAAAAATGTTCTGGTGCATGAGGAGAAAAGGAGAAGGAAACAGAGGAACGGAGTGATATAGATGGTTTGATATAGATGGTGATATAGATGGTGTGATGCAACAGAGGAATGCAACGGTGCAACGGGTGAGCGAGTGCAACGGTGCAGTGACCGCATGCAACGTTGCACTGCAACCTGCTATCGCCCGCACCTCCCGGATATATACATCTCCCCCATCTCCTTTCTTTCTTTTCCCAACTCTTTTTCCCACTCTTCTTTTCCCACTTTTCTTTTCCCACTCTTCTTTTCCTTTCTTTCTTCTCTTTTCTTTCTCCTTCTTCATCTCCTCCATGATCCTCCGCCTCACCAACTGCCGCCTCTGCGATAAGGGCGCGCTTATCTCGGGCGATCTCTACGTCGACACCGCCAGCGGGAAAATCACAAAGCCAACGTCAAACGCCACGGCCCTCGACCTTGGCGGCAAAATCGTGGCCCCTGGATACATCGACATCCAAAATAACGGCGTCTACGGCGTAAACTTCAGCACGCTCGACCCGGCCGCCGACCAGCGCCGCCTCCGCCGCGCCTTGGCCCGCTACCTCCGCACAGGCGTCACCGCCATGTGCCCGACCGTCACGTCGAGCGCGCCCCACGTCTACCACAAGGTGGTGCCGCTCTACGCCCGCACGCGCGCGGCCGACCGCACCGACTCGCTCGGCGCCCACCTCGAGGGCCCCTTCATCAGCCGCAAAAAGAAGGGCTGCCACCCGGAAAACACGTTTGTGGACGCGGAAAAGGAGCTGTTTGCAGCCATCTACGGCAACATCGGCCCCGCCACCGTGGCCATCATCACTGCAGCGCCCGAGGTGCCCGGTGTCTTGGCGCAGTTCGAAAACGCCGCCGCCCACGGCATTGTGTGTTCCGTGGGCCACTCGGCCGCCGACCACGCCACCGCGCTCGCGGCCGTGCGCCACGGCGCCTCCATGGTCACCCACTTGTACAACGCCATGCCGCAGCCGCACCACCGCCAGGCCGGAGTCGTTGGCTTGGTCACGGCGCCCGAGACCGGCAGAAACAGCCCTTACTTCGGCTTGATCTGCGACGGCGTCCACGTGGCGCCATCCATGTGTGTGTTGGCGTACCGGGCCAACCCGGAAAAATGCGTCCTAGTGACCGACACCATGCACTTGTTTGGGTTGCCCGACGGCACGTACGACTGGGACGGCCAGCGGATCGAGAAACGCGGCTCGGCGCTCCGCTTGCAGGGCACAGACACCTTGGCGGGCGCCGCCACGGACTTGCCCACGGGCGTGCGCAACTTGATGCGCTGGACGGGCGCCTCGTTGGCCCAGGCGGTGCGGACCGTCACCAACAACGCGGCGGACTCTTTGAACATCCGCCACAAGGGCTACTTGGACGAGGGCTGCGACGCGGACTTGGTGGTGTTGGACGACGAGGCCAATGTGTGCGAGGTGTTCAAGTTGGGCGTGGCGGTGGCGCCGGACGCTGTGTTGTAGGCGGCGGCGACGAAAGCGGCGCCGGAGGCGACGCCAGAGACGGCTAGATACGCTCAGAAGCGGCCAGACGCGGCTAGATACGCCTAGATACACCTAGAGGCGGCTAGATACACCTAGAGGCGGCCTCTGCTGTCAATTATCGCTAGTTGTCATCTGATCCTCACTGTCTACATCTACTGAACATGCTTCACACTGATCGCCTGACTTGCTAATTTGATATCATGCAATCCTGTGCTTGAATACTCAGATAAGCCATGATGGAACATCTCTACATGCTGTGCCGAAACAAGAAGTGAACCTCCTTGCACATACTTGTATCAAGACCTTTCAGTGATTGGCAGTCTTGATGTATGATTCGGCAGTTTCGTCGTTTACGGTCACCACGCCAATTCCTGTGAAGGAACATAGCACCTGAAGTTCTGATATGAGGGTTGATGAAAGACACCTAAGCATTCTCCATCTAGCTATAGTCTCGCCCATCTTGGTATCTTCATCTGCTTCAAATAATCAAAGTCAGGTAAAAATATTGTTTAATTGTTGGTTCGATTCAATAACTCATAATCAAATGATTTATAACAATGCAATAGATACAATGCTTAATTCAGAAATTGTTGAATCCGAGAAGTTCATAAACTAGCTGATAATAGAGTTCCAAAAGCAAAACTAATTCATAACTTAATTGGGTAGAGCGATCTAATGAGTAGACTGTAGTATAATGTTTAACACACGAAAACAAATGGGCCTTACATTCAATTAATGGAACCTACAATTGAAGGACACAACGGAATTTGCAGCTATACAATAATTACAATGTGAGGTTCTTCTCCAAAGAAAGTTGAGACCCAACTCATTGAATCACCAAGAGAAAATTTGTCCATGTTGCAGTCAACTTAAACAATTTGCCTTACTGTTCATAGTTGGTTCCATCATAACATACTAATAATCACAGGTTGGGAATTTAGTATCATGAAACCTATGAGTGTAGTGAGAACAATCCTCCACTATTTCTTCAGTCAATTAGTGCTTTTTTGTTTCCATTTCAATTCTTATAGAAATTCATACTACTAGCCGATAGAATTCACTCTATCAGTAGAATGAACACCTTTCGAACAATACTTATACTGCTGAATTCGGATTCATTGGCTTTGAATTTTTATAAATCTGTAGGCTCTCAACAATTCGACCAAGCTGTTATGTTTTTAAATTGGCCAATTGAATGAACCCGATATCACCACCGTGACAATATGTTATCAAGCGCAAAATGTTATCAAGCGCAAATGTTATTAGCGCAAAATGTTACTATCGCAAAATGTTTCTATCGCAAAATGTTACCAGCGCAAATGTTACACAAGCGCAAAATGGTACACAAAACGATGTTACACAAACGCAACGATGTTACACAAAACCAATATAGATCCGTACACCATACATTAAACACCCGTACACCAACTGTGTAAAAATCCATACACCAGCTAAATAACATCCGTACATCTTTAAACACCCGTACATTTATAGCCAAAACACCCATACACCACAACCTATATGCGACATTGTCGCCCTCATTTACCATATAATGTCGTACCCATATTTGGAGTATCCCGGCAATTCAAGCATATTCAGTTGAATACTTGCAAATTTTATATATCGTATTTTGTAATAGGCTTCTCTAGCTGAAGTAAGCGAAAATTGAGTTGAAAAAGGATTTACTCAATAAAAGTCGAAAGATTGACAATCAGCATTTTTCAAAGAAGTATCGGTCTGAGATTGAAAACGAAAGCTTGAGGCGAATGGTGCCATAATAATCTGCTCATCGACCATGCCATATTCACCATTAAAAAATTTCCTTTTGCAATTTTTTTGGTATGTTGAGTTTTTCATGCATATTTCTGTATGCTTATTCTTAACTATGCCAACATACAGAAAATGTGCGGCCGACTACAAATCTTGCAATTATGGCCCAAATCGGCGAAAGCAGACCATAAATCTTACTTTCCATAGCAAAAAAGTGGAATCTTTTCACCTTCTCCTGGGGTATAAATTAAGCTCGATTTCCCTCAAAAATGTTTTTTTTCTTCACCTCAATCAGCTTCTTTCTTTATCAAAGACAGAACCACCTAGTATTGAAGTGAAATCTACTCTCCTAAAAGTTTCAAAGCGCTCCTTACCTCTTCAGAATCTTCAGATCTTCTAACTGATTCTGAATCTGATCTTACTTAGATCTTTGAACTGTCCTCTAAACCAGATCTTAATCCTTTCGATCCTCTCCGTAGTAATGGTTTCTCCAACTTATTTTGCCAAAGGCAAAGAATATCCAGACTCTGACGGATTCATTACTGTGGCCAGAAGACGGAGAATGAATTCCTTGAAAAAGGAAATTCAGACCGGTGCTGAATTGCCCAGTTTTTCTAACAAAAGCTTTGCAAGAATTGCGGCTTCAACTAATGTTTTCTCAGCAATTGGATTTGGTGAAGACGAGCCAACCAGTGAGGAAAAATCAGTGTCAGCTGAAGCTGGAAAATTGGGCGAAAGTAACGAAAACTCGACAAAGAAAGTGACTGCTTTGATTTGCTGGATGCCTTTTTACTCCTCTTATTCTGGCCAAGTAGTCTCTCCACAGACATCAGAAAGAGTTTGCTTTACTGATAGCAAAGGAGTCATAGAAAGGAAAGAAAACGAGAAGGTAGAGGAAGAGAAGGTGGAAGCAAAAGAACCTATACAGGCCAAACCAACTGGAAATACAACAATGGACAAGAAAATGGAAAAGATGGACTACCAGCTGAAGAAGATGGTTCTTGAGATGAAGAAAATGGACCTTAAGATGAAGAAAATGGACTTGAAGATGAAGAAAATGGAGTATTATATGAAGAAAATGGAGTATAATATGAAGAAAATGGACTTCAAGTTGAAAAAAAGAGCTTTGAAAGAGAAAAAGTCTTACTCAACTTCTGCCTTACCTTCCCGTCCTTCTTCCAGAGACCCAAACATGTCCGAGTCTTTGAAAAAGCCGGAATATAAGAGAAATATTCTTGTCCATAGAACCATCATTGCTCTCTAATGTGAGAAAATAATAGAAAAAAACTTACATAACTAATAAATTCTCTAAAACTCAAGGTGTAGCAAAATGGAGGTAGTATTTACTAATTTGCAAACAACAAATGTAACGAAGATAATTGAAATAACTGAAATACGCGAGCATCTATATATATTCCAAACCATTTCGATGATACATCTTATCAACTGAAATCTGAATTTATACTTCTGATAAATGATAGCTTATATAACCACATTTAGGAAACCAACTATGCAACTACAACCTTCTTAGGTCTGTAACTGCTGTAGTACTATATCCTGACACCCGTTAAATCTCTGCATTTGATCCATTTCATTAAATTAATCACTATTATAACGTTTGAGTCTTCCTTCAGTGTAGGCGCAACAATAGTTTGAAATGCCTTCACTCTTTCTGTAACCACTTGCTAAGTTAACGAGAAATGAAATTCCAGGATTAGATATGCAATAACAGCCCTGCAAAGTCTGGCCACCATGCAAAATAAAAAACAAATATCCATGCCATTCATGTCCGTTGGCGAATCGGCTCGCAACGGTATTTGCTCGTCCAATCGGGGCCGGCAGCGGCAGTTGCCCAAATAGGAAATACCGAGCACATAAACCTCCCGTCCCCATAAACCGTTTCCATCTTCCATCTTCTCCAGTTTTTCCTTTCCAACCTTTTTTTTTTTTTATCTTTTTTTGATCCCAGCATATTCATGTCTCGCGTGTCAACGACGCGAATCTTTTGTCGTCTCTATGCCACAGAATCTTCACTTCCGAAAGTGGACCATTCCCATTATGGCCTTCATCTGTGGCCCAGAAGCAAAAAACCGACTCCCCACGAAATATTCAATGTCACGGCAGATTACCTGAACAGGAAAGAGTACGAGAAAAGTCTCAAGGCGACGTATCAGAAATTCATCAAGCTCTACCACCCCGATCGGTGTGCAACACACGATGTTATAGACGGAGCAGGAAAAGCGTTGCTGGCAACGCAGAAAAGACAGCGTTTCGACGAGATCCAGAACGCGTACGACATCTTGAAAGACCCAAGCCAGTCTGTTGCCTACCAGCGGTACCAGAACACCACGTGGGGCTCGTACCAGCGGGGAAAAACCGATTCTTTCAACGCCTACAGAATGGCCAACGCCCACCGGGCAAAGTACTCGTACCACCAGGACCCCAAGTTCTGGCAGGCAGGCACATGGGAAGACTACTACCAGATGCGGTACGGCCGAAGTGCGCCGACGCGAGAAGAGTGGGAGAAAAACAAGTGGAAGATTCTTTGGAAGGTTTTGGCGGTGGCGTCTGTTGTTGTGGCGCTACAGATCATGTTGGCGGTGGAACGAACGGCCGAGTTCAACCGCCAGATCCGCATGATGAACCTACGCTCGAATGCCGATCTTTCCGAAGCCTACAACAATTACGACGAGGGCCAAACGCGGTTCCAGCGGATTCGCCGTTTCTTGTTGTACCGGCGTCTGGGCTTGGAGACCAGGGACGACGACGGTATCAAAAAAGAGGAGAACGAGATGTTGACCAAATATGCCCAGCGGAAAGTGGCGGCCCTAGAGGAGTAGGGCCAAAGACACCTGGCGGAGACAGGCGCTTCTGTTGCCTGAATTGCAGTATTTGCTACTATATGTCCGTCTGATGTGTACAGGGACAGGATGATCTTATATTCTGGGTGAAGACGTATTGATCAAGGCTCATGGGCTACTTTGAAGCGACCAGGATAAGCAAGTGCAACCGGTTTGAATGGCTGACTATGGACAGGCTAAATTGATACTGACTAGGGACAGATTATTTAAATTGATACTGACTATGGACAGATTATTTAAATTGATAGCTGATTCTTCAATGCTGACTATGGACAGGCTAAATCGATAGCTGACTATCAAATGCTGGATTACATGGATAGCTACTTAAATGGACACTATGGTGGACTTGAAATCCCATAAGAATGATTATGTGCCCATCAGAACACATTATCTCATAACGGGTAATCTTGGTTACACAGGTCTACAGATATTCACTAGATGAAATCTTTCATTTCGATCCACTGTTTCAAACATTCTATCCACTTAAAGTTCAGACGTTCTATCAATTCCAAACCTCTTTAGTGAATTGCAAGAATACTGTCCTATTCCTTCCTCTGACGCACAAATGTCCCGCCGCACCATATTGTTTCCAATCATCTAGCAAACCAAAACGACCAACACGACCAACACGACCAACACGAAGCAACACTAAACACCTGACCAAATAAATCAGAATAATGAATTACGAATAAAAGAAGTAGAGCCATAACACGTAAAACTCGTAACCTGTTTATCTCCATCTCGCAGGTCACGTGCACACTGAGGATAACGTTGGAGATCCTTCAATGACTCAATCACCACCATGGACTTCAAAAAACCCGAAACCGTTTTAGCCCTCAACAACATTCGAGAGGCGCTTGTGCGCATGGAGGACACAATTGTGTTCGATTTCATCGAAAGACTGCAATTCTACTCGCTGCCCAGCGTATACCAAAAAAACAAGTTCAACATTCCCGACTTTGATGGTCTGTTCATGGAATGGCTCCTTTGGCAGACGGAAAGAACGCATTCGCAGGTGCGGAGATACGAGGCGCCGGACGAGACGCCGTTTTACCCGGAAAAGTTGCTCAAGCCGTTGCTTCCATCCATTGAGTATCCGAAAATATTGGCGTCGTACAGCGACCAGATCAACGTCAATGGCGAGATTTTGAAGTTCTACGTGGAGCACATTGTGCCCGAGGTTTCGTGCAAACAGGGCGACCAGGAGGAGAACTTTGGCTCTGTGTCTGTGTGTGACGTCGAATGCTTACAGGCGCTCTCGAGAAGAATCCACTTTGGCAAGTTTGTGGCCGAGGCAAAGTACCAGTCGGACAAAGATCTCTACCGCAAACTCATTTTGGCCCAGGACGCCGAAGGAATTGAAAGCAGCATCACCAACAGCGCCGTGGAGCAGAAGATCTTGGAAAGATTGAAGGAGAAGTGCGAGACTTACGGAACGGACCCTAGCTTGAAGTACTCGCAAAAGATGCAGCTGAAGGTCAAGCCCGAGTTGATTGTCGGGTTGTATAGAGACTACGTGATTCCGCTTACGAGAAAAGTGGAGGTGGACTACTTGTTGCGCAGACTAGAGGATGAATCTTGAGCCAGAAGCCAGATAATTGTCTGTTGTTTCTCTAGGGTCTAGACTGGCAGGTGATCGTCAATTGAAACGGTTAGTTCTCGATGTCTTAGAAGACTGTAGAAACCTAAGTCGCCTGGAAACTTTTCGTCTGGAACTTTGAATCAACTTGGCCATAGGTGAGAGGTCAGTAGAGGTGAAAAAGATGCCAATGCTAGGGCTTGAGCAAAGAAGATGTGGAACTAAATGCTGTGTTAGAATGTTAGAGAGCAGAATGGTGTGGTTGAATAATGTTAGAGAATCAATGTTAGAACCAATGTAGAATCAATATTAGAATCAATATTAGAATCAATATTAGAATCAATGTTAGAATCAATGTTAGAATCAATGTTAGAATCAATGTAAGAATCATGCTAGAATCATGTTAGAATCATTATTAGAACCAATGTTAAATCATGTTAGAATCAATGTTAGAATCAATGAGAGAAACAATGTGAGAATCAATGTTAGAATCAATGTTAGAATCAATGTTGAATCAATGTTAGAATCAATGTTACAATCATGTTAGAATCAATGTTAGGAGAAATTAATGTTAGGAGATCTAATGTAAAGAATCAATGTTAGAGTATCAATGTTAGGAGAACCTAATGTAAAGAACAATGTGAGAATCAATGTGAGAAACAATGTGAGAATCAATGTTAGAAGATCTAATGTAGAGAATCAATGTTAGGACCAATGTTAGGAGATCTAATGTAGAATCAATGTTAGAACCAATGTTAGAATCATTATTAGAACCAATGTTAAATCATGTTAGAATCAATATTCGGCTAATCGAAATGACAATGTCGATTCAACAAAGTTTCAAATGTCATCGTTGCAGGGCCATAAGAATGTCGATGGATCTAATAACAGCGAAAGCCAGTGGAAACATGTCCCCCCGTCTACCCCATATGCACGAATACGCAAGATGAAATTGGTGCATAATCTACGCGTAGACAAGCCAACCGTTTTCAGAAAAATAAAAAAACACGAGCGACAATTCTCGCGTGGAATATCTGCTAGAGCCATTTCCGATCATGTATCTATTCAAACACTGTATCAAGACAATCGACACTTAATTCTAAGGCACTTGCAATTCTAAGACACTTTAATTCTACGACACTTGCCTAAGACACTTGTCTAAGACACTCAAGTATCTTCGTCTTCTTGTTTCTGTTTCTGTTTCTCTATTCTCGTTCTCTTCTCTTGTTCTTTTTTTCTTGTTTCTTCAAATCCCTCGTGGCAATCACATGCAACTTCGTTTCTGTCACAAATTATTGCCCATGTGGTGACACACGTTTTTGGCGCACAGTGCAGGTTTTTTGCACCCAAACACTTGGCCAATACACCACTATAAATATGCCCGGCCGACGCCGCCCTAAAGACAAATAAAAAAAACAAAAAAAAGGCAAAATCACTCACCCAATGCAAGAGTACTTGGCCGAATACCCCAAGCTTGTTTTCGGCGGCCTGGTCACGCTTGTGGCGCTCGTTGTTGTTTCCAGCCGCATCAACAGGAAAATCACCTCCTTGTTCGTCTTCTGCTGGGCGTGCTTTGTCAAGCCGCTCTTGACGAAAATGGACGCCAAACCAACGGAGCAGCAGCAGGCGTTGGAGCAATTCTACCAGAACCAGGCCCACGTGTACGACTCCACACGCCACCTTTTGCTCAAGGGCAGAGAAGACTGCTTGGCGCTCACGGCCGCCCACATGAACCGCTCCAAAAAGTTGGTGTGGGTGGACATTGGCGGCGGCACGGGCAAGAACATCGAGATGATGAACGACATCTGCCCCTTGGCCAAGACGTTCGAGGCCATCTACTTGGTGGACTTGTCGCCGTCGCTTTGCGAGATTGCCCGTCAGCGGTTTGCCGGCAAGCCTTGGGCCTCGTTGGTGAGGGTGATGGTGGCGGACGCCTGCGACTTTGCCATTGACTACGACCATGCCGACGTGATCACGTTTTCGTACTCGTTGCTGATGATCCCCACGTTCAACTCGGTGGTGGACCACGCGGTCGAGCTTTTGGAAAAGGAGACGGGCGTCATTGCGTGCGTGGACTTTGGCATCCAGAGCCAGGAAACCAGCTTGGGCCGCATCAACACGTTGGGCGGGCTTGTCAACAGGAACATCCCGTGGCTCCTCCGCAACTTCTGGAGAACGTGGTTCGAGGCCGACAAGGTGTTCTTGGACTCGGCCAGAAGAAACTACTTGGAGTACAAGTTCGGCACGCTCAAGTCCTTGAACGCCTACAACAACACCTTGGGCCGCATTCCTTACTACATCTGGATCGGCTGCGACAAGAACCGCTGCCGCCTGTTGCTCCACCGCATCAACTGTCTTGCCACAGAGTCGCCATACCTTGCGCCGCTGGACGAGACGCAGAAATTGGAGTACGACGTGCCCGTGAGCAAAGGCCACGAGGCTGCTTTGAGCAACATCCGCAAGAACTTGCCCTTCCCGCTGACCTACTACCAGAGACAGCCCTGGAGAGTGTACTTTGACGAGATCAACCCGCAGTACCACCAGTTCAAGAACCAGTTCATCTACGCATTCACATGGGAGGACCCTCGCGAGGACCACAAGATCCTCAACTTCTCCAGCAAGGACACCGTGTTGGCCATCACGTCGGCCGGCGACAACATCTTGGCTTACGCGTGCTTGCCCGACCCACCTAGCAAAATCCATGCTGTAGACTTGAACCCTGCGCAGAACCACCTCTTGGAGTTGAAGTTGGCAGCGTTCAAAAGCTTGTCCCACGAGCAGATCTGGCACATGTTTGGCGAAGGCCGCATAGCCAACTTCCGCCAGCTTCTTCTTACTCGCTTGAGCTCAGAAATGTCCTCGAACGCATTCCAGTGGTGGATGGACAAGGGCGAGAAGACATTCAAAGGCCGGGGCTTGTACGACACAGGATCCACCCGTTGGGCTTTACGGTTGGCCCGGGCGGTGTTCACTGTTTTCGGAATCAACAATGCCGTCGATGACCTCTGCTCTTGCACCACCATCAAAGAGCAGGTGGAGATTTGGGATCTGAAGATCAAGCCCACGCTTTTCAATCCGTTTGTGGCCACCCTTCTTGTGGGGAACCCGATCTTTTTGTGGAAGGCGCTTGGCGTGCCAGCAAACCAGGCCGAGATGATTGGTGATTCTGTCTTGCGTTATGTCGTGGAGACTTTGGACCCTGTGGTGCACCGCCTGTTGATTTCGCTGGACAATTACTTCTACTACTTGACCTTACAAGGTCGTTATGCCCGCAACAACTGCCCGGACTACTTGACGGAAAAGGGCCAAAGAAGACTCACCCAGAAGGGCGCCAACGGCACTGCTCCGATCGACAACATCCGTGTCCACACAGATACCTTGAATTCTGTCTTTGCTCGTCTTAGCAAAAAATCCATTTCCATTGCTATCATCATGGACCACATGGACTGGTTCGACCCGGAAAAGGAAGATGCAAAGACAGAGATCTTGGCTGTCAAGGCCTGTTTGGCTCCAAAGGGCCGTGTGATGCTCCGTTCTGCCGCTCAGTACCCATGGTACATCAAGACGTTTGAAGCAAATGGATTCAAGTGCAAACCTGCTGCCATCAGACACGCGGGCGAGTCTATTGACAGAATCAACATGTATGCGTCAACGTGGGTCTGCACGAAGGTGGATGAGCCTGTGATGCCACAGGGCCGTCGTCGTATGAGCAGCTTGAGAATTTAGAGGAGATAGATATATACATATTTATAATGTACTAAGAGTGTGCTTACTAGTTGAGACTGATGGCTTGTATTTGGAATTGTTCGTAGATGAGTTCTGTGAATAGCATGAATAGTGAAAATTAAGGGAGAAGCGTCCATTGGATGTTCTGGATCGATTTAAAATAATAATAAAATAAATAAATGACATTATTATATTTCTTTTTTATAGACTCTAAATATGAGTCGTGGTTTAAGTAGTGCCTCAGTCAACTATGTATTGTCTTGTAGGTGCCAATTGTCTTTTCGTCTTTTTGCTTTGGCTTTCGGCCAAAAGAAAGCTGGCATTGACAGTCCAAAGAACTTGTCTTGCAAATTTGAAGATGCAGATACCAAGAGAATTATGCCAAGTCATAGCATCCCACTTGAGCCAACACAATAGAAACGATGCGTCTAACAATGCTAATATCTGAATATGATCCAGTAGACGTCGATCGATAAGAAACACCTTGCGACTTTGACGGTGAATCTTCCTCAGATTCGGACCTTCAACGTTGTAAGAGTTTAAATATTATTTTTCTTCGATGCCGTGCCGTCTTCACTGTTCTACCTTTCATCCGTCTTCGATACCAGTCTTCAAACGTTGTCATGACGTCTTCACTGTTCTTACCTTTTCATCCGTCTTCACCGTTCTTATCTTTTCATGACGTCTTCACTGTTTTACCTTTTCATCCGCTTCACCATTCTTACCTTTTCATGACGTCTTCACTGTTCTATCTTTTCATCTTTCACCGTTCTTACCTTTGCCTTCGTTCTAATAGCTCAGCGGAACATCTTTCCGTCTCCCTCGCCCAGCGTACGCCACTGGGACAGAAACGTCCCGCTGTTTTCGAGCCGGTACAACCTCCAGGCCTCCCGAATGTGGTCGGGCTGGAGCGGCATCCGCACGTCGCCAGAGTACTCCAATTTTTTCTCCGGCACCTCTGTGATGTCCTCGCCCGCCGCCAACTTGCGGATCACCTCTCTTTTGTTTCTCTTCTTGGCCTCGATGTCCAAGATGAGCTGGGCCTTGTTTTCTCGTTCTTGCACCTCAAACGCCCGCGTGATGATGTCGCCAAGAAGCAGCTTCGAGAGACCAGCCATCACCACCGCTATGTTCTGCGGAATCGAGTGGCCCAACACACTGTTGCACACTTTCTTGACGCCTGGTTTGTTGACGGTCATTCGCCGGTACGCCTCGAACCGTTCCATCTGGTCTTCGGTGAACGACGTGATGAGCAAGCGGCGCTTTTCATCCTCCGTCAACGGCCGGTTTTCCTGGCTCTTGAGCGCCTGGTACTTGGCCACAAGCTCTGCATCATCGATATCTGAAAGGTCCGACACATCTTCATCGTCGGGCCGTTCTGGGTGCTCTGCGGTTTTCTTCTCTTCGAGCGGGCTGTAGAAAACCCGCCAGATCAACTCTTCGTCTTCTTCGTCCAAACTGACGTCGCTGTAGTTTTCGTCTGGATCACTCATGTTGGATGGAATGGTTGGACTGCACAAACGGGAAGACTGTTGGATGCTTGTTGTCTATTAATTTATTGGTTGTTGATTTGTTGATTTGTTGATTTGCTGATTTGCTGATTTGATGAGTTGTTTTGCTGATTTTGTTATTTTTTGATTGTTAATTTGTTGTTTTGTTGATTTGTTAATTGGTCAGTTTCTGTATCAATCTTGAACTGTTTTTGCGCAGTGGCTATATGTACTTGAGGCAGGATAGTCCTAATTATATGGTTTACATAACAAGACAACATAGCTAAATCATCCATTTTCCCTTGTTGAATGTTAGTATTGACGCCATGTATATTTCCAATTGCCCACATCGAATCACCATAGTACGGACAAATGTCAGCAACGAATCGTTTATATGCTATAATTTATCTATTCGTAAGTCGAAAGCTAAATAATTTCAAAATACTGGTCAGACTGGACCTGGAATGCCACCTTTGATGCTACATCTTCATATTTCTGACTTGCGCAGCATTCATTCGTCCTCATCCAATAGCACATATCTATTAATTTGGTCTTTTCGGGTTCGGGGAAACTTGCTGTATTGGACCTGTTTGACCCATCGAAGGGCTTAAATGCTGTAAGTGCAATATTTCCGTCTTCATCGTGTTTTTCATGCAGACATAAATGCTTTTTGTGGATCTGGTTATCTATTCGTGCCACTTACTAACCTGCAGCAAGTACTTTTTCCAGTCGTGTTCGTTATTCGAAAGAATCTCATCAACAAGGCCAGCAACTTGTAAAAAACTCTTTTCGTTGAAATCGCCTGCCAACTGGTCCAACTTCTCCACAATTCCAGTGATTGTGTAAAACTTCAAAGCGCTTTCCACACGCATGAGCAAGTTGGAAGAGCTTGAAAATGGAATGCCTATGGACTCAAGAAGAGTGCGTGTAGCATCTTGGACGAAAGCGGTGATGTTGTAAGTCGGGTGAGACGAATACTTTTGTTTCTCGAGCAATGCCGTCCCATAAAGTTTTTCTTCGCCCAACGTTTCATTTTGTTTTTCAAGGCCCATATGGAAAATCAGCACGCCCTGGATGCTATTGGCAAAACCTTCCAAGGACGTCAGATAGAAGAAGTTCACAGCGTCCGACGAGTTTTTGGCCTGAGCCACAGGAACACGAGATTTGGTTACATCCACAGCGAAAAAGCGAATAGTAACCTTGGCAAAAGGGGCGAGGAAAGAGATAATCTCAGAAAAGTGTTTTTTGATGGCGCTTTGGATTTCTTTGGGCGTGGAGCCAGATTCTTCGACCGCTACAAAGCCAATCTCAAAATGAGGTTTATAGTTGGAAAAAGAGCCGTTTTTCAAGTTGTTGAGAACAAGATCGGCCTCAAGCAAATGATCGAAGATCGCCTGCACCAAGAAAAACGGCAAGTCGTTGCGATGCACGGTGTCCATGTTGTAGCTCAAGATGACTTTTGGTTTCAGGTAGTCGAGAAACATGGAATTTGTGTTTGCGAAAACGAGGCCAACGGAGTACTCGGGTGCTGTCCGGTCGGCAAATGTGTCTTCGGACGTTGGGAGATTGGTCAGAGCCGTATTGGTCTCGGCACTTTCATCGTAGGTGGTGATCATGGGCCCTGCTTCAATTGTTCGAGAACGGTCCAACCGACCGATGTTTTGAGGAAGATGGTCCACCAAGCTGTAGTGAAACGACACATTTTCGTTGCGGAGACGGTGGTCTAGCTGGGCCTGGGCCGCCGCAACTAGATCAGGAAACCGGAGGCCTGGGTTGTCCTCCCGGATGTGGATGTTTTGTGTCACGGGCAAGTTTTCCACAAGCAGCCGAAGGGCCAAAACATTTTCCGGTCCGAGCGGCGTGGGCCGGTTTAGAAGGGCCCAGGCGGCGATCAAGGCCACCAAAGAAAGAAAAAGCATGCGATAGACAGTAGACAGAGACAGTGGAACTCAATGGATTCACAGTGGGATTCAGAGGACTCAGTGCCGTGTTTATCGAGATAGACAAAGAGTAGGGCAGTATTGAGCTCAGGCGGTAGGCTAACAGACTAGAGTAGACTATAGGTAGACTGTAAGTAGACTATAGGTAGACTGAAGATTAGGTAAACCAGACTGTGGACTAAACTAGACGAGACTGTAGACTGACCAGACTAACCAGACTATAGGTAGACAGACTAGAGGTAGACAGACTGTAGTAGACAGACTGTAGACTAGACTAAAGATTGTAGGTAGACTAGACTAGACTAAAGATTGTAGGTAGACTAGACTAGACAAGACTGTAGGTAGACAGACTGGATTGTAAGTAGACTAGACTGTAGACTAGACTGGACTGTAAGTAGACTAGACTGACAAGACTGACAAGACTGTAGGTAGATACTAGATGTGGACGGGCAGGTCTGTGTAGACGCTCAACTAAGATCATTCTGGTGCAGGCTCGCATCGCATTCGACTCACTTCACCTGCTACATGAGTGTGCCGTCGGTTCCGATCGAGATCCAGAACGTTCCCGAAGCCCAGGAGCAGGAGTATGTCCACCAGGTGTACAATGAAATAGCGCCGCATTTTTCGAAAACCCGCTACAAGCCATGGCCCATTGTGGAAAAGTTTTTGCAATCCCGCCCCGACTACAGTATCGGGCTTGACGTGGGCTGCGGCAACGGCAAGTACTTGGGCGTCAACAAGAAGTTGTATGTGATCGGGTCCGACCGGTCGGACGGGCTTATTGGCTGTGGCCACCAGATCGATTCGACATACAACTTGGCGGTGGCTGACGGGATGCAGTTGCCCCACGCCAAGGACACGTTTGACTTTGCCATTTCCATTGCGGTGATCCACCACTTTGCCACGGAGCTGCGCCGTGTGGACGCCATCAGACACATTCTCTCGCGGCTCCGGCCCGGCGGCCAGTTTTTGGTTTACTGCTGGGCGTTGGAGCAGGAAAAGTCCCGCAGGGGCTACAAGGAGGGCGACGACCAGGACATTTTGATTCCATGGGTGTTGCAGAAGAACGTGGGGAGGGGGAAGAAGAAGGAGAAGGAGAAGGATGAAAAAGAGAAAGATGAGAAAGAGAAAGATGAGAAAGACGAGAAAGTCGAGCCCGAAACAAAGTACAGGTACTACCATTTGTACAAGAAGGGCGAGTTGGTGGAAAACGCAGAACGGGCCGGCGGAAAAGTCGTGGATCACGGCTACGAGAAAGATAACTGGTGGGCAATCGTGGAGAAGATATAATGGCAGGTGTCAACGAGCATGATCGGGTCCAGCCTAAGTCCATTGTCGGCCACGCTTTAGCCCGACTCGTCTAATAATAGAAGCTATAATAGACATCAAGTAGATGGAAGACCAGAAGATTAATTAGACATAATGTGATGGAATCTGATTGAAAATGATTGAATTTTATGGATCTGGATCTAATGGAATGGTTGAATCTGAGGAATATTGAATCTGAGGAATATTGAATCTGAGGAATATTGAATCTGAGGAATATTGAATCTGAGAATCTGAGTGAATCCACTATTGTCGAAGCAATCCTGCTTGCCATTTTTCTGTTATTTGGAAGCCAGCCTCATAAACTATAAACACGGCCATTTCCAGATCAGTAATTTCCTTCTACATGATCACACAGGCTGACATCATACAAATCAGACTGTTCTTCCTATTCCATTGTAGATAAATTCGCTCAAGTTTTAGTTTTCTTCTAATGCCAAAGCCTTTTTTTTTTTTTTGTCCTGTTTCTCTGGCCCCCTGTGTATTTTCTTTATTCTTCTACTAAAAGCACTATAATAACCATCTCCGCACCATGTCTAATCCCGCATCTGACTTAAAGTGCACTACCATGCTTTCTCCCAAAGAAAAGCATGACAAGATTATCCGGGCCACAGACCTCGATGCGCTCAGCTGCAGGGCCAGCGCCAATCGGAAAGGCTACTTTGTCCCGCCGGACATCCATATTGACGAATTGATCCGGTCTTACCAGCAAAATCTCCCCTTCTGTGAAGGATACACAAAACTTTCCGCCGGGCGGCTTCTCCGGGCGTTGGAAGAGCCCAAGTTTCCCTTGATCAACCGAGGAACGTACTTGCGGACAGAGGCGATCAACAGGGTCGTTGAGTGTTTTGTTGTGGCGCATCCGAAGTGCCAGATCGTTTCTCTAGGCGGCGGCTCCGATACCCGATGCTTTCGGGTTTTGGAAAGCAAACACGACGTGGTGTACACGGAAATCGATTTCCCGGAGTCGACGAAAATCAAAAAGTTGGCGGTGGCCAACTCGCCGCAGCTCCAGAAGATTGTAGGGCTGTCTCTTTCGCCTACAGTGGTCAACTCGAAAGCAGAGTTTTCCGCCTTGGATCCGAGCCTCCACACGCCTAGATACCACTTGGTCGGGCTAGATTTGCGCACGCTAAAAGAAGCAGGCAGTGCAAACAGCGGGCTCGATTTTTTGGATCCAGAAACGCCTACTTTAGTTATCAGCGAGTGTGTTCTCTGCTACTTGAGCCCCGAAGACAATGAACAGGTTATTTCCTTTTGGAAAGCTTTGTTACGGAAACCGTCGTTTGTTGTGTATGAGCCAATGGCCCTTGACGATGCTTTTGGCGAAACCATGGCCCAAAACTTGCGTAACCGAGGGATTGATCTCCAGGCATTTGAAAAGTTTCCAAATCTAGAGTCCCGCAAAGTGTTTTTCCAACAGCTAGGTCTTGCGTCCGTGCTCACCGACATGTCTCGTGTGGGAGGATATTCCGAGGGATCGTGGTTCGGTCCGTTGGATCAGCAGAGGATCTCCCGTCTCGAAATGATCGACGAGGTGGAAGAGATTCGTCTTCTTCTTCAACATTACTGCCTTATATGTGCGGGTATCACAGTCGAGGAGTTTTCGGGGCTCGATTGGGCCCTCTGAATATTTATTGAGCGATAATCGTTAGAAGCTCACAGGAAGTACTACGAATAAAAATCTAAAGAGCATAACGAAGATCACGGACGGTGAAAATAAGCCACCAGAGACTGCAGAATGAGTTCTTTTATGACTAGTTAGGTGCACGGTTAGTATCAAACCTTATTTGGGAAAGTCCGAATTTGCATGTAGTTCACAGACGATTCCAATTATTTCATCATAAATTCTATGTTACTTTAGTGAGATGACGGTTCTGTTGACCAAATCTCGCATGTTTGTCTTTCTTATCATTTATTGAGATAGGTGAAAAGATACAGCAATCAACTCATAAAACAATAAGGACCTAAATGTTCAGGTTATTCTTGGTCATAAACTCGGCCCTTGAGAAAATCATCAATTTCGAAAAATAATGAAAATGATAAAATGATGAACAATCAAACAAATGATAGAGTGAAGATTGAGGTGAAAAATGCATAATCTTCATTCACACAACTACGAGCCTTGGACAGTTCTTAAAAATATACCCACAAGTGAAGACAGATTTCACGGTTTCACTATTTTTATCTATAAGATATTGGGACCAGAAATCAGTCGATTAATCAACTATCCGATGATGTCAGTGTCTTTCGCTGTATCTATATCATGAAAGCAAGTACAATAGAAACCACACCTGAACATAAATAATTATCAACCCCCATCTATGCCCTTGATTGGCTACTGTGAAAAAAAATTTACAAATGGTGATAGATTAGAAAACCAAATTTAATTTACAAATGGTGTAGATATTAGGTCAAATATAATTTACAAATGGTGATAGATAATAGAGATTAAGGCAATATCTGTCATCAACGTTTGCAATCGCACAAGCCATTACTCGAAAACAAAGAACAAAACAAAGAACAAAACAAAGAACAAAAACAAACAGGAACAAAAACAAGCGAAAAATGAAGAAAGAAGCACCTCCCCAGACCAAAACATCTTATCATTTATCCCCAGCCGTTCCTTCTTTCATTTCTCTTCCTTGCTCCTCTTAATCTGCCTGCACATCGCACCCCAACAAAGATAACAGAACCACCCCGACCAAAATCCACCAATGCAAGACGAGGGCATTTTCGGCGACATAGAACAGGACAACAACCCGCTGTTTTACGCCAGTGCCAGCGGTACCGGGGCTGCTTTCCCGGATCCGGGAAGCCCTTCGTTAAAGTCCGAAACGGCCCCGCCTTCCGAAGGCGCCACAGACTTCAGCTCCACCGCCTTGGTCAATAGCCAGTTGGGGCTTTCACACAAGATCCGCAAGATGCTCAACAGCTCGCGGCTCCGCATCGACGTGATTCTGAGCGAGCGGCTAGTCAACTCCCATGTGATTGTGTATTTGATAGAGTTGCGTCTAGACAGGCTGGACGACGTGGTGATTGTCAAGAGACGGTACTCGGAGTTCAAGTCGTTGCGTGACAACTTGGTGCGGTTGTTCCCCACGGTGATTGTGCCGCCAATTCCGGAAAAACATACGCTTTTGACCTATTTGGTCAATTCCATCGACAACACTCGCGAAGTGTCCATTATCGAGGTGAGAAAGAGGTACTTTCGGAACTTCTTGCGGGACTTGGTGTTCGACCTGGACCCGCTCTTGAAAAACTGCCCGTTGGTGCACAAGTTTGTTGATCCTAGCTACGAAATGTGTTGGGAAAACGCCGTCAACGAGCCTCCGGTAAGTTTGATCTCTCCCAATCCTCTCTTGGCTAATCCGAATAACCCAGCAGACCAAAATGGCCTTTACTTGCTTCTCCCGCTGGTCCAGGGCTACGACTTGGACTCTCCGGACAATTTGTCCAACTTGAAGAAAATCAACGAAGACATCCACAAATTGCATAACGAGATCAGCGTGTATGAACTCAAGGAAAGCAGAGCGCTGCAGAACTCGCAGGAGCAGCAAAAAACCCTGAAACTGGAGGCTTTCAGCAATATCCCGCTGGACTTGATCAACTTTGAGACCAACTTCCATCTGAACATTCGTGTTTTGCGTGATCTAGAAAAGATCAACTCCCGCTCAGTTAAAAACCTCAAGCACATGATTAACATTTTGATCGAATTGGGAGGAAACTTGAACAACTTCTCTTTGCAGATCCATGAAGTCAATAGCCAAGAGAATAACCAGCTATCTGTTCTTATTGAGAAATTTGGGTCCACGCTAGACTCGAACTTTTTGAACTTTGAACATTTCGTTCACAATCATGCTATTCCCGACTGGCAAGAACCAATCACCCAATTTACTCAATATTACTTCTCTGCGCTTCAGTTGGTCAAGTTCTACAAGTATAAACTCATTCAATTCAAGCTCCTCTATAAGCTCAAATTCAACAAAATCCAAGAATACGCCAACACAAGCAACAGCCCGCAGTCTGTGAAGCATTTGAAAGACTTGAACATCAACAGCCCTTCGATCAACCTGGCCATCAAAAGGATTGAGTCCAAGCAAAATCGAGCCGGGTCACTCAAGCAGAAAAAATCTTGGTACGGTCTTTTCGGCGGAAGCAAAACAGCGCTGTTCAACTTACCGGAAGACAATTATGCATTCAGACAGCAGCAGCAGCAGACTGAAGATTCAGGCAGCACCACCTCGGAATATGGAACGAATAATATCAGTACCGACATCAACAGCCATTACCAGTTCAAGATCAGGCACATTGAAAAAGAGCTAGATAAATTGGACCAGCTCATTGATCTTTTCAATGCAGACATGGTCAAACTTACAGAGAATTTGGAAATCAGCTTCACAGAATACATGAACAAAATGGAGCGCAAGTGGCTTGAGATTATGCTCGAGTTCATACGCAACGGGAAACAATTGTTCAGCGAAAACCTATCGAACTGGAAGGATTTCAAAAGCTACATTAATGAGTCGTGCAGCATTTAGTTTTGGGAGGACACTACGGTTACTTTGTTTATAACACATTTTCACATAAAGCATTTTTACATTCATGTACTTTGGGTGTGCACACGACTATCTCAGGCCAACGTCGCCACTACAGGAACAATAGAAACGAGATATCTGACAACCCATTAAATAGAAAGGAAAAACAAAACAAGTAAATATGTCAGCAATGGCCATCGATACTGACGTCTCTACTGTTTTGTCGACTTTAAGACTGGAAACAGAAAGCTCCGAGTTGATCCACATCATTTACCAATTGGAGGATTTCTATGAGCGTAAATTGTGGAACCAATTGACCTTGGCTTTGGAAGAGTTGTACAGTTTCCCCGAGAGCAAAGAAAATGCCTTCAGAGCCAAGATCTTCACGCAGTTCTTGTCCACTTTCCAGAAAAACCTCAATCCGATCAAGATTGTGGACTTTTTGTTACAATCATTCGAAGCGCCACAAGATTGCTTGGACCAGTTAGAGACGTTAAAGAGCTCGATGGTGGCCGAGTTGACAAAGAAGCTTTCGTCCAGGAAACTCGAAAACATGGACGAGTTGATCAACAACGAGGAGTGCATTGTCTACGTGAACTTACAGATTGCCCGGTACTCTTTGATTTTGGACAACTTGCTGCATGCCGAGGAGATTTTGGAGAGCTTGACCACCAAGTTCGAGCTGACTTTGCAGAACGACTACAGCTCGAAAGTTAACGCGGCGTTCTACTTGACCCGGTGCCAATACTACAAGATCCACAAGAACTACAACAAGTTCTACACCAACGGTTTGTTGTACTTGTCTTCGATAGAGACGCCCTTGTCGCCCGAGGAAAAAGAGGCTTTCTGCTACGATCTCTGTGTGTCTGCCTTGTTGGGAGACAAGATCTACAATTTTGGAGAGTTGATTCTCCACGATATTTTGAACTCCATCAGCTCTTCCGAGAGCCAGTACTTTTGGTTGTACGAGCTCATCCAGCACTTGAATGCGGGAGACTTGGCCAAGTTTGGACAGCGCATGGCAGAATGCAAAGAGAAAACACCTTTGCTTGCACACCACCAGGCGTTTTTGCATCAGAAAATCGTCATCATGTCGTTGTTAGAGTTGATCTCCGTCAAGCTGACCACCAACAAGTCTTTGCTGTTTAAGGAAATCAGCTCGGTGACAGGCACACCGGAGGACGAGGTGGAGTTTTTGATCATCAAGTGCTTTTCGTTGAACTTGATCAAGGGCTCTATCAACCAGATCGATCAGGTGTTGATGGTCACATGGTTGCAGCCCAGAATCTTGAACTTGGACCAGGTCAAGACTTTGTACAATCATTTGGTGGACTGGGATAGCCGTGTTGAGAAGTTGGCCGAGGATGTTCATAAGAATGGTGGTTCTATTTGGGCTGGTGTATAGACGGCCGGAGATGTAACGAGTCTACAAAGCTTGTTGAGATTGGTGTGCTTGATAATATTAGCGAGTTATAAATCTACGGCGGATGCGTTCCTACAACCCTCTCAATGTAAACGAGACGTGAGAAAAGTATCGGGTTAAATATGGCAAATAAAACGTCACAAATAATAAGCCCAAAATATATAGCCCGCAAGTTCAAAATTTGGTTCCAAATGAAAATCTCCAAAAACAAGCTTCTATAATAGACTTCGAGTATACGACCAACAAAATTTGGATAAGAGTACTTTTCCCTTCGTTGTGATTGCCTAAGCAACGAAATTAGCCTTCCTACTTCTTCTACTGAACAATTTAACTACACGACGCCTTCAACAATACAAGAAGTAAACATGCAAGTGCTGCACGATATAGTAAAACTTCATTAAAGCACCATGAACGTTAATTGAGTACTAGAACTGCCTAATCTCATGTCAATATCTTTATTTCTCGTTCTGTTCATACGTAGCGTTCTTCACTTAATAGTCTTCTTGGTTGCCTAAGCCTCCTTTCATTGTACTTCTATAAAGCAAATCCTCGGAAACCAAGCTTGTCTATGCACATCTTGTTTCCTTTTATGTCTGCAATCTCTTGTCCTTCTTGTCATCCTCATGATCGTCGTGGTCCAAATCGTCGTCTCCAAGCTCAAACAACGTGTTGCTTGCGCCTGCAGAGTCTGTGTGGGCTTCTGTTTCAGCTTCCTTGTACTTTGGAGGCTCATCATTGGGGAGACTCTGGTTTTGCAATTCGAAACTGTCTCTTTGCGCATTCTCTTCATCGCTGTGGCTCATTAACGATAAGTCGTCCAACTCAAACTCATGGCCCTGCTGGTAACCTGCATTGCCGCCTTGTTCCTCGTCACCTTCAACGGTGGACACTTGTTGAGAAACCGCCAACATGTAGCTGGCTTCAGTAGGCCGCCACAACCAGGCGATACCAATGAAAACGCCAAAAAAGACCAAACTGGGCCAAAAGTCGTACATGAAGTACGCACCTTTCCAACGCAGCTCAACGAACTCAGTGGCACTCAAACTGGCGAAAATGAAAACGGAAAGAACCATTCCACCAATGGTCAAAAGAACAGACGCCGCAATGAGGCGGAATAGGTTTTGGTACAACTGCAACTTGATGACCTGGCGCTGCTTGTGCAAATTTTCGGTGGTGTTTCTGATGGAGGCCAAAATCAATACGTAGTACACAGTCAAAGTGATGGCGACAGGAATCATAAAGATGAAATTCCAAATGCTTCCGTTCTCGTCGGCTTCCAGAATATCTCTCGAGCGCGTTGCGGACGCATTGAAAGACGAATGGTAGCTTCCAATCAAATAGAACATCGATGCTGTGAAATGAATTGCGGCAAGAATCTTGCATCTGTTCATTTCCTTCTTTGGAAGCTTCAACACCACAACACCATAGCCGAGGGCAATGCACAATAACAAGAAGAAAGAGAAGGTGATTTTTGCCGCGTCCATAAGCGACAAGAAGACCATGTAAAACAGCACAAACCAGTTACGAGAAAACGTCCGGTTGACCAAGTCGTAGTACGTCCACATGACAAGCGTGTCAAAGGTCAAAAACAGGAGCATCGCCAACAAGTACTTTTGCAAGGGCAAGATCTGGTTCTGCTTTCTCTTCTTGAAGAACTGGAAGCCGAAAAGCGCCAAAATCACCGCATAGCACACAGTCAAAATGCCGTAGGCGGGCAATTTGGGGATTTCCGACGCGCTGAGAGCGCCAAAGGCGTTCTGGAAGTTGACCCAGCCCTCGTACTTCTTGTCAGTGCCGGAAAAGGTTGCCACACAGTAGTAGCCTGATTTCTCCACATTGTACGTCAAGGGCGCCTTGCCCAAGCGCTCCATCTCGCCAGTGTAGACGGTGCTGTTGGAAACGTCACCGTCAGTCAAGAAACTGCCCTTTTGGGACTCGTCACACAAGCCATAGTCCACGGCCTTATCAGTACAAATGTAGTGTTTCTTGCCCGCGTCGTCGACCTTGCCCAAGCGGTCAAAGTCCTTGTACTCGAAAATCACGTAGTGGAGCTTGAACTGCTCGGGCAGCTTGATGCCGTCGTTTTTCGGATCGTAATGGTCCTTGCCAAAGTGGTTGAGGCGAATATCTATATGGGGCTTATAAGAGCCGCCCCAGTCGTGGCGCGAGTACATTCCTTCGCAGACCTGGCTGTTGGCGCCATCGTCAAGAACAACTTTGTTTGCCAATGCCACAGCGGCTACAAAGGCGTATGAAAAAAGCTGCATGGAGTAGAATCCAGAGGTTCCGATAATTGAGAACACCGAGCGCTATGAGTGGGGCTGGTCACGTGCCCACACACCCGTCTGCCTGCGCCCACTTTGATGGAGAGCCGGGTGGACTATGGTTTCTGACTTGTCGAAGAAGGCTGAAGGTGTTGTTTTAGTGTTTACCGAACGGGCTGGCGTCTGTGTTGGCGCTTTTGAACGAGTGTGTTCTGCGATTATGTAAGTGGCCAGATAAGCCGAGTGCGCCTAATTAAGCATTGGCTAAATGTAGTGAAGCGAAAGGATACCTTTTGAATATTGGGAAATATTAGATGGAGCAGATTTGAATGCAAGTGAGTTTTTCTCTTGTATATGAAGAAGGATCAGAATGGAGTTCGCCTTTAGACGATTGAGTCTGATGGGTAATTTTACTATGGGATGATTGTCCTTTGCTCTAACCCATGCTTTACTCTGATTTTATGTGTTGCAATGCTGTCTTCAGTGGGTAATTAAAATGAAAAATGCCATTTTGGATTGCCGTATAACTGGTAATAATGTGATAATAGCTAACTTTATGATACAGCGCATATATTAGGGTAAACTTCGAGTACTGATAACTATAATTTTGGCTAAAGTAACAGCACACCAGTTACAATGCTTGGTTGCATGGATTAACGTGAAATATTCCACAGAAATCAACGTAATACGCTAAACCTCATGCGCCAGTTGGCTATCATAAAATAAATATGAATTTTTCCATATGCTACGAAATGTAGTAAAAGACCATCAATTAAATTGATTACTAGACCCTTTCTTCCATCTTCTCAGCCACAGAAAATAGTATTGGGCAACTGGTCCAGAGAATAATTGATCCGGCAAACCCGAGTCTGACAACGAGCACTCCAGACAACAATTGACATAAGCACACTGGGCCATGATTTCTCAAACTCCGATTTGATATGAGATTCTAACCCAGACTCAACCAATAGCTTCGCCAAGTATGCGGCATTGATAATAGTTCCTCATTAGAAAAGTGGGCGCTCAATAAATCGTTTATATGTTTCAGATCATTTGAAAAACAGCATATTCTTTGTACTTGAGACGAATCACGTCTTCAATTCATCGAGGCGCTTCATCAACTTGGTCTCCACATCGCTCCAGTTGTCCACCAACCCCTTGTAAAATGTAATTTCGTGATCACACAACTCTGTCATCAGCTGCTTCAACTGCCGCTTGTTAAACTGCTCCCAGTTGGGATACTCCTCGTTGATAATGCGGCTTGTCAAGTTGTTTACGAGTTGTGTTTGGGTTGTTATCTCCGCTTCAAGTTGTTGAATCTTCTGCTGTGCCCGCACACGCTTTGTATCTGTATGGGAAGAACCAATATGCGGCGTAGCAGAAGTGGAAAGCGTATCTTTGATGAGCTGCGTGGTATTGTTGACAATTCCGCCTGAAGCATGTCCGACCAAAACAGGATTAGGCGCTGAAGTATGTTGTGGTCCGCCCAACGCGGCATATTCAGTCTTCGCTTTGGCCAAGTAATCGTGAAGAACTTGCAAGTCTATGCGCTTATTGTGCTGGAACTCAATCAAGTCCGAAAACCGACCAATGTACTTGGCGCAATCTTTCAAGGTGACCAAAAAAGATTCGTCAATGTACCGATGCAAGTCTGCCCAGTTGTTCAGAAAAAACATAAGCGACTCCGAAAAAATTTTAAAGTTACTGACCATGGCATCTGAAGTTTCGTGAGAAGAAGTGTTCTCCAGTGTTTCGTTGTCGTTAAGTTGCAGAGTTAAATTCTGCACCGCAGCCAACTTGGTGATTTGCGTCAGAAGCTGGTCGTAGTCTGTTTTCATGTCGTAATTTTTCCTGTTAAGCCGCAGAAAGATTTTGTCCAAGCGGATCAAGTTTTCACAGAGTTTTTTCAACTTATCGCTGATTTCCAAGATATCTTTATTGGTCTCGCGCTTGTGCTTGGAGGACGTGAAGAAATTCATCAATGTTTCCGTCAACATTTCCTCGTTTGCTACTTTTCCCACAATCAGCGCATCACTGTCGTCGCCTTTGGATATTTTCAAGTTCTTGGTGAAAGTGGCCCATTCTCCCGAGTCACTAACGAAGAAATGGAAAACGCTCAGTTGGGAAAGTAATTTGTGGCCACAGATGAAAGAAATAAACCGGTCAAGCGAGTTCAAGCGCTTATGGACAAAAGACGTGCTGAAAGTGTCGCCCGTCAAATACTTGAAATTCAGCTTTGCAGGGAGAGGAGGAACTAGCAATTGCGGGAAATCATTGATCAAGCAATTGTGTAAAAAGCGGAAGTCGCCATAGCGTCTTCTTGTCTTCACAGTAACAAATTCGGTGCCTGCTGCAGCTTCGGAGAGCCGAATCACTTCCGGGTGGTTCGTTTCTGTGGTGACGAGATATGAAATGTACGGTTTCGAGTTGCTGTCTCGATCACTAAGCGGGTGGCTCACGTGCAGACTAATTTTGTACTTTTGAAACTGCTCCTCCATTCTCTTCTGGTCCAAAATCTCTGTCGGCACCGGCGCAGACGCCGCTGGTGCTTCAACTTCTGTTGTCTGTTCGTGTTCTCCTTCGCCACTATTTGCCTGTGGTTCTGGACTAGTTTTGGGAGTGGGGCTTTTTCCTACGGCGGAAGGTGGTTTCTCGGCATATTCCGGCGGCGCAGGCTCGGAATTGGCTGCAGTGGGTTCGTGTGCTGCTTCAAACGGTTCGTCTGGAACGGATGGAGGCAAATCCGAAGTGTCCTCTGCATCTCCGGCAAGAAGCAAGGAGGCACTGGGCTCTTCTTCGATGGGCAGGCCTGCGCGGGGCAGCAGATTGTTCTTGTCGTCTCTGTCCCATTGGACCGAGGTAAACGGATCGTCAGACATGGGCGGGAAGAAACAGGGTCTTGGTGGAGATACTTATCAGCGGTGTGCACACGACTCTAGATATCCTGCGGAATGTACAGTCCACGTCCACACTATAAGTTCTTTTCTTCTATTCAGGCGCAAAGTACGCTCAAACAGGTGTCGGAAAAAGTTCCGGAATCAGAAATCAATCAGTGGAAACACGAAAGGGGTCTTTTGGAAGTCATTAGGACGAGGAGCTTTGAAACTTGTAGAAACTTTCTATGCTTTTTCCTGTGCTTTCAATGGTGACTGCAAGGACTCCTGATGATTTTCCTATTGTTTGAATCTTTTTGATCTTTTTGATCTTTTGAACTTTCTGATCTTTTGATCTTTTGATCTTTTTGAATATTTTTGATCTTTTGATCTTTTGATCTTTTTGAATATTTTTGATCTTTTGATCTTTTGATCTTTTGATCTTTTGATCTTTTTGAATATTTTTGATCTTTTGATCTTTTGATCTTTTGATCTTTTGATCTTTTGATCTTTTGATCTTTTGATCTTTTGGTCTTTTGATCTTTTTCAATCTTTCGTAGAATTTAAATTGGTTGACATAGTGTGTTATTGAGCATTAAAATCAGGCAAGTTGGCTTAAAGCAGGAATTGTTGTTGACCTCAACGTTTACTAACCTATAATACCAAACGAAGTAAGAGTGTTGAGGTGTCTCGTACGGATTAATTGGTGTAAACATATTGATGAGAGAAGGCAACGAACCTCTCACTCAAAAAGTTTCAGTTTCCTCCATCATTTTCTTACTGTAATTTCAATGAGATGGCTCTTTTCTTAAGTAGTACGCCTCCAACTACATAATTAACCAGAACGTATTCGGACAGAAACAATAATTGTCATCAAACATCCAAAGGAGCTGTCACGCAAAATGCTTTATTCAAGTCGTCAAGTAGACAGTCTTTTTCATGTCCCAACAAATTCAGGACATCTCTGCATAGGCTTCAGGATCCATTCTGGTGCTCATTTGCTCAATTGCTCAATTGCTCAATTACCTACTCTTAAAACAAGAACATTTTTGTATTTGGATAAACACCCCGCCACGAAAACAGATTGGCTACAACACCAACCACACACTGGCACCCACAATAGCCGCACCAATCACAGCAGTGATAATGCCGGCACCAGCCTTGTCTCCACTGTCCAACACGAGCGGAGACGCATTTGTGGCTGCCTTCGGATAACCCGCAGCTGGGTTTCCAATGGAAGTTCCACCGGTGTCCGCAGTCAATGGGAAATGAGGGAAGTCGGCCACACGCAAGTTGTTCATCACCTCCAACGCACTCATTTGCTCACCTAATCCGTAGTTGCCGTCCCACGTGCCGTTGGTCCACGAAAGACCGCATGTGTGGCCATCGCTACCTCCCAGACACGAGTAAGCGGCAGCATTGGCCAGGTCCACAAGCCAACGGCGGATCCTGTCGTATGTCTGCGGCACAAGAACAGAAGTGGCGCCAAGACACCGGCAGAAGTACGCCTTGAACGACCGCTGGTCATTGTTGCATGTGAACTTGTTCTCTGTAGGAGACAGGCACGCTGCCTCGTAGATGATGTGTGCATCGGCCGACTTGTTGTACACAAACACTTGCGTGGCATGTAAAAGGTTCATGGTCCGGTTGAGCCACTTCTCATCCAAGGTGTAGTTGTACAAGTATGCACAGCCGGCCAACATGAGTCCCTGGTTGTATGTCCATTGAAGCTTGGTCACCTGAGAGCAGTTGTTGGCGATTTTCACACCATCGTAGACAAACCACCATTCGCCCTCAGTCAACAAGTTGACGCCGTACATCCAGTCAAAGACACGCTCGGCCCACTCCACGTACGAGTCGTTGGCGGTGTACCGTGCTAGACGAGCAGCCATGTGGAACAAGGCACCGTTGGAAACGGAGTTTTTGTAGTCGTAGCCCGAGTTCCACTGGAAAATCTGCCACCGCAAGCCTCCGTTACATTCGCCAAGGTCCCACCGTGCGCTCATGGTGTTGAAAACAGCCTGTGCCAACGTCAACCACGCTGCTCGGTGGTCTGTAGGGTTGGAGAAGTTCTTTTCTGCAGCAGACATCACAGCAAGGCCCCAGAAAGCTTGGTCATCGTTACCTTCGGTGGTGGACTGGTTCAACGGAATGTAGTTGAAGTCGTCGCCGACTTGGTACAAAAGCGCCTCCTTGATGAGATCTGTGTAAGTGTCGTTTTCCATGTAGATGGTGTATTCAAGCATGGAGCCCCACGCTCCGCCGGACTCCCACCAATAGTACGGAGCCGAGAACATTCCGATGGTTCCACCGTACTTTGTTCCTTCGTAGTAGTCGAGAAGACCTTCTGCGATCAACGCTGTTGCCTGTTTGATTGTGGTCACATTCCAAGTATCTAGATAGACGGCCCGAACTGCCGCAAGAAGGGCAAAAAGCGCAATGAAAAAACGCATGTCTGTGGAGGTTCTTCTCTAGGTCAGAATGGGATGGGTCAGAATTGTTGGATCGGGATTTCAGATCAAAATTTGTCAGACCGCTTTGTCAGACCGAATGTGTCCGAAATGGATAATCTTATGCTTCGTCTTTTTCCTTCGGGATCTTATCTGCACTGGCTCTATTGCTGATGCTCGATAATCTATCTCCAAGTGTTTCTCGGACTTTTCGGCGTGGTCTTGTCTTTTCTGGACGTAGTTTAATTTTTTTTCCCCTTCTCCTGTAATCAGGTGTATCTGCATTCCACGACCGCGATCGGATTGCGAGCCCGTGCCAGATCTGACATGACCGTGTCTAGTACCATGGAATCTTCGGCGGCTTTTTGTTTCGGCGTTTAGAAAGTTTGTATAGCTGTGGGGATTTTCGGTAGTTATTCTGGAAATGTGGCTACTAATGTATTGTGCTTTAGAAGACAATGTTTCTGTATGCAGTATTCTGCCTGAAGAAGTGTTCCACAAGCTAGAAAAAAAACTTGAATATAGGAGAATAAATCGGTTTTGCTAAGCCAAGCAGAGCTAACTTACTAGGTGTAGGTTATTTCAGGTAGCATAATGTAATTGATTTCGACTTGAATTTGACTAGTCGCACACATATTGCGAATGGAAATATATTCTCAGCCAACTTTAATAATTGTGAATTGATTGACCGAGTTTCCATTTGACTTGGTATTTGAAAAAGGAAAATTAGCTTAAAAACTCATAGGGATGAACCCATTTGAGAAAAGATACATCGAATTATTGTTTCTACGGATACGCTATTCATACAATCCGTTCTTAAAAATACAAATAATGCACACGCGTGCAAGAAATCAGCATGCCCGTAAACTCCGGTCCACGAAGCCGGCCCGTAACACTAGCTGTGCAGTTTCCGTCTATTTTTTTATCTTACTCCATAAGTCTGCACTTAGGCAGCAAAAGCAGGATCCAAGTCGTCGGGGTCCTCTGCCTCGCTCGATTCTTCGCCCAAATCCTCCTCATCTTCATCTTCGAATTTTTCTTCGTCGTCCTCGGCGTCGTCTTCAAGCTTTTCGTTTGACTCCGCATCACCCGACGCGTTGTGCTCGAGTTGCTCATGTCCAACATGTTGACCGTTGTTGGCTGAGGCGGCAGCCTCGTTGTTTTGAATGTTGCCGATTTGCTTTTGTAAGAGCTTGAAGTCACGCGCAAACTGGTCGGCGCCCACGTCGGATACTTGGAGCTCTGCATAGACCTTGGCAGGTTCGTCGTCAAAGGTAAAGCCCTTGGCCTTCATGTCGCGGCTGAGTGCCTTCAAGAACGGCACGCTGTAGTCGGCCACAGCCTTCTTGGAACGTTTCTTGATGATGATTAGGTTTGTCTCTATGAGGAAAAGCATTTCCAACGACGTGGTGCCCGTTTCGGTGGTGGCATTGTATGTCTGTTTCAAAGGAGGCGTCAAGGTGTAGTGGTACTTTTGGCTGACTTTGGAGACGACGGGCGCCGTGTTGTTGACCTCGCCCACGTTGCTGGATGTGCGCGTGAACTTCAACGGGGTCAACAGCGCGATCAAAGGATCAACGTAGATCAGAGTCAACAGGTCCATCATGGCCTTGCGGAACTGCTCCTCGGTGCGGATGGCCTTGGACGTATTGAGCGACTCCACCAAGTGCAGCGCAAGCTCCGAAATAAACGTCATGGCCTCTGCGTCCTTGTCCTTCACCACCTTGAGCAAGAAGTCGTCAAAGTCGCTGTACACGTGCTCCTTGGCGTATGGGTTCAGGTAGCACAGCTTGCACAAACGGTACATGGTGCACATGTTGTCGTCGGCGTCCAACGCGCCGCCGCAGAGCTCGCACGACGACGGCGCAGGGAGCTTGGCGCGGTCACCTTCCTGCTTCTGCTTGTGCTGGCGATACTTGTTCTGCTGGCGGTTGGCGCTCTGTGCCAGCTGGTCGGCGCCGTTGATGGCGGCAGCAGCAATGGCAGCGGCCGTAGCCGAGGGCAACGCGCTGGCGCCCGGCATGCTGGCAGAGCCGCCCAACTGCGGCAGCTGGTACGCAGAGCTGGCCGCCGACGCAGCCAAGCTCGGCTGGCCGTAGCTGTAGTTGGCCGGGCGGGCCGATGCAAACGCGCTTGGCTTGTGCAACGCGAACTGCGTGTTGAGCAGCTGCTTCAGCGGGTTTGCAATCCCCGCGTCGCGCGAAGCTTGCAAGTCGGACAAGAGCTGGTCGGACGCGAAGATATCGTCGTGGATGAAGTTGGCGTTTTGGTTCTGTTCCTGGAACTGGCGCATGCCGTAGCGCATTGTCTCCTCCGCAAGCGGTTTCCTCAGCTTCTTTTTGGTGCGCTCAATGATTCGGCACTTGGCGCATGTTTTGTACTGCTGCACTTCGGGCGGCTCGTCGTCCATTCTTCTTCTTTTGCACCGGCGACATCTTCTGACATCGCCTTCGTAGAGCATCATCTTGGGCGTGTGGGGGGGAAGTAAGGGGTATGGATTTCTTTTCGCAAAGAAGTTCCGCTGGTGTTGTGTTTAGAAAATGGGCCAAAAACTTGTATCCTGAGATCTTGTGCTGCGCACGACTCAACCGGCCTGGGCCAGTGTCTGGACTAATTTGGCGCTTTTTCTTTCAACTTTTTTTTGGTTGGTGTGCTGTTGTTGTTTTAAATGCGTGCTTTTGGCCGCTTCGCCGTTTGCGCTGGTTTCTTTTCTGGTGTCATCTGCTTCTAAGCAAAATACTGTTGAGTGGTCTTGTGGTTATGTGCAGGCTCGTCTTTAAATGGTTTGTGTATGCAGAGTAATTTCCTAGGACTTGGGTTTGTATGTTTTAGAGGCGATTGGGCTTTGGTGCTCCGTTTCTGGCCCTTGTTTCTGTGCTCTTGTGATTTCTGTCCAATTTACTGTCCTACTCGTTTTCGCGCAAAATGAGAAATCACCATTTCTCGCTTTCTCTCACTAGTCTAGCGGCCAAAAAAATGGCTTGCTTGCATTTGCCACCTGTCTTGCATTTGTCAGCATTTTAGCATCAGACTTTGCCTTCTACGGAAGAAATGCAAATAGGCCAATCCATCGAACAATTGTCCAATCAGGGCAATGGATTAATCATCTACACATAGGCAATGCATTGGACTGATCAAACCAATCAAGTAGCGGTAATAGATTTGACCAGCCAAACTTTTAAACACACTTACACGAAGACTTATTTGTGGATCATCTGAAACCTGACCTCAAATACCTGATATCTTTAGTTCAGTTTCCCAGCGACCACAAATCTCAGACTTGAGCGCAATTTATTCAGGATTGGATATCAGTTTTTATAAATGCGGATACTTAAATTGTTATTCTCCACTTGACTTGATCTGATTGATAGGTCGTCAGAATGGTTTTTCCAATGATGTAGAAAATCTCATAAAAAAAAGACCAAAGAGCAGTCTTTCTTCTCCTCCCTGATCTTTCATCATTTAATTTTTGAATATCATTAAAAAACATGATTTAGATAGTATCAAAAATTCTTTTTCATTCAGTTCTTGACAGAGAACTTGATATGAACCGCCAGTGATACAACTACGATTCATTGGCTTATATTACAGAGGCCTAACTTATTACTCCACATTTCGTGGAGATTCTACCATTTCTGTTTGGCAAGTTTGAGACCTTTTCCGAATATTTCATTTTATATTTTGTACTATTCTCTTTCTGAGGAATAAACAAGCTCATGGAATTCAGTAATTATTTGTGTCCAGGTTATGCCAGTTACGTATGTAAAGCTTCCTTGACAGTGGAAAAAATTCGTTCTTCCCAGTAGACTAATTCTTTCAAAATCACAAAAGCAACTTAAATCAAACTATGAACTTCTTTAAAGGGATGGGACGTCCACAGTCTTGAGGTTACCACACTGTGGACTGTTTATATTCCCAATTTCTTTTTCATGAAGTTCATGAATCACCAACAAGAATTTCATTAATAATACTACACCATCGAAACATCATGGCGTAGAAGTACAAATGTCACAGCCTCGTGGGTTCTGTAAACAGAACTTGGGCGCTAAAGGCGATGCTGGGTATCCCAAAGCCACCAAGAACTCGCGGAATACAAGAATTCTTTGCGTCATGTCCCCGGTTCTAAGTAAGCCTGTTTCTGGATCCGAATTTCCGCTCCATAAACTTTCGGCCAAGGCTGCTGTACGCGGCCATATTTTTGAAATCAAGACCGTAGAGTCCGTTTGTTCTCCCCACATTGCTGCTTCAGCACCAAGTACTTTTTCCAGTTGCTCGAGCGTAAGGTTGGCAGTAATGTTGAAGTTGTATATCCGTTGCCATGTCTTATACGGCCCACACCAGGAACCTCCTTTGCCATGGTTGAATCTGTAGTTTTCTGGAGTTTCTGTATACCTGTCATCATTCGTAAGCCAGCCGCCGTATCCGCAGTCAAGATACAAGAAATCGCTATTGCTCATGATGACAGAATACCCCTGGTCTGTTAGATTTCGAGCACAGTCCGTGCTGCTTGCCCAGCATTGCATGATCACGCTTTTGGGAACGTGGTTTGCCTTGCCACTGGACATCATTATATCTTCCCACATGATTACTTTTCTGTTGGGAAACGATTCAAAAATAGGCAATGCGTGGTCCACCCAATGCTGGACCAAATCATGAAATGTTCTGGTACCGTTGTCCGAAAACCACTCTTTTGTCAACGTAGAATTGTCGTAACATTTTTCCTGGAGCTCATCTGCTCCCACGTGGAACCAGTTGTCTTTGAAAAAGCCACTTACTTCTGTATAGATATTGCTCACTACCTTGTAAGTTTCGTTGAGCAAAATCTCCAACTGTCCAGAGGGTGGTTCGACCGCATATGCGCAGCTATGGTCTGTTTTCCACATGTCTGCACACGCTAGTAATGATTTGTTGAGCGAGTAGTAGCCTGCTCTAGCATGACCAGGCATATCGATTTCGGGAATTATACGCACCCCTCTTTGGAACGCATAGGCGACAATATACTCAATATCCTCCTTCGTGTAAACTTCTCGAGACGAATAGGCTCCTTTAGTCATTTCCGGATACGTTGAGAGTGCAATTGGCCACGATTGCGAGTCCACCAAATGCCAATGTAGCACATTCATCTTGCTGAGCTCCATTATATCGATCTGGTCGAGAATAACCTCAGGCGTCAAGAAGTTTCTGGCACTGTCGATCATGATTCCTCGATGAGCGTACAATGGCCAGTCCCGCACATATGCGTCTGCTTCAAAGAAGTATTTTGATGAGCTCTCATCGTATTGCACCATCTGGCGGAGAGTGGAAAATGCGTGTAGACAGCCCCAGACCGAAGCGGATATTTTGATAACGGAAGCATTTCCTGAAAGCGTCATTTCATACGACTCGTCTGCTCCCATTTGCAATGTCTCACTGGTATTTGTCAACCGAATCTGGACACGAGAAATTCTATTTGACAGTTCGCCTGCAATCTGTCCTTGTGTTTGATGAACATCCTGGTCCATTGGGTTCTGCCATTTCAACTGTGTTATCGAATGAACCAACCTGTTAAAGGCATTTTCGACCAATCCAGAAGGAGGATTGATCTCCACTGCGAGAGGGAAATCAATTTCAATGGGTCCAGACGATCCCCATTTCAATTCTTGTGGCCGTGGAAGAGGATCTGAGTATCTCACGTTGGCTTCTCCGATTTTGAATAAAATACAAAATACACTGATCAAAGAAAGAAACATATTTGGCGCGAACACAAATCTGTCTGAGTATGGTTTTTAAAGCGATATTAGCTCATACTGGAGACACGAAAATTAATTTTGGCAGGAGAGAATGGGACTTCTAAGTCTGGAACAAAGGCTATGGAACGGAGTCACTTTCCGGCATACCATGTGCTTTCATACAGACCTGTCTTGCTGATACCAAAGATAACGGAATGTCCGACAAAAATTGCCTTTTTTGACAATATAGCTTCGTATTTGGGTTGCACGGTGAAACGGTTAAACGCAACATGCAACGTTTTTCTTTTGCTTTATGATCTTGAAATGATACGTTTATTTTTTGATTTCAACTTTAAACACTCGTGTATGAAAAAACTTGAGACACATTGACAATGAAGTGTCAGTTGGCAAACCTAATAATGAGAGAATTCAAATTATATCCCGAAGTCTTGGACGTTGACCGTCCTATAGAAAACTATGCTCTTTGTGATGCAAGTCTGCGAATCGACCATACTGGCCTAACAATATCGAAAGGAACGACTTGTGTGTAGAATCTTCATCTACTTCCTAAGTAATTGTTGGCTCACTGTCAAACGCTGCATACCTTCAACTGAAATTTTCAATGTAATTCATTCGAATGTCTTTTCTTATCTCGTTCATTTTATTTTCTTCTTCTTGCAACAGAAAACAATTTCGTTGCTTTCGCATTGTTTTTAACCAAATTTTACCCTGACTGAAACTAAAAAGCAATAATATACCTGTTTTCATGAGTCGAACTCGGGCAGTACAATATCTTCGAGTGTCATTGTAGATTTCTATATTAGTAGATTTACAAAGGTTTCTGTAAGATCGAAGATGATGCACGTGATCACCATCAAGATAAGAAACGCACACACCTTTTGTTCTTGTGTTCAGCGTCATATGGAGGGCCAAAAAAAATCTGCAGGTACTTGTCTAAATCATGATGTTTTGAAGATTATCTGCGGACACTTGTGCCAAAAGGATTTGGTGGCGTTCGTGCAGACTTGCAAAGAGTGGAGGTCTGTTGGATCAAAGCACTTATACTCTCATCTCTACGTAACGGATAAGGTGGCTCGTTTGCCAGAAAATGCTCCCGAAAGCTTGCCAAAGCCTTCAAAATGGGCCATTGTTTATAACAGTCTACATGACTCGCTGTGTCTGCTAAAGCTACTAGAACGGACACTAGGCGAATCGCCTTCGCTAGCCTCTTTGGTTGAGGAACTACACACAGACGACACAGTTTTCGTCCTTTTCAAATTGCAAAACTGGGCCAGGCGGTTCTTCTCCGATCCCAGCTGCAGCCTCAGGTCCGTGCATTACTGCAATGTTCCCATCGCTCACTTTCTCGTAGGTTATGACAGTTTGTGTGCCTTTTATCAAACGACTCCAGGCTTGGGTATGTTGACCACGATCCAGGCGAAGAATATCCAGGATTTAAGCCATTTGGCTCATATTGCAAAAGAGAGCAATACCTCTCTCAATATAAGAAAAATCAGCTTTTGCTTGACGGATACGCTGTCGCATGAGATTACGCCATTTGATGAGGAAGTAAAAAAGGTTTTCTCCGATGTTAGCCGCTGTCAAGTTATTTCCTCTTCTGATTGGGCCCTACGGTTCTTGAAGAATCTACATGAATCTTATGGTGAGAGCCTTTTTCCATCTGTCAAACACTTAGAGTTGACTCATGTTCATGGTGGCCCCTCGAATAGCCATGGACCCCACGATGAAAGCAAAGAAGTGAAATTGGACTTTGGAATTTTGAAGAATCTTTTCCTGATTTCTCAGCTTGAAAGTTTGGATTGCAGAATTGGCTGCTCCCATGTGCCAGTTGTCACTGGAGTCAGCGAGGAATCTGATTTTGAAAGTGTTTATGAAGCAGGCCTCGACTGTTGCATGTGCTTACATCTGTTTTTGACCCACCTCAAAAACAACCTACTGCCTTCTCTCAGATACCTTTGCCTCGAAAGAAGAGGTTCCCTGTTTTGCTCAAACCCATACTCTACTTATCAATTTAAAAGAGAGCTTGCAGATCTTTTTGCAAACATCAGAGAAACACATGGCCTACGAACGTTGATTCTAGATTCGAAATCAGAACTAGTTCCACCTTGGGGCCTTCATTTGGATGATGATATATTAATCAAGTCTATAAATCATGCTAATACGCTTCTTATGAGAAGCATCAGAGGCCTTGGTGTGGATGACACTAAAATCATAGATGATATCGAAGGCTTCGTTGTGTGGGAAGAATACTCAAAAGGCACTAATTTGGGTCTGATGGAATTTACTGCAAATCATTGCTCGGAATGTATGGAAACATACCAGGATATCATGGACTTTGTTTCTGTCAATGCAAAAATTCAGTTTTACCTTGACCCGACGTATAAGAAGTCCTTGTCTGAATTCTATTACGATCTTTTCGGAGTTCTTTTACTCGTTTTGCGAAACCCCATGTTTGCTCAAGTCATGTTCAAAGAATCATCAAGACATGGCAATTCGGAAAGCGAACGCCTGTTCAATAACGCTAAAATAGCAAACTTTCTACCTTCGTGTGATGAGATCTCCAGTCTGATGGGAGAAATGCTCTTGTCGGGATGCCTTTCCTTGCATGACTTATTTCGCCATGATAGTTACTTGGATCTTGTGGTTCGCAATGGTTATGCCCACTCCAAAAGAACAAAGATTCCTTGCAAATGCAAAGGGAATGAAGTACAGCGATTTGTGAAATTACTCATGCACTCGCAACACGGCATAAAGTGATGAATGAGGCAGTCTACGAATTATTCAGAGCAGGAATTTTTTGTAAGAGGGGATTCTGGTACCCATGTGCGGCATTTGGTCCCGGCTACTGTGAAGGGAAATAGCTCTGTCGCATATTGGCCTATCGGGAAATTTTGCGTCATTCTTTTGTCATTACGTCCTGCCAGATGCACCAACCCGGATATAAGCTTAAAACCGCCGGTTAGCGATTTCTGCGATTTTACTAATTTATTTGTGCACCGAAGACGGCCAGAAAAAAAGAAAACAGTAGAAGTCAGGATAATCCCTGACAAAGGCGGGGTGTGACTGACCGCAACCTCTAAAACATGAGACACTTTTTCTCTAGAAGCATGTTCATGTTATCCGATGTTCCTGTTTTTGTATGCAGTCTTTGAGATAAGGTCACTTCATTCCCCGATAATTGTCAAGGGCATTAATTTGTAGTAACGACTGCAATCAACTGGAGGCTAGTTCGGCTGTAAGGGTATGTTAGAAAAAGACGGGAGCAAAGGTTCCCTCTGAACATTTTATGGCATCTCGTTCCTGCAAGGAAATTGACACTTTTTAATGACATTCCGATGGATCGGCCGCTGATAGTCGCAATCTTACACCCGTACACCATAGCCATGGGGCATGGATAGGAGTTCAAATGGAGTCAAAACGTTTAGCAACTTCACTGAAAGTTTGCATTGTTTACAACAAAGGTTCATAGAATAGCTTATCTCGCCTAAAATAAAAAAGCAAGATAAACGTTTGACGTAGCTCTCAATATTAGTTCTCGGACATTCGGAAAATGCGTCGTTCCTTTTTTGACCGCGGACGCAACTGTCTTCATCTCCTATTCTCGAAGAAAAGTCAACCTTATCACAATCTCTTTTTTTTTTTTTTCGATTCCCGAATATTTTGTCAGAAGGAAAAAACAGGCTCCTTCTACATCGTCTAGGATCGGAACAATCTTATCCGCAAAGGTAGTCACACATTTACCACATTTAGTTCTTTCCCCTACTTTTCCGGATCAGCCGATGCTAGTCATATCTTCTGATTAGCTGTTTTACTAAAAGAGATTTCCATCCAGACATCAGGAGAATATATCACAAGCAAACCCGCTTGATCTTTGAACGTTACAGCAGGTTTCTATCTTTAGATCTACTATCACCCTTTCCACCCACCTTTCACCGATAAGGAATTTACCCATGCCCCAAAAGAGAGAAGCAGCAAAATTAAATTAACGAAAGAATATGCTCACCACAAAGAAAACACCAGTGCTCGAAGGAGGCTTCGAGATACCTCTGGAAATGACATCTTTAGATCTGGAAAGCGGCTTTAAAGATGCATGCGTGCCCTTCAGCTCCATACAGAATGAAACTCTGGAGGAAAGTGAAGACAGCTCCAGTGCACGCTTCGACTCGTCTCTGGCAAACGACATCCACCGCCTTTCGTACTCTTCCCCTTCTGTCACATCTTCCAACGATTCTGATGCTTTGAAGGTGGATAGCCACAAGTCCCTTTTCCCTGTTTCGTTAGATGAATCTCCCGAATCGAGCACACGCTCGATACATGACCAGGTCGAGTTCGCTGCGCAAGAGAGCTACTTGCTGTTTTTGGAACCACTCCCGGTGTCTCCTCCTCTTTACAGCACGCTTCCGCCTGGTGGAGCACCAAAGTTTCATGTGATGGATAAGCTTTCGAATAACGAATCTCTTCCCTCTTATTCGCCTGCAGCCTACAAGATTGGTGTGGCGTGTAGGAAACTTGAGTGGCTTTCGCCGTACGAATCGTCACTGAACCGTTCGTGGAGAAACGTTGTGGTTGAACTCAACTCCACACAACTCAACATTTATCAGATCCCCAGTGTTTGGGAGTATTCTCTCTTGAACTTTCACGAAGATACGACGGTCGACAATTTCGTCTCGCCTGGTCATACGGAAGATGAACGGTTGATGTCGCTTGTGACCACAAACCAAGACAAGCAATTTCGAAGGCTTTGCGATAGCCTCGGGTTTTTCAAACCTCATGGATCAGACCCCAAGTGTGAGGAACTTCGGTCCAAGCTTTTGAACAGTAAGGCATTAAAGTCCCAAGGGCAAACAAAGTTGCTACGTTCTTATTCGTTACAACATGCCAGAATGGGCTTGGCCTCGGACTACACGAAGAAACCTAATGTTCTTAGATTGCGAGTGGAAAGTGAACAATTTCTCTTGAACTTTTCAACGCCCAAAGAATTAATCGAGTGGAACTTGGGTTTATCTGTTGGCCGTGATGTGGCTCTAGATATCGAGCAAAGAGAAGATCCGCGGTATAGAACAGTTCCGAGAAGAAGACGAACAGCTATGAGTGGGAGCTCCTTCTATTTCGATGTTGTCTCCAGAAGAAATAGAGCACAGTCCGATTCCTTCTACGACAGCAAGAACCGTGGCATGCGGAACAAACTTTCAAAGCTCAAAGGAAAGCTCTCTTCTCAAACCAGCTTTTCAAACTTGAAGGGTTTATCTAGTACTTCAAAACAGACGCACGAAAACAATCTGTCGAAGGTTAAACACACATCTCCTCAACCACTTGCCAATAATTCCATTTCCCCTATATCTGTACAGCTGGATCTGAACAGAGCGAGGGCATACTCTGCGGTTTCCTTTTCGGTCGCCGCATATGAAGAAGATGATGATGAAATAAGAGATCCACATCTTTCTCCTGCAATGTCCCACTTGAATCAAGACAATGCTTACGATGATGAAGGCGAAGACGACATTCAAAACCTTAGTGATCTTCACCAGTCTGATGACGAAGAAGATTTTGAGCTCGAAATAGATGAGCTTCATGACGAAATGAATCCATTCCGCAGGCGTCGGAAAAATACTGTGAACAGTGCTTCTATGGATCATAAATGGAGGCCTTACAAGAAAACGGAGAGTCAGCGGAAGTTTATCCGTATTTGTCTCAAATGCATCAAGCCATTACAATTTGACGAGAGTTGGGTGAACAGACTTTTGGTAAAACCAGCATCCATTTCTCCCTTGAGTCTGGTTTACATTCGTAACATCTACTGTACTGGCCAAGAAAAACCATCGAATTCGTCTGTGATTGCAAACTTACCGGTTGGATCTGTTATGGATCTCACCAATCTCGGACATATTGGGTTCTCTCAAAAACGTTGCGGAGTCTCCAAACAGAATATTCTTTCCTTACCGGATGTTTCCTTGGGAAGGATGGCGAACCACAATGTAAAAGAGTATGTTGTTGGCTCGCACTCGCTTATCCCAAAGGATATTTAATGTGTGGGGTCAACTGTTTTCATGCTTGCTGTATTATCGAAATTATATTATATATACAAGGAATCACTGTTGCCCTCCCTGGCAACAGATGTTTGCCTGAAAAGTTAATTCTAATGAGCACAATTCAATTGATTCTGTCCTTCATCTTCCTTTGTATTTTCAAATCTAACGCCCTCTCCTCGAAGGCTTTTATCATTAGTTCACTGACATGACTCTGGAAAAGTGATGATACTGTATTGTAAACGGGATTCTTGAATTTGTATCTCAACAAGAGTTCCATATATGTGGACAGCTCATTGGTGAAGCGATTTTTAACCTCTTTGAAGTTCCACTCATTGTACAAGTGGTCAAATAACAGTATCGTGATGGACTCAGATATAACCTTCTTATCTTTCACACATGTAAGTTTGCAAGTAAACTTCTCGTCATATTGCTTCCACCCAACCCTGAGCCCGGCTTCCGTAGGTAGATTTGTCTCCTTCAGATACTCGTTGATGAAAGAATGGGTAACAAAAGGCACGAATTCGTGGTAAAGTGAGACATCCGAAACGATCTCAAAGAGCAAGCTTGGCGGCACATTGATCTTTTTGGAAACCTTATACGACTGCAGGGAAGTCTGGGCAAAGTTGAACAAAGACCGCCTGGAACTAATAAGTGGAGCTTTCAAAGATAACATGGCTAACTTGGCTAAACGAGAGTCATCTTAGCAAAATAGGCCTTCAATTTGCGTAACGATGCAGGTCCTGAGGTGTCCACAGATTATGAGAAGAAATTATAAAAAAAAGCTACGAAAAGCTTGATACGTTGAATTGTACATTTGCCGCAGTAACTTACCTATGTATAGACTTTGATTGATGGTGACACATTAAACAAGTAAGTTTAGTCAGCACGGGTGTAGATAGCTTGCTTGGAGTGCTTCAAGATTGGCTTGATGACACCATCAGTCTCCAATTGTCTCAAAGCAACTCTAGCCAAAGAACCACCGATCTTCAATCTGTCGACCAAGACAGAAACGGAAACGTACTTGAAGCCTGGAACTTCCTTCATGATTCTGTCGTACTTCTCTTGGTCCAAGATGACAACGTGCTGGGCCTTGTCCTTAACCTTACCCTTGTTCCACTTCTTCTTACCCTTCTTACCACCGGCCAAAGCAGCAGCAGCCTTGGCAGCCTTAGTTTGTTGAACCTTTGGAGCCATCTAAAAGGTGTTAGTAAAAACGTTTGAAAAGTATGATTGGCTGTTTCTATCAGTTGTCTTTTCTATGCGCTGCCATCTTCTTTCACTCTGAAGTAATATCAAAGAGTTCTTCATAGGCTTCATTAAAAAAAAAAATCAGGGGGAACAATGAGTTCGAATGGAAATTCAGTTGGATCAAATGAATGGAGGAGTTGTCATGATTTCGATAAAATGCTTTATCCTGATCGAGGTAGCCATATTTCAAGTCGATGGTACATACATTGAATTACTGTTCTTGATGAATCAAAAAAAGTTCCTACCACGAGAATTTTTCTTCTTTTTTTCAGGCCGAGTGCTCACCACTTTGAGGCACGTGACTTTCTCTTTAGCACTACACTCACTAGTTAAGCGTCGCACACACAGGTTTGGTCCCGTTTGTTCTGCATACGGCACTCTATTGCAACTGTTTGCGCTCACGCCTATACGTGACTACGATTTTTATGCACGTGCAATGGCCCTCCCTCATTAGGGCCACAACCCTAGTGTACATCATCTAATAATCGCGGCCAATGTACAAGTACTAACGTTAAAACCCAGTCGAAGATGGCAAAGAGAGGTGCCGAAGAGCAAATCACAAAAGACACTTTTGGCGCATCCAGCGATGACGAAAGAGAATCTTCACGACCCACTTTTGCCTCTGAAGAAGTCTTGTCGAAAAGGAAGATCTTGAAGCCCAGAGGCCGAAATTTCTCCTTCAAAACAGACACCGCTGCAGTGGCGGAGAAGCCATCCTTTGGGGTTAAACCCTTTGCTATCAGCAAGCCTCTGGATGATAATAAAGCAGCAAAATTGAAGGCTCTTGGTCAAAAGTTTGTGGAATCTGTGAATGCCGTTAATGTCAATCAGCAAATCCCAGACTTTAGATCGATTGCCAAAAAATACATAGAGTACTACGAATCCGTTGATTCGGGTAAGTCTACAGAATCAAAGCCTGCTCCTGTCTCTTACACCTTTGGCAAGAGTACGCCGCCTGCTCTTTCAACACAAAAGGAGGAGAAAGAGGACATCCAAGCCCCAAAAAACCCGTTCGCAAACATCAAGACGAGTGGAAACACTGTGCCACCTGCACTGGAAAACGGCAATGCTGCAAGTCAAAATAAGAAATCGAAAAGTTCATCTGACAGTGAGGGAGAAGAGAGCGAAGATGAGAAGAAGCCAGTCGTCATCAAGGGCCCTACTTTCACTTTGTCTGAGAAGCCCACTGTTAAAAAATCGCCCTTTTCCTTTGGGCCTAAGGCGGCAAAGAAGCCCTCAAGTGACTCGGATTCAGATTCCGACATTGAGATCAAAGGGCCCACTTTTACATTCAACAAGACTATCGCCGATCCTGTTTTCAAAGTTGGAGCCGCAAAGTCACAAGGTGCAGACAGTAAGCAAACTGGTTTTTCCTTTGGCTCATCTTCTGACAACAAAGACAACCTGAAAGATCTGGAAGACAAGTCGGAGAAATCAAAAGACAATTCATCAGGGAAGTTCAGTTTTGGAAACAGTTCCAGTACACTGACTTCAGAAAGTGCTCCAAAACCGGCTTTTCTGTTTGGTGCTAAATCTGCAGAAACTGCTGAGAGCAAACCTGTCGGAGAGAAGCCTGCTTTCCTGTTTGGATCTAAGCCAGAGACAACCGAAAATAAGCCTGCTTTCCTGTTTGGATCTAAACCAGCGACAACAGAGAATAAGCCTGCCTTCCTGTTTGGATCTAAACCAGAGACTACTGAAAATAAGCTTGCATTCCTGTTCGGATCTAAACCTGATGTGACTGATAGCAAACCTGCTTTTCTGTTCGGAAACAAGACTGCTGATAGTACGGGTAAGCCAGCATTTCTGTTTTCAGCTAAGCCAAATGAGGATTCCGAAAACAAGCCTTCGATCCTGTTTGGAACAACAAATGGTTCAAAGCCAGCGGAGACTGGTGAAAGCAAGCCAGCATTTCTGTTTGGATCAAAACCAACAGAAAATACCGAAAGCAAACCAGCTTTCCTGTTTGGATCTAAGTCCGCAGAAACCAACGAAAGCAAACCAGCTTTCCTGTTTGGATCAAAGTCAGTGACCGGCGAACCCACACCTGCTTTTCTGTTTGGGTCCAAGACTTCTGAAACCCCCGAGAGCAAACCGGCATTTCTGTTTGGAACTACACCTAGTACCGAAATAAAACAGGGTGAAACAAAACCAGCATTCTCCTTTGGGTCTAGTCAAGGAAAGGATTCTTTCTCAAGCTCATCCACAGGATTTTCGTTCGGTTCTGGGGCTACATTCAACACGTCAAAGGCTAATACTGCTTCTGCGACAGGTTCGCATGAGGTTGCCCAAAAACCATTGTCGTTCGGTTTTAGCAAGCCTGCTGAAGGAGAGTCCGAGCTGAAGGAAACAAAAGAGTCCGAGGAAAAAGTCGAAGAAGAAGATACTGGTGCTGAATTTGCACCTATTGCATCCCTTGGTTCTCAGGAAGTGACAAATACAGGGGAAGAAGATGAGAATGTTGTTTACCAGCGTAAATCGAAGTTAATGTTGTATGATCCCGAAAACAAAGAGTCGCCATACAAGAACATGGGTGTTGGTGAGCTCAAATTGTTGAGCAAGAAAGACGGCTCTAGCTCTAGAATTTTGGTGCGAGCAGATGGAGGTTTGAGAGTGCTTTTGAACATCTTAGTTTTGAAAGATGTTTCTTACGCTACAATGGGTAATGGATCTTTGGTGAGAGCTCCAGCTGTTAATTCCGAAGGTAAAATTGAAACGTACGTTCTTAAAGTGAAGACCCCAGCGGACGGGAAGGAACTCTGTGATGCGTTGAACCAAATTAAAAACTCCTAAGTCGTGCTGAGAAAGAATCATTGTTTGACTGATTAATACCTATATAGTCATTAAATCATGCACCAAGTTGATAAAATCATCCAGATCTCCAACTTTGATGTGCTTTTGCGACGTGTGCTGTTCAAGCATGTCCATTATTTCGCTTCGAGAACCAAACAACTTGTGTGACATCACCTTCAATGTTGCCAATAATGTTGCTATTAGAAAGCTATCCCCTTCGAAAAGCCAAATGTCCAATATATGCATGCATAAATCGAAATTGAAGAAAGAAGTAAACATCCCAATGATGATAGATGGGGCGTACTCAATAGTCAGTACCTTTTTGGATTCTAAATGCGCACTCAAACTAGGGCATAGTTTTGTAAGGCGTTGCAGGAACTTTTCAAAAATAGAGAGTTTCGCAAGTGGAGACGAATTTAAATCCTTCCAATATAAACCCTCTTGTTTCGATCTCATGATCTTGGATATTAGGTTATCACTAGAATAAACAATGCAAAGTGTTCTGAAAACCATATACTTATCCAAGTAAATAGAGTAGAGTAAAGCTGTCAAGTTAGGAATACCAGGGCAATACGAGTTGCATAGAATTTTTGAGGACTCAATTTGGTTTTCATTCATGCCAGATGCAAATTTGTCTCTGGAATATAGGAGAAACGATATTATTGTCTCACGAAGATCTCTTGCAACTAAAGTTTCCTGGAATATTCCCTTCTCTGTGAACGTATTTAGTAAATCCGAATCAATGGTTTCTAATAATTTCAGAAATATGTTGGTTTCCGATTGCACCTTGGTGTTGCGAATAACGAATGTGCTAGACTTGTAGAAATACTTCGAGCACGTTTCATTTGATATCTTCTTTTCAGGTTCAAGAAGGGCGCTCCACGCATAGGCTCTTTTGAAATTTGGAATACCACGCCAATACATATCACGACCTTCAGCCGTGCTTTTCAACATTCTGATTTGTGTCTCATCAAGAAGCCTCCACATCTGAGAGTCTGCAGACTTTAACTTTTTCAATGTCTCAATTTTTTTTAGCTTCTTGGAAATAATTTTGTCTTGTTTAGACAACGCGTGGTATATTCTGTCCTCTGATTCTTTTTGATGTCTAACTTTATCGTATGATGATTTAGGGGGAAGCCATGACGGTCTTGTGCTCAGATAATATCTCGAAAAATTAGTCTTCGACCTAGCCCCGCTTGAATGATTTCTAGGACAGTTTTGGTCCCCTACGGGTGACTGTAAGGACACATTTGGGCAATTGACTTCGAGAAACTGGTTAAGCATTTTCTTTCGCTCTCTAGCTTCCTGTATCATTTTGTATTTTTCATCCGTTCCCAAGTTCAAGCTTATTTCCAACGCATCTTGAGAAAGGTTTCTTTCACTGAATCGCGCATCATTGAGAGCCAGCTTAGGGCAGCTATCATTACTACCAGAAGAGCATAAGGAGTTTGCACTTGCAGAGCTAAATATTGAGGAGCATCTGGTGGATTCGGTAGTAAAGGACAGGCCACGTTCATATTGAAATGGCAACTTTTTCAACTTGATCATATTCTCTATAGGAACGCTTATAGGGACGTTGAACATATCAACGTGATAGTCAATTTCCTCATCATCAGAATCGAGGTCAAGTTCTTCTCTGGTATCATTAGCTGACTTGAATTGGCGTTGAGCTATCCGATCATTCATAAGTTGTTTTCTCATTTGTAATCTTTGCGAAGGAGTTAGGTAAGTTGGAGTTCTCTCGATTGAAACAATTACCTTACCGCTCGATTCATATTTATGAGAGGCTCTTCCTTTGATGCTTGGGGCGGTTCCGATGTTATTGATACATGTTCCTTGTGAAGGCTGCAGTAGCAGTATCTCATCCATCATACCATGTGGCATAGTACCAGTTTTCATAGCTGGCTGTCTGGAAGAGCAGTTCATGACGATGGTCTAGCTACCTGTGTAAACAATCGGAAATGAGTAAGTCAAAATATGTAAACGTTCGAGTATGTAAGAAGGCAAGCGAAGGAAACAACGTCAAATGAAGGAAAGCAGAGGTTATGTACCCGAAGGTTTGAAACAATATACGAGAAGAGCGTGTTCTATAATACTGTGCAGGGTATGTTTTGTCATTTTAAAGGAGCGTACTGAATGCAAAATGAAAACACGCGTTTCTGCATTTCTAGATCTTCTGGGTCGCGCACCTCCACAAAGTACGAAAGTACGAAAGTCATGTTATTTACAAGAGTATTGAAATTATAAATAGGTCTGCATCTAGGAAGGATGCTGCGTCTCGTTACTTCTTTGGTTCATCCTTGAAATTGAAGAATTTACCAAGCATTTTTCCAATTCGGTGCAACTTGGATGGATGTAAATCTTTCTCGTCAATAGTCTCAGTAGAGCCATCTTCTTCCATATCTAGTTTCCAGTCTGCGTGCGTCCGTTTGGCATTTTTGTCGTTGAAGGCGTCTGCCAAAGCTTCCAATAGCGCAGTCTGCACTGGCGTTTCAGGAACCAATGTCTTCACGTTCAAAATAATGTCCATGTCGCCTCTATTATTCATATTTCTGTTGATTGGCACACCTTTCTCTGGGATGGTTAATTTTCTTCCTGTCTGTACACCAGGTCTCACCTTGAGTTTGATATTCTGGCCATCGATAGTAGGCACGACGATTTCACCACCCAAAGCAGCAGTGGTCATTGGGATGTCTTGCTTCAAGATGATGTTGTTCTTGGAACGCTCGAAAAGCGGGTCTTTCTTGACGTGGACTCTGACGATCAAATCACCATTTCTAGTCTGGTTGTAGGGATCTTTTGTGACAAATGGCGCATCACCTCCTCCGGGAACTCTCAATCTAGTTCCATCCGCAATTCCGCATGGCAAATCAATTTTGTTAGATTTGGGTGCCTCTTCAACTCCATTTCCATGACAGGTGTTACATTGGTCAGCTTTGTTGATTGTCACACCGGATCCATGACAGGTGTTACATGTGGAGGCCATATGGAAACCACCAATAATATGTGTACTTTGGCCAGTTCCATGGCAGGAAGGACAAGTGGATTTCTTTTTGCCTTGTTTTAACCCAGATCCCGAACATGTGTGACAAGTATCTACCGCTTTATAGTTCACATCAACACTAGTACCAAAAATAGCTTCCTTGAAAGAAATCGTCTTCAACACTTCAATGTTGTCACCAACGTGTTCAGTTACAAAAGAACCCTGTCCTCTTCCACCCCTTCCGTTGCCTCCGCCACCGTTGAAAGCCTGTTTGAACAAATCTTCGAAATCAAATCCCATTCCTGAGAATGGGTTACCCTGTGCACCTCCAAAAGGATTTCCTGAATGTCCTCCAAAAGGATTACCTCCACCGAAAGGATTGGCATTACCGTTTGAATCAAATCCAGCGGCACCAAACTGATCATATTGGGCTCTCTTCTCCTTGTCGTTCAACAACTCATATGATTCTTGGATCTTATGGAATCTCTTCTCTGCATCCTTCTCTTTGTTGACGTCTGGGTGGTACTTTTTTACAAGCTGATAGTATGCTTTCTTAATATCAGAAGCACTGGCGCTCTTGTCGACTCCGAGAGTTTTGTAAGGATCGAAATCAATCAATGATCTCGTTGAAGCATTAAAGAGTCTCGCAGAAACTCTTGTATAATAGACACTGCCAGGCCGGAGTACCCTTGGGCATTTGTATATCGATGCAAACATTGTGGAGAGATTTTAGTTAGTATGAGACCGATGTACTATTTTCTATATATGTTTCGCACTCAAGAATTTTTCTAGAACAATCATTAGTTGCACGTGATCACAGGTCTCTATGGCTACAACGGTTTCTTGCAGTTAGCACAAATATGTAATACTTCCACTCCTATACATGTTCACAAGTGATGAATAAATCTCTAGAACTTCTTGTCCCAAGAGTCCAACTTCATTGTTCCGTTATCTTGGAAGTTTAAGTGCATCTTGAAGGCGTCTCTCAAGATATGTGGTTCGTGCAAGCACTTAGCCTTTTGAGCATAGAAACATGCTCTGTCAAAGTACTCCTTCAACTGGTCCTTGTAGTCTGGGTGAGCACACTTGTTGATAATCTCAATAGCTCTTTCCTTAGGTGCCAATCCTCTCAAATCAGCCAAACCTTGTTCAGTGACGATAACGTCCAAATCATGTTCAGTCTGGTCAACATGAGGAGAGAATGGAACAATACAAGAAAGGCCAGTAGGGTCAGTTTTGGATGGTCTGGAAGATGGTGTGTGCATAATGGACAACTTAGCATTTCTCAAGAAGTCTGCAGATCCACCCAAACCGTTCAACATTCTAGATCCCATGACGTTGGTAGAATTAGCGTGAGCGTAAATGTCAACCTCGACAGGAGTGTTCATAGCGATAACACCTAATCTTCTGATGATTTCTGGAGAGTTAGACACCACTTGAGATCTCAAGCAAATCTTCTTGGAAAATTCATCCCAGTTGTGATCGAATCTTTCGAAACCTGCCTCCGTCAATCTAATGGAGGTAGCAGTTGCGTAATCAAGAGAACCAGATTCGAGGAAATCGAGGAAAGAATCTTGCAAGACCTCGGTCCAGACAGTCAAATTCTTGAAGTTCGACTCAGACAAACCTTCAACAACTGCGTTAGCAATGTTACCAATTCCCGATTGTAATGGATGCAAATTTGCAGGCAAACGACCCATCTTGACCTCGTGTTCCAAGAAATCAATCAAATGGGCGGCAATTTGTCTTGATGTTGCATCAGACGGCGTGTTAGGAGGAACCTTATCACGTGTGGTGGATTCCACAATAGCCACAACCTTAGAAGGATCAATTGGAATAGAGTCAAGACCAACCTTGTAGTCCACTGTTGTGTGTGGGTACGGTTGTCTAAATGGTGGGTTGACTGGCATGTCAATGTCATGCATTCCCTCGAAAGATGGGGTGGCCGTGTTGACCTCAATGATAACCTTGTCAGACACTGAAAGCATTTCTGGAGACCCACCAACAGCAGGACCAGGAACTATAGAACCATCTTCCTTGATGGCCGTTGCTTCAATGATAGTATAATCAAGCAAATCGTTCTCTTTGTTTTTGGTATAGTATCCGTAAGTCAAATCCTGAGGGAACATGGATAAATGCTTGTCGAAAAACAAAGTTCTTCCATCGTTGATAGCCTTGGCGATAGGCTTTCCGACTTGATGTGGCGATCTACGCAAGATCATATCATGTTCCGCCCATCTCGATTCTTCCGGACCGGCCGAAGCACCAACAAACAAATTGAATGCAAACTTACCTTGCAAGTCATTTTTCTCGACGTGGTCAACCAAAGTCAGCGGAATAACTTTGGGTGCACCGACACCTGTAAAGCCGGACCAACCGAGGTACTGTCCATGTTTGAATAATTCAATACATTCCTCAGGCTTTCTCAACTTTTTCAAGTAAGGGGCGTATCTGACTCTTTGTTTCAAGATGCTTGACATTTTTCACAAACAAGAAATTGAGTGAACAGAAATGGAAAAGTCGCAATGACAATAGCGGGGAGGGAGGGGAGAGTCGTAAAGGTGCAGGCTCGTTTAAATAAACCAAATGCGGAGATTTTGGGTTCTCAACAAATATAATATTCTATTGGTGTTGTTTCCTCGCGAGCTCTCAAAGGGGAGGAACTTAGTATGTGGTATAAAACGGGTGCGTTTTTCGAGGAGATTTGTCTCACGAGCGTGCCAGACGTGTATTTATACTCCGGAAAGTGGCCTTTTCCGAAGCTAATATGCATTCCTGCACAATGTCTTACGGTCTTACGGACAGATATAACGTTACGAGACGTAAGTGTTCTGCAGTATTCATATATATACGACTACGGAAGTTTTGTGTTGACGATTTAGTATGATGTCCTGTTTAAATCTCTGTCTTGGGCCATGTTGGTATACGTTTCGTTAGATTAGATCCGGACTCTGCGGAACCGCGCATCCTCTCGGCGATTTGACCCGAGATTTGAGCGAATCACAGGCCTCCATGCACCTCCTATGTTTATTGTCCTGTACAATATTATCAATTGTGGGGCATATTTTTTTCATTTGTGGGGCACTTTCCGGGGTATAATTTTCAGACAACCGGACTTTTCACCGCTCCGAATGGACAAAATCTACTATCTGCTTTTTCTACTCCCAGTTTACTTCTTGATTTTATTTTTTTTCGTTGTAGAAATGATTATACGGTCGTACTGAGGTCATTGCTTACTTTCTTGATCTTTTGAAGGGCTTATGGCCGAACCCTTCTAATTAAGTGCATCCGGATTGGCTCGCGAACATCGTAGTGCATATCCACGGAACCGATATGCAGTATATGCTCTTAGAAATCCAGATTATAGGTAACATTTCGGAAAGCAAATTAACTATTGAATTCTGTATTCTATGGATACTTACTCGTGTACTTACTGTATGAAAGAATTGGATCAGCGAACGATCTTCCCAAAATTCCCGAACAACCTCCTGATTGGATGATACGCACTACCCACATGCGCATACGAAGTCCGATTTTTAATTACTCAATGATCGCAAAATAGAATATTCTGTCGTAACTTTGTCTCTATTCCCTTCTTCTGCATTATTCTCGAATGCGTTCCTGAATTTTTTTTCCTTTCCATTGAGCAAGGTAAGGAGAGTAGGCAATTGGGGTCTCGCGCTAGCTTGAAGACGCATACGTTCACTTATTCTTGGCACTACATTCTATAACTGCGTCACTTTTGGTCTACGGCCCACCACAAACTACTCCGGACAATGAGAAAAAAATTTCAGTCATCATAATAAAATGAACTTAGTACAAGAAGGACATCGAGTACGAATTAAGTTTTTGGATTCTTATATTTCTCTCTAATGTATTCTTTCTAGCGACCCATCATATGTAATGCAAAGAAGAAATGGCGCTCAAGGTAGTCACGAGTGTTAAAAATCGTTTCATTCTCGAGTGAAAACGCTTCTGTCCAGTGAACAATTCACATCGATATGCAACCATGACCATCGTGAATTGATTCACATCATAAATAGTGTGCTTACTCCAAGCCTGTTTTCATGTTCATCAATTCAACTCTTCGGGCTTTGAAGATGCTACTCTTTGCAACATCATCAATTGGCTCCAACTCTGGATCTGCGGAACTTGAGATATTCGCTGTAATCCTTTCTCTCATTCGATGATAGTTCACCACTACCTCTTCATCAATTACAGATTGTTGGATTAAATCGTTTCCGAAGAAATCGACAGACTCGTCAGAGAAATCTCCATCATTCTCCACTATGAATTCACTCAAAATTTGGTCATCATCGTCCTCATCACTTTCAACGCCATATCCATGAGGTTCAATTGCATTTAAAGTCTCATCAAAGGTGGAATCCGCATCTTTCTTCTTTGGTTTTAAAGGTTTATTTTCCATGGACTTTTCTCCTTTGGACATCAGCTCAACAATTCGATTCAATTTCTCAAAATCTTCTATTTTATCTACTATTGGTCCCAGGACTTCCATATCATCATCAAACATACCAACATTATAAGCCTGAACCATGCTATCCATATCATCCTGTAACTGGCTGGTATCAATATTCAATTGTTTGACTTCAACGTCTTTTTTAGTGTTCGACTCATCCTGAACGCTCACTTCTTCTTCCACTTGAGTGTTATGACTATTCATTCCTTCAATGGCATTTTCATCCCGTTCTCTTTCTTCAATGTTTTGTATTGAGTTGATGGTCTTCATAATATCATCTCGTGTCTCTTCGGACAGACGTATTTCTTGAGGTGGTTTGATTATCTCGACATCATTTAGGGGCTTGAACTGTCTTGACGGATTCTGTATCATCATTTGTTTAAACTTCGATCTCTTTTGCTTCCTTTCGTCCTTTATTAATTTGCTTCTGAGATTCTCAAATTCCTGCTCATCACCTTCGATGCTACCTGCTTCTCTTCTATTGAAAGTGCCCTGACCCCCATCAGCAGAAGCTATGTCTTTGATGAATGAGACCTTTTCCGAAGAGCCACTCTCGTTCACGGTACAGCCCTCTGTTTCTAACAATTCCTTTTCCGTTGCGGTATCACTGCATTCTGCAATACCTTCTGTCATTGACCTTTCATGTTCTATGGCATTATCATTCACGACATTATCGCGCTCAAAAATTGTGTCAACCATAGGGTTTTCACGCTCAACCACAAGATGAACCATAGGGCTTTCACGCTCAACCACAGGATCAACCATAGGGCTTTCATGCTCAACCACAAGATCAGCCACAGGGCTTTCATGCTCAACCACAAGATCAGCCACAGGGCTTTCATGCTCAACCACAAGATCAGCCACAGGGCTTTCATGCTCAATTACGACATCAGACACGGGACCTTCGCGTTCAAAGATATCTTGAGTGACAGTGATTTCCTCATGTTCGCCTGAATGAATAGATTTAATCTCAGATGGCGGTATAGCATTGTAGCTTGTCTCAAAAATGGCTTTGTCTGTGTTATTACGTTTGACCTCAGAATTAGATGCAGCAAGAATTCTATTCTCCTTGAATTTCAGAATGGACTGTTTATGATGTTCCACCTTTGCTAAGGATTCGCTGACATCTTCGATCTCCCTGATATCAAGCTTCTCGCTGAAGCGTACAGATTTAGGTACTTTAGTGCTTTGAATCTCTTTGTTTGAAATCTCTTTAATTAGAGTCTCTTTGTTTTGAAATTCGTGCTCATGAGCATCCCGTCCTTGTTCTCTTAGAGACTGGATATCTGCCCAAAGGCGGTTTTGTAGGACAGAATCTTTAGGCAAAAGAGAAAAACCTCCGTTGTACAATAAATCATCTGCTGGGTCTTCCTCTTCGCTCGTGGTCATATTTTCGTCAGCACTGTCAAAGTCGAATTCCAACTCCTCGTCTTCAATTGAGCCATCATTCTCTTCAAACTCGCTTGCAATCAATTCTAACTCATAGATTTGCTGATTTTCTAACCCTCTGCGGGATTGTTGTTGTTGTCCTTCTTGTTCTTGATGTCCTTGTAAATGTTGTTGCTCTTGTTGTTCTTGTTGTTCTGGTTTTTCATGTTGGCCTTGATGCTTTTGATGATCTTGCTGTCCTTGTTGAGTTGAATTTGCACCTCTGCTTTCTCCATTTGAACCACTGTTAACAACCAGTTTTAATGCTTCCATGTGCTCGGCACTGATATCTGTTTTCTCAATTAACTCAACAACTTTGTGGAGGCTATTACTTTGTTCCTTAAAGTCCAAAAGTTCCATGTCATCGATAAGTTCTTGTATTTGTGAGTTTACTTCATCATTGTGAGCTTGATCCTCTGTGAAGCCCAGATTCATCCCCGACTCTTGTTGACGAGTGGCTTTAGTTGCGTTTTTCGACTCTATACTCTCGAACTCAGAAGTAGCAATATCTTCACCGTATGGTTTTTCGTTGTTCAACTGTTTGGTTTTGCTTGTGTCCTGGGCGTCGCCATGAGGCAAGGACTGAATTCCGTCCAAATTTGACCCAATTGAAGCAGCTTCTTGTTCTATCTTTTCATTATTCAAAGTCACACTAATCACATTTCCATCCTCGTCAATTTCCTCTTGAATATCCATTATCGGTAGGTCATCTGTAACTGCATTTTTCGACTCTTTTGAGCTGAGTTCAATCAAACTTTGCAAATTTTTAAGAGTTTCTCCTCCAGTCTTCAAGTTCTTTCTCATCAGATTTAAAGTGCTTTGCAACTTATTGATTCGACGATCAAGAAACCGTAGGGCATCATCCTTTGACTTCTCCATCCAATACTCAGCTCCCAAGTGGATCATTACAGTATCTTCATTACCATCCCCTTTCTCCTCTAAATCGAGTTTAACTTTATGAAGGCTTTGAAGTTCTTCTTGATGTAGTTGACTTTCCTTTTCCAACTTTGTAAGCGAGAGGTTTAGGATCTCTTCCATGGATAGATCCAGGTCCATGATATGAATGATTTATTGAATGAAAATTACTGCGCATCTCTATCGCGCAATACGCCATCGTAGTTGCCATTGAACATATATGAATTTTTTAAGCTTTAACAATGACGTGGAGTCAGTGACACTATAGGTTACCTTAGGTTGGGTTACTTATCTTCCTTCTTTATGTTGCTCTAAGATTATCGTCTTTATTTTTTTTTTTTGCATAATTTTGTCGTATTGGTGTTAGATGAGGTAAGAATTGTGAACTAAAACTAAAACTCTTACATAAAAAACATAAAACCATATCAAATTCATTAAAAACCTTCCAGAATATCAACACAGTTCCTGGGCCTTAGTGTATACGTTTGTTCTTGTTTTTTTTTTTTTTTTTTTTTTTTTTTTTTCGTATAATCAAAGGTAAACATTTACCAATCTTCAATTAAGCGCTTTTGTACTGCACCGGCAGTTTCAACACGTCTATTTGGACGAGATGAGAACTGCACAACTAAAACTAACACCAGACATGTCTCCCACACCATTAGAAATTAAGACGAAGGCAGTTCAAAGATTATTGAAAGAGGAACAATTGTATTTGAAAGAAATATCTGAACAAGAGGAACAGTTACAGCAAATGAGAGCGTCCGATACTGATGAGTACGAAATTAAGAAGTACGAAAAGGTACTTGACGAGTCCAAAAGAATGGTCCCCGAATTGAAGAAAAAAATCCAGGAGCATGCAAAGGGACTCAAGTCATATATTGAAGACTACAAGGGTGATGAAGACACTAGTGATCTGAAAGCTCTTCTTCAAAAATGTGGCATTTAATGAGATTCATTATGTCTATTTCCTACCATCCCGTTTCTATACCTTGGTCATCCTCGACTTCCCTCAGTTGCCTAAAACTGTCAATCATATCCTGATCTTCTTTTTGCTCCTTTTCATCATACCATTCTTTATTTTCAATCCACCTTTCGTGAATACTAACATCATCATCATCCATACCCCAACCATTCCTTGTAGCTTCATTCCATATGGAATCTCCCCCCACCTCCGAGCTTCCGAAGCTATATCCATTTGCTTTGTCAATAATTTGTAGTAAGTGAATCATAGATCTTTTATTTTCCACGGACAACACTTCAAACGATACGAGTCCGTATTGCTCAATAATATCACCGATCATTTCTGTAAGCCTAACAAAATTTCGTCCCAAGAGCGATGGTGATTCCTTTTCCAACATTGGAGTTAAGAATTTGAGATCTTGAACTTCTGTATAGAATTCCAACCTCATTGGAAGTGGCCCATATGATTTTAGCATATCAATTTTTGAAATCACATTTACATGTGGAAGGTCAAGCTGAAGCATCGACCGTAAACTGAGTAGGAGAACAGAGATATATTGGGACGGGCTGGTTAGATAGATGGAGTCCACAAGAGATACAACGCATAAGCGAGCATCAATTTCTTTAGCCAACTTCTTAAAAATTCTGAAAAGGGAATTATGATGTGTGAATAGTTCCACTTGACCAGGACAATCAAAAATCAAATAGTTATGCTGGTTACCGAGCTTTTGTATGTCCTTTAATAGAACATCAATGCCATTTTCATCTATACTTTCTAAAGCATACATGAGTCCACCATTTGGGCCTAGGTTATGCTCTTGCATAACTTCTTCAATGGTTATGTAGTCCCGGATGTCGAAAGCGCAGTTAGGGTATGGTTGCCTCTCGTTTGCTGGATCAAGATTGATGATACAGCATTTACGACCAATCGCAGAAAGAAACTGATACATACCATAGCAATAAGTTGATTTACCAGATCCTGGCGGCCCTATTACGATTTGTCCAAACATTAACCTCTTTAGACTTGAATCAAAGTGAATCAAGTGGATGATGATTATTTTGGTTGATGCACTACACATTGAAGGCGAATTTCTAAAACTCACTTTCGAGGCATATTAAGTTACACCTAAAGTTGAATCATAATGCCTGCACCCACAGATGATTCATTGTTCTTGAAAAAGACAGTCACAGTTTCGCCCTTAGTGCTCTTGTCAGTTGTTGATCATTTCAATAGGGTTGCTAAAGACAGCAAGAAACGGGTTGTTGGTGTCCTATTGGGAGACAACTCCTCTGACATCATAAAAGTCACCAATTCTTTTGCCATTCCTTTTGAAGAGGATGAAAAGAACTCTTCTGTTTGGTTTTTAGATCATAACTTCATCGAATCAATGGGTGAAATGTTCAAGAAAATTAATGCTAAAGAGAAATTGATAGGCTGGTACCATTCTGGTCCCAAGTTGAAGGGATCTGATTTGAAAATTAACGATGTATTCAAAAGGTACACTTCCAATCCTTTACTTGTGATTGTGGACGTTCAACCTCGAACAGTTGGTATCCCAACTGATGCTTATTTTGCCGTCGATGATATAAAGCATGATGGCTCTAAGGCAGAAAGAACCTTCGTACACATTCCATCTTCAATTGAAGCCGAGGAAGCCGAGGAAATAGGTGTGGAACACTTATTGCGGGACATCAGAGATCAGGCTGCGGGCAACTTGTCCTTGAGGGTTACCCAAACATATCAATCTTTGTTGGGCTTACACCAAAAATTAAGGGAAATCGCAACATATCTCGAGAAAGTGTATGCAAGAAAACTACCAATGAATCACTCCATCCTTGGAAAATTACAAAATGTTTTCAACTTGTTACCCAATTTGACTTACGGCGCAACTGAGGTCGATGATATTACGAAAGCGGTACGTGCAGATAACGTTGAGCATTCCTCAAATCCTTTGGCCACAGGTTTCACTGTAAAGACAAACGACGAAATGATGATGGTATATGTGAGTACCTTAGTGAGATCGATTATTGCCTTTCATGATTTAATTGAAAATAAATTAGAGAACAAAAAAGTTCACGAGAAACGACAAGAGTCAAACGCGGAGGATGTTGAGGTCGAAGTTCGCGATTGATCAAGCTTATGGGGATAGTTTATAGTCGTGCACTTTTAGCCACACAAAATATATCCGAAATTTAGAAGAGTGTTCATCGAAGTACAGGTAGAATGTCAGCTAGGTTGGCCATAATCCCGAGGGTTCACTTCACGCCAAGCCTAAACTATTTCTACAATAATTCCAATAAGTTACTAAAACTTGAGAGAGGTTTCATTCTGAATCAATTTTTATCCCTGCGAAGAAAGCACATACCTGCTGAACGGATCGCCGAACCCGCCCATCTAGTATATGAAGACAAAAAGGCAACCTCATTCGGTGAAGTTGCAACGAAGGTTTTAAGCTGTCAGGACTCTGATGCTAGGCTGTCGCAGAAGTTGACCGACCCCACGAATACGAAACAGACAATTCCTTTTCCGATCAAACCCAAAGCAAACACGAACCAGAAGAAGATCAGAAAATCCAAAGGCTTGCTTAATCCATATGTAAAATTAACAAAGCCCAACTTAACAGTTTTGGTAACATTAAGTTCGATCTGCTCTTATGCAATTTCCCCAAACTCTGTGTCCATTACCGAGCTTGCTTTTCTAACACTCGGAACAGCTTTATGTTCGGGCTCTGCCAATGCGATAAATATGGGTAGAGAACCGGAGTTTGATAAAAGGATGATGCGAACTTCCATGAGACCTGTAGTTACAGGTTTGGTGACGCCGAGACAAGCGTACCAATTTGCTCTAGTAACGGGCGCCATAGGTTGCACAATTTTGTGCTTTGGCGTCAATCCTACTGTGTCATTATTGGGCTTCTTGAACATAGGCCTCTATGCATGGATTTATACGTCGTTGAAACGACGTTCAATTGTCAACACATGGGTGGGTGCGGTTGTGGGAGCTATACCACCCCTTATGGGTTGGGCTGCTTCTTCATCTCTCACTCATCCTGGAAGCTGGTGCTTGGCAGCCCTTTTGTATGCATGGCAATTTCCCCATTTCAATGCACTCTCTCACAATATTGCGGAACAGTATAAAAGCGCAGGGTACGTGATGGCTGCTGCAGAAAACCCGAAATTAAATGCTAGAGTTGCATTACGATACTCTCTTCTCATGTTCCCAATTTGCTTCGGTTTAAGTTATTACGGTGTCACAGATTGGTATTTCCAAATTGATTCTGCCATCGCAAACGCATGGATGACTGTGCTCGCTTACAGGTTCTGGAACCAACAACGGAAGAACCACGCGAGGGGTAACCATCCAACACCAGAAGCTATTCAAATGGCTAATTTTCATGCGAAAAAACTTTTTTGGTGCTCAGTTTGGCAATTACCAGCTGTGCTAATCTTGGCGATGTTGCACAAGAAGGGTCAGTGGGACCGTCTCGAAAAATATTTAGGCTTTGGAGTAGCACCAGAGAAAGGTACTGAACTACCATCAATATAATCTTGTATATATATTCATTTAATGTGCATCTAAATGATATGAAACAGTTGAATTAATGACCGCATCTAAAGCTTATGAACGTTCGACCAAATATTTTGACAAGCAATATAACTAAATTTGAAGATACATCTTAATATATACCAATTGAAAGCATTCAAGATTTCGCATCAACAGATAAACACAAAAACTGTCATCATAACGTCAAATCATTGTTCATCCAGCAATTGACAAGAGATAGTAAACTTAGAGTCAGATACAGATCCCATCATTCTACAATGTCTCATATTTCCAATCTTACAATATCTCAATACAAAATCAACAAAATACTCTTTGAAAACACCATAATCTCGAGTAATTAAAACTAATGACGGATTGGACTCTGTTGCTTTATCCACGTAACCTAACCCAATGACTTCCACCGAAGATTTAACATTAACTGTGTCTTCCCATTTTGGTTTGAAGTACAGGAATGTAGCAGTGGATGCTTTAGTCACGAACTTGGTGTTCATGTCGGTTTGAAGTCCAGCGGACTAAATATATAAAAATCAATAGCAGCGTTTGGACCGAACTTCGATTTACTAATTACAGCGAAAAATTAAGGTCCTGATAACTTGTATCGAATTCAATAGAGACATACCACAATTACATCAACTTCATAGTTGCCGATATTTGTAGGTCATGATCGGAAAAATAACAAAGAAACATCAAAACTAATAATACTCCACTTATACCTAATTACTATATAGAAATAAAGAAAGATTTTTATACTACATTAATAAAAAACTTAACACTAGCCATGACCTACTAAGTATACCAGACTTCAGACGTTTAAGCATTCTAAAATCACTAACTTATAATAATTAACAAGTACCGAATTCAAAAACCACCAAATAAGAATTTAAAGTTGCAAAACATAAATCAGATAGAAATTAGTTATTCGTTATTTATGTAGTTCCCCAATACATTAGCAATTATTATGATATTAAATAACAGTTCAACGAAAAAAGACAAAATATATTCCTTCCAATCTCTGTGATCTAAAGATTAAATACAGCATTTTTACATATAAATTTATCCTAACAGTTCCAAAGCCCTAATTTAGATCATCGAAATCGACGCATATAAGATAATTATTTATGTTGAGCACTATTCACAATAGACATAAATATTTAATCCTAGTGCTTCTATGAAAAAATAATCGAAATGTATAAGTTGCGATCTCAATACATACATTCAGAACTAAAAACGTGTAAAATAATGCCTCAAGAAACATCAGCCACAGAACATTGTATATAAGCACCGACAATTTACTAATATAAGACTCAAGTAGCTCTTCATACTTTTTCTCCAGGAGCCAATTATTCTTGAAATACTACTGAAGTAATCAAGGGCGCCGATTTATGATTTCGTATATCTATGTTAATTATAATAAATTAATTGTTTTTTTTAATTCACTTTATGATTCATCCAAAACGATCGCAAATTTTATTAGAATTAAAACCTGAACAACTTCGTACTCAATTAGAGATTGGAGAAAACTTGCTGATCACTTTAATACTTCTAAACCAGATTAATATATTTTCAAAACTCAGGCATGTTCTGATATTAATTTACTTCAAATAGCTGGAAAATTTAATGAAAATAGATTGTTCAGCATATCGAATGATAATTAATCATCAAAATCATGAGGTATAGGAATCAGTTACACTTACTTAAAATTGTATAAAGAGTAACTGCATTAGTCGTGCAAAACAACTGATGTAAGAACTAATTAATTTTATAGTTTCATAGAACCTTTCATATAATTGCTCTTAGGATGCAAAGTTGTGGGAATTACATCAGTATCTCTCTCCCTCGAGGTCATAATTGTACTTGTATCTTCGCTTACCAAATTTTATACCTATTCTTCGTACTATTTATTCGAATGTCTCTAGATTTTATGCACGAGTTGTTGGGAATCAAGAAACGTAGTATAGAGCGGTGGTCTTCATTTATGGTAATGATGGCCTTCTAATTATATGAAAAAAAAAATAAAACAGCTTCTACATTCTCATGATTCTATTTACTATCAGCTTGAAACTATATAAACTTCAAAATTGTGGAAAGGTGGCTACTTCATATGAATACATCAAAAAGATGGTTTCTTGTCTTTTAATTGAATTAATTCATAATAAATTTCTTCCTTTATTTGTGAACTACGTTAATAATGAAAAGAGTAATTTTGTAAAAAAATATCTGATAAGCGTCCCATATTCTTTGTAATGACAGTCGTTTATCAATGATATTTATAAAGTTAAGCATACCATACATCAGCAAGTGTTCTTATTTCTGTGAGTATTATGCTTAAAAATCTTCTAAGCTTTTACATTTTCTCTTCATCTTATTGCCGTGCGAATGTGTTGTTAGTGATGTAATTAATATATATTACTAACCTTTTACTCAAAGCAGTTGAATCTATGAGTAATTATATTTTTACATCCTGTTCCAATAAATAAAAACTAACTCGAGGAGTATATTAGTCGGTAACTTAAAGGGAGTATTTCATTTTGGTAAAATAAGTTTCATATCACGCACATGAGTTGTTGATAAGATGTAAAAGGACCTAGGAAATTTAATCCAGGTGTGCAATAGTGATAATTTTATCTATTACACTATTTAAATGTATGGAAATTGCCATTTCAACTAATTGGTGGGGTGAATAAATAATTCCTAATGTACTATTCCTTGAATGCTTTATACTTTCTGGTCAAATTACAACGACTAGATAGAAATTCTGTAAATGAGGCCTTAGGTAATGTTAGAACAATTCACACTATTTATTTTATATGTAAGTGTGATTGCAATCCCAACAATTCAGTCTTAGGGGAAACAAAATGTGCATATTCCTATAAACTAAGAACATTTATCTCCAGATGATTCTTTCAAACATGAGCAAATGGTATCAATTCTTCCGAAAGTTTATGTCAAATTCAATCTTACAATTGATAGTTGGAGCATATTTGGGTGATTGTATTTTTTGTCATTAATTCCTCTAATTTCAAGATTTGATATGAGTCGCTTTGTTAATTAATTGGAATTGAGAAAGGATCTAAGAATTTTTTTTTTTGTTGTCCGTTTTTGCAGGCGAATTGGTTTCCTGTGAAGCTGAAGGTGATGCGTCATTACATTTTTTGGTGCTTGCTGTTGGAGTAGCCTACAAAAGTTATGGAGAGCTTTTGTGGATAGCATCTGGCTTATTCTCAGAATGATATAGATATACACTTCGATAGAGTATATCTTGTGTCTGAAAATTGCTCATTTCGCATACCATAATCAATCTACTACGATCCGCCAGTTGACTACATTCAATTACGTCACCCATTCTGATCTTCTGCCTCTATCTCAGTGTCTGCTATTTTCTCAATCAATCACTTGACCTCTTCCTTCATCGCTCTAACTTTATCTTTCTCTAACTGCCTAACAAATTCTGCAGTGCCAAGTTACAAGTTTTTTGTCTATAGGAAAGCTCGCTTGTTTGTAAAGTATAAACATCGGTGTGTTATGCTTGGCCACTCGTTTAAAGATACCTAACTGTAATTGTGATATTGAGTATAATTAGTGTTGGAGCCTATAATGCGCAAGCTCATACTTGAAGTGTTCCATATGCTTTGCCAATGTATCATCATCTCATAAAATTAAGCTGACAGATCAAAGTTTGGTATTTGCAGACACATACACTGAAGCATATGTTTACACTTGTATATACCCTTGTATATGTTCCTCTTACTCCTATAAGTTTTGATACGGATGCACTTTCCTCACTCCTTTCGATTCACGATTACTTAGAGTAGCTGTGGGCGCGTCCAAACATTTTGAGTTACATAGAAACTATACAACCAGATGAAATTAATATTCACATAATTGCTTGGTTTCTAGCACCATTTAGTAAGAGGAACAAAGCTTATAAAATGAAGTGTTTGTGTGAATCTAAGAATTTCAGTTTATTTGAACTATTTTGTAGATCTGGTGCACCACAGTGGAAAACTGAAAATACATAATTACAGCTTTTTATAAAACCACTTCTTTGAACCGCCCTCTTAAATAACACAGGATGATGATACTATATTGAAAGCTCATAAGAGAATGCCTGTTGGAAATTCATGATGCATCTGATATACACGGACACTCGTATAATGCTTATGCCCTATTGATTAGCAATAGATATTGATGATAGGAATATCAAACGATTACTCATTAGCTGCTGTCGAGCGAAATGCACCTCAAGAACTCATGAATATTCATACTCTCTTGACAATCCATCTTATCGTATGAAATCCTACAGTGTGCATACACCCGACACTACTCTTGCGTGAATTCTTACATCCAGTACAACTCGATGAATTCATTGTCCAGCATCGGGAAATATCGCTTGCCATCTCGTATTCTTAAGCGCCTTACCCGGCAGAATAGTTCAGATGAAGCTGTGAACTATGCCTATCGGAAAGATTTAATCAGCCGAAACCCTCACTCCTACTACCCCCCAGTCCAGACTACCCGAGGTGGAGAGCCTATATTGAGATTACCCGAGTTTATAAAAGAATACGGAAATATTGATTTTTCAAGCTTTCTGGATGGCAAATATCCGCAAACTATTCAAATTGAAGGTAAAGTAAAAGCCATAAGAAGGGCAGGAAAGGCAATGTTCTTTTTGGATGTGATCCAAGATGATGCCAAGGTTCAGGTCTGCGCTTCTAACAAACTACTTAAAGATGTAACGAAAGATGAGTTCTCGAGAATACATTCATTCATCCGCAAAGGCGATCATATTACATGCGTTGGCCATCCGTCTACTACAAACGTTGGCGAATTAACATTGAAGGCTACAAAGCCTATTACTGTGTCTAGTCCATGTCTTAATTCGGTAACCATACCAGATAAACTTATCGATAGAAAGCTCATAAACAAAAATAGAGTCATGAACTACATAGTTGACCCTGAGCTGAGACAGAGGATCAAAGTGAAAGGAGCAATTACGAAAGCTATACGTGACTTTCTTCACAATGATGGCTTTCTTGAAGTCCAGACACCTATTTTAGCAGGCAATGGAACGGGGGCCAACGCTGAGCCATTTCAGACAAAGCTGAAAGCAATTTCTGATGAAAAGTTACTGCTCCGTGTGGCCCCAGAACTATGGCTTAAGAAGCTTGTCATCGGTGGATTTGACAAGGTTTTCGAGATTGGTTCGAATTTTCGAAATGAGGGTATTGACTCTACGCATAATCCCGAATTTCTTACCTGTGAATTTTATAGATCGTTCACCTCTCTACCAGAGTTAATGAAAATGACAGAAGATATGTTTTCCTTCATCCATTCACAGTTATTGAATCATGAAACATCCTCAACCTTTTTGAGAGAGCGTCTCAGAAAGCTCAGTTCTTTTCAAGAAGGAAACTTCCCCAAATTTGAGTTTATTCCAACTATCGAAAGCCGAACAGGACACCAAATGCCTGTAAACTTTACAACTGAGGCTCTTCTAGAATATTACAAGAAGATTGGAGTCAAGCTTCCGGAAAACAAATCGCCAGCAAGTTTATTGGATAATCTATCGGCGATTTATTTGGAATCTTTGAGTGTGGATAAGCCCGATGTCCCCATTTTCATCTACAATCAGCCATCTGTGATGTCGCCATTGGCAAAATCCACAGGAGTAGTATATGGAGATCGTTGTTATGATATATCATTGAGATTCGAGCTATTCATTAATGGGAGAGAGTACGTTAACTCTTACGAAGAGGAGAATTCACCTTTTGAACAAGCTGAAAAATTCAAACTACAACAAGCATGTAAAAAGGACTTCAACGATATGGAGTCATTGATACCGGACTGGAACTATGTCAAACAAATGGAATACGGGCTCCCTCCTACTGGTGGATGGGGCTGTGGGATTGATAGACTCAGCATGTTGTTCAGCGATTCTAATAGAATCGAGGACGTTTTAACTTTTGGAACCCTTAGAGACGTTGTTCGTCAGTAGGATACGCATATTATTGAGATGCCTGTAAATAGAGAAGAATAAAGAAGTAATATGTATCTTACCTTTGATTCGCGCCAGTTGTGTCGCGTTGCTCCAACACTAATATTGTTTTTCGCGAACATGTTTGATTTCTCTTGTGATCACATCTCATAGGACGGAAGTTCCTGGCTAAATAATTGACAAGAGAAGCTTTGTCGCTAGCTTTCTAATGAATTTTGAAGAAAAGGAAGATAAGGATGGAGTCAGACTAACATGGAATAATGTTCCGAAGTCGAAACTTCAAAACCAAAGAAATGTCATCCCATTGTCTGCCCTTTACACCCCACTCAACAACAAATCAAAAATACCTTGTTTAGACTCATCATCTATAGTAAGATGTCGACAATGTAAGGCATTCTTGAATCCTTACGTAACGATGAATCATGAGTCTTCAGATGTATGGTACTGTCAATTCTGCTCGTTTGGCAATCGATTAGCGGTCACAGACACAGGTCACTATCCCCACCCTATGCAATCTGAATACTCGACTGTTGAATATTCAACAGGACGCGATTCTAAGCTCCCTCCTATATTCTGGTATGTTGTTGATACATGTTTTGAAGGAGAGGATGTCGAAGATGCCTACCAATCTCTTCGCGAACTGTTGACCTTGTCAGTGTCGTTGCTCCCATCTCATTCCTTGGTTGGCTTCATAAGTTTTGGAAAGCATGTTCAATTGCATGATTTACTGGATCCACATAGGAGCCATACATTCAACGGCTCCAAGGATTACACATTGGAACAGGTACAAAAAATCTTAGGCATCAACACTACAAGAACTGGGAACACGTCCACTTTAGGTTCGGTCGCCCAAAAGTTTCTTCAGCTGGTAGATATTGCGGAGTATCAGCTATGCAACATTATCGAGAATCTTGTCAACAATACGTTCCCACATGACAACGGCAAACTGCGACCCGAAAGATCTACTGGATGTGCTATTAACGTCGCATCATTGATTCTCGAGGGAATTTTAGGGAAAGGAAATTTGGCGGGAGGTCATATCATGTGTTTCGTCAGCGGAGCCACAACGAATGGACCTGGAAAAATCGTTGGAACTCCTTTGAAAGAGCCAATAAGATCACACCATGATATCGAAAAATCAATACTGACAACATTACCAAATATTCCAAGCGGAGGTACAAAGGTCGATGTACTGCTTTTTAAGCAGGCTAAGACATTTTATGGACGAGTGGCCAAAGTATTAGTCAGTATGGGAATGAGCTGCGACATATTTGTTGGTTCATATGATCAAGTAGGCCTTTATGAAATGGATGAGGTCTGTACAAAAACCGGAGGAACTGTTGTGATGTGCGATTCGTTCAACACATCAATGTTCAAGCAAAGTTTTGTTCGATTTTTCCGCAAGATAGACGACGATCCGAGTTCAGATCTTGACATGGCATTCAATGCTACCTTAGAGTGCCGAACCACTAAGGATCTCCAAATACAGGGTTTGGTTGGGCACGCGAGTGCTCTTCCTTTACGGAAAGACAAATTTGTTGAATCTTCTGTTCTGTCACACAAAATAGGAGAAGGAGGTACTAATGCATGGAAATTATGCAGTGTGAATCCCCAATCCACATACGCAATATACTTCGACAAACTTGATTCTTCGCTGATTGGATATGCCTTTATACAATTCACATTTCATTACGAACATCCAAGCGGAGAAATGAGGCTAAGAGTTACTACTGTTCCGCTTCCTGTTATTGCAGATTCTGACGCTCAAAACATAGAGCTCGGTTTTGATCAAGAAGCAGCAGTAGTATCAATAGCAAGAAGCTCAATTGTCAAACTTGACTCAAATATCCTAAGCGCAGAGAAAAAAACTTACAATCAAGACGATGTTGTGAAACATTTAGATAAGTTGCTTATTGATTTTTGTACCAGATTTGCAGTATTCCAAAAAGGTGTGATCAATTCCTTTCGCTTATCGAGCAGTTATGCAATGCTACCTCAATTCACCTATCATTTACGTCGTTCCCCTTTCATCAGAGTTTTTAATAATTCCCCTGATGAGACGAGCTACGTGAGACATGTTTTTATGCATGAGGATGTGAATAATGCCTTAATTATGATTCAACCTTCTCTTCTCTCTTACGATGTGGAGACTTTTGGAACAGAAGACCAAAATGGGGAGGTGATAAGCGACCCAGAACCGGTTCTTTTGGATTCTATGTCTTTAGGACCGACGAAAATTCTCCTTCTCGACACATTTTTTCATATCTTGATATACCACGGTGACACCATAGCCCAGTGGAGAAAGGCCAATTATCAGGATTTAGAGGGTTACGAACATTTTAAGGAATTTTTAGAAGCGCCAAAGAGGGAAGCTATGGAAATATTAATGGATAGATATCCATTGCCTAGGTTCATAGACTGCGATGAGGGAGGCTCACAAGCTAGATTTCTCATGGCAAAATTGAATCCGTCAACAAGCTACTCTACGAATCCTAATCAGTTATATGGAAACAATGGTCCGGAGGTGCTCACTGATGATACCAGTCTCCAGACTTTTATGGACCAGATCCAGCGTATAGTTGTTGGTAAAAAATAAGCTTTGCCCGGATGTTTTCATTCCTTTTAATAAGTTGCTTTTGTCTTACAGTCTACCAGACATACTTCACACTGAAGATCGTATCAATTAAAGCTTGGAAATGAATGAAACTGAAAGAAGTTCATGGAAAATTTCCGTGGTAATTTTTGTAGTCAACTTGTGAGTTGAGGTTTTTGAATTGACAAGAATCCTCTAGATTGCCAGCCAGGACACTTATAATGCTCAAGTTTGGCCTACCGATGGTTTGCTTTTGCGCTTATGTTAATTTTTTGTTTTCTTCAATATATTGATCACACAATCCTACAGGTAGATGCATCAATGAAGTCTGTATCAGATGTACGGTTGATCTCAGTGAGATTATTTTTACGCACCACTGAAGACTGGAAATCGATGAAAAGGGAACATGACATCATACAATTGCCCAACTTCATAAATCCACATAATTCGACTCTAAAGTTTAAGAAAGAAAAGCATGTTACGTTTCGTAAGCCATACTTGTTTACAAAGACGGCCAGCGTGGACTATTGGGTAAATTCAGTACTCGAATTTGTACTTGAACAAAGCCGAATCAAGAACTCATTTGCTCACATGAAGAAGTCAACCTGCTTAACCTTCATGGTATTTCTTGGAGCACGTGGGAAGGAATACATCGAAGAGATATACGCAATGTTTCCCCAAAACTATGACGGGCTAGTGTTTATTTCTCTGAATATTGACGAAAAATTCTTCAGCAATCCGAATTATAATTGTACTGATTCCAAGCTAAGCAGGAGTTTAGCTGGATACTTCAACATAATTGATCCATTAGGAGGTGGTAATTACCCGCTAGATTATTTGATTGTGATTGACTCTAGTCCTTTTATGCATTGCAAGTTGCCCCTTCGAATTGGTCTGTACAATATGGGGCATCTGAAATTTGGCATCAACCTTACTCAATTAGGGGGACTTTTTCAGGAGTATTTAATTTCATTTCCTGAAGAGCTCCGATGACCATCGACGCGAAATGAATTTTGAGTAATATTAATGGTATCAAATGGTATTTTATTGTAGAAGTGCTAGTTTTTGCTGCTCGAGTTCCTTATACTCGTTTCGCTGTTTTTCGATCTCCTCTTTCACCTTGGCGATGTAAACATCAAGTCTTGCAATCTCATCAATCTCATCAGTCATTAAAAACTCCTGGTCTCTTTTATTGGGGTCCGAAAGTTTGTACGGTAATAGATTCAGCGGCTTTCTTGTAAGTATTTCGAAGACAGTTTCCGTCGGCTCCTGAAATACCAACTCATCAAAGAGTACCGAATGAACTTCACCATTTTCTCTTTGCGGAGCTGTGGGATTATACGGGTGGAGCTTCAAGCTATGGAAAATCTGGAAGTTCTTCTCATTGATGCCCAACTCTGACCCCGCATGGAAATGAATCTTGATGATTATTTCAAACTCACCCCAGCCAGTGGCTGTTACTTGATAAGGAGGAGACTCAACGGATCTTACTGGATTTTCGTAAGTTTCATGCAATTTGAATGTTACACGTTTAATCAAAGGAGTCAAGTCAACGTTGTCTAGTACCGGCTTGAAGAATACTGTCCACTCGTGCGTATGGTCAGGTGGAGTTTTGGCCGTTCTTTTTTCAGGCTTCAATCGAATAGCACTGTTTCCATATAATATTGGGACTGATATTGAGACATTCTTTATTCTTTTGGACATTTGTGGTTCTTCCTTTGTTTCGATTTCTCCGCGCACTCTCATAGAAATATAGGAAACTGATCTTATGCACACTGAAAACTAGATAAACATTATTAACGCTGTCTAGGGACAAATATGAACGTACGTTTACGTAGTGACGCAAAAGGGGAACAATTGTTTTGAGTCATACTCGCCATGAAAGGGAATTTGAACATAGCACGGTGTTTCTCTTCTTTATAGCACAGCCTTTCGTGGCGTAGAATTCCACTTACTTGATGTTGAAGAGTCAAGTCGACACAAGGGAAAAAAAGAAGAAAAGAAGAAAAGAAGGTATGTTACATTTCCATACTGAAGAATCGCTTAAATGTGATTATCATAGCTCTACTATTTAAAATACTGTACGCCGATTTATTGATCCAGGTTTTGGATGATAAATTATTGAGGAGCCAAGGGTTTCCAATCAGACATACCTTTGACGCCTGAAGTTTCCGGAGATGCTTTACTAGGATTCATCCCAGATGGAAGCGGCGATGGTCTGTAATGTTTTGGAGATGTTTTCGACTCGGGGGAAGTTCCTTTTGTATGAGGTGACGAAAGCGATGGAGGTTTAGCTGGTTTCATCGGCTTTAAAGCGACACCGTTCGCTGTCATAGGAGACAGGCTGTTTTGAGGCGACATCGCACGCGGAGTAGATGGGTTACTCGGGATGAGAGGCGCTGCGTTGAATGCAAGATGCATAGTCGTCTTTGAAGTATTTCTAGGCGGAGGAGGAGCAGGTGACGTATGATGCTCAGGATTTATGGATCCAGATGGACTATCTGTATTGCGCGTGGCACTTGGCGAGTGAGACAGGCGATGGGATGGTGACAGTAATTTCTCCGAAACGTCAGACACCACTTTACGACTCATTGGAGGAGGAGGAACTCTTCTTGGAAGGGTACTAGTTGTGGACAGCAGACGGACCGGTAACTTTGGCGCCGAAGAAGATACATCATCAAGCAAGTTTAAATCCGACAAAACATCCATAGAGAAAGTGGAACCTCTTGATGTCAGGGAGGAAGTGCTTCCACTTCCATTTCCCATAATATCGATCTCATTATTATCACCATTCTCCAACTTATACTTCTCATAGTATTCTTTCGCTAATGACTTTTTCTTCAAAGAGTCGACAAATTTCACTTTGCACAAAAACGTGCTGTAGACTGGTTTATGATCGCTAACAAAAACGTCCATGACACTGTTGTAGTTCATTGAAGTCATCTCATTACCTCTGTTACTTTTGTAAAGGACTCTATCCGTCCAAGAAGGGACTCGCTGTTTTTCGGATGTATCATAGTTTGAAGTTCCTTTATCAAATTTATAAGTTGGATAGAACTTGATCTCCTGTTCCTCGAAGCCGCAAAACGCGCCACTCTTTAGCTGCCTCTCACGATTTAACTGATCAAACTGAGCTAATTCATCAAAAGCACCATTCTCTATCAAGTAACGACATCTATCATTTTGAAGGTTGATACGATAATTCAAATCACCTAGCCAAACAATGTGATCATGATCATCAATGGTGAAATTGCGTGTGAACGTAAGACCCAGCATGATAGAAACATAATCGTTGTATCTTTCCATAGTAGCATTTACACCTGCTGCTAAATGTGACGTAATGAAAGCAAATGAGGTGGAGGCAAATTCGAACCGCACAGCGCAAGCGCCTTTGTTAGCTGTGATACCCCCGAAACCAGTTTTTTTCGAAGAACCTGAAACATGAGTTACATTTTTCATTTGTGACTTCTTCACGAAGAGTAGAAGACACAATGATGAAATAGATTCTGTTCTAAGAAGTGAATATTGTTCGCCTTGCGAGTTGAGTTGTTCCTCTATCACCTTGGCCCATAAGCTTGATTTTGTACCATCTGCATTGAGTATAGATCCAGCATTTAACTCAACAAGTTCTTGCATCCCAATGACATAAAGGTCAGGAGTACCATTATTGTAATTCTCGGGCGGAAAAAGCCAACTTGTGAGATCGACTCTCAGATTTGGAGAAGCAGCATTCATATTGAAGGTGCCCGTGAAAATTTTAATGTTACTGTATGTTGTAAACAGTGGCTCATTGCGTTTCAATTGATCTTGAACAAATTCATTGATTGGGTCATAAATCTTAACAGGTCGAGATAAACGTCCATCCTTTCCTAAAAGTAAATCCATAGTCGATTGTTTTTTTGAGTCCACAAATGTATTCTGATACATTCTTGACACGGATTTCGTCACATCAGAGAGAGCACCTGCAAAATTCATCTTTCCAGACCGAGAAAAAGAGGATTTCAAAGCGTTAGTTCCTGTGTAAATTTGAGAAATTGCATCTCCATTATCTGCCCATAAGGAGTTATGCTTGTTGATGATATGTTCATGGTTAAACCTTTCACGAGTTGAGTTATGCGTATCGAAGGATTGGTTCTTAAGGATATGCTCCAAAATGCATTGACAAATTACTTGTTCGATTAAATTTGTTCTATCCAAACAATCCAAACAGTTAATCCTGAACACACCGTCTTGTCTCGTGAGAACCTCTCCTTGTTTCACATCGAAATCGAACCAACCAAATTGCTCCAATGATTCATAAATTTGAGGCAAAATCTTTGATGCACCAGCAAAACCCCCACTCAGTTGTTTTGTTTCCGCATGGAAGTCGAAGTGGCTGTACTTAACTTCCTCCCGGTGACGCGAGTGATGTAACAAATCCCTATAACGTCTCAGTACATCCACTTCTTGAGATTTCGTCTTTGAGAGCAAGTTGATAATGTGACATACCCCATATGTCTGCGAAATTTCGTCGAAATGCTTTTCGAAGATGGGTTGAGTTGCTTCAATAGATCTTGTTAACGTGATCTTTGGATTGATTAAGGTGGAGTCTTGTTCCCAGAAGGCAGGCACAGAACCTCGTATCTGCGTAAATGCGTAGACTTGATGCATTGTCAAACTACAGTAAACAAATTCTGTTTCCACAAAGTTGGCGACATGCCCGTCATCATCGATTCCACGAGCATTGAATCTTGTGCCTGCTCTTTTCCAGGATTGCTTTGAAACAATGGTGATGGTGTCGCCACGAGAATTCACAGGAACAGTCTTAGCGAACCCTCTAATGACCGTTGTCAAAAACTTATTCTCATTCAATATTTCTATTGCGAACTCGTCCAACGTTGATCTAAACCCAATCAACTCCTCCATGAGGAACGAATTCCACATATATTGCTCTTGATAGTGTTGCATGTTGACTTTGAAGCTATTATGGCTGCTTGTAGAGTCATTAGTAGAGTTGTGAAACTTTCTCCTATCGACACCCCTATTTTGTAGAAGCGAGGTCAAGTCAAAATCATTTGAGAAATAAAACGACCCGTTTGAAAGCAACTTCTTTAACTCGAAGCATGGATGAGGTGTTCTTGGTAATCTTGCGTCATAGTCCTGAGCATCAGCTGACTGGATTGGAAACCCATTCGAATCTAAGTTTACATAGTCCCATTCGCTTGAAGCCAAAGAGATGAACTCAACGCCATAAATCTTGTTGACTGATTCATAGGGCACAGGATGAGCCACATCAGTCATGGTCCCTGTAATGACAGCCAAATAGGTTTTCCCTTCCACATCGATCAACCCTAGGCATCCGTGTATATCTCTATTAATGAGAGGCTTATATTTTCTGGATTTTAGGATCTGTGAGCTGGTCTCTATTTGGATAGATACTGGGTGAGCTTGATTGTCTGAGTGCCGCTGTAATTGATGGAAAGTGAGAGCATGTGTTTTGGATACCACAGCAATGGTACGTGGTTCATGACGAACGAGAATCTTCATTTTCGCCAGTTTTCCGAATTGCCGAGTATGATCTGAGCATGAAACTTGTATGCCAAAATCAGTGAGGTTTGACACCTGAGGCCAGTACACCAAAATAGTTGAACAAGCTTACTAAAACAGTTTTCTTCTCCAAAAATTTTCCCAAGAGAGGAGTTTGTTTGAATGCTAATATACGAATATTGATTTTCCTGATGCTAAACCTGGAACGACCATAAAACTACTACTGGTGTGACAGAGTTTTCCAAAAACACCAGTACATCTCGGAGCAAGTGCTTCAATATCAAGAAAAAACTTGAAGAAATTGTTATCCATCAACACACAATATGGCCACGAACTACCAACTTACTTTGTCCGACGAATCAAAAGAGAGAATCATGAAGCTCGTTGACTGGTCAAGAACCGTCGCACACTACGGCTTTATTCCATTCATCTTGTACTTGGGTTGGAAGAGCACTCCAAACAAGCCAAACTTGTTCAACTTGTTGAGTCCTTTTCCATCTGCCTAAACAGTATACATGTACATAGAAATAAACTACTGTGACTTAACGTCCGATCTGAGTCGAAAAGGCTTTTGATGCATGTAAGAACTCTCAATACGACTTTCTCCATATCAGAAGTCATTCTAGCACTCTCAATCATTAGCTTTAGTTATTGGAAATGATAATCATATAAGTCGAGAAATTATAATTGGCTATTTATTTTAAAACTCTGAAATGGTGGTCTTCGTTTTCGTAATTTCTCTATGCGTATCATTGAACAGGCGAAGATCAAATTCGCAATTTACAAGACGCTCTTTCCTTAATGACGACGACCTGGTCCGAGCGGCAAATAGAAGCCGCTTCTGGCTTGATGGCTGGGTTTACAACTACTATTGTTACACATCCTCTAGATTTGATTAAGGTGAGGCTTCAGCTATCCGATAAGCCCTCCACACGTCCCTTCGATCTACTACTAGACGTAGTTCGGAATATTAATAGGGATGCAACATCACTATACAAATCTCCAGGAAATAAGAAACCGAAGTCCATTTGCTACCTACAACAGTATTATAGAGGTGTGGGACCGAATCTAGTGGGCAATGTTTCAGCATGGGCGCTTTACTTTTCATTGTACAATGAATTCAAAAACTTGATGCCAACTTCTGGAGGAACTACAACATACTTCACAGCATCTTCGTTAGCAGGGTTAACAATTTCTGTATTGACCAATCCCATCTGGGTTTTGAAGACCAGAATACTCAGCACTTCAAACATAGAGAGTAACTCATATAAGTCCTTGATGGACGGTGTTTCTCAAATTTACAAGAATGAAGGATTAGCCACATTTTGGAAAGGTACAATACCCAGTCTATTTCAGGTTTTTCAAGCAAGTTTGAATTTCACCTTTTATAACCATGCCAAAGATTATCTAATGATGAAGCTGGATACCAACGAGATCCTGACAGTGCAATACATCTATGCATCTGTTTTTTCCAAAACAGTGAGTATGGTTCTATTGTATCCCTCACAGGTGGTCCGCTCTCGTCTCCAGCGGTACAATTTTGACGGGTCGAAAAGGACCTTGACCAATGTCATACGTGAGGTTTGGACGGGCGAAGGTAAATTCAGAGGATTTTACCGAGGCTTGAGTGCTAATATCGTACGTGTTCTTCCGTCTACAATCATCACATTTGTATCATATGAAACCACGAGACATTATTTATATGTGACATAGCGTGTCGCCATGCATTTACCCCACAAACGATGAGTGATGTTGTCACTAACAAATGTATATAGAATTAGTGTTCCTTTCCTCATCCATTAAAGAGTATTCAACATTTGCGTGTAAATTCGTCTTACTTTTTCAATTTGTTGACTTTCATTGACTTGTATGTTGCTCATACATTGGCCTGTGAGTCTCATGCGCTAGACAAAATCTACGCGGACGCGTTCTTTGAGAAAACAACAATGACTACAGATGAGCCGGCACTAAAAAAGCAACGAATCTCGTCAGATCCACCTTCGGAACTTCCAAATCATGAATCAGACTCTTCTTCTACACCCGAAAACTCGAAGTGGGTTCCCAAATCTATCTCCTCAATCAAAGACAAATCCACATATGCAAGTAGCACATATCACTCGGAGATACCAGAAGCAATCACCGAAGACCCAAAGGGACCAGTCGTTTTAGGCGTCGACGAAGCGGGACGTGGTCCTGTTTTAGGTCCGATGGTTTATGGAATTTCGTATTGCTTGAGAGACTATCAAGACCATTTGAAGAAGAAATACGGTTTTGCAGACTCTAAAACATTGAAAGATTCCACACGACAAGAGCTTTTTCAACTTATTGATAACGAAAAGCACGAGCTACATAAGAATGTTGGTTGGGCTACATGCACCATGACTGCCAAAGATATCTCCAACGGTATGCTTAGAAGTGCGTTAGGGGCAGGCTCGTACAACTTAAACGAACAAGCGCATGATACGACAATCCAGCTTATTAAGGATGTTCTTCTAAGTGGGGTTAATGTTCGTGAGATTTTTGTGGATACAGTGGGTCCTCCTGTGTCATATCAGGCGAAGCTAAAGAAACACTTTCCAAGCATTGACATTACAGTCACCAAAAAGGCTGATAGCATCTATCCCATTGTAAGTACTGCGTCTGTTGTGGCTAAGGTGACGCGTGACTTAAACCTACAATGGTACAACGAGAACGTAGAGAACCTCATCGGCAAGTGCTTGGGATCGGGGTACCCTTCGGACCCCAACACTAGCAAATGGCTTACTTCTAACGTGGACAAAGTCTTTGGGTGGGATTTCGGATTGATAAGGTTTCTGTGGCAGACAGCCAAAGATGCTTTGGAAAGACACGGTGCATGTAAAGTTACATATGAAGCAGAATGTGTCAAGGACAACGGCTACAGTGATGTTGGCGACTTCTTTTCTAAGCCCGTATCGTCAGCCTTAGTGAGCAGTCTGTTCTATGGTATAGAGGCACAATTGTAATAATATTTGTGTGGTGCCTTCAATTTAATGAACTTTTTTGATCCATGAAATATAAATTGTGGGTGGCCTATAGAGTAATAACCTGTGGGCCAAAAAGTGAGACATTCAATAGAGCATAATAAAGAAACACGACAGAGCGAAACTCGAAGTAACTAATTGTATGATTGTGTATTTCTGAGTCATGCTTATTGTAGAAAGGGTCTCAGAGTGCTTCAAACTCGAAACCATCTTCGTATATATGTTTACTGACCGTTATCTAAGTGGTTAGCCATTCGCGGTAGTTCTGATCCGGACTGTGATTCGAGACACACCAAGAACTTGAACCTGACGAGAACCCTAGCACCAGAAGCGCCCTGTAAGCCGACCGGAATAACTGTCTCCACTCAAAACAAATCTTACAAATTATTCCATCACATTTTGCATTCACCGTTCAGGTGCCAACCCACACCCGTGCCTCCCAAAAACCCCGGACATTCACCCCCGAGGCACGGAAGACAACCATGCGATGGTTCCAATCCTGTACATCCCACCAACCTCCAAGCGGCACCCAAAAACTTCTTCCATCTTCTTATTGCACTCCATCAAGAAACAATGTCTGCTTTGTTCGTTCACAGAGCCGCCTTCACCTTGCGTGCTGTGGCCGGCAACACCTCCAGATCCTACCTTGCCTCTTCCTTTTCTTTGCAAATGGCAAGATTGTACTCATCCGGAAAGTTCCCCCCTCACACTGTCATCAACATGCCGGCTTTGTCGCCAACCATGACCCAAGGTGGTATCGCTGCTTGGTCTAAGAGCGTTGGTGATGAGTTGACTCCTGGTGAAGCCATTGCCGAGATCGAAACCGACAAGGCCTCGATGGACTTTGAATTCCAAGAAGAAGGTTACTTGGCTAAGATCTTGGTTGAGGCTGGCACCAGCGACATCCCTGTTGGTAAGCCAATTGCTGTTTATGTTGAAGACAGCAGCGATGTGCCTGCTTTTGAAAGCTTCACTGCTGAAGATGCAGCCGGTGCCGAGGCTCCTGCCCCAGCACCAAAGGAGGAGAAGACCGAAGAGCCAAAGGCCGAGGAAAAGCCTGCCTCATCTGCTCCATCTAAGCCATCTACCCCATCTAAGGCTCCAACTGGCAGAATCTTCGCCTCTCCATTGGCCAAGACCATTGCTCTTGACAGAGGTATCTCTTTGAAGAACATTAAGGGTTCCGGTCCAAAGGGCAGAATCATCGCCAAGGATGTGGAGAACATCAAGCCTGCCGAAGCTGCTCCAGCTGCTTCTGCCGCTCCAGCTGCTGCCACCTACGAAGATATTCCTCTTACGGCTATGAGAAAGACCATTGCCTCCAGATTGTTGCAATCCACCCAACAGTCACCATCTTACATTGTCCAATCCCAACTCAATGTCTCCAAGTTGTTGAAGTTGCGTCAATCCCTCAACGCTACTGCTGAAGACAGATACAGATTGTCTGTGAACGACTTGTTGGTCAAGGCTATTGCTTTGGCTTCCTTGAGAGTTCCTGAAGTCAACTCTGCTTGGATGGGCGAAGAAAATGTCATTAGACAGTACAACGTTGTTGATGTTTCTGTCGCTGTCGCTACCCCTACTGGTTTGATCACCCCAATCATTAAGAACGCTCACACCAAGGGCTTGGCTACCATTTCTGCAGAAGTCAAGGACTTGGGTAAGAGAGCTAAGGCTGGTAAGTTGGCTCCAGAAGAATACCAAGGCGGTACCATCTGTATCTCTAACTTGGGTATGAACAACGCCGTTAACGCATTCACTTCTATCATCAACCCACCACAATCTGCTATTGTCGCTATTGGTACTGTTGACAAGAAGGCTATTCCATCTTCCGTGAACGAGCAAGGTTTCGTTTTCGCTGATGTCATCACTGTTACCGGTACTTTTGACCACAGAACTGTGGATGGAGCCAAGGGCGGTGAATGGATCCGTGAATTGAAGAAGATTGTCGAAAACCCATTGGAATTCTTGATCTAAAAGTGATTGACAAAAATTACGTCAAACTGAAATCATTGTACTTAGTATAGAACCAAATAACAACACTCAAGAAGGTGCTTCACGTGTAATCTATAGTCCTTTTGCGCTAATGGTCTCATTATAAGCCTCCATTCGATATAAATGTGCATATGAACATTTAGTTCTTTTTTTTTTTGGCATCATGTGGTGAACGTAAACATCACTTGACTCACCTTAAGAAAGCGTTTCGCAATTTTGATAACGCATTTTTTTTGTTTGTCTTTTTCCTCTGTACAATACACAGCAGCTTCACGTGGTGAAAACAATTAATTCCCCCCTCTCTACTAATGACTCTTGAAAAAATTTACATAGCCCGTCATGGGTATCGGGCAAATTGGCTTCCTGAGCCGCATCCACCAAACCCTACTGGAATTGACAGTGATCCAGCTTTAGCGCCACATGGGGTGGACCAAGCCATAGAAATGGGAAAACATCTAAGCAGTTTATTACCAGCAGATCAGCCACAGTTCATTTTGACTTCTCCTTTTTACAGATGCGTGGAAACGGCCGCACCATATGCTCGCGAATCCGGCTTGAAGATATGTTTAGAACCTGGAGTGGGCGAATGGTTCAAGCGTTCGAGGGCGGTGGTTCCGAAACCAGGAAGCTACGAAACGCACGCCAAATTCTTTCCCGACGTTTTGGGTACCGCGTCTCTTTGGGAAGGCACCCTGGTTAACCCGTCTCTTGAAGGTGAAGACGAAGACGAGATTTTCGATAGAACGAAAAGGTTTTGGCAGGAGTTTTTCCCAAGATTTGAACAGAAACACCCACAAGTCAAGAACCTCCTCATTGTGACACATGCCGCAACAAAGATTGCAGCCGGGATGTCCTTGATGGGATTGGCTTCTGTTCACGATGCAGTCGATGTGAATGGGGAAAAGGGTAAATTGCGTGCTGGTGCTTGCTCAATAGATAAGTACGAGAAGCAAGACGGAAAGTGGGTGATATTAGAGAATGGAAGAACCGACTTCCTCAGTGGCGGCGAGGAGATGAATTGGAATTTCGATGTTAAGTTCGAGGCTGGTTCCGATGAAGACATTAAGGCTAGAGAAGAAGCGGCTGCGGCCGCTGCCGCAAACAACACCAGTAAGAGTGTTGAGTACGAGGTACGTAGCAAAGTTTGAGCTATTGGGCATTGTATAGAGAGAAATACTAACTCATTTCCAAGGATTTTTTTCTTACAGTGGATGTTCCTATTGTTGCACCCACGTATTACGACGAGCTGGTACAAGAAAATCACGAGAACAACAACATTGCTGAGCAATTGTTGATCAATCCAAATGCGAAGTTTCAGATCACCCGTCTTGACGAGGCCAATCCTTTGTTCAAAATATCTGATAATGCCAACGCTGCAGCAGATCCAGAAAGCATAGCCTTCAGTAACTTGAGCGCCATCGACGGCCAGATCTACCAAACGAATTGGTCCAAATTACTAGGAACAGAGCTAATTTTTGACGAAAATGGTGAATTGGTGGGAACAGTGAGAGAACATTTGGTAGCAGATCCTTCAGTTAAGATCAAGCCCAAGTCTAAAGATTTGAACGACGAGGACATGGATTCTGAATCGAATGAGGAATCTGATAGCAAAACTGCATTTTTGAAGAAAGCCATTGCTATAGCGAGAGCAAAGAATTCCTAAGCTAGCCTTGAAGGCCCAGTTGTACAACTATGTATCATATACTTTAGAAACGGTAGATATCCAGCGAGGTGGATCACGTGTATGTATGGTGAAAGTTTGCTCTTTACAAGTGGACACAGAATGTCACCAGAAAGTCGTCTTATCAATGCTCTTTCTAAGTACGAGTTTGTACTTGGCTCCTCGTCGCCACGAAGGAAAGAAATCTTGACCAAAAATTTGGGTATCACCACATTCTCGGTTATAAAGTCCACTTTCGAAGAGAATCTTCCGAAAGCTGATTTCACAGATGTTGATTACGTCACGATCACAGCCAAACACAAGATAGAGAGTATTATTGATAAGCTATCTCTGTCCAAGCATTGTGTTCTTCTTGTGGCTGACACCATTGTTTCTTGTGCTGGCGAAATATTTGAAAAGCCCGAAACGCCACAAAACCAGCTAATCATGCTAAAGAAGTATCGAGATCACCCTCAAGATATCCGCGTCATAACTTCAGTACATGTTTGCATAATAGGGCCCGACAAACATGTTGCTGAGCATATTAGTGACCATGTCGTCACCACTTTGAAGTTTGATGAATCCTTGTCTGACACACAGTTGCAAGAGTATGTTAATACAGGCGAAGGGCTCCAAGCCGCCGGAGGTTTTATGTATCAGGGTAAGGGTTGCTTACTTTTCAAGGGTATCGATGGAGACTACTTTAATGTGGTAGGTCTTCCAGCTGCGAGAACATACAGAATACTCGAATCAATAATTCGCTAGCAAGAAACAGAAATAGGCTCATAATAAATAGTTACGAAACCAAACTCAACCATTTAATTCCTTTATCGATTTATTTTTTGTCGAAATATAATGGAGACACATCGCTGGGGAATTATGTGGAGGTGCACCATGCACACCCAAGGTACTTTTTTTTCCGATGAGATGATCGCTTTAGTATTCATTACAATCTACAATGGCTAAAAAGACAAGCAGATCCAACCAGCCAGCACCTTCAAAGGGCCAAAATAGCAAAGCGCAAGAAAAAGAAACACAAGAAGAAGCCTTGCATTTGAATGACGTTTCCGACTCTTCTTCTGAGGAAGAATTGTCCAGTGATGATGAAATAGAAATGGAAGGTCTTGAACACACCACCACCAATGTTAAAGCTTCCAAAAAGGGTCACACAGTCAACCTTACGAAGGCCGAAGCCGATGCGCCATCGAAGAGCTCAAAGAAAAGAGGTGTCATCTACATTGGAAGACTTCCTAAGCTGTTCCAAGAATACGAATTGAAGAAGTACTTCTCTCAATTTGGCGACATTTTGAAGGTGAGAGTTTCCAGAAACAAGAAAACAGGAGCTTCTAGACATTATGGTTTCATCGAGTTCAAAGATTACGAAGTGGCTAAGGTCGCTGCTGACACCATGAACAATTACCTTTTAGTGGGACACTTGTTGAAGGTCCATGTTATCGAAAACCCAAGTGATAACTTGTTCTCTAAAAAAATGAAGAGCAATTTCAGGGAATTTGACTGGAGAGCTAAGGAGTATGCAGAGTTCCACCAACCTAAGCCTTTGGAGGAATGGAAAAAGTTGCAAGCTGAGTTTGAGCAGAAAAAGGAAGAAAAATTCGCCGAATTGAAAACCCTAGGCTTCGATTATGCACTCGAAGCATAGATGTACATTATAGCATAAGATTGAATACATTACACCTCGTATGGGAGCTGGTATATATAGAACTTTTAGACCATTACGTGGTCACATGACCGCAGAGCATAAACTTGTTCCGATTTTCGAGACTGAAGTACTCAACTACATGGGGTTGAAAAGAAAACCACGTTCGGAAGTCCCACCAAAATATGACTTTCCTGATAGGTTCTATGCATTGAAGTCGTCATTAGATAAGCTGTTCTACAAACCCCAACCACAAAGTGTAATCACAGACCAAATTATCACCATTGACCATTTCTTTACCCCAGACTTTTGCGATGAGCTTTTATCTTCCTTCTCCGATAAGTTGGTTTTAGAAACGACACCACTTATAAAGAGCAAAGAGTACGCTGCTAGATTCAACGACAGAGTATCTCTCACTAATTTCCGCGCTGCAGATTCTTTATGGCAATACTTAAGGGAAATTCTTCTTCAGAAACCACAATTTGAAGATGAAGATCTAGAAGAAATCCGACATATATTTGCTGATGCCAAAAGTTTGAACCCACAATTGCGCGTGTATCGTTACACTAAGGGCCATCACTTTGGAAAGCATTATGATGAGTCTGTTACTTGCCCTATGGCACATGATCCAAAGGCCCAGGGCAAGACTAAGTGGACTCTCCTCATATATTTGACCGGAGGGGCTGATTTTGAAGGTGGAGGTACAATTTTTTACCCAGAGACAAGCAGAGAGCGAAATAAAGTGATTAATGTTCATGCAGATAAGGGTATGGCATTGCTTCATAAACATGGAGATGATTGCTTGAAACATGAAGCAGAACTTGTCAAAAGCGGTGTTAAATGGGTTTTGAGAAGCGATGTTACTTATTAACAGTGTATCGGTGGTATTCGAAGAATTTCTCGGTGGAGTGGATAATCTCATCGATGTTTTGATCAGAATCAGATAGCTGATTGCGGACCCACTTGCTTAGTTTTTGTCTAATATTTTTCCTCGAGTATCTTTGGTCAATTAGGAAAATCGTTGAATAATCATTAGCATGTCTTATGCTTCTGCCAATACTTTGGTTGACTGCTCTCATACAAATATTCTCATAAAAATCTCTAGATGCATTTGCGGCTTCTGATCGAGATTTTCCTTTGGCGATGAGCGTTCGAACAATGTGGTTCTGCTTTGCAACCAAGTCTGTTGCTGCTGCATTTGGGTATGGAAGCCCGACTACAATGACTCCTCTGGCTAAATCATCAGCGAAATTTATACCCTCCGCCATTTTTCCACCCACAACGGCGAAAAGAGCAGCTCCTTTGAAGCTAGATTTTACAGCGTTGGAGTATTCTTGTAATGTGCTCTCCACTTCTTGGGAGTCTTTTGGCTCTTGAAACACCGTTTTCGAGCTGGAAATCCGTTCAAGAATTCCCGAGGAAGACCATAAAGAGAACACATGAGACAAGTACTTGTAGCTAGGGAAGAAAATCACTACACCAGACGGTATAGACTGACAGAGTCTAGCAATAAGAAGGCCCAATTCACGCATCATGGATGGTTGCGATCTTTTTTGAAAGGAAAACTCAAAATCTAAGTTGTTGGTTGCCTTCACTGCAAACACTTTCAAGTTCTCTTTTGGTATTAAATGGTCACATGTGAAGGTTTTCACAAGGTTAGAGGGGATATTGGGAAATAAGTAAGACTTGAAATCGTCCATAGGTTCCATTGTTCCTCCACAAAGTAAGACACATTTCGCCTGGGATAAGACATCCTCGAAAATAATGCTAGGGTCCAACAAAATATACTGAAGCGTCACATTTTCTTCTTGCATATCCCAGATTATTTCCCCCTCATTGGATGTATTCGTTAGGCATTCGAGAAATTGCACGACTTTGAATAAAATTGGATTTGAACTCGATTGTTTTGAAATTTGATCATCGACGTGTTCTAAGTAGCTTTCAATCTTGTAGGCGATTTTTGACTTGGACAAATACTTGTTAAGCTTATTGACGTTTATAAGATCTCCAGTGTTGCCTTGAAATATCTCTAAAGGGTCAACTTTATCACCAGATTTGTATGATAGCGTTTTCGTCATGAACTTTTGAACAACTTGACAAAGCTTTATTAGTTTGACGAGATAAATTCTGTTTCCACTATTAAGGCGGCGGGCAAACTTGCTTAAATACAATTTTAGTCCGTTAATGCACATGGTCAATTCGGAAAGAGATAACCTCACCGAGTTCATTGATGATATTGTATCAATTAAATTGTGAGCCTCATCAATAACCACAATTGAGTTCTCGATCTTCAAGTCTAGTGATTCTCTCGCTGATTTCAGTAGAAGAAGCTGATATGGCAACGCAATGATTTCTGCATAATCTGTGGCATTTCTAACGGTGTAATATGGGCAGATCTCCAATTTTTTACCCAACAGTGCAACATCTTCGATATCATTTACTTTCACGAAGCAATTGTCGATGAAGCTCTTCGTTTTTTCCAGAACACCCGACTTTGTTATTTTTGGAAAGAAGTCGCATGGCTGGTCCTTCTTCTGAAGATCAACACACGCATCATTTATGGAATTTAGGTTACCAAGCAGCCTGACCTTATCATTGATACATAGCTGTTTTCTGGAACCAAGGGCCACAAACTTTGTATATTCGGTAATCTCCTCCAATGATGAATGGAAAGACGGTAGTTGTAATTGATGTGCGAACTGATATAATTGGGAATGCGTTCGTGAAGAAAATAGAATGGTATGAGGACATTCGGGAGGGTACAAGGATTCTACATCGTTGCCAGAAAGACGCTTCATTATGGCAGTATTCTCTGCGGAAAGCCTAGAATTCTTAACCGCGATCAGATTACCTTCCGAATCACTATGATAGTCGTTTGGAACGAACGTATCGTACTCGATAGACTCTTTCTTCTTTTTTAGATTATTCCTTCCTTCCAACTCTGTGAAATCAAGCACTTGGTCCTTGAGGCCTTGCAAATGCTTCTCATAGTCAATGGCTCTACCTTTAGTACGCGAGAGAATAGATTTTCTGTGCGCCGCTTTGACCCAATCAGGTTCATCATCGGAACTTTCATTCGAAGAGTCCAGAGCGTTACCTTTGTAAGCAATATTGGTGTCGTTTTCCTGCTTGAAATCTCGGAGCCATGTCATCGTGGAGCAAATGATAGATAACGTTTTTCCTGTACCTGTGGGGCTTTCAAAGAGGCCGACTTTAAAACCATTGTTTACGGTTTCATAGATTGCATCCATTAACTCATTCTGAATTTTATAGGGTTCATACGGGTGACTATAGTCTCTTGTCATTAACCACAAAGTGACGCGTTCGTTTTTTCGCATCCATATATGAGAATGGAGTCGTATGCAAGAATGACGAATAGTGTTTTTGCTGAAGTTTTAAAAGGAAAGAATTATTCCTAAACGTGAAGATGTTTACGGTGAACCTTTATTCAAGAAAGTCGAAATATCTTTGTATGAAAAAGTTATACTTTATTGTTCCGTTTGTATAACTTACGAAAGCCATTAAGTGTCTTCTGCGAACAATCTAATCCAATTTTGCCAACTAATAGGACACAAGTCTTTCTTTCATATTAACATATCGATTGTCCCTTGAAGTGAATAAGTTATAGTAATGGAAAGCGCAATCATTTGATTTGATCTGAGTTGAAGTTAATGTAACTACTTATGGACGAGAGCGAAAATAAATTTGTCTCTTATCTACCTCTGATATCACCCAAAAAATAATATACTCTTTATACAACAGAGAATTAGAACTCCCAACAGGCATAAAGCAATAATGCATCAGTACTTGTGGTAAACTGAGAAACGTTAACCTAGAGTCGAGTTCAACGACTCTTGACTCACTGTACTATCCGTTCTCTCTTAGGCCATATTCAATTGAAGTGAAGACGAGTCATACTAGAATCCAAAAACACATGCACTCAAAGGTGGCACTCTCTCACCATACGCTTGAACTTCTGCAAAGTTTCTTCATTAGCACAGGATCCACCACATACCACAACAACCACAATATCATCCTTCTTCAAATCATTCAAGCATATACCCAAGTAGTCCAACTGATTGTAGACTACAGAGACTGCTGCTCCGCAAGCAGGTTCAATAAGTTTCCCAAAATCATTATAAAACCTTAAAGAAGCCTTAACGGCATCAAGGTCATCAATAGCCCGTATGAATGACGTGTTGGTTTCACAATGCATAAAGTTTCTTAAGGTCTCTTCTGGTACATAAGAGCATGCTAATGAAGTGGCAATGGAATCCACTGATTTCAAATTCACCACGGCGCCTTCTCGGACCGCTTGGCTTAAAGTTGGGGCTTGCTTTGTTTCCACCAACAAACAGGATGCTGTTGACCTGTGCTTTCTCAAACCTTGGATGATACCATTGTAAAGTCCGCCACCTCCAACAGAACAAGCCACACCTCTGAGCATTTTTGTCTCTTCCGGTGTAAGCTGTTCCATGATCTCATCTACTATCGCAGAATGCCCATCCCAAATCAAATTATTGTCAAAAGGATGACAGTAAATGGAATGAACATCATTTTCAAATGTGTGCATGAGGTCTTTTGCATGTTGGCTCGCTTCGTTAATTGAGTTTCCATGAATAATGACATTTGCACCCAAATCATGGAGCCTGTTAACAACATGTGGCATTGTCTTCAGAGGTACAACAACTGTACAGGGAACATCATAAAATCTAGCGGAATATGCTGCTGCTATTCCGGCGTTTCCTCCTGAAGAAGCAATAACATGAAGTCTTGTATGTCCTTTTGCTCGAGCCGAAGCAATGGATTGTTGAACTAAGTGGCCGATTCCTCTCAATTTAAAACTTCCAGAAGGTTGTTCCAGCTCCATTTTAAAAAGCACTCGACATGGCAACTGATCTTTGGTTGATAAAACGTTGCTCACGTCTATTAGAGGTGTTTGGATTGATGGTGCGTGATCAACTTGTCTTGCTTCGATAGGAACTACCAGGGTCATGTTCGATATGATCTCTCGAGATTATTCTTTCCACTTCGAGGGATGAGATTCTTTATATACGGTGGACTTGAAAAACGAAGTCAAATATGCTGCTGTGCCATACTGCTCGAATAGGTAAGTTGGGTGCAAAACACATAGTGAAGTCAGGGCGCGGGATTGCAATTCCGGGATCCCTGTCGGAATTGTAATTCCAGACTTCCCTTTAATGTGGAGAAGCGTTTACCAAGGTCTGGAATATAGAGAAATTACTGTTCAATTCTTTATAATGGTGAAGATCATTGGCACTCTAGTCGTAGATTACTTGTATACGATTTGGGAGCAAGATTCCAAACCAAAGAACTGCGTTGAGAAGGTAAGAATTGACATTTCTCGAGGTGAACACAAAAGTAAGCGTGAAATGCGGGGGCAGAATACGAATGCTGGTGAATTAAAAAGGATCGTCTAAAGAGAGCTGGGGTGGATATTCGCAGTGGCGTTCCCTTTGAGTCAATTGCCAAACTAGGATGCCTTCATTTCAAGACATCCATTTTTATTGGGCAAGAGAGACTCACGCTGATTAAGTGGAGAATTTTGAACATCTAATAAATCAATTGACGCAATTTATACACCGTTCCTAGACTTACAAGGCGATCGGTTATGTTATGAGTCCAACCCAGAGATTTATTCGTAGATTCAGGCATCTGGCAGCATTGCACAAGAACTACATTTAAAGACATTGGGACACAAAATTGAGTAGCTAGGATGCCCTATCAACAATTAGTGTGCCTGAATTGCCCTTCATACTAGAATATTTTGTAACATCAACAGTTCTGCATTAAGGCTCGCTAAACGACTAGAGTGAGACATCAGACAGCTGCAGGAAAACCAAATCTCACTAGCAAGATTTATAACTTGCCATCCAAACTCATCTTCCCACATGGCTTCGCCTATTTTCATATCCAATCCGCCCCCTGGATTTTCTGTCATTGCCATACTAAGAGGAATGCAATTGGCTCTACTAGGGGCGTACCGGTCGCTTCAGAATCCGGGTCTTCTCCAGTCCGTATACTATGAACGAGTACTAGGAGCCATCATAATTTCCATGATTATCCAGCTCTCGCTCTGGTCTCCTGTCATTTGCTTGCGCATCCTTACAAAAATTTTCAGCTCTTTTGCATACTTGAAGTTCCTTGAGTCTTGGGCTGTGGCCCTCAAGGATTTCCAATTCAACGTCCTCAACATAAGTGCATTTGTCGTTTCTCTTTCTCAGTATTTCAGTAGAGATTTGGACGACTTATTTTTGGCCAGTCTTGGCTTCATCGATTCGGTCTACGTCTCAAAGCACCCAGATAATTCCTCCCACCAATACCACGACAATCTTGTCGCTTTGACCGATATAGATCTTGAGCAACATTCAGTACAATCGTTTTTTGATGTGGTCAAGTCCAAGTATGCATCAAGCAGGGAGTTTTCATTGTTTCTCCGAAAGCACTTAAACAATCTCATTTCCACAATTGTGCTATTTGTGTTGATCAAAATTCCTTTTGTGGGCCCAGTATGTCTTGGCTTGATCACATTCCTGAGTTTAAACGATAAGCTCGGTACTGTGCGTTCGTTGACAGTGTTTTGTCTCTTGATTTCTGTCCCCAATCAGTACTCTGCTTTATTCTTAAACACGTATTGGGGATCCCGAAGCATGATCCGCGATTTGTTGCTTCCTTACTTTTCGAGAGTACGTTTTACCAAAATAGAAAAAGAGCAGTGGATCAAATCTCGTGAAGGGTTGCTTTTTGGGTTTGGGTGTTGTTTCTATTTGGGCATCCGTCAGTTTCCTTGGATAGGGCTTTTGATATACGGCTTCGCTGAGTCGGCAGCCGCTTATTTGATCACCAAGGTTTCAGATCCACCGCCAAGCCAAGCAAGTCAGTTGATCCAGTGGAACCCAACCCAACTAGTCTGGAATAAAGCGCACGAAGAAAAGATCATCAAGGGAGAATTTGTTAATGATGAAGGGTTTGCCTCCATCCCGTGTTCCTTCATTCTCGAAAAGTCACATAAACAATAATCTAGACTCCGATTTTGGTGGAAAATGTCCGATTCCCCGTGTAAATGCAGTAATCGAGAACCTTGTACATATCTCTCAATATGATTGATTGAGAACCATCATAAGAGGAATATCTTTGTAGTTCTAACTCGTCCGACTTGTTTAATAATGTTAAAATTGGAAGGAATGATAATTCACACCTTGGCCACTTGTGCCCAGTAGTTGATTTTGCAAACTTAAGAAAATCGTCAGGTAAAGGTTTGGTTGTTTCAAGATTAAATGATTCGGTGCATAATTCAGATGATAATTTTATCGTAGGATTGACATCAGGGAGGTATTCGATGCCAAGGACCATTGCAAATGTTGAGGAGATGAAAATATCCATATCATGCTCTCTGTAAATAGGTTCTTTTGCATAATCGAGAATTATTCTAGCAAGCTGCTGTCTGAGTTTCTGGCCAATGACGTCCTGTTCGTCTGCTAACTCTACAATATATTCGGAAAATAACTTGGACGCTCTCTTTTTGAGAATTGAGTTGAATGTTCTCATTAATGACGTGTTCAACGAATAAACCCTTTGTAAAGTCTTAACATCCATATTATTTCGAAAATCCGTGGCCAATGCTTTGTGGAAAGACTCGTGTTCATTAGTGTTCAAAGAGATGTCTCTTGGGTTTCCCAAATGTTTTCGCTTCCAATCCTTAATGTAGTCTATCACGTCCTTTTCCGCAGATCCCGAACCGTCAATTACAGCTTGTGTAATTTGAGGAAGACCATTGATATCTTGCATAAACATGCCGTGTAGAAAGCTTAAGGATGTGACGTTCAATTCTGGGTGGTTCCACGATGAGCTAAGATCTTTCAAGGGAAGAAAACTCACGGAAAATTCCATTTTCGACTTGATTTCATGGTGGATGACATTCTTTGGAGCTAAGCTGTATACGCTAACAAGCACTCCGCTCGATGCCATGGTTTGGGTGCCATAATTATAAAAGTTTGCCTCTAAGTTATCAGTCCAATATGGTTGGAAGACTTTGGAGGGAGCTTTGTTTTGCTCCTTCAAGACCTTTAGCTGATACTTGTATAGGACATTGTTTAGGAAAGACGTCCACGTACTAGAAGCAGGTTTCAATGTGAGTTTTCTGTCTGAGCTTACTTCAATCATACAAGACTTGCCCGATTCATATGCAACATGGACCAACGTTGCTTCAAGTGTTTCAATTATGGGCATACCGGAAATCACGCTTCTGTATGGGAGATCTACTGCAGAATGGAGTCCGTTTTCATCCACTAGAACAGCACGTTGAGTGTCTGCCACCAACAAGCTTTGAACCTTATCAATAAATTGCATCTGCGAAACCAAAAACCTCGAGGCCAGTTTCAATTCCTGGGGTGGGGCTTTGAGTCTCCCATTCACATCAAGAGGAACCATATGAATAGAGTTATCGTTTAGCAAATAGAAAAGCTGTTGCGATGCCTGCGACCATACCTGCTTGGTGCAAAGACCACCGCAGTCAAACGTCTCAAGCGTCGGGAGACCTTCGCTTAGTTCGTGGATGGAAATTTCATTGGATTCGTGGGAAAGACAGAGAAAAAGCCGTCCGTCAGATGTCTGGCCGAAATCGAAGCTGTTGATTTTGAGTTTCAAGTATAGCAGATTAGGGATGATGATGTCTCCTTCCAGCGTCAATCTCTCTTGAGAGATTTTCATTTGATCAAGAATGCTCGTGAAGCTCCGGAATTTCACCTCGTATTTACTGGCATCTAGCGTATCTCTAGCCAAAACAAGTACTTCGCCTGTATTAAGCAAAACACCCAAGTAGCAATCTTTCCTGCTTTCAACGAGAGGAGACCACTTGTGGCCCACAATCATGGGCTCCGCTATACGGCCAAAGTTAAACAGGCTCTCACCGTCTTCGATAAGAATACGAGAGAATATTTGCAATCCTAAAGACTCAAGATTGTCAACATGAAAGATGGTACGAACATCATACAAGGCACTGGCGTCAAGTGTATTGATCATCTGGCCCTTGGATGATTTGCAGGAGACACACTGATGAAGTAATGGAAGTTTTGGCTCGAGTATGGTGATATGGTCGGAGTTATTAACTGCTATTTGCAGATTCTTGGAACATTGGACAGGCTCAAGGATACCTGTGCCAACTGTGGCACGCTGGACACGAATTGACTTGATCATAGCCCAGGATTAGACGTGTTGATGAAAATCAAGGCAAAAAGGAAAATCAATGCAAGAACAAAACAAACAAAAAAGATAGTGAAGGGTGCGAGGTTCGAACTCGCGCGGACAACAGTCCAAAAGATCTTAAGTCTTCCGCCTTAGACCACTCGGCCAACCCTCCTAATCTCACGGCTTCTTAATTAGAGCATAAATATTTCACACAAGTTATAGATATTAGAGAATACGAGGTTTATAGGATTTCTTACCAAAGCTTTGAATTTGCCATGTGGTCTACGTTTATGGAATAGACTTTGAGCGCGATTTAACATCTTGTTGGAAAATGGGAAGATCCAATGTATACATGCACATAATCATAAAGGAATTTAATTACTAGGAGCAGTTGTAAGGTAGAAACCTAGTCAAATGCTAATCCCAAGAGGCCACTACATCTACAGATTGGTCTTTGCTGGTCGTGAAATGAATACATATGCTACATAGTTCTATTTTAACTCTGGTGTTTCCGGTTCTCTCTTAGGTCTTCCTCTTTTCCTCTTGTTGCCGTCGGCATCTAGACTAGGGCTCAGGGGTTTGCGTCGCTTTAGTGACCCATTCACACGAACTCCCTTGATTGTCACCCCCGTTTGTTCGATTGGGAACTTACGTGGGCGCCCTCGGCGGTCTTTTTTCTCAAGCAATTGCTTAACGGCCTGGTCGTTCAACGAGCCGAGGTTTGTGCCCTTGGCAATAAAGTCTCTCGCGGAATCTTTGGGCGTGTTTCTCTCTCCGGCAGCTTCTATGCTCTCCTTGTGAAGCCTATTAAGACGCTTGTAATTCTCGTGCGACGAGTCAATATACTGGTTTGTGGACGGATCCAAGATAAACTTCTTTGGTCGACCCCGCTTTCGCTTTGTGCCGTCGCCTTCGATGGCAGACACAAACTTTGTTTTAATGGTTGTGGCGGCAGCACTTGTCCCAGAGGACGGTGTTTCCTCGTGCCCGCTGGACAAAGATACAGACAGCGACGCTGACTGTCGTTGCTTTTCTTGCTCGAGAGCACCTGACTGTTGTGCCACTTCGCTTATGGGTGTCAGCGTACTGCTTCCGTACGGAGTCTGCTGCGCAGGACTCTTGGTTGGCTTTGTAAATTCTGTTTGCTGTTGAGAATACATCGAGTTCACAGGACCCTGGGGCTGCATGCCGATCCCGTGGCCAATGTAGTTGAATGCGCCGTTCTTCTGTGTGCTGTAGCTGTTCTGCACCATTCTGCCATCCTGGTGGTATCTGAAGTCTGCGTGGTCATAGTGTTCCTCCGGATGCGAATATGCCACGCCGAATTGGTGATTTTGTATCAGCTCGTCGCGGTTGTGTGGTCTTTCAAACTGGCCTCTCTGTTCAAATCTATGGTCGAACCTCTGGTCGAACTGACCTAGTTGGCCCCTCTGGTCAAACTGGCCTCTTTGGTCAAATTGACCTCTTTGGTCAAACTGGTTCCTCTGCTCAAACTGGTTCCTCTGATCAAACTGATTTCTCTGCTCAAACTGGCCCCTCTGCATTTGCTCATACTGGTTTCTCTGGTCAAACTGACCTCGAGGAAGCACAAAGGCCTGGCTGGGAGAGTTCTGGTACCGGACCAGGGTTTGCTCTTGTGCCACGTGACTTTGCTGGTTCTGGATTGGGTTTGTGTTCGAAAGTTGGTTCTGGTTGGAATTTGCGTTACCACTCTGGCCCGAAAGCACGTTTGGGTCTTGGTTTTGCAGGCTCATATTGTCGTGGCTCAAAGCCTGCAGCGGCTGGCCGTGCTGGCCTGCTTCCTGCAATAACGGCTTCTGCTGAGCAATATCAACCAACTTAAGTGGAGTCGGCATCATGTTGGGCACGAGTCTCGTGACAGAGGAAATGTGGCTCGGCGCATTGCTGAATACTTGGTTGTTTCCGCTGGGATACAGAAGCGTCTTTTGGCCGTACATCTGCATGGGCATTTGTTTGTTTTCTGGAATGTTGGAATTAAGCCCATGGGCAACAGGCGGCGCAGGTATTTGCTTACCTGAGAAGGTGTACGGGCTGGTCATATTCAAAGTGCCATATAGGGAATGCTGCGGTTTCTAGCGGCTGTTGGGATTGAAGCGATGGTGTCTTAGATAAACAAAAAAAAAAAAAAAAAAAAAACTGCTTGAGACGGAACTATCCTGTATATGCCCAACGTAATGATGGGCCGGGATGGAAAAAAGTCGGTCGTATCGGAGTGGACAACAAATAGAGGACAGGAAGATTCAATGTTGGGGAATCTGGAGGAGAGTCCTTCGAAGTTGAATTTCGAAGAGCAAAATTTGAAACGAGTTTCGGAACGGCCTAAAGTCAGGTTCTGTCTATAGAAGAGGAATGCAACTGTATATGAAAGAGATGCGCATCTGGGGAAGTTCACCACACCAAAAAAAAAAAAAAAAAAAGAAAAAAATACAAACTACGAAAATACTAACTACGAAAATCCTCGAGAAGTTGCATTGGCAAACGAGATAGGCGCTATAAATACATCACCGTGCGCGGGGCAGAGTGTAGACAAGAATGTAGAACAGACTTCTTTAGTTGTGAATGATCAACTGTTTCGAAGGAATTTGCGAAAGCAAGGCATCTTGGAAAAAGTCCACAAAGTCCTTGGAGTCGGACAATTTGTCATCGTATTTGAGAGAGAACCCAACGACAACAGACTCGGGCGCAGACTCAGTAACAGTCTGGGAAGGCTGGCTCAAGCCCAAGAGTTCGTCGAAATCATCATAAGCATTCGAGACACCAGTAGCCGAGGTCTCGCCGATAAACTGGTACGACACGTCAAACACTTCAAAGCGGTCCTTGGACACAGGGGCCACGAGCAAGTCGTCGAAGATGTCGTCATTTTCGTAGAGCGACGAAGCAACAGGAGACCGCGAGTATTCGGGGAATCTAGTAGCGTATGTTTGTCTCTTTGCACTTTCCAATGCTCTCTCAAAGGCAAAGCGGAACTTCTCCTTTGAGATGCCCTCGCCGAGTTCGGAAGTGAATTCAATGTGGAGGATGTTGGATGGTTTGACAGGCTCGGCCGCTTCCTTTTCCGGAGCTTTGTCGGCCTTCTCCTTTGGCGGAGCGATTTTGATGTTCGACAAGTCCAAGTGCTCTCTGTCCTTGATGTAATTGGCGACCTTGGCCACAGCAGACTTGTCAATGTCTCCCAAGTAGGCCAAAACATCACCAAGCAAGATTCTGCCGTTTGGACCCGACGCAGGGATCTTGGCGTAAGCGTCTTCGGCAGAAATGTTGTGCTTGTGTAAAAGGCGCTCCACGCTGGGGAAAAGCGCCTTCTGTGGGTTGGCGGCGTTGAAAACAGAAGTGTCTCGCAGCTGGTCTGTCTTTTGCTGTGTTGGCGCAGGCTCTTGCTTCTTTTCTTGCGGCTTTGGAGCCGGTTCTGGAGCTTTTTTGTCCTCCTTCTTCTCGTCTTTCTTTTCCGCCGTGCCTTCCTCGAGCAGAGGCTTCTCCAATGTCGCCAAGTCGTCGCCTGGCTCGGCCAAAAACGCTATGGGTTTGCCCACAGGGATGCCTGTGGCGCCGTCTTGCACCAAGATGTCCCACATGACTCCGTCGTCCTGCGCCTCCACGTCAATGGTCGCCTTGTCGGTCTCAACCTCAAGCAAAACGTCACCGGCGGAAAAGGCGTCGCCCGGCTTGAACTTCCAGGCCACAATGCCGCCCTCGGTCATTGTTGGCGACATGGCCGGCATTTTGAACACCAGCGCTGCGAGCGCAGCCCGGCTTACGGAAAAGGTTCTGGTGGCTTTCACGGAACTCGCCAAAGTTCTGAACATTGTGGGGGAAAAAGGTGTAGCTGGGAGATGAAAAGAAGGTGTGCACATTTCGGACTCGCACCACCGACGGGCGCGACACCTCCGATGCGTGATGTTTGACTAGGCCAGCGGTAGCCATGGGGTCAATCTGGGCTTCGTTTGCAGAATTGAAGATCCAGCTGTGGCGTTTTAACATTGCGATCTTCTTTGGGAGTGTAAGGGAAGAGGCGATGGTGATGGTCATTGCGATGGTCGCACCGCCGAAGGGTGCGAGAATAAGCTAGTTGTATGTGTAGCCCAGGGACTCTCTTGAAGAAATACAGCAGCGGTAGCTCCGCCTGCTTGGGTGTCTGTTGCGATTGGACTTCCGCCTGCTGGGTATGTCTGTTGCGATTGGACTTGTACAGTAGTGTGACTGGGGTGATGAAGAGAGGTGATGAAGAGATGATTGAACTGTTGTCTGCTTTGTCTATTTTGTCGTTTGTCTTTTTTGTCATTTGTCTATTTGGATTTCAATCTCTGAGTATTTGTCCTTACTATGATGCATGTCTTTACCACAATCGTAGCGAATGCGAACATATTAGCGAATGACTGCAACGTCATTCTGGTTCCGAAGTAAATAGCTACTGGCCTTTGAATGTGCTGCTTGCTGTGGACCAATTAACCTAGCTTACGGTCTCATTGGTCTGCTGGTCGAACAGATGAATGAAAATAATTAATTAATTAATTTGTCGTATTGCGTAGCGTTTTGGTATCAGCATCAACTTCGTCAACATTACTTCAACTACATTACTTCTACATTACTTCTACATTACTTCTACATTTCTTCAACTACATTACTTTAACTTAATGAAACGGATGATGAGTATCCACGATGGTGGCCAATTAAGGTGAACCCTCAATCTTTTCAAACGTTAGAATGTTGAGCACATTTAATAAATAGTTTCGATTGGAACTTGTGGTAAATCTCTTAATCCCACGATCCCCACACGATAAGTGTGGGGATACTTATATATTCCTATATCGTAAATATGGAAATATTTTATTATTTATTATATAAAGCTTTAGGACGTTCCAGCATATAGTAATATCATTATAAATAATTTTACAATTATTCACGGCAATTTTATTTTAAATATAATAATATAATATTTATTTATATCTACCTATACCGTTATAGTAAGGTAAATTTGTATTCACACGGAGAATGTAATCGACCATCGAAAGTGCCAAATTTTAAGCAAGTCAGTGCATGATCTGACTGAGTTATTTCGATAATTTCACCTGTACCTGTGATCAAGTTTAAAATATCACGGAGAATTGTCTCTTGATGGTCAAAAGCGGCTCTCACCACTTTACTGTATTTTTTTGCCATTCACATTTGGTAAAGATTCTGCGTTCTTAATGCAAATATGCGCAAACACCTAAAAGTGAAAACGAATTTACACCATAAAAAATCGAAAGAACATTGCTTTTCAGCTACAAAAAAGTCATTAACATTATCCACAAGACTACATTATGAGCAAACTTTAATGCTGCGTTAGAGTGTCTGCAGCATTGAAATTCAGTGATTGTCACCTTAATACATGAATCAGCGTAACAAAGACGAAAAAATTACGAAGAAGCAAACCAAATGAAACCAAATCAAATCAAATCAAAACAAACCAAAACAAACCAAACCAACCAAAAATGCGCCTTCACTTCTTTAGCTTCGAAATACGGCCACACCTCCCACTGTTCATTTAGAATATCCATAACCATCGTCGCCGAAGTCTTGCATATAACCTCACAAAGGCCCGGGTCGCGCTACATGTCCATTAGGCCGGGTCACGTACATCACTTGATAAACTGAGACACGAAAACTCAGCGGCTACCTATACCTGTGCAGAAAAAAGAACGCCTGCAACAGAGACGAAAAACTGTCCATTTTTCCTCCACTTGCATACAACCGCTGATCACAGCAGTTTTTGAAATTTTCATCTCGTCAGAGTCTTCCCCATAGAAGCCAGCTTTGCATTACTAGCACCAACTGTCGAGGCTGAGTTTACCGCTTGAGCACTGCTTTTGACTCTCCTGGAGCATCCTATTGACTCTCCTGGAGCATCACTGATCCGAAAACAGTGGAGATTTGCATAACAGAAGTGCCTGTTCAATCCATTTTCCCTCCGTTTTTTCATCCATTTCTTTTCCCCATTCGTCCATTTCTTCACCCGATTCATTCCCCTTTGCATCCATGTTCGCTTCTCTAGATCGCCCGAACAGGTTCTCAAGAATACGGCACGTCCTTGCCAAGTACATGCGCTTCATTGGCCCTGGGCTTATGGTGTCTGTGGCATACATGGACCCAGGAAACTACTCCACAGCAGTCGCAGCAGGGTCTGCGTATCAGTACAAGCTTCTTTTTTCGATTTTCGTCTCGAATTGCTTAGCTGTGTTTCTCCAGGTTCTTCTGGCCAAGCTCGGAGCCGTGACCGGTCTAGACCTTGCGGCCAACTGTAAAGAGAATCTCCCGCCGCGGCTCAATATGTTCATCTACATTTTAGCCGAGATCGCCATAATCGCCACAGACTTGGCCGAAGTCGTTGGCACAGCCATTGCCTTGAACATTTTGTTCGGCCTCCCGTTGTTTGCGGGTGTCATTGTTACCGTGACCGATGTTCTCGTTGTGCTTATGGCATATAAGCCGGACGGTCCCCTTTTGTTCATCCGCATCTTCGAGGCGTTTGTTTCGGTGTTGGTCGCTGCCACGGTTGTTTGTTTTTCCATCGAACTTTTCCAGGTCCTGGACGACCCCGATTTTCTGATGTCCGAGGTGCTCAAAGGATTCTTGCCCAACGCTCAAGTCGTGGATATGGACGACCGGCCTGGAGGCAGCGGGCTCTTTTTGAGCTTGGCTATTTTGGGTGCAACCGTCATGCCGCATTCCTTGTACTTGGGTTCGGGATTGGTGCAGGCTCGACTCAAGGACTACGATATCAAGCATGGCCACTACGTTCCGGAGAAGGAGAGTAAGGACCAGAACCAGCAAACTCGAACCATTCTACAAGAGAGGGCCAACCAAAACCTGCGCGAGGGGCAAGAGAGCCATGAGAACCAGGACGAGACTTCAGACTGGCCCGAAGATCTCACAGACGACCATAGCGACTTTTCCTCAAACCCACTTTCGGTGGACGCACCTTCTCTTTCTGACTCTGGTTCAGGGCTTTCTTCCCCATACCGCCCGTCACTCCACGCGATCAACGACACAATGACATACACGATTGTAGAGTTGGTGGTGTCTCTTTTCACCGTGGCTCTATTTGTCAACTCCACCATTCTCATTGTCGCCGGTGCGACGTTGGGTGGCACGAAACGTGACGACGACTCTGACTCTGGATCTGACACCGACGACAACGACACAGATGGCGCAGACTTGTTCACCATCTACAACCTTCTCTCGACACATCTTCTGCCCACTGCCGGATTTGTGTTTGCCCTCGCTCTTCTTTGCTCGGGCCAGAGTGCCGGTGTTGTATGCACTTTGGCCGGCCAAATGGTGCTGGAAGGCTTTTTGCTGTGGAGCTTCCCGCCTGTCGTGAGACGGTTGGTGACCCGGGCTTTGGCCATTGCGCCGTGCTTGCTCGTGGTTTCGTTTTCGGGCCGTGCTGGTCTCGCCAAAACCTTGAATGCGCTGCAGGTGGTGCTCTCCGTCTTGCTTCCTGTCGTCATCGCGCCTTTGATCTGGTTCACGTCTTCAAAACGGATTATGCGTGTTCCCAACATTGTGCGCCTGGATGGAAGTGATACACTTTTCGAGAACGACCAGACGTTGCCGCAGGGGAAATCACTGCCATTCAATGTTTCCGACGCTGCCATCAGACTCCAGACGTTGCGCAGTGCTCACCCTTGCGCAGGCTGGGAGGACTCGGAAGATGACAACGAACACCACAACTTGCTTGGATCTTCGACGGCCGAACCTTCTGCGGCGGAGCCAGCGCCGTTGGCTACTCCTGCAGAGCCGGAAAATAGACCAGACGACGACGGATACGTCATTCGAGGATACACGGACATGAGCAACGGGCCCGTCATGACCGCCATAGCTGTGGTGGTGTGGGGTTTTCTTGCTTGCCTTAACCTTTTTTTGGTGGGCAGCATGCTTCTCGGCTACAACGTGCCGATGTGAGGCCGTCCATGTTTACTACCAGCCTTATCCTTTTGCATTTTCTGCCGGACCGAAAGATACACTTTGATATCCTGCGATGTTCTACCAAGACCTTATCTTCTTGAATCCGTGTACTATAGAATCCTGAGAACGCCCGACTCATATTTTCATCTGTGGGAAAACTAGCTCCGTTATGGGTTGCTTCTTCGACCACAGCATTTTCTAACGTGGACTCTTTCACGTCCTTTTTACACTACATGGTTCCAACGAACCCAACTGCGTATATCATCGTTTTCTTGGATGCTCAAGACGGACAACATAGATTAATAGCAATTTTAAAGATTCAATGTAGAGAACGGAGAGAAGGATCGGAAATGCTCGAGAACGCATAAAAATTTCCATGTTCCGAAAATGTTCTAGTGTGACAACTTGTTCTCTTATCCTACTACTTTGGTGAGAATCCACAAGAACTAATTCTCGGGTGATCTTCTTCTTCATTTGGACTGAGACTTGGCAATCTTGCATCTTTGCCCTTGTTGGCCCCAATTCTTCGAATTATTTTCCTATCAATGTAGCTTTCGTCATAATGCACAAAATTCTTCACTTGAATTCAATGTCTCGTACTCATTTTTGAATGCTTCAACAATTTATTTCCTAATCATTCAAAAAGAACAGCTGACTTGTTATATCAGAGGAAACACCCAGCTTTTCAGCAGTATGGTGATTTGAGCAATTATATAGTCATACCTTGGAGTTACGAGTCTATCTTTGGGTTGGTCATTTTTGGTTTGCAATTGAATAAAAACAATTCAATAGATCGCTTACGACTTGAATAACAATTTAGATTCGGCTCCTAGTGGTAACAAAAAGGCGAACTTCCACTCTGTACAGTTTGGTTGAAGTATTCATCCAAGCCTGTATTCGGTATGGTGAGAATATGCGCCGCGCAAAACCACCGAAAAGTCTCTAGTGTTCAGAAGCCCAAAAGTCCAAAACCACACGATGGAAAATTTCATTCTGGCCACGGCCGATCTTTTCGAGGCGTTTCCTGGGGCAACGGTGTCCATCACCTATTCCAACGTGGGCAAGAAAAACGCCGAGCCCAAACAATCTGCCGCTTCCCATATAGCCAAGTTCAAAGTTTTCGATGCCCACACGGGAAAATGTATAAGGTACAAAACGTCCAAATCGAAAGAAGTGTCTCGGATATTGACCTACCTAGGCCCACGTGGCGTGCTGGGCTTGAAGAGGCAACACGAGGGCGAGCATGAGGAAAACAAGAAACAGAGAGTTGGAGTTTCCAGTATCATGGCGAACTCCAAGTTTGAGGAGCCCGAGGTGACGGCAGAGCCTGAGAAGGTGGAGGAGGAGACGAAAAAACCCAAGAAGAAGAAGAAGGGCAAGAAAAAGTGATGCATATGGGGTACCATGCATTTAATACATATACGATAGTAGGAATACATTTGAAACGGAAGAAGATAGACCCGAGAGACCAATAAGATACCAACACCGAATTGTAGTATTCTATGAGAAGACTTAATCCATCTGAAGTATACTTTCTCAGCATGAATTTTGCATTTACAGGCCCATCATCGATATTGCTACTCTTGGTTGGACAGAAGAACGTACTTTCAGTATTTCGCGTTAAAAGCATTGAACTATTCTTAGTCGACTGCTTTTAGACTACCAGTTTGGGAACTACAATGTGACGGTAAAGATGGAAACTACAATGTGACGGTAAGATGGAAACTATAAGTCATGCGAGCTATGTTGAAGTCGAAAGAAAAATCGACATTACTAAACGCGACCAAGCATTGAATGTAGCCCAAGCCTGGCCTTCGCAATTACCACTCAACTTCACAGACTAATGGCTAACTCCACCTATTGAAATATGCTCTTCAACCGGCCCATGAACCCGTCGCGGCGGCGCTCCATAGGCTTGCGCTTGGGAGTCAGCGCATCCACAGTCTCACTGTCTGGCTGGAGAGCCCGGCCAGAAATAGAGCTATCGCAAGAGTGAGCGCCAAGAGTGGTAACCTCCTCGTCTTGGGGTTGCTGGGGTCTTGTTCCGGCACGGGAGGCAGTTGGGGTGATGTCTTCGGGGGCGTTACGACGCCTCGGCTTACCGTCGGGCTCGTGCGGATCATCGTCGCTGTCCTGCGACACGTGTTCGTACGCTGAGTCCGACGACGGTGGGATCGACACAGACGCGTACAGCGACTCGGCCGTCAGCACGTGCGTGAGCTTGTCCTCGGGCTTGTCGTCCTTGTCGTCCTTGTCTTTTTCATTGGATTCCGCCTCTTGGGCGTCAGCCACATTGGCACCAGCAGAGCCGGAAGACGCCGACACCTCGTCAGCCTCTGAAGCCTCTGAGGTGGGTTCACGTACAAACTCCTCCACAGCAGTCAACTCGTCAGCGTCGACAAAGTTGTTGAAGTTGCCATGCTCATCCAGAACGGTTTTGAGCTCCGGGTGGGTGACCCAGTCCGAGCCGTTCAAAACGTACTTGAAGACAATTCTCTCGCGCGCGGGAAGCTTGACCACGGCTTCAAAGTTGCCCGAGGAAGAAGGCGTCAAAACGCCGTCCTTTTGTGCCCAGTCATCAAAGCTTCCCGTCGCAACCACGGACTCTATTCCAGGAGAAGCGGGCCTAACCGTTAGTAGGGACACACAAGTCATTTGCAAGAGACATACCAGGTGAATTTGTAGGTGTAGAAAGTCATGAGCGGCCAAACAAGAAACAAGCAGTCAACAATATTATCAAATCAACAATATTATTAAATCAATATTCAACCAATAATAAATCAGCCTAAAAGTCAATTAGTAGTCGATTAACACAATCAATTACTAGATTGAACGCCAGTAAAGAGAAGTCAGTATTCGACAGCCAGAAAACACAGATATCGAATAGCAAGGCGCGCCAGAAAGGAGTAGAAGAGTGTTTTCAGGATGTGGCAGAAATGCCCTGGATCAGATCTGATAAGAACGCGCAAGATGGCACTGCACACAGAAGCCCCATGGGGCCCTTTTCTGTGGAGATTTGCACACAAGAACGGCCACTCGGAAGGAACACCAGCCGCAAGCCGCAAGCCGCCCTCGCCACGGCCACTTCCACTTGTTCACGGCCTCAAGAGGCGAGCCAGATGGAAAGTGGATCCGCTGTGTGTGCAGTCGTGCGGTTTTCCATTAAAATTAGTCTTAGGGATTCTGCGCGCAGAAGAATCACGCCAGACCCTCCACAAGTCTGATGGAAGCGACTGCAGGCAAGGAGGCCTCAGATCACCTGAGAACTTTGGTGAAGGGGCAAGTGGCACGGGGCCTGAGTGGCACGGGTGCTGAGTGGTCCTGTTCTTTATTTTCTGTCCTTTTTTTTCTGTCGTTTCTTTTTGTCGTTTCTTTCTGTCCTTTGTTTTTCGGCCTCACTTCGATCGTTCTTGCATATTCTGATGCATGGTTATTCTTCGACTTCGCGACTACTGTGCATAAGCAGTTTCACATCCATCGTATGGTGTTTTTCAGATCCATCGTATGGTGTTTTCAGATCCATCGTATGGTGTTTTTCAGATCCATCGTATGGTTGTTCCAGCTTATCCCGAGCTTAGTAAATGGTCGTACTATGAAGCTCTTAGGGCAAATATTCTTTCGCCAACTGTAGATATGAACGGGGCATTGAAAATCATCTTCATTGACTTCTCGGTGAGCGGCGTATGGTCTAATCTCTTGTTCAATTCCATTTTTTCGCCTCCATTCCCTCCGGCGGGCTGGTCTCGAACTTCTTGTCCTTGGCCTCCGACCAGTTGGTTGTAAGAACAGTTCCGTTCGACTCCACATACGACTTCATCATGGCTCTTCTGGTGTCGTCGTCGACGTCTTTGTACAACTTCGCAAAGAAGTTTTCTGGGTTTTCGTCGTCGTCGTCAAGCTTGAAGTTCAGCCAATTGACCGCTTTTTTCGACAGGCTCGGATACTCAAGCGCAACATTGGCCTCTGCCGCTCCGTCGCCTTCCAAACTGGGCCACTTGCGTCCTTGCACTTTGGAAAGCGCGATTTCCAACTTGGTGCTGTACACCTTGTACTTGGACTTGTGTACGTCAATCTCATCATACAATGGGTCTAGGTTATAATTGTACTCGGAACTGTCGCTTCCAGGAAAGCACACAGCCACCTTTCTGGGCTCAAACTCAACTTTCAACGTCTCCTCCTTCACGCCCTTGGCGTATATGGTGACGGTGATTGTGTCGTTGTCCTGATACCAGTCGTCTCTAATTTTCGTTTTGAGTGGAGCGCTCTTGTTGATGGTTTCCACCGAAGTGGAGCTGGCCACAGGCTTCTGCTCCGGTCTAGTGTCCACCGCAGTGCCGGCCTTTTTGGCGTCCCGCTCGGCCTTGGCAAGCCAAATGTCCAACGCCGGCTCCGCACACTGATACTCTTTGGCCTTGCGGAAATTGACAAGTGCCGCTTCGAAATCTTTCTCCGCATAGAACACCAACGCGAGCCGGTAATAGCACACGCCAATGTCATTGCGGCGGCCCCGTTTTTGCGCCACCTCGAATGCTTTGGTGATGTCTCTTTTCGCATCGTCATAGTTGCAGAGCTTGGTGTATGTGACTGCTCTTTTGACAAGAGCAAGGAACGCTTCCGGGTTTTCTTTGAGAGCTTCGGAGTAGTGGCCGACTGCGCCTAGAAAATCCTTGTTTTCTGCCGCAATGTCGCCGTGTTTTATGCTGAGTTCAATGGCCATAGTGAAGAATGGTGTGGAAGAAAGCGCGAATGTTGCACCGATTTGGAACTGCAATGCTCAACTACCGAAGGAAAATCGAAGAAAATAGAATAGGAAATAGGACAGGAAATAGAACAGGAAATAGAACGGGAAATAGAACAGGCTAGACACATTGATATATTCAAAGAATAATATAGAGATGGCATTGGCAGTGTTCTGGACTCCGTATCTGTTTTGTCTAACTTTATCGACAAACTGCAATGTCTTCTCTGTCTCTCTGTCTATATTGATGTTCATGCTAAAGTCCTTAGCTTTGCAATCTAGTAGGTCTGCTACACGCCCTAAAATTATTTTATGGTAAAGTCCACATACATTGTATACTGTCTATAAATCACCATATTCTGCGCCAGAACTTCAGCCACTTCGACGCATTGGCAGCGATAGGTTTCTGCTCCACATTGGGCAATAAGAACCACGCCGTCAACATGACCGCGTAACTGGCAATGAAAATCGGCAAAACAACAAACGTGCCCACCTGTTCCGCCAATAAACCAGTGAGAAAGGGGAACACGGCGCCTCCGCTCGATCCAAAGGCCGTCATGATTGTTAAGCTGACCACCTGGATCTTGCGAGGAATCATGGCCGAAACCACAGTGACCATGAGAGGATATGTAGGACCAATCAGAACACCAGCCAAGCTGACAAATATACCCAGGGCCATGGTGCTAGGTACAACCCATGTCAAAATCACAAAAGCGATGGACATAAAAGCCAACACTATGATGGTCTTGCGGGCACCAAAGGCGTTATGCAAAGGTCTAGTGAGAACCAACCGGCCAAAAGTGAGTCCACCCCAGAACCCACTCAGCACGTAACCGTAGGACTTTGTCGCATCTCTGTAATCTAATAAATACGACACAATCCAGCCTCCCAACGAAACCTCACTTCCCTGGTAACACAAGACAAACAAGGAAATCAACCACGTGATTCTGTTGGTCAAGGCAAGCTTCATGGCGCCCTTTGTCTCGGCTGCAGACACTCTCTCGGCATCCACAACGTTTGCAATATGGACACCCCAGTCCTGAAGCCCCACGCCATCTTCAGTTTCAGCCGAATGGGGAATCAACTCCTTAGTCTCTTCATCGTGGTCCCAAGGCTTCAAATCCTCGTCTGCCCCGCTGAAAGCGAACCAGCAGTTCACCAAGTTCACCATCATAAGCCCAAGCATGATGAAGTAGGTGTAGTTCCATTTAATTCCCCTGTTCACCATGGTTGTGGCACAAAGCGGAGAGATGGTGGCACCTATACCGTAGGAGCCATGGAAAAAGGCCAAGTATTTGGAGTTTTTGTCCAATTGCGAGAGAAACACGTTGACTTGCGCAAGGACAATTGCAAGCCCCAACCCGCCAAAGAAAAAACCCACCACAATCACAGGAAAGGGCCCTCCACTGCTGACCATGGCGTTCATCACGATCGAGCATATGCAGCCGAACGGAATCGACTTGTGTTTTCCGAACCATGGCTGGATTTTGTGTGAAAGTGACGCTACCAAGATAAACCCAAGCGCATTCAGCATCCACACCAAAGACACGATGGTGTAATTGATATTGTAGGAACGCTCAATTGTGGGCAACAACGCACCGGGCGCCGCATCGGAAAAGCCGCCACAAAACGACCAGAGACAGGCGGCCACGATTCTCCACATGTTTTTCGGTGGAAATGAAGACGTCATGATTTTCTTTTCGTGTACTTGTTGAGACAGCGAAACCATCGGAGTTAAGTCGACAGGCGTGTCTGGCACCGAGCCTGGATGAGGATTGATGGCTTCAAGGTTTATCAAATGGGTAATGTCATCGTTGGAAGGTCTTGTCAAGGCGACAGGCCGAGAACCGATCTTGATTCGACCAAAATTGTCTGTTACAGCGATTGGAACTTTCTTCAGGTTCAAAACCACAGGCTCCTGGCGAGGAAGACTCATGTTGGAACTGAAACAGCAGATTAGTAATAAAAAAAAAAAAGGAAAAACACTGACAATTACTCGAGGCGTTAGAAAAATACGTCAGTTTCGTGCATTTATAATCCAACTTAGTGCATCCTGCATTTCTCCGCAAAAGAAAGATGAGGCTGAAGACAAAAGATAACAACTCTAGTGCCTATGACATCATTTCCTAAGGTAAACACTCGTTTCGGCAACCCAAACACGGAACGGAAACCGGATCTGCTGGAAACCTGAAAGAAATGTCCACCAATTTCCATGCATTTGAGCCCTCTCCAAATTTAGAAGGCCCATCCCCAGACCCTGGGGCTACGTGCAGGACAATCTATGAAAAATGACATAATGTACACACCCAAAAACACAAGAGAAAATTCTATGTTTGTCCAGCAGCCTTAACCAAATCCAAGAATTTGTTTTTCGAGATTTCTGTCATCAACTCTTCTTTTTTGGACAGACCCACTTTTTCTTTGCTGATTTCCTGGTTGGTTTTCACCTGCGTAGCCAACACCGCATTGAATAACCTCACAACACCCTTTTGGGCCACTTTCTTCATTGCTCTTTCCCGTTCGAGCGCCTCTCTGACCTTTTCCGGCTCATCGGCATTAGGCAAAAGGTTCTTGATTCTTTGTTTGTCGCGTAAATCCTTTTTTTCCGCCAGTATCAATCTCTTCGCCTTGGCCTCCAACTTGTCCGACTCCAATTTCTTGAGGTGGCTCTTGTTTCTGGCCAAAATCGGGTCCTTTCTGTCGTATGCCTTCAACTTGGACCCCAAAATGGCGTTGAATGCCGTAGCAAAAGTTCCTGTTCCATCATCACTAGCCTTCTTTTTTCTCTTCGTAGGAACCTTGTCGTCGTCGCTTTCAGAGTCGGAGTCTTCTTCGCTTTCCGACCCGCTGCTTGCAGCGTTTTCGTCATCCGAAGAGACATTGTCCACGTCAAACTCGTCGTCTAGATCAGAATCACTGGCTTCTTCAATTTCTTCTGAGGAAGCGCCTTCTGCCTCCAGAGACAGCACTGGCTCATGCGAAGGAGAAACATCGTTCTCTGTTTTCGTGCTCTGGGTTTTTTCTTTCGAAAGCTTCTGTTTTTTTGTCACGGCGCCCATTGCTGAAATGTACTAGTTGGAGCATCTCATCTGGTAAATTTTGGTACGCCATATATGCACGAATGACTATACACAGCACCAAATGATGCTTGACCAAGGCGGATGGATTGTATTTCAGATCACGCTGGCGGATATCTAGAATTGTCTAAAGACTTTTTGAGCCAATATCTGAAAGCCAGGTTTTTGGCCATTTTTTTTCAAGCCAAGTTTTGGTCAAATTCTCCTCATTTTTCTGACCTAGTTGTTCTGCGAGCCTGGCTGATATGACATTCTGACCTCCGGTAGCATGGCCATACAAATTCCGCAACATTGATAGTACCCGCTCGAGTCGAGCTTTGAAATTCCGTCTTTTATGCCGCCCACTCAATCAACACAATTTTTTTCGTCAACCTCCAGTTGATTGGATGTGATACCATATGGAAGGTCCTGCAGACTACCCCAGTTCATTCTTCATTACTTTTGCCATGTCCGGAAGAGGAGGCAAAGCATTAACACTTGTGGCCGTGGGTGCTATTGGATGGTATACCGGAGTCAAGTTCTGGCAGCCGATCATTGTGTATGTTCTTTACGCGATCTGAGTTGGATTTATACTAACGGAAAGTGAACAGCTCAAAAAGGACGGAAATCTCAGAGATGACGTCTATGTCAAAGACTACAGCGACCAGCCCAAGTCGTGGCAGGACGTGAAAGACAAGGTGAAAGAAACCTTGCATCCTGGAGTTGATTTCGACAAGAAGCCAGAAGACTCGCCCGTTTCGGAGGCAGGGAAGTAGCCAATCAGATTGTGTAACAAAAATACAAAGAAAAGAATAAAAGCAATTGCAGTGAGCTCTATTCCGGCGAAGGTCATCGCCATACTACTGAAGAGAAACGTTGTAGCAGATGGGCCAAGTGGATTAGGTGTGGATATGGGTTGTGCACATAACAATGTAGATGTCCTTTCATCTCATCTTGTCGTTTTTTTCCACCACAAACAGTTGATCTTAATTTCCAAAATGGGAAAATTGAAAAAGGGCAGAAAGTCCCAAAACAGAAGACACAACCCCGTGGCAAGAAAAAACGGCGCCTCGGGGAAACAGGACTCCAAAGAAGAAACCACAAGACAAAACAAAATTGTTCCGCTCATCGCCAAATTATCTTCATCTGCCACAAACGACCAGTCGCTAGCACTTTCGACAATTGGAGTGCTTGCAGAAGATGAACAAATGAGAAAGTTGCTTTTGAAGGAACGTTTGGTGGCCACATTGGTGGAAGAAATTCTTAGCAAATCCAGCGACGATGAGCTTATTGTCGAGGCATACGGGGTATTGAGAAACTTGACTATAGAGGAAGGCTACGATGTTGCAATGCACTTGTGGCGGTTGAAAATCTGGACCTTCATCCAAAACGGCCTCGAGAAGATCCAAAAGTCGTATGAGTTCTTGAACTCGGACCCTAAGAAATTGGACAAGAAAAGAGCACACTTGTTGTTTGACTTTACTGAAAATGTCTTGTCGCTCATTGTGGCCATTGCCAGTTGCTCCGAGGATTTGTACGATAACATTTACGCCGACATTGATCCTGTGGTGAAATTGGTGATTGACGTACTCAATTGGAACATTCCCAAACTCAGAACGTCAACCAAGTTGTTCAATGCGTTGCTCGACTTCATTTACGAATTTGCATCTGACTCCGCTGCGTTTGTTTCGGACTTGGCAGCGCAAGAGTCCTTTTCTTTGGCCCTGTTGGAAGAGGCGGTCCAACTGTCTGCACATGCGCAAAACAACTTGGGCAAGGTCATTGTGCAAGGCATCAAATTCCATCTTTACGAGGTGCAAAGCAGCTTGGAAGAAGACAAACAGACTGCATGTTTATCTATCTTGAAGAGCATTTTCGGCACAATCACACAACTCGATCTTGAAGAGATGAACCGTCAATTGAGCCAGAAGGAGAAACTCCCCGAACCCAAGCCGGCTGATGACGAAAAACCACAAAACATTGACATTGCATTTGGTTCTGACTCGGCCGAAAAGATCCAGGCGAGATTCGATCTCCAGGCCATCGATGTCACCATCGATTTATTCACCACCATGTGCGAATATTTGGCCATAAACGAAAGCCATGTCGAAGAGTCGGTGTCTTTAAACAATGAGCTTGTTGCATTTTTGTTGGATGTTGCCTTTCCCTCGTGCTTGCATCTTTTGAAGTATAACCACGAACATGCGCAAGTGTTCCAACTCACAGTCAAAGTGCTAGTGGCACTCAATAATTTGTGCTGGTTGTTCTTGTCAAACGAAACAATCCCAGTCGAATGGTACACCAAAATTCCACTTTTGTGGGACGCCGTGGACTCCGTTTCGGTGCTGGAAAATATGGAGGTGCAGAAACTTGTTCTTAGCATATTGTGGGCGCTTTCAAAGAGCGTCGGGCCCGAAGTACGCAACAAAGTCACCCAGGCACACATCACAGGATTATTGGAGAAATGCACTCAGTTGACGCAAGGCCTGAGCATCGCCGATGAGCCTGTCGCAGTTTACGAGTTTCTATTGTCTGCTATTGGCTTTTTGGGCTCGGTGGCCCAGGTTATAGGAAACACAGACATGACCCGGGAGATTGGCGAGTTCCTTTTGTCGCAGATTGCGCATTATGTTGTCGAAGAAAACCATCATAAGGAACGCAAGGCGGTGGAGATCCCGTTCGAGTGCTTGAACTTGATGTACGACATATTTGGCGACGCTGAGTACGACTATGACTTACCTGTGTTTGTGGAAGGCGCCTATCTTGATCGTCTTAGGCAATTGGAGCCTGCTGTCAAAACGTGCTACAAGCAAATTGACAAGAACCGTGACAAAGACTTGAAGATTCGTGCAGAAGAAGTGTATGGGAACTTGGGTCGTTTTATAGTCTACAAGGAGCGTGAGAGGGCATGAGGAACAAAAAATGAACGATTTTGATGTTTTTGGGTGGCCAATTGTCTTGCATGGTCAGTACTAAATGTATAATAAATGTGATACTAGTATGGCGAAACTTTTACCTCATTTGAGTTGGGAAAGATCTTGTAAAGTTTTTTCTTGGCCATACAGTATTGTCTTGTATACGCATTAATAGCTTTAGGGTTTGAATACCGACTTCCAAGAACGTAAGACAAGAGCCCCAATAAGCTCAAGTTGGTTCTTTTGCATGCATGTGTCTAGTGCTCATCTTGGCCCATTTATTTGAGTCACTTACTTATGCCTACTAGGACAGTTCTGGCTAATACTAGGAAGGTTGACTTAACTGAGATAAGACTAAAATAGTACATTTCAGGACCCCACACTTTAATGGACCCTGTATACTCCACCTCAGGATGCAACACGCCCAATCCTCTAAGCCTAATATTGCTCCATGTTAAATTGCTTTTTCTTGCATCCCAACAAGAAAGTTGCATTAGTTGAGGGCAGAAACTTCAACTGGGTGTATTGTGAGTAGATTGTAGAACATTTACGAAATATGGTGTGTTACTTCCTGTACGACCCAATCCGAATTAGCTTTCAGAATTCCGCAGAATATAGTTTGAAAGGCTACACTTCCCTATTGAGAAATCGTACGGCGACATTTATCTTTTTGTCTTTGTTGAGCCTTCTTGGACCATTTTCCTTCCTTTTGATCAAGATTACTAAGAAGCTAAGTATGATTAACATCAAGGTTAGGACTATACATCCGCGCTCGGCGAACAAAGTAATCACACTTCCGTAAATGGATTAGGCATACATTGCTTGTGCAGTCACTCCACTTCGGTAATTGGAATGGGAGTTTTAAGCGACGGTGCGGTTGTCGGAGCTTTTTTTTAGCATCGGGTGTTTGAAGCTCTTGCCGATGGAAACGATTCAAAAACAACTCTGCTATTTGGAATGTAGGGAGATCAAGGAAAGCGTGTCCCGTCAAGATCGAGTGACGTAGTGAGGCGATTGGGGCTACAGATTTATTGTATTACGCTTAGTGTAAACATGGGAATTCATGAGTTTAGGTTTCATTTAGTATTACACTGGCTTGACATGATTAGTATTACACTGGCTTGACATTAGACTTCGGGCTTGACATTAGACTTCGTGCTTGACATAGAATTAGGCCGACAACAGGGGTATCCTATTCCACGTTTACATCTTGAACCTTCAATGTTGAGACGATTCCCATTGCTCTCAAGTTCCATGACTGTCGGGCAAAAATAGAGAGGTCACTCAAAACCGTTCTCGATTGAGCGCTCGAAAATTGACCAAAACAAAAATAAACACATGGTTACCCCCCGGCATTACTGCACTTTAGCACGTTTTTCTGGTTTTTTCCATGGGTAAAACTTTCGACGAACCAAAGATAACCAATAGCCCAGGCAAGATGCAGTATGCGGCAAGCGTTTGAAGCCGCGCGTGATGTCCCCATTGGGCAAATACCCTCACACATTGCCGCGGCGTGACGTCATCCGTCAACTTAATAGCGCCGTTGCATGCACATTGTCTCGCTTGCACAGGCGGCCCATTTGACATAAGCTTTGGCAGAACGGTCAGATCGTCGCAAGAGACATGTCGTCGGGAAATAAAGTGGAGCAATTGTTTGAAAAGCGCAAAATCCAGCCCGTATCAGGACGGAAAGCCAAACATGCGGGGCCCAAAACGGAAATGGTTAAGTCGGTGGTTCCTGACTATGCATGCATGAAAAAAAGGAGATCTTTGCCATATGGTGAGACCTCGCTATTTTTAGCCCCGAGCCATCGAAACCACCAGTATATAAGAGTGGGAAAAGACCCCGAGTCCTTCTTTCTTCTCCATCAAAAACAACCCACACAAAAAAACTAATATTCACAATGAAGTTTTCCACCGTCGCTAGTGCCTCTGTCGCTTCTTTCGCTGTTGCCGATGCCTTCAAGTTGAAGGTTTCTTCTGACGACAACCTGGTTTCCGGTTTCGCCTCCAGCATCCACGAGGGTGCTGGTATCAACTACCTTCTCGTTGCCCCCAACGGAGACGAATTGCTGGAAGAGGGCGGCCAAATTACCTCCTCCGCCGTGGCTGGTCTTCCTTCTCACTTGGGTGTTCTGGCCACCTACCTTGCTCTTGGCCCAGCCATCACCCCAGCCCTGTTCACTTTCGACAACAACGGAGAATTGAAGGGTGACAAGCCATTCTACGCATGCAACAACGTCAACGACCCATACAACTACTCGCAGAAGCTGAAGATCATCATGGTCGCCGACTCTGCTCCAAACGACAGCTGTGTCGAGGTCAAGCTCTCTAAGGATGGCGACTCTGGCTCCGGTTCCGCTGCCTCCTCTGCTGCCCCATCTTCTGCTGCTCCTTCCGGCTGGTCCAACGCCTCTACTACCGTCTACGAGACTGTTACTGGCTACACCACCTACTGCCCAGAGTCCACTGTCGTGACCCTCACCACCTGCGAGAACCAGAAGTGTGCTCCTACCGCCGTCACTGTCACTGAGGCCACCACCCTCACTGTCACCGGCGAATGTGTTGTGCCAGCCACCTCTGCTCCAACCTCTGCTGCTCCAGTTCCATCCACTTTGGTTTCTTCTGCTGCTTCTTCTTCTGCTGCCCCAACCCCAAGCACGATTACCCCAGAAAACGGTGCTCAAAAGATGGCTGCTGGCTTTGCTGGTTTGGCCGGTGCCGCTGCTGCTCTTATGCTCTAATGGGTTTCCCTTTAATTTTCTTCTGTCGCTATTATTTTATTCTGAATAAAACGTTTGTTCCTTTTTGAAACTTGTACGAGGCGAACTAAGTCCTTCTGCTATGATCCTTGAAGCTGTAGAGCTTTTAGCTTTTGTTGTCTCCCAATGCAATCGTGTGGTATGTTTACTATTCTGCTTCATGAGGAAGACAAAGCTATTTCACTGGGAAAACCAAATGATTGGAAACTGTCAGTCCTCTTCGAAGAGCCTCAAAATAAGAAAGAAGCAGTCATCTCCATTACATTTTCACTTGTATATGTAATCTGTCTCTCGTGAATGACCCAAATACACTTGGTGTTACTTCCGACGAACTTTATTTCGCTTGCAACAACGGAGTGGAAATGCCTCTCTCGAAATTCAGTGTAATTGAACTCAGGTTGGTCTTCATCAATCTCTCAACTGTGTATATCCTATAGAGAATCAGTTACGTTAAGCTAATTCTGATACCAAATTTACATTTGACAAACCGGCATACTTACACAGCCTGGCCATGTTTAATGATTTTGCCAATTATTTTGTTTATACCATATTCTAGTTAAACTACAGCATTAATTCCTGGGTTTCAGCTACATTAAGGATGTGAGAAGACATCTGCTGATTTTTTAATTGTTTTTTGCTTGGATTTGTATTTTTTATTGATGTTGGACGTGTGTGACTTCTGTAGAGACAAAGAAAATACAGTAAAAAAATGAGAACCTAAGGAAGGTGTCCTACATAAAAATGAAACAAGCCAATTAAAAAATCATTCCATAAATAATCTTTCAAGAGAAAAGAATTTTAACCGTCACTTATTCGTACTAAAAATGCCTGAATAGTAGGTATCAGTTTGAAAGTATCACAAATAAACTTTATCCGTTATTCTCAATAAAAAGCGGAACCGAATTATAATGAGAATCATAATCTTGAGACATGCTAAGTTATACTATTCTTTTCCGAATCTATGGCTTTTGCACGGAATATCACCTAGATTATGAGTATGTAAAAAATATTAAAAGTTATGCAAATCGCTTGTTTCACTCTTCATCTGACCGTAAGATACGCGCTGAGCATATTCTTGATATTTTCAGGAACTATTACATGGATGTTAATGGTTCATGTTTTAGGAAAAGCAAAGGTGTGAGCAACATAATCATCAATCATCTCGGACTGAAACTTTCCGTTTATTGTAACAAATATGCTACAATTAACTCAAAATGTAGTGACAATTCAGATCTCATCTAGACTTAAATTGCAAAAATCAAAGAATTATCTCTCAAGAAATGGGAGAATGTAACTTTCCGGTTCCCAACCGCACATTTGTGTGTTTATTTAAGTATTCTCGACCATGACTAATGAGTCGAAGTTGCACGACATTAACGGTTCTAATGTCAGACATTCTGGAGGTGCAAACGTCGCAGACGTCGCAGATGTCGCAGATGTCGCAGATGTCGCAGATGTACGGGTTTCATAACATTGGTGTATGGATGTTTGTCAATTTGGTGTACGGGTTTTAGGATGGTGTACGGGTTTATAAGGTTTAGAATGTACGGGTGTATTTGCTTTTGTGGCACTCACCTACACCCGTTTTCGTGCCACAAAACCGATTTGCACCTTCGTACTACATTTTTATTTAGCTGACTAACGATGAAAGGTATTGTTTATCAAAATAACTTGAAAAGTACCTAATTTCTAGAGCTATTCTGAATGAATATATTAGCCTCCTTGTCTGAGTGGGTTGACACGCTCGTATAATGATTAAATTTAGATTATGCATCTAAAGTAGCACAAAAAAACTCTTGGTGTGTTCTTGATTTAATGATTCTATATGTTTTACTGTTGGTATTTGTGCTTGATTAGATTTCGCTCAAAGAAAAGCCAATTCAAAGTATGGATGGGTTTTATTTGAGTACATTGGTCCTATCAATGCATTCTAAACGACTTTAATAAAATCCTAGATCTCAAAAAAGCATCCAGTGTTAGAGGTGTGGGATTTATTCGTTTTATACTTTTTAAAGTCCTATAGTTACATTCTATTCTTTTACACATTTCTTTTTCACTAGTCAATATCTGGTGGGTATGCTTGTTCTTCCACTCCACTTTCATACTCACTATCATCAGAATCAGATAAGTGAGATTCACTTTCCGAGTCTGTAGCACTGATATTCTCATCCTTTTCACTGACTCCTACCACGCCCCACTTGATTTTTGTCACGTCCTCTAATCTTTCGAGAATTTCTGTCATGGGGGTAAACAAACCAAACTGTCTAAATTCTCCGTCATACAGATGGAGCATTCCCACTACCCCTAGTCCCTTTCTTTCCAGCGACCCCTGCACATCCTCGAGTTTAGTCAAGATCCAGGACCCACTGTCGCCGCCTGCAGCAAAGTAGGTTGTGCTATCGTCGGAGTTGACCACAAATTCCGACGAATGTATCGCTCCATCCAACCAGTACACCAACTTGATTCCATTTAAGTTGCCTTTGGTGAATTTGGTGGTAGACCCATACTTGAAGACAGGAAGCCCATTTGTGGAGTACAGATCTTCTGATTCCGTGATGACAGAATCGACAGAGTCGACTTCATTGATATTGTCCATGTCGATCTCTTTGGTGTATCTGTTGAGATTGATCACTTTGCGCACGTATAAATTGTCGAAGAACAAAGCTGGGTCATACTCGTTGAAGGCGATATCGTCTCCAAGATAGTTCTGGTCGCATTGTAAGAGCTTATTGACTTTGATGATGGCCAAGTCACTTAATCTCTTGTCGCTGATTTCCTTGCCAGTTTTCGTGTTTTTCGCTTGGATCAAAGTACGCTCTCCCCAAATGATTTGGCCAAATCTGGTGCGAGGAAGGTTTCTGACTTCTGTCCGTTTCTTCTTGGTTTTAGAATCTGTCACAGTGACTTCTTTCAAAGGAAATATTTCGTCTAGTTGCTTCAACACCAGCGCATATGCTAGTTTGGAGTCCATGACAGAGTTATCGCCTTCGATATCGTCAAGCTTTTGATATTCGGCTGAAAGGGCCTTCTTGTACAAGCCAATCAAAACAGACAGCGGAGAAGACACGTGTGGATACTCCACCACATCTTCGCTCTTGTTGAGACAAACATGGCCACATGAGAGGGCAAATTTGGAATTTGCATATGACGTGAGCTGTGGTTGTGAAGACACATCGATTTTAGGATAGATGAAGCCTCCCATTGTACCGGAAATACGAGACGACGTTTCAACAGATAAAGATAAAGACATGGGCGGTCTCATGGGGTCCGCCGGGTTTCTGAAGGGAAGCTTGAATTTCTGCACATTCCCAGCAAGAGGAGCGCTTGTCAGAGAAGCGAGTTCGATCTGGTTTTTGGCTACCATGACATGCACGTCATCGAAGAGATCGGTGATGCTGCTGATGATCCTTTGGTTGTCCTCGGTGAAGGAAGGATATCCAAAATACAAACACAAAACGTTCATATCTCTGTCGATACCACGAGCAATGGGAGCTATGAACGAGCCGTTTTGCTCCTTGAGGCCCATCGGGCTGTTTGCAATTTTGGAAATGATCCGGCTGATCTCCCGTTGGTTGGGCAACTCCTGTCCTCCATTGACGCCGACAGCGAAGTTGCGAGGCTTCTGGATCGAATCCGGGGCCACCGCAACTCGAGAAGAGCTTTTGAGCGTCAAGCGGAAGTCATTAAAAGCCTTGCACAACAACAACTTCAAGCGGATGTACGCATCGTCCTTCAACAAGTTGTCGTAGTAGTGGAGGTAGGTGCGCAAGAGCTTTCTCACATCGTCATTGTTGTAGGAAGTGAAGCACCACTGGCCGTCTAGAGCGTCGATGTTTTTCACGGACTTGCGGAACTCCTTGAACCGGTCCATGATGTTGACAACCGACGACGACAAGTTGTCTACCGACGTGACGTACTGGTTCAGAATGTACGAAATGTCCTGCCACAAGGAGTGGAGGCGGTCTGCGATGATCTCCTCGGCGTTGGCGTTGGCGTCGTACCGCGTCTCCTCGGGAATCTCCAAGATCTGCAACGCCTGGCCGTACTCGGAAGCCCGGTTCTTTTTCGCCCGGCTGCCACTGGACATGTACGACGATTGCTTGGTGGAGCTCGAGTACTTGCTGGAAAACACCGACCGGGTGCCTGCCGACGCCAGCGACGTGCCGACCGACATGCTGTTGGAGATGCAAGGGTTTAGGTTGAGGTCTGGGTCGTTGGCAAACTTGGCGCTGGAGTTGTGCTGGAACATGGGCTGGAGATCTTTGAGCGAGTCGGATTCCGAGTGGACACTGGTGGTGGAGGCGGCGCCAGAGGCACAAGGCGTTTCCGGTTTGCTGGCGGGCGCAGACTCTTTTTTCTGCTTTCCCAAAAAACTTTTCATGGTGTTGGAGTAGTTGATAGCGATTACAGTGCCGCACGAATACAGTGCCGCACGAATGCAGTATGATAGCGCAAGAAGATGAAAATTTTATGAGATAAGGACGATATTAAGATGGAGAACGAATTTTAAGATGGAAGAACGAAATTTAAGATGGAGAACGAATATTAAGATGGAGAACGAAATTTAAGATGGAAGAAAACGAAGTTGGCAGAACGTAGTTATCACCATAACCATGAAGGAGCATGGCGTCTGTCAGCCTAATATTTGTAATCGAGCTCTGTAGCAATACATAACGGAGATAACGTTGCCACTTTCTCGAAGCAGAGTCTGATTACAGAATCTGGTCTAGGGAAGTACCAGACGACTTTTCAGTCTCAGTTCTCACTACACTCTAATTACATTCATATACTCCTAGAGTGTACGTGGATATGAGGACGAATGAGAGATGAACCGACGATCAAATTGAGATTTCACGTAGCTCTCAATTTCTATACTTTGATGTAAATCCAGACGATTCGTGACTCTTCTTACAAGCCCATTTGGACGACTAAGATCCAATGTCATGTTCTTGACTTCTAGTCTACTTCGCATTCCAGCAAAAGCAAGAAGCAAATTACTTGAACAACTACAATTCTAACCAAATAGAATAGCTCCAAACAAGACGCCTAAGTTCAGCAGCGATTCTGCTCATTTAAGATATTTCTCTCGTACTGACTCCTTCCATGCGTATAGTTGAACAATGGCCCAGCCTCTATAAAGGCGGTATCGCGTGACACTAGAAACTAGACAGCTGGGGAAAAATTGGTCCATGGTTATTTTCCCGCTTCTCTGCGTCCCGTCATTTGAATTACGTTGCGTTTTCTACTTGGTTTTCCATTTGTATTTGAAGTGTTTTCCAGTTGTTTTCTCGTTTTCTTGCTTTCCATTCTTGTGCTTGGTCTGTTTTCTCCAGTTCTCACCTCGACACATTCTGTATATAATAGGGTTACCTTCCTCCGCTTTTCCACTGGCACTGCGATTCACGGCACGGTTTCTTTCTTTCCCGTTTTCTTTCCACAGTTCCGACTCCGCCAAGAGACGCCTTGTGTTTATTTGTATTCTTGCGCCCTTCGATTCCGATCCGAGGCCCCCATATCCTGTTAAGAGCCGTGTGCTTCCGTTGGACCCTTCCCTAGTCCAGCCATGCCAGTTTATTCCGTTTCCCATGTGGAGAATGTCCGAATCTGTGTCATTATGGTGGGCTTGCCCGCACGAGGCAAAAGCTTGATTGCCCAGAAAATCGTGCGCTATCTTCTGTGGCTCTCCATCAAGTCCAAATGTTTCAATGTGGGGTCGTACCGACGGACATTGGCCGGTCCGCATGTGAGTTCGGATTTCTTCGACCCCAGCAACAAAGAAGGCATGGAAATCCGTGCCCGCGCGGTCGACTTGGCCACGGCAGACATGATGAAGTGGTTTGCTGAAGAGAGCGGTGTGGTGGGCATTATCGACGCCACGAATCTGACCAAGGAAAGACGCAGCAAGTTGCTCAAGTTGTGCCGCGAGAACCTCATTGAGCCGATCTTCTTGGAGAGCTGGTGCAACGACCACGACCTTATTTTGCAGAACATAGCCGACGTCAAAACCACGTCGCCCGACTACGCCGATGTCGACTCTGAAGTGGCCACGCGGGACTTTTTGGACCGCATCCGCCGCTACGAGGCCACGTACGAGACGCTCAATGTTGAGGACGACGGTGCCTTGACCTTCATCAAGTTGGTCAATGTCAGTCTGCAGATCATCGTCAACCGCATCGAGTCGTACTTGGAGTCTCGCATAGTCTACTACGTGATGAATTTGCACATCAAGCCGCGGTGCATCTGGTTGCTGAGACACGGCGAGTCCGAGTACAACTTGACGGGCCAGATTGGCGGCGACTCGAACCTCTCGGAGCGGGGATGGAGATATGCGAAAAAGCTCCCGGAACTTGTGTTGAAGTCGCTCGGAGAGGAAAACAAGCACACCAACTTGACTGTGTGGACGTCCACGCTCAAGCGCACACAGCAGACGGCGTCGTTTTTGCCGTACAAAAAGAAGTTGGAGTGGAAGGCGTTGGACGAGTTGGACGCTGGCGAATGCGACGGCATGACCTACGAAGAAATCGAGCAGCAGTTCCCCGAGGACTTCAAGGCCCGCGACGACAACAAGTACGAGTACCGCTACCGTGGCGGCGAGTCCTACCGCGACATTGTCATTCGGTTGGAGCCCATCATCATGGAGTTGGAGAGACAGGAGAACATTCTTATCATCACCCACCAGGCGGTGTTGCGGTGCTTGTATGCGTACTTCATGAATGTGCCGCAAGAAGAGAGCCCGTGGATGTCGATTCCGTTGCACACATTGATCAAGCTCGAGCCCAGAGCGTACCTGACGATAGTGTCCAGAATGAAGGCCGATATTCCTGCGGTCAGCACCTATAAGGAGAAGGGCACGTCGCAGCTTGGCGAGCTGGCTGACAGTATTTCTGTCAAGAGCAGGGATATCATCAACCAGTACACGGACATGGCAGGGCGTTAGGGTATAAGAATAAAACCAGTACTTAGACACCTACGATGCGCATGGATGCAATGGGTGAAGATGGGTCATCTTGTTAAATCCAGAAAAGTGAAGTAACGACGCAATGATATGATAATATGGTTGAACACTAAGTGGGCATTCGATGTAGGATGATTGGGTGAGTAGAAACTGTAAGCGATAGTATGGATTAGAAAAAAAGTAGTAAATGTTTCAAACACTTGGTCAGTATAATCGATGAATATTTGCACTTTACTCACCTTAGCCTCACTTGTCCAAACGAAAGGCATGCTTTACTTTCCATAGAATATAAACAGGTCTAGAGTCTTCAAATGGGTAAGCGATGTCTTTGAAAAACACTCTTGAGGCCAAAGTAAAAAGCCTTTCTGAGTGGTTGTTTAATATAAACGCTAGCATCCAATAAAATCCAAAATTACTGCTGACACATTCAATCCAAAGCTAGCTATGCGCATTAGGGTAGTGTGAGATGAAAGAATGGATAGAGGATACGGAATCAACTTGGCTGCTACTTAAAGCAAAAGAATTCGATCCATTTGACGCCGCCCAAAAATGATAAACTTTGTTACTTTGCATGTTCTCTAGTGATCTGATGATGGATACATTTCGCAGCTCATACATTTAAACGTGCCATCGTGAAGACAAACGGCATATCCCGATGTATCTTACGGAGTTAAACTACAACTATATCTCAAATGATTTCGAATTATGGCCAAACAGCTCCAATACATGTCCATCATGAATTTTGGTGTCTAATATGTATCATCTGATGTACTGGTCAAAATGATTGTGGATGTTCCAAAAAAGTCTAGAGAAAACGCTGCATTCCAATGAACTGGCTATCCTTCTGTTACAGAAACATCTATTGGTACATATTATACATGGCTAAGTGGCCGTGGCGTATCTTTTCGCCTGCTCCTTCACCTTCTTCTCGTAGGTCGTTCTGTCCTTGCTGAAGGCCTTCCACGCGGGCTCCTGGGCCGGCGAGTCCGGGTTCGGGTTTGTGAGAAGCTCCTGGATGCCCAACACAATCTGCTTCAACGTGATGGCCGGCCGCCAGTCCTGCGACTCGTTCAAAATCGACAAGCACACGGTTCCGCTCGGGTACACGTTCGGATGGTAGAAGCCCGCAGGAAACATCACCTTGGGAGGCTTGGAAGGGTATTCCTCGGAGAAGGTGATGCTGACGGGGTATGTGGCGTCGGCCCAGAGCGAGTTGGGCTTGCCTGGAATGCCTGCGTCCCAGTGGGTCAAGTCCAAGGAGCCGTCTTCGCTTTTCTTGGGTCTGGCGTAGAAGCCGAACGGGTGGTCCTTTCTCCACTGTTTTCTTTCCTCCTGCAACCGGGTCTTACAAAGAGACATGGTGTCGCGGGCGGTGGTTTTTGTTGGAGATGTTTTTGCTTTGGTTTTTTGTGCGCGCGGCCTGTACATGGGGCGGCGGCGGCGGCTCCGGGCGAAGATACTGGGCGAGAAAGGCGCTTGGCCGCGCGACCGCGCTATCTATTGGATGCTTTGGCCCGATATCTTTTGGGCGAACGCTGTCGGCGAAGGCTACCGAATTTGGCTGTCTGGACGACCTAACTGGGCAAAGTGGGGAGATCTGGAAAAGCCGGAACAGCTGGGCGCATGGGCACATCCTGTTTTCTGTCCGTCCATTGGCCCTAATGTATGTACTTCGCCTGACTTCCCTCGCCCAATGTCATTTTCACTTTCGGGCTGAAGACCCCACCATGATTGCATGGAGGCACCTTGACGGTCTTTCTGGTGTACTGTTGCATTCATGGACTGGTCTGGGCTTCCTGCCGTAGTCGTTCTATCACATTTGAGAGGCCGTCAGGTAAACAAGTTGTTTGCCAACATATTCGATGTGAACGTAAGTCCTCAAACACTTCAACTGGATCAGTTCTGTTGGAAAATCATCCGAACTCGCGTTCTAACAGGCTCATTTCCAGTATTTGTAGCCTTTTTGAGCACATCCGTCTTCAAAATGTCTAATTCACGTACAGGTGAAGCATGAGGTCGTCAGGAATTTGCCATACTCTGACTTTGCAGGACTCCTCGATGATAATTACTTCAAAATGTTCAGCTACAAACGAGTACGTTTGAGTGGCTAGTTCTCTCTGTCCCATTTGACTTTCAAGCCTTCTGGCTTTCGCAAGCATACACAAGGCACTAAGACGACCAATGAAAACTCTAGTAAAATCACTCGCTTCCAACTAAATTACACAAACTAAATCGGCTTGCCGTTCTCCTATAAAATCTATCATGGTGTTCTTGTGTTGCTACTGCTTTGCATCGCTCAACCGTCTATATTCTATTGGGCTAGTCATAGCGTGGTTTCGTCTACATCAATGACAAAACGCCTCTTTTTAACGTTAAATCACTAACAGCCTCACGAAAAGATGTAGATGTCTAGACTATGGAACGCTCAGATGCTTTCCCATTAGCCTCGGCGAAAGTGTGGGGTGCCTGCACATGTGACTTATCACCAACTACTTTCTTCCCAATGGCCGATCCAGCTCCAGAAAAACCCGTGCCGTCTGTGGCTCCAGAAGACAATGACAGCGACTTGGACGACTTGTTGGACGAGTTCGACGAGCAAATCTTGAGCCAGCCGCCAGGTGTGGAGAAAAAGCAAGAGTCGCAGTCTGCCACCACCAAAGCTGAACCGGCCGAGGAAGAGTTGACACACGATATCGAAAAGTTGATCAAAGACCTCAAGATCGAGGATCCTGAGGCAAAGGCGCAGTTTGAGCAGCTAGTAAAGCAGTTTGAGCAGACAGAGGGGCCCAAAACGGCCGCCTCCAACGAGAAAGTGCAGAATAACACGACACCAGCGCCGTTTGACAATGTCATGCGTGACACCATGCAGCGATTGCGGCAATCGGGCCAAAACATTGACGAGCAGTTGAAGAACGACCCGGTTTCGGCAAACCCGGAAGATATGCTTGCGCAACTTCTTTCGGGAATGGGAAGCGGCGAATCGGGCGACGTGGACATGTCGAAGCTTCTCACCGACATGTTGGAGCAGTTGCTGTCGAAAGAGGTGCTTTACGACCCGATCAAGGACCTCAACACGAAGTTCCCCGAGTATTTAAAAGAGAAAAAGGGCGTCTTGCCCGACGACGAACACCATACTTATACCAAGCAGTATGAGCTCACGACAGAGATTGTCGCTGTCTTTGAGGCGCCAGAGTACAACGGTGACGACGAGGCGACGCGTGATAAGGTAAACGCTTTACTTGAGTCTTTGCAAGAGTTGGGTAGTCCGCCAACAGAGTTGGTGGGAGAGGACAAGGATTTCCCTGGATTTGGGGGAGAAGAAGGCTTGGACTTCAACTCGAAGGACTTGCCGCCTGATTTTGAGAAGGAATTGGAGCAAGGATGCAAGCAAACGTAGAAGCGGGTGCTAGGATTATGTACTTGCTGTCGATTGTTTTAGCTTCCATTCGCTATTTCATTTGGATGCCTTTTATTGATCTAATATACAGAAAAGTGCTACCTTATAGTACTAGAGGGTATACTCTTTAACATGCTTGCAACTCTTTTATCTCACATCACAGATAGTGCGCAGCTATTATACTTCCTGATAACTTTTCAACCTGAGAGGTAGAAGAGATCTTAAAAAGCTCGAGGGCCTTATGAGGTATCGGATTAACAGGAATAATTATCTTTACATAAATATTCATCTCTATCGTATTCCATCTTCAGTCTTTGTCGATGTATACACTTTAAGGCGAATAAGCAGTTTCGTCGGTAAGAAATGGCATGTTTCACCACGCCTGTGTATCGATATTATGGTGCTTTGTGACATGGCTGTCTATTTCATAATTTCGTATTCTTTCCTTCAATTGCATTGACCTTTCCCATTTCTATCTTCCATAATCTTCAGTAGCTGCTATCAGATGCTTAGTTGATTCCCTTTTTTTCTCGATCTTTTCTTTAGAACGCTTTCGTAGATGTTCAGCCAATGCCTGTGAAACCATTTGTGCAATAGCCTCAACTCCATGCTCTCCCTGGCTTCTTGCTGGTAAATCAGAGATCAATCCATGAGAGTCTCTAGACATCAGCAGAGTGGAATTTTCAATAGAGGCAAAAGTGTTGGACATTTGTGCAAGCTAGTGTATTCAGATGGATATTATCGGGATGGGGATGATCCTTAGAGAAGAATCCATGCTACAGGGAAAAATGGTGATCCTATATACTTGAGTTTCTCATGAAGAGACCTTTGTCCATGGCATTGCCAAGGCATTGCCGTAACATCTTCTATGATAACAGGAAAGTGCTCACCGCATTGACATGATAGCAGAGAAGAGCTCACGTCTTTTCTGTCCTAAATTGGTAATTTTGGAACGAAGAAAATTTTAGATTGTGTGCATATACGTCACTGTAGTTTGTTCTCAAGCATGCCACTAGTTGCATATAGCATCGGCAAAATATGCTTGTACGCAAAACGTGCATGATGCTGCATATATATTTTTATGCATGTACAATCAAGTTATTTCTTTCCTCTTTCAATCTTCTGAGCTTCCATCGCCGTGTGACACTTTCGAAGATAAGCGGGGTGACGTCCGAAGAATACACTGGATAATATGCTAATGAGATTTTCCAGTAAGAACTTACTCTAAAACAACCCAATTCAGCACTGTGATATACAGATGTATCTTCTTTGGTACTTTAGATACGATAATATGAAACTACCTTGTGAAAAGACTGGGAGCCGATGATAGTTCGTAATACGGCGTCACAAATATTGACACACGAAACACTATGCAGTCATTAACTGGTCTCTACCTGGCCAACTTCGGTGGCCCCTCATCCACTCCATCATCAGTAAGCCCCCTTGTCCTTTCTTCGTCTCAATACCATGGATTTATCATTTGTTTGTGTGATGTTTGTTTTATCATCTATCCCTTATTACTTCATTACACGCTTACCGTACCCTTGGAGTACCATAGTTACTTGCGTTTACGGATTCCAACATTTCAAATTTATGGCAACAGGCGTGGCCTTGTATGCCACAATTGTTTGAAAGAGGTGAATAAAACTTTTGCATGATATATAGCATTATCTTGCGTACATAAATTTGTTTCTACTATGAATGAACTTTGTTTACCGTTTGCCAATAGGTGTTACCTATTAATGTAGTGAGCACGCGAGCAATTTCTCTATTCGTTTCGATGAAAAGAAATGTGTGGCCAAGTAAGTCGGTCTATCGATATTATCATGCTCTCTGTCACGGTTGCCTCTTTCACCATGAGATTGTTGATTGATTTCGATTTTATAACGATGCCGCGTGATTTCCGTTTTGTTCACAAATGGCCTCTTTTTTCTAATTTTCGTGAATGCGACTCCACTAGCGAGAAACACAGGAGACATATAGGCATGTACTCTCACAGACGCTTTCTTCTTGTTTAATTAAGAGAGGAACGAAAAGATTTAAGGCGAAGAATCCAGAGTACATTAGATAGCATAAACCAATTACAGCAAAAATTCTATATACGCATCAGGTTTTGGCTTAATGTAGTACGCTTTGCCCAGTTTCTTGTAAATAACTTTATTAAAGGAAAAGGTAGGGAAAAAGCCGCTGCTGGTATTCTACGTCTTTGTGAAACCAAACTGTTTCAAGCGTAGTATGCGTTGTGTATTGAGTAAGTCATTATAATTATTGTCTCAGATGATTAGTTCAATCTATTGTCCTTTAGGAAATGCCATGGATCCATTCGGAAAGACATTTGATGAGCATCTACATGCTCAAGCCGCTCCGTTGGGCAAAGGCAGTGTAGTATTCAATCATGTCCGGGGTGATTCCTCGCGAGATGCCCTTCAACGCATGGTCAAAGTGGCGCTCCTCCACCTTTTCACACGCGCTGTCCTCCATGATGGCCGCAAGCCCTGCCTCCTGGCAGAGAAGCGCCACCTCTGCGCCCGAGCAACCTTCTGTGGCATCGGCCAAGCGCGCGAAAAGCTCGTCCGCGCCGTCGACGGAAAACTTGGCGCAGCGGCGCGCAATAAGCTCGCGGCGGGCCTCGCGGTCGGGCGGCGCCACGTAGATGTGGCGGTCCAAACGGCCCGGGCGCAACAAGGCCGGGTCGATGTCGGTGGGCCTGTTGGTTGCCGCCACCACCACGACACCTTGGAGCTCCTCGACTCCGTCGATTTCGTTGAGCAACGACGTGAGCACGTTCTGGCCCGCCAGGGTCGCCGACTCGTCGCGGCAGGCCAAGGCGTCGATCTCGTCCAAAAACACAATCGACGGCGCGGCCGCGCGCGCCTTGCGGAAGATCTCGCGCACCGCGCGCTCGCTCTCGCCCACATACTTGTTGAACACCTCGGGGCCCTTGACGGCCAAGAAGTTGAGGCCGGACTCGGACGCAAGCGCTTTGGCCGCGAGCGTCTTGGAGCAGCCGGGCGGGCCGTACAACAAGACGCCCTTGGGCGCGGAGATGCCGAGGCGGGCGAAGGTGGGCGCGGCCGAGAGCGGGAGCTGCACCACCTCGGTGAGTTTCTGCTTGAGCGCGTGCTGGCCCGCGATGTCGGCCCAGGCGACGCGCGGCATCTCCAAGAAGATCTCGCGCATGGCGGACGGGCGCACTTCGGCGAGCGCGGCGTCCAAGTCGCGCGCCTCCACCTGCGTGTCGACGTGCGAGCCGGAGGCGAGCGAGACCGAGTCGATGGGTCTGTTGTCAACCGGGCCAGCGCTGCTTTCCGTTTCAGGGATGCTTTCCGTTTCAGGGCTGCTTTCCGTTTCAGGGCCGTTTCCCGTTGTTTCACTTTGGTGTCCCGTTGTTTCACTTTGGTCTCTCGCGAGCGCCCGCCCGATGGCGCGCATCACGCCCTCGCGGCACACGGCCGCCAAGTCCGCGCCCACGTAGCCGTGGGTCTTTTCCGCGAGCGCGCGGATCTCCGCCCGCAGAACGCGGCACCGCCTCATGCGCGCAAGCTGCCGCACCAAAATGTCCTCGCGCGCCGCCGCGTCCGGAATGCCCACCTCCACCTCCTGGTCGAAGCGGCCCGGCCGCCGCAACGCCGGGTCGATCGCGTTGGGCCGGTTGGTGGCCCCCACCACCACAACGCGCCCGGCGTCCGCCATGCCGTCCATCATCGTAAGAAGCGTCGCCACCACGCGCGACTCTGTTTCGCCCGCATCCTCCAGCCCGCGCTTGGGCGCCAACGAGTCGATCTCGTCCATGAAGATGATGGCAGGCTGGAACCGCACCGCCTCGGCAAACACCGCCCGCAACGCCGTCTCGGTCTCGCCCAAGTACTTGGACACAATCAGCGGGCCGTTGACCATCAACACGTGCGCCTGGCACTCGTGCGCCACGCACCGCAAGAGCATGGTCTTGCCTGTTCCGGGAGGCCCGTGCAAGAGAATGCCGCGCGGCGGCGAGATGCCAAAGTCCAGAAAGAGCGCCGCGTGGTGGAGCGGCAACTGCACGGCCGCGCGGAGAAGCGCCACGGGCCGCGCAAGGCCGCCCACCTGGTCGAACGCAAACGGCTGCGGCAAGTGGTACTTGCGGAGACTGTCTTTTGTGGCCGCCACGCTGACCTTGGTGCTCTGGTTGACGAGCAACACGGGCGCCGGCGGTCTCAGGTCGAGCGAGAGCGCCTCGAACTGCGCCGCAAGGCTGTGGGCGTCCACCACCGTGAACCGTTTTCCCGCGTGCTCGAGCTGCATTCCGGGCTGGACGAGCGCCGCGGCCGCCAACGCCTTTTTAACTGTAACGTTAACTGCAACTGTGTCTGTAACTGTATCTGCAACTGTGTCTGTAACTGTGTCTGTATCTGCAACTGCATCTGTAACTGTATCTGTAACTGCATCTTTCTCCACATACACCTCCACCAGGTCTGCGTACGGCGGCTGGCGACTGTACTTGTCTATTGTGACACGGTCGCCGAGCAAAAAACCGCCCAACGAGCGGAGCGTCGGCGGCACGCAGATGACGTTGGAATCGACGTCCGCCGACGTGGCCACGATGGCCACAACGCTAGCGCCGTCTTTGCGGAGCTCCACAAAGGCGTTTTTCTGGAGCTCGAGCGCCTCGGCAATGTCGGGCTGGATGTGCACCGTGGTGGCGCCAGCGAGGCCGGGCCGCACGATGAACGCCTCGGGAAGCTTTATTTTCTTTCCTTCGGGCGCCGCCGAGCTTTTCTTTTTGGTTTTGGAAGACATGGAGATGGAGATGAGAGCGCGCGAAGAGAGAGAAGACAGGAAGAGGAAACACAGGAAGAAGACACAGGAAGAGGACAGAACAAAGACAAGAAGAGAAGAAGACGAGAAGAATACAGAAGAAGGACAGAATAGAGAATAAAGACAGAAAGACAGAAAGACAAAGACAGAAAGACAAAAGACAAAGACAGAAAGACAGAAAGACAGATCAGAAGAAAGACAGGAAGACAGAAAGACAGATCAGAAGAAAGACAGAACAGAAGAAAGACAGAACAGAAGAAAGACAGAAAGACAGAAAGACAGAAAGACAGAAAGACAGAAAGACAGAAAGACAGAAAGACAGAAAGACAGAAAGACAGAAAAAGACAGACTCAACTAGAAGACTCAACTAGAAGACTCAACTAGAAGACTCAACTCGAAGACTCAACTAGAAGACGAACAGAAGACAGACGTCCATGCTCCGCTTTCTCGCCCGCCTCCACACGGCCGAGGCCGTTCTGACACGAGACCTCTTCCTCGAGAGCGCCCACGTCTTTGCCGGGCGGCCCCAAACGCCGTCGTTTTTCGCCCGCTCCACCACAGACTTCACCTCGCTCTACTTGGACGGCGAACCGCACAACGAGAACATCAGCGAGTCCTTGCGCCTCGACCCGGCGTTCCAGAACCTACTAGAGGCCCGCACATCACACATCCAGAACTTCGTGGGCCCGCGCTTCCCGCTTTCCTTCTCCGACTTGCTCTGTGTGGCTTGTGGCCTCGCCAACATGTCCGTGCTGTGTTCGCTGCTGGCCAGCGCACTCGAGAACGTGGCGATCCAGCAGTCGACGCTCCGGGCGGTGGGAAAACGCTACTTTCTTTTCCAGGCCCAGACCTGTACCACTTTTGCCGATATGGGCCATCTTTCGGCCCACCACAAGGAACTAGAGCATGCGCTCTCTTTGCTTGACGACCTGCCCCGTCTCATTTGCGATTTCATGAAACAAAACTCCTTGTACGATGCGGTGATTCCGTATCGAGGCGCACATGCCGCAGGCCCTGTTCTGGCAGAAGAAGCAAAGAGGCTTCGCCTGCTCATCCGGAACCAGACTTGTGTGGGCAGCTTCTACACGTTGCTCGGTCTTCTCACGACAAAGTTTGACAAGGACGCCGTGAGAGAACATTTCTGGAACTCCCGTGTGCTCGATCCAAACACGGGCATTATCCGCATAGCCACAGACAACTACAACCGGAGCCAGACGTGACAGAATAAGAAGTGTAAGAAGTGTCTAGAAAAGTCTAAACATGAAACTTAGACAAGAACTGAAAAATACACCAAGGACCAAAGATTCAGCCATCTTGACCCTTAGCATGGCCGGTGACATGAATTACGAAAGGCCGGTGACAGCGACTAAGAAAGCTGCTACAATGACTCGCCTGTGAACTAGATTGGAAGTGGGTGATCTTGCCCAAATCCTAAGAAGTTGTACTCACAGACCAACAGTGTATATATGTCTGGATGCAACGACAATTTTCTGAGTCTCTTTCAAGCTTTAGCATTACCAACAACCTTCCACCATTTTTCAGACGCATATTATCACATTAGAGAATGTCCAAAATGTAGAAAACATCAGTCGTTCGTGATCTCGTACGGGAAGTCCCATATCCTATCAAATAAGTGCAACGCACAGTTCTTGAATCATTTTGGTATACCAGCATCAATGATGCCATCTATTAATCACTATATTAAAGGTACAACGACGCACAAAAGACAATATCTCTCTTGATACGCTCCTGTGCTTCGGACATTTTCGAATGCAACAGGGAATCGCCCACAATCAAAGCGGCGTCCTTGACTTGCCGGCAAATTTCGTCCAACCGAGTAATCACCCGCACAATTGTTCCCTCCAGCTCTACGCTAATTTCCATAATCTCACGGAACGACAACCCACGGGCCCACTCATATACCACGTTCAACAATGCAAACCGGTTTCTTTCAAGAAACTCTTCCTCTTCTGTAGTGAGCGACACTTGATACTCGTTATATATCTTCAACAACTTTTCAGAAATCTCCAAAATACGTCCACGACCTTTCTCCAATCTTGGAGTCATAGGAACGGGCTCCTCTTCTTTCGAACGGCCTTCATACACAAAGCAAGATAAGAGCGCCACAATTTCCTCCGGTTCAAAGTCACCCAAAAAGTTATCCAAAATCAACTCCGTCAACACCAATTCCCATCCAGAGTTGATTTCACACGCCACACGGCCCTTCAAGGCCACGTTCTGGTTTTTATCAATGAAATCCAAGCGCTCCAAGACCTGTAATCTCTGTTCATAATCGGGGAGCAATTCCAAGTTTTCATCCGAGATCAACTTGTTCAAAGATTCGATGTTCTTTTTGATCGACGCCCTCTTGTGGAGCTGTGAGTATATAGTTTTGAAATTTGGCCGACTGTATACGTCCTTTTGCGAGAACTTTTCCAAAACGTTGTTCTTCTTTGCAACTAATTCGTGTAGGGAAAGATGCATCGCCTGGTCGTACAGAACCTCTTTCAATTTGTACTGGAAATTGATGATAGTCTTAATGACATCCTCTGTATCCTTAATCGCCTGTGGATCATTCTGCAAAATCGATCGGATACTAATTTTCAACTTGTATTTGCTCACAAACTGAACCAGCTCGAATGGAACACTGGTCATTCTCAAGTCCCCCTTGAAATGAATGTTTTCCATGGTTTTCTTGAGGAAGTCTTTCACAGGAATGTACGGGATGGCATACTCTTTGCTCGACTGCTCGTACTTCTCTCCGTGGTTGAATGTCAAGAACACAATTTTCTTGTTGACAGAGTCCACCTTAAACAAAAAGCCAAACCGAAGAACTTCGTCCTGGTCTCTGAAAACTGCAAGTTTTCCAACATTGAGAAGATAGTTTCTGGCGATGCTCAGCGTTTCAACCTCAGACACTATGCGGCTGTAGACCCGTTGATATTCCGCTAAAAGCTCGTATGCCTCCTCATATTTGTCCAAGTCGTCCGTGTCATCAATTTTCAACAAACCCAACTCTTCTGTTAAGGCATCCACTTTATGCTTATGTTCTGGCAAAAGCGTCTGCGTAGAGTTTTCACTGAAAGAATGTTTGATCATTTCCTCGACTCTCAACGCCTCGATCCTCAACAAGTTCAAAATCATGTTATAGGTTAATCTGAATTGAGACAGCAACTTAGTAGGTGCGCCCATTGTCACCTCTTTGAAATCTGTGGGGGAAAGCGGCTGCTTGTAAGACATTACTATCACCGTACCAGTAGAATCCAAACCTCTTCTTCCTGCTCTTCCAGCCATCTGCGTGAACTCACCGGGAAGCAAGTTTCTGAAACCTCTACCGTCGTGCTTACGCAATTCACAAAACACCACTGTTCTTGTGGGCAAATTCAAGCCCATGGCGAAAGTTTCTGTGGCAAACAAAACCTTGACCAAAGACTTGGAAAACAAAATTTCAATGCACTCTTTCACAATTGGCAATAAGCCTCCGTGATGGACGGCAATACCACGGCTCAACATGTCTCGAATGCTCAAAATCTGAGGCAACTCCCGGTCTTCTTTTTTCAACCGTGCAACAGCACGGTCTATGAACATGTGGATTTCCGAGCGCTCTTTAGCATTGCAAAAATTGACTCCGCTCAACGTGTCCACGTACTCCTCGCATCTTTTCTTTGAAAACACGAAAACCACAGCCGGAAGCAATTTTCTTTGGCTGAGATATTGCACCAAATTGACCCATGTTTGCTTATTGGGCCCGTCTCTGACAAAAGCGCCTCTCGGTTGCAAGTTTCCTCTTCCTCTTGCCAGCGCTCCTCCACCTCTGTTTCCGCCTCTGGCAGTTCCTCCTGGTCCTTTTCGAGAACCGGAACCCATGGTGGTATTTGGAGGAGCAGCCTTGCCGTCACCGACCAATGCTTCTTTGTGCTTTTTGAATTCAACCTCGCTGAAAACGCCATTGGCATTGATTGCCTTGTACAAATCGTTCTTAGCCCACACGAAAATCTCGAGCGGAACGGGTCTTTTCGGAGTCGAAAATCACGTATATGTCCTTTTGCTTTGTGCGGCCCACCCAGTTGGCAAACTCAAACGTATTAGGCACAGTGGCAGAAAGCAAGATGTACTTCACGTGGTCAGGCAACATGATGATGACTTCCTCCCACACCACACCACGTTCTATGTCGTTAACATAGTGGACCTCGTCAAAAATGACAAACTCCACATCACGGATAAGATCGGCGCCCCGGTAGAGCATAGAACGCAAAATTTCTGTCGTCATAATCAAGCAGTTTGCGTCTGGGTTGATTTGCACATCGCCTGTGATCAAACCAATGTCCATATCCTTGAAGGTTTCTTTGAAGTCTCTGAATTTCTGGTTAGACAAGGCCTTGATGGGCGACGTGTAGATTGTTTTCGTCATGTTGCGGGCCGCCATGGCAATGGCGTATTCTGCCACAACAGTCTTACCAGCAGAAGTATGAGCGGCAACGAAAACCGAGTCTCCCTGCTCCAAGTGGTAGACGGCTTCTTTTTGGAAAGTGTCCAACTCAAACGGCCACTCGCGGGCCATGTTGGGCACCACCTCGCTGAAGTTCTCGATTTTATGGTTCAAGTCCACCACATGGGCCCAGTTCCGCTTCACTTGCGCCTCGTTGTCCATCTGTGTTTTCAACATCGAGTAGTCGAAAGGAACAATGTCGTCGATTTCCTGGAGAGCGTCGGCGCCCGAAGCTTCGTCGTGCTGAGAGGCCATCAACTTCCCTGTGAGGTCTGAGTTTTCATGGCTTGTGTCTTCTTCCTCATGGCCCAAAGTTTCGGAGGCGCCCAACTCGACGATTCCTTCGGCGTTTTCAGACGCATGGTCCAAATTCAAGCCTCGCAGCAAACCTTCTGGGATATCAAGCAACCCGGCGGCGTTTCGGTGCAAATGGAGCATGTCCAAGCGGCTCTGCTGTCTCAGGTTGATGCTCTGGTTCGTCTGGGCCTGGCTGAGGATTCCGCCCGGCTGGAAGGGCAAAAAGCTTGTTTTCCCGCTATGCGAGTCCTGTTTCAGTCCGTACTTGCGGTTGATGGACAAGGAGTTGGACGCATTGGCATTGTCCAATTCGGAAAGACGCATTTCTTCTTTGTAGCCGCAGATCTCGCCCTTGATGCCGTTTCGTTTGAAGCGGAAACTGGTTCTGCTGACAGGTTCCGGGTGGCTCAAGAGATTGTCAAAGACCCGTTCCTTGTTGAAGGATGGGACACATTGCACCAAATCAAGAAGATCCCAGGTGATTCTGTTGGACGGCTCCAAAATCTCGGCGGCCAAAGTCTGCGACACGTCTTGCGGCCGGCTTTGATTGGCCGAGAAAACCCGTTCTTGCGGATCCAAATGCTCGGTCGACATGGCGATAAGATGATGTTTTCGAAACCTGTGCGCACAGAAAAGCCTATAAGAAAGATGGAAAAAAGGCTTACAAAAAGACTTACAAAAATGGCTGAGCGTGTCGATTTGTCTGCTAGATACATTTATGTGCTATGAAGTCAGTCTACCAAAATGAATTCGTCAATGAAACTTGGTGTCATTGGGCCAAGTCTGACAAGTCTGACAAGTCTGACAAGTCTGACAAGTCTGACAAGTCTGACAAGTCTGACAAGTTTGACAAGTCTGACAAGTCTGTACAGTGCTTGAAGTCTGCAGATGTGGGAGAAGCACTGACTACGGTAAAATGTAGTAGAATGGGCTAGATCCCGATTGTCTGACTTTCTTGTCATAGTAGGAAGATACCTGATCCAATTGAACAATGTATAGCACAGGCACAAGCGTAGCCCAAAATAGACAAGTCTTGGTTGTCGCCACCAGCAGCCAGAGAACGCCACCCACAAAATCATACAGTGCTCTATGTCTCATTGAGAAATCGCCCGTAGTTCGACAATAATAGCACCCAGTGTCGACAACAACAGCACCCAGTGCCTAACGTTCCAGTATAGCTCACAACTTGGGCTTGGATGCATCTACGCCGCCAGCAGTGGCCTCGCGGTTGATCTCCAACTTGCCATTGTCGTCCTCCTTGTCGCCCTTCTCAAAGAAAACCACCGTCACGGTAAGATCATCTCTGTAGCGCCTCGAGACCGGGTTTGGAATGGAAATTAGCATCAGCGTCTGTTCACGAGACCCGCCGTTGGACAAGGCGTTTCTGATCAAGTGCGTGGACACGTTTTTGTCCTCCAACATGTAGCCGTTGCCGAAAGACGCTTTCCCTTTGCGGAACGGCTGTTTGCTGCTCTTGTCGTTGGTGATATCTGCCACCACAGGAAGACCCTTTTCGCTCGAGCCAAAGTAGTTCCAGAACGACTTGTTGGGCTTCACCATTTTCTCCTTCTCCATCCACTTGACTACGAGCCCGACAATCTCCTCGTTGGAAAGCATTTCGTAAAGCCCGTCACTGGCCATCACCAAGAAATCGTTGTTTTCCGGGCTGATTTTCGTGGTTGTGATCACCGGTTCCGCCGTCACATACGGCGGAGAGTTCAAGTTGTTGGGAAGACGTCTTCCGAAAAACTGCTTGTAGATTTTCTCCTGGATGGACGCCGGCAACTTGTAGCGGCAATCGCCAAACGCTCTCGATGGTTCCAAAGTGCCCAAGACACGGCCATTTTTGATGACGTTGGGTTCGTCTGGGTGCTCGGAGATGATTCGGGCCACTTCTGTTGGGTTTGAGCCCGTCTGGTCGATGCTGAGCTGTCTCACAGTCCATCTGTTGTCGCGGAACGAGCCCAAGAGCGCTCTGGAGTCTCCGGTGACGGCGACTTTCAAGATTTTCGAGCTTGTGTCGTAGAAAGAAAGCAACGCACACGAGCCAGAGAGCGCGGGCATCAACAACTCGGCCGCCTTGGCCTTGTTGTTGTCGGTCAAAAGCTTTTCGATGTTCTTGTTGACGATTTCGTGGTCCAACTTCAAGAAGCCGTTTTTGATGGCCTGGTCGATGGTGGCGCTGTTGGGCACATATCTCAAGTTGTCCTCGTTGGCCGGTTTGAAGATGGTGCCCAACTCGTGGATGATGTACAGAATCAATTGGTCTCGCAACTTGGACGACGTGGTCCAGCCGCCGTGGCCGTCAAACACGCCCAAAAAACATCCAGTCCGTGCTGGTTTTGATGTTGTTGTCCTGCAAGATCGGCACCTGGACGATTTCCTCGGCACGGTCGTCCTCGATGGGCGAGTTGGAAGGAAGCTGGCAAATGTCGTACCGGGCGACGCCTTTGCCCCGGTTCACGTAGTACGACTCTTCAAACTGCCTGAGCTTGTTGCTCACCTGCTCGTCGTTCAAAAGGAACACGCCTTCCTTGTGTTGCTGCGCCCCAAGCCCGTTTTTCTGGAGCATGGAGCTGGTGGTGGACGAAAAATACTTGGAGTCCAAGACTTCGCCTGCCTTGGGCGCCTGTTTCGGCACGTTGCCGCCGCCCAACGACGACGGAACACTATCCAACTTGTAGTAGTTGGTGTGGCTGAGAGTCACATAGGAGCCAACAATGATCACGCCAGACACGAGAGCCACGTTTTTCCGGCCAAAGAGCCGAGACGTTTTCTTGGCCGCTGGCGTGCTGAGCAAGCGTCTGCAAGTGGGAAGGTGCTTGGAGGCAACGTATATTAGCCGTTGTCGTGGGGTTAGAACAAACATGGAAGGAGAGACTGGTAAATCAATAAAAGTGTATCAACTGTTCAAGCTGTTTCGATGCTGGAAAACTGTGTCAATTGTTGATAGACTGGTGAAAGACTGGACAGACTGTATCTAGAGACAGAAAAGACGGCACAGTGAAGGGGAATTTTGACACAGTAAGCAAGTATGGAGTTGCAGGGAGCGCTGGATACCGGAACGAGACAATAGGCTACGAATGAATTGGGAAGGAAAGGAAAGGATGGAAATGATGGATAGAAAATGGAGAAAATGGAGACGATGGAAAATGAAGAAAATGGAGATGGAAAATGATAGAAATGGAGATGGAAAATGAAGAAAATGAGGATAGAAATGAAGAGATGGAATACAGATGAAAATGAAAGAATAGACTGGGTCGGGTCTGATGTCGTTCTGGTCTTGCACCCATTGTGAAACTTTTCAATGTGGAGTAGCTAGGTCTTTAGCTCTTGTGAATTTGAATGTAGTCTACTTGTGCCTTCAACTTTCTGAGATGCTGTTTCTGATTTACATTTACTGTTATTGTTGAATTGAAGTGTTTATGTGTTGAAGTATTGATGTATTGAAGTATGAAGTATGAAGTATGAAGTATGAAGTATGAAGTATGAAGTATGAAGTATGAAGTAAGAGGTATGAAGTATGAAGTATGAAGTATGAAGTATGAAGTAAGAGGTATGAAGTATGGTAAACTTTATTATGTTGATTATATTTGATTCCTTAGCTAGCTTGCCGATATCAATATCCTCAGACTTCCATTCTGCTTCAAATACTGCTAAATGACAAAAATCTTTAATTACGGATAAGACGAAGTTGGCCAATCTCTAAGGTCTTCCCCAATTTTTTTCTCCACCTTCCTCATTCCATACTCGATCGTCAACCAATTATTAACTTCTAGTCTGTTGAGTCCAAATTCTCTTGCATAATCTTTCAGGCGAACAGCAAGCCGGAAAGAAAAGACCCAAAAAGAAGAGGCCGCTGTTCTTGCAAGAGGCAAAGATGAGGTTCAACTAAGGATAATCTACAGCAAACCATTATACATTGATAAATTTATCAAATCCAGCACAGTTCGTATGCGCAACTAGATAGTTTCTAAAATAGATACCACTAGTAATGTTGTCTCGCTTAATTAAGGTACGCCTCATAATGTTAGCTTGCTTAACAGTAAATGTACGCCTGATAATTTTAGCTTGCTTAACAATGAAGGTATATCTGTAATGTTTGTCTTGTATGTCTGTAATGTTCTTCTATGTCTGTAATGTTTGTGCTTAATAATAGAGGCATGCCTAGTAATGTCTCGTTTAACATTAAAGATACGCCTAATAATGTTAGCTTGCTTCTGAACATTGTCCTAATCGTATTCTTGATAAACCATGGGTAATCCAAAGCTTGTAATTTGGAGATTGGTACTATAGAGATGGTCTAGTGATGGTGGTACTTTTCAATCGATTTGTGAAAAGTCACATCTTTATCAGGCGTGTCAATGAAAACCTAAAGTTGTCTAGATACTACTCGATTCTTCTTCCTCCTACAGCTTCTGAAACCGACAATGTATTGGAACTATACACCAGCGACACCAAAACACTTTGTCCCGCTAAATGCACCAAATCCTGATAGCTAACACCGCAACGTCTGTGTACATGCAATTAAAATACACGGCACGCCTAGAGCACTTGGACACAAGTCACCATCTCTCCTATGGGCCCCACACTTGCCCAGCACAAAAACAAAGTCATTTTGGCGCTTCAACTTACCGAAACCCTTTCAGTACTTCTGCTTAAGCAGCAACGGTAACCTCGACATCCACACCTGGCTCAACAGTGATCTGGGTGATCTTCTTGACGATTTGAGCTGGGGCTTGCAAGTCAATGACTCTCTTGTGGATCTTCATCTCGTAAGCGTCCCAAGTCTTAGAACCCTCACCGTTAGGAGTCTTTCTGGTGGTGATCTTCAAGACCTTGGTTGGCAATCTAACAGGACCCTTCTTAACAATGTCGTTTTGGGTGGCATTGTTGATGATGTTAGAGCAGACCTTCTCCAATTGCTTGACCTTGGTGGAAGTCAAGGTGATTCTGATCTTGAGAATTTCTTGAGGTTGTTCCTGGACCTTTTCCTTGTTGATTGGGGCAGACATATTTGACGTTGTGAAGAAGAAGATAAAATTTTGCTCGCGTGAAAAATTTGTGGAAGCGAGGTGCGGGCATTGGTGGTGCACGTGACACGAGATGTCGAGGGCCAGAGCCCTGCGAATTGGTCCAGTCACGTGTTACACACAGCGGAGTAGGCAAGATACACTGAAGCTATGGGGTCAAGAAGGTATGGAGTCAGTAACGTCAGGTATCGAGTCACAAAAGCCATTTGAATGACCTAGAAAAAGCAAGTGACTTGATTTGTGTAGATTTATATTGTGCGGAAATTCCATCATGCGAATCTCAAGATCAGAGTATACTACCGAGAGTCTCAGTATGGGAAGGAATGATCCTGATTCGGCTGCGTGTGTTCATTCTGTCAGTGTTAAAGATAGTCTGTGACTGTAATATTCATAGTTGTAGATGAAAGTTGTGGGAACAGGAACGCGGTAGATAAAATAGACGATAAGAGTAGGATAGAGATGGGATAAAGACAGAGACTGAATTGAACAATTCAATTCAGTTGATGGCAGAAAGTTGATGATAAGAACATCATTTGAGAGAAGACTTCATCGGATTACATGATACGATCAGCTGCACAGCTCCGCGCTTTGTAGTTTCTTATTGTCTTTAATGCTTTGTATAGATGAAAGAATAGCGGAACATGTCAAGCTCAGCCATACGTTTTTCTCGTGCCTGTTTCCTCTAGGCTTTTGTCTTCTGCTCAAGCTCCTTTTCTAGCCCTCTCACCGTTCTCCATAAGACCTTCGTCTCGTCGTCATTGGCAAAACCACTAGTAGCCCAGCGGATTTTTCCGTCCTCATCCAAAATGTATATGTACCCTGAACATGTGTTATCGCACATTAACGTCTTCTTCACGTCTACACTGAAGGTGTTGCTGGACAACATAAAGTACGTGTCGTGTCTGGCAGGCGGAATCATGCCTCTCAAGTTGGATTTTGCCAATTTTACAAAAAGGCCCTTGATCCAACTCTGTGGTAAGTTCACATCAACAATCTGCGTGTGTGGATATTGTTTTTGGAGCTGCTCGTAACCTTCGGCACTGAGATTATCTGGAGTGTAGGTGTCGGTACAATTCTGTCCCGATACAGTGGAAAAGATGCGTACGATAGAAACCTTTCCTTTCAAAACGTCGTAGAGACTTTTTTTGTGGTTCAAAAGCGTGTAGCCCGTGAAGCTGGGGAAATACTTTGCCTTGTCTTTTTTGAAGTAAGACACTGGAGGAGTGAAGATCTTCCCCTGAGTGTTCGTGAAAGATTTCGACTCATAGAATGGCGAGTGCACTATGTCGTGGTCTAGCTGTTTCTGTCTCTTTTCCCTCGCTGCCAGACTGAGGACGTTTGTGATGGAAGATGATTCATGACTCAAGTAAGTTGGAGAGTCGAAGCCGAAGGGTTTCGTGATCGGCTGGGATTTTTCTAAAGCGGGCTTCGAAGCCTCCTTCAAGGTCGTAACAAACCGAGGAACCTGGCGTTCGAAGACCCGAGCACCTGTGCTGAAAAGCCGTTGTTGCATCTTGTGTAGAATGTTGGTGGTACGGATTTTTCTCAGTAGTACGAGTCACTTTGGTGATGTGCGGAGAACGGTGAAGCGAGGAACCAATAACGTAATATAAGGAAACGGGCGAATGCAGAGAATATCACAATAAAGCGCCTAAATGAAGATCATCAGTTCTAATGCTGGAAAGAAAAGGATCCGTGCGCTTCTCTTTTGTTCAACCAACTGCTCTTGGGTGCAAAATACCGTGTAAAAAACGCCAAGGCGGCGCCAGAAAAGAGCTATCTAGCCACAACAGCTCAAAAAACGAAAATGACACGAATTGAAGCTCTGGTATAGCTGCCAGTTCACGCAGACTCATCTAACCCAAAGACAGCCCAATCCCGAACCAGGCACTGTCTGCAGGAAAATGGAACTGGGCAAAAAAACTCACCAAATTCCAAACCCCAGATCTATACCCACCACAATAAAAACAGCATACATAATACGCGGCCATGAGCATACAGCTAAGAGACGGATTGGCCAACCAGCTGGTTGACCACGTACTTGAAGATCTCCTTGTGAGATTTGTGATCAATGTGCCAGACGAAGACTTGTCTTCCATCGAACGAGTGTTCTTCCAAGTGGAAGAGGCCCAGTGGTTCTATTCGGATTTCTGCAGACAGCTTAATCCGGCATTGCCGGGAATGAAAATGAAACGCTTTGCGCCCGCCATGCTCAGCAAATGCCCGCTTCTCTGGAAATGGGGCGATCCCGCCGACGCACTTTCGCAGTTTGGCAAGTACAAACGAAGCATCCCTGTTCGGGGCATAGCATTGATGAACGAGGACTTGTCCAAGATTGTTTTGGTGCAAGGCTCAGAGTCATTGTCGTGGTCCTTCCCTCGTGGAAAGATCTCGAAGGACGAGAGCGACTTGGAGTGTGCCATTCGAGAAGTGAGAGAGGAGACGGGATTCGACGCTCGCGACTATGTCAACGAGAAAGATGTTATCGAGCGTAACGTTTATGGAAAGAACTTCAAGATCTTCCTTGCGAAGGGCGTTCCTGTGGACTTTCCGTTTGAGCCGTTGGTGCGTAACGAAATCGCCAAGATCCAGTGGTTCGACGTTAAGGCCCTAGCTAAAATGACCAAACAGACACCAAACAAGTTTTTCATTGTGAACCCGTTCCTCAAGCCCTTAAACAGCTGGATCAACAAGAACAAGGGAGTGGTGAGCGAGGAGCAATTGAAGAGAGATGCTGAGGTTCGTTTGAAAGCTTTGATGGGCATTTCGGACGTGGTGCTGGAAAACACCGACGCCGGAAGAGAATTGCTAGACCTATTGCAAGGCGCAGCCAAGGCACAAGCGCCAGCTTTGGCCCAGTCCCAGTCCCAGCCGCAGCACGCCCAGTACATCCAGATGAATGTGCCACAGCACTTGCAGAACTTTTATGCGGGCATGGGCCCTGCTGCTCCGTTTGTGCCGCCCATGCATCCTCAACAAGGCTATATGGGCATGATGCCACCACGCGAGTTGCTTCGGAACTATGGCTCTGTGCCACCCAACTTTGCATCGCCCGTTCCACGTCCCGAGGCTCCAGCCTCTATTGCACGCGATACACTGAACTCGAAAGAGTTGTTGTCCATCTTAAAGGGTGGGCCCAAGCCTAAGCGAGAGGCTGCGGCTCCAGTGTCAGGAGTCAACCGTGCAGAGGAGTTGCTCAAGCTCTTCAAAAAAGAACCAGAAACGGGCAAGGACAAAGAGAATAAAGAGGCCCAGGACAAGGAGGATACGGACAACAATAAAGAACTCAACAGCAACAACAGCAGCAACAACAACAACGGATCTGCGTCCAAAACAGATGGTCCAAAAATCACCCTCTTGAAACGTGCTCCTAACGAAGATGCTCTGGCCACCCTTTTGGAATTATTGGGCAAACGACCAGATGCACAAGCTGCTCCAAAACCCGAAACTATCGAAAAGCCTAAGCCCAAATCCAACGCCTCTGCTGAACTTTTAGGTTTACTTAAGCGAGAGAAACCAAAGACGGAACCTGAGGCGAAGCCAGAGCCTCTGCCCCAGCCTGAAAGATCTTTGGCCGAAACTCAACCGCAAAGAGAGCCACAAGAGAACAGCTCCACAGAGTTGTTGGCCATCTTAAACCGCAAACAGCCCGAAACTCGGGAGGCAGACAAGAACGCTTCGGCAGAGTTATTAGGAATTCTAAACAAACCAATCCGCATTGCCCGCAGAGACAAAGATTCACCTGTTGACCTCAAGAGCATTATCGGATCGCCCGAAACGTCCACGCAACAAAGCACACCCGCACACAGCTCAGATCCAGGTTCCGGCAATCGGATTTTGAGCACCGTCAACAGAAAATCCACGCCCAACTCACGGCTGATCACTCCTCAAATGCCGATAGTGCAGCCTCCACTGAGCTTCGACGACTTTGAGGATTTCGACGACATTTGTGCATCAGAAAATGTCATGTATCAAAGCATAGCGAATAATATGGATGACAGCGATGACGACAACTTCCACAGTGCTGTGGAAACTGCAAACGCCAATTCTCCGGAGCCAGAGCGCAGAAAGATAACGAAAGGGCGCAAAGACAACTCGCAGCAGGCAGAAACCACTGTGCCAGAACAGCCAATTGCAGAAAAGACAGCCATGAATCCGGTACTGAACGTGGGAAGTCTCCAGGAAACATATGGTGGAATGGAAAACATAAGTGCTCCACCACACCCGGGGCTTGGAATGCACACGAACAGCAACGGTGCAAGTTTGCTTCAGCTTTTGGGCAGACGTCCACCAGAACCGAAGCCAGCCGAAGGCCGCGAAGAGTTGTTGAGCATTCTCAAGAGCGGCCGTGCATAGATAGGCATTACTAATTTAATACTAGACGTGAGATCGAGAGGGAAGGTAGTATAAGCTGACGCAGAAACGGGTTGAGAGAATATGGCACAATGGTAGAATTAATTTAATGAGTAGTTGAATGATGGGTCAATGAGTACTGTTAAGTACGTTAAGGTTTAATGCTAAGGATAACCTCCACAGTTAGCGGACAATAAAACAAAACTGTCGGTCTCAGCAAACAGAGGAAGAGGTTCGGCCAGGAGGGAGAGAGGACAGCTAAGGTAGATCAGAACAAAGATGATAGGAAATAGGTTGAAAGAGTCAATGGATCAGATCAGGTACCGACCGCCGATCTAGGTTCCGAAAAAACTGCTTGCGTCCGTGGCCACCATACGAGGTTTGCGTGCGTTCTTCTTGCGCAGCACGAGTGCGCCCTGGCGCTGAAAAACCAGGCGGTCTTCGACAACACGCGGCAGTTCCGGGGCGTATTTTACTTCCATGGCCGGATCAAGCAAGTAGCAATGGGGCACATAAGCCGACCGCGTAGTGACTTGTTTTTCCCGTGCGAGCCATGTGTCACCCACAGCGAGCACCAAAGCTGCCCTATCCTGGGTGGAAAGCGTTTGGGCAAAGAATTTGATGTCCCACATGACTTTGGGCGCTGGCACAAGATCTGTGTTTCGCAGCAAGTAGTGCACCTTTAATGCTAAGGGGTACCCAGCCACGCGGGCATTGGCGGATTTCCTCTCGTCAAGGAGGCGCCATTGCGTACCGAGAACAGCACGGCCGTCACCGTAGTGGGTACCGGGGGCAGAAGTGGAACCAGGCTGAGAAAGAACAGCTTCCTCCAAAGCAAACCTCGCCGTAGGAAGCACCACGTCGGCTTCCACATAAGCTAACGGTGTGGGTTCTTTTAGAAGTTGGAGGAGGCCCTGCAGCGTTATGTTAGGGCAGCGGCACAAACGTACAATCTTCAACAGCAGCAGGCGGTGCGAGAGGCTCGCGCGAAGCGTGTATAGGAACTGGTCGTCCACAGCGGGGTTGCCCGAAAGGTCGAGCGCCACGAGCGACGGGACTAGGCACACCGCGAGCAACTGGCGGCGCGAAAAGGGCGGCGCCGAGCAGTCCGCGACCACAGAGCAGTGCGCGCGGGCCACTAGTGCCGCCCAGTCTTCAAGGCCCACATTGCTGAAGAAATTGTCAATGCGGTGCTTGCAATGTGTGGGCACGAGCGCAAGGGCAAGTGCACGGTGGCGGAGGGCACTTGTTTTGTTTTCCGACACTGGGGCCTCTGAGAAAATTGCAACGTCCGCATCTGTTTCTTTTTGTGCCCTCGTCTTGTGTTGTGCATTGTGTGCTTCTGTTTGGGCGTATGTGTACGCTCTGCTGTGGTGGCATGCAAAGGCTGGGTGCGCGCCAAAAGTGGCTGCAAACATCAGGAAAACGCGCGGGGTGTCGCGCCCGCGCTCCAAGATGGCGCGCCAGACGGGCTGCCAACACGACCAGGGGGCCTGGTCGAGGTATTCTGGTTCAAGCGCGTCGGCGGCATTAGCTAGGTGCTGAGCGCATATCTGACGAAGCGGCAACAAGCGCCGCCGCACGGGGTTTGGCTGCAAAAAATCCCCGCAGGGGGGCAAGTGTGGCCAGGGGTAGGTGGCGCAGCCGGCTGCGTCGAACAGAGGCGGAGGCGGCGCCGGCGGCGCAGGCGAAGCGGGCGCGTGGGACGGCGGTCGGAGGAGGCGGCGTTTGTGGACGCGCGGGCGGAACGCGCGCCGGCGCTCTTTCTTGCGGCTGTATTTGCGGCGGTTAAACATGAAACGGATGATGAAGTTTCGGCGGCTAATTGTCCTTGTTTTGAAGATCGGTCAAGGGGTTTCTTGACTTTAGGCACTAATTGTAGTTTGGATTGAGGACTGTAGTTCTGGATTGTGGACTGTAATTCTGGATTGTGAACTGTCTTGGATTGTAAACTGTAGGTCTTGAAATTCTTGCAAACTGTACTTCTTAAGTAAGCTTAACTGTAGCTGCCGTAGTTCTTGTATATTGTCTGCAGCTCTTAGACACCCAAGTTCTTGTACTCCTTTATCTGGTAAACTTTCTAGCTTTAGAATATGGTATGGATCAGATATCTCCAATTGTTCAAAGGGCCAATCGAATCACTCCTCTCTTTCAAAGAAATCCTATTCAATTGACAGCATTAGATCTTAGTAGACCGTAAACATATGGATAGGGACCATGAAGAAAGAAGGTAGAAGTTGACAGATCAAAGACTGCGAAGATCGCGCTAATCGGTTTTCGACCATAGAATCAAGAAAGAGAAGGTGAGAGGTATTCAGTTGGGCAAGTTTGTTTCTATTCCTGTTTGGGCCATTACTATTCAGTGGTTCTAAAATTCAAATTCAAATTTTAGATCCATATTCCATTTCATCTTCATCGGAGATTATTAATCGCAGATTACAAGATTTGCCTAAGTTTGGACTCCATTGTAAAATGAAAACAATTTTGCCTCTACGGTCATATCGTAAAATTAGCTGGTCCAGAATTTTTCGACCCGCTGGTTTGAAATGTTTTCTCTGCAAGTATGCCTCTCATCTACCCGTTACTACTTATTCAATCTATACTCAATCTTGTGCTTCACAAACCTCCATAGATATCTATGCTTCGACATTTTGCAAGTAGAGCAAATGAGGCTCGGACCAAGCCGTAACATACGGGATTGTATTTGAAGACATTCATGTTAACAAGGTAAGAAGTAGCTTACTCTTATGTCATTGGTAGAACATGTTCAATCTTAAGTAAGCTGGTCAGAGCTGGCTGATACTATTCCGTTCCTTGCACTATTGTTTGTAATTTCGTATTGAACTACAGCTTGGATGGATGATATTTACTCTTCGACATTTCTCTTTCTCATGTCTCACTGCTTTGCCCTGTTCAATTGCTGTCATCATAAGTAGCATATATGCCTCTATAGTATTCCTTACTAGAACGGAAAATGTCATTTGGAATCATGAACATGCCATCTACGGCATTAACAGGCAACTCATATATAATCCTGACCAGTCTATAGCATCATTTTGGTTCTGGCATTTCTTTTCAATCTTAATTTAATCTGTCCGGATCCTGACCTTTCATTCAAACAGTCCTCTTATTAGTACCCGTAAAATTACTACTTGTTTCTATTATCGCTTCTTTGTTATTCTGTCTTTGTCCCTTCTATCTTCATCACCAACTCTTCATCTACCTCATCTCAGTAAAACCTCAGAGGTAAACGAAAACGTCCCACCTTTAGTACTTAGAAGTTCAAAGGGCCACAAAAATGTAACACAATATCTTCCAGAATGTCCAGAACAGTTCCTTCTTTTCAAGGTTACCTCAAGGCCGCATGTACATTTAAACTCGTCTTAAAACAATCTATAGATAAAACTAATAAACTAGTAGCTTGATAATCAGTATTATCTAATATAACTTCATATAAAGCTATAGCTAATAACATAAATAATGATGAAAATAATGTATATATTAATATATAATCAGCTGCTTTATCTTTATTAGCTGCACCATATAAACCTATCATAATAAATAAAGGAGCTAAAGATGCTTCAAAATATACATAGAAAGATGTCATATCTTGACACATAAAATTAATTAATAATATTATTCCTAAATTTAATACTAATTCAAAAAATAAAGTACTACGTATACTATTTCGATTAGATATAATTGATAAAGGTATTAAATATGCTGTTAATAATATTAATATATCAGCTATTCCATCTGTTGTATAATATACATCTACGTCTTAAAACTCGTCTGAAAAAACTCGTAAACTCGTCTTTTTTTTTTTCTTTTTTTTTTTTTTTTTTCTTTCTTTTCTTTTCTTTGAATCTCGTCTTGAAATTCAATTAAAACAAACTGAACAATTCTCTTCTCTACTCCTCTTGTATCTCTCTAACCTCCATCTACTCCATCGCCTTTTCGCATTTTCGCATCGCACCATCACATTTTTATCTCTTCTCCATCTTCTCAACATGAAGCTCGACACTTCCCACATGCGGTATCTTACCGCCGACGACTTCCGGGTCCTCCAGGCGATCGAGCTTGGCTCGCGAAACCACGAGTTGGTCCCCACACAAATGATCCATTCCATTGGCGGCTTAAAGTCTCCGTCTGCCACACAAAGAGCGTTGGGCGACTTGGCCAAGTTGAAGCTTGTGTCGCGGCTCAGAAACGCCAAGTACGACGGGTTCCGCATCTCGTACTCGGGCTATGACTACTTGGCGTTGAAGCTGATGTTGAACCGCAACACGTTGTACTCTGTTGGCTCCACCATCGGCGTGGGCAAGGAGTCGGACATCTACTCGGTCAGCGACCCGCAGGGCTCGCAGAAGGTGTTGAAGATCCACCGGTTAGGCCGCACGTCGTTCAAAACCGTCAAAAACAACAGAGACTACTTGCGCAACAAGCAGACGTCCAACTGGATGTACTTGAGTCGTTTGGCGGCAGAAAAAGAGTACCAGTTCATGACGATTTTGTACGACAACGGCTTCATTGTGCCGCGGCCCTACGACTACTCCCGCCACTGTGTGATGATGGAGTGGATCCGCGGCTACCCGATGAGGCAGATGCGCAAGTACAAGCACTACAAGAAACTCTACTCGGACTTGATGAACTTCATCGTCAAGTTGGCCAACCACGGGCTCATCCACTGCGACTTCAATGAGTTCAACATCATCATCCGCGACGCCGAAGACGTGGCGGAACACCACTACGACTTTGACTTTGTCGTGATCGATTTCCCCCAGTGTGTCTCCATCGACCACCCAGAGGCCAAGTTCTACTTTGACCGGGACGTGCAAGGCATCCGGTCGTTTTTCGAAAAAAAGTTCCAGTACACGCCGCAGCACGACGCTTCCATGTTCGACACCGATGGCTACGGAGACGGTTACAAGTATGCATACCCCAACTTCAAGCGAGACGTTTCGCGAGTGAAGGAGTTGGACGCAGAAGTCAAGGCCTCCGGATGGACAAAGAAGAAGGACAAGTCCGACATGGACTTGGAGCAGGCGGTTCAAGGCATGAGAGCCGTGACTCTTGAGGACGAACTTTCTGAGGTTGAGAGCGAAGACGATTACGAAAGCGGCGACTACGAGAGCGAAGACTACGACGACTACGACGACTACGATGTGGAGGAAGACGACGAAGCGTCGGACGAGAACGAAAAGATCATCGAGGCTCTTTCTTCGGGCTCCAAGAACCTCAAGATGGACAAGTTGGGCAACTACATTTTGGAGGATTAAGGAGAGGAGAGAAGGAAAAGAGGAAGGAGGAAGGGGAAAGAGGAAAAGAAGGAGAGGAAAACAACAGAGAGGTTCCTATGTATCTGCTAGAAATGATTCGTTGTTTAAGCGAGAGAGCGACTTGGGATTTCTTGCCTTCCCTTGAAAGATATGACACTCAATCTTTCAATATGTGATCTTGGTTAGAAATTCAAGAGAATTTTCTTATCTCACTCAACTTAATTCATAATTCATATAAATCCATTATCTTCACCTGAACTCATCTTATTTTATTCATCCTATTCATCTAAGAGGATAGTTTCCCAGTGTTGCATCTTCTTAGGACTACAACATTCAAACTGACTGACTGAATATTCCCCGATTCTTGAAACTAGGTTAATTGTATCCATATTAATCTGTCCTACGCACAGTATAAATTGTATTTATTGACCCCAAAGTATAAATGGCAAAATGGTTTTTTATACACGAATTATTCATCATTTCGTATTATGCTTAACGGGTAGCCATACCTTTGGTGACAGCTCTCTTCAAAGCCAATTCAGCCTTTCTGTAGTCGTCACCGGTGGACTCCTCGATCTCCAAAGCTTGCATAGCGTCAGACAAAGCGGTTTCAATCTTGTCTCTGGCGTTCTTCTTCAACTTAGCAGACAAGACTGGGTCGGTGATGGTGGATTCGACAGATGCAACGTAAGCCTCCAACTTTTGCTTTTGTTCGTGTCTCTTGGCGAAAGCGTCGTCAGCGTTCTTGAACTTCTCAGCGTCAGCAATCATCTTCTCAATCTCGTCGGTGGACAATCTACCGATAGAGTTAGAGATGGTGATGTTAGCAGATCTGCCGGTAGACTTCTCGACGGCAGTGACCTTCAAGATACCGTTAGCGTCAACCTCGAAGATAGCCTCCAAGACTGGCTCACCAGCGGACATTGGTGGGATGTTCTTCAAGTCGAACTCACCCAACAAGGTGTTCTCAGAACAGTTGACACGCTCACCCTGGTAGACTGGGAATTGAACGGTGGTTTGGTGGTCAGCAACAGTGGTGAAAGTTCTTCTCTTGATGGTTGGAACAGTGCTGTTTCTTGGGACAACTGGAGCGAAAACGTTACCTTGCATGGCGACACCCAAAGACAATGGGATGACATCCAACAACAACAAGTCCTTGGTGTCCTCAGAGGTGGATTGACCGGTCAAGATAGCACCTTGGACAGCGGCACCGTAAGCAACAGCCTCATCTGGGTTGATGGACTTCTCCAATTGCTTACCGTCGAAGAAGTCAGACAACAACTTCTGGACCTTTGGAATTCTGGTGGAACCACCAACCAAGACAACTTCGTCAACACCGGACTTGGAGATCTTAGCATCCTTCAAGACTTGCTCAACTGGGTCCAAGGTAGACTTGAACAAAGCAGAGTTAATGTCCTCGAATCTAGCTCTGGTGATGTTAGCGGAGAAGTCTTCACCCTCGAACAAAGAGTCAACTTCAACGGTGGTTTGGGTGACAGAAGACAAAGTTCTCTTAGCACGCTCACAGGCAGTTCTCAATCTTCTCAAAGCTCTGGAGTCACCAGAGATGTCCAAACCGGTCTTCTTCTTGAAGTCAGCCTTGAAGAAGTCCAACAAGTTGGTGTCGAAATCTTGACCACCCAAGTGAGTGTCACCAGCGGTAGCCTTGACGGTGAAAACACCACCAGTGATGTTCAACAAAGAAACATCGAAAGTACCTCCACCCAAGTCGAAGATCAAAACGTGTCTCTCCTTCTCGGACTTACCAGCACCCAAACCGTAAGCAATAGCGGCGGCAGTTGGCTCGTTGATGATTCTCAAGACGTTCAAACCAGCAATGGCACCAGCGTCCTTGGTGGCTTGACGTTGAGCGTCGTTAAAGTAAGCTGGAACAGTGACAACAGCCTTCTCCACCTTCTTACCAATCTTGGCCTCAGCAATCTCCTTCATCTTGGTCAAAACCATAGAGGAAATTTCTTGAGGGGAGAAAGTCTTGGTCTCCTCCAAGTACTCAACTTCAATCAATGGGTTACCGTTGGAGTTGATGACCTTGAAAGGCCAGGTCTTGATGTCCTTTTGGACAGACTCGTCGTCGAAAGCACGACCAATCAAACGCTTAGCATCGAAAACAGTGTTCTTTGGGTTCAAAGCAGCCTGGTTCTTAGCAGCGTCACCAATCAATCTTTCCTCAGCGGTGAAAGCAACGAAGGAAGGAGTAACTCTGTTACCCTGTTCGTTAGCAATGATTTCGACAGCAGAGTCGTAAGTAGCAACACAAGAGTAGGTAGTACCCAAATCGATACCGATAGCACCCTGGAAAACACCGTCAGCCATTATTAAGTGGAGTCTTTAACTTGAGGGGAAAAAGAAGGAAGAGGGAAAAATCGAAATTTAAATGAAAATTTTTCGCACGAAAATTTTTCAGGTTAGATGCGGGAGTCAAAAAAAAAAAAAAAAAAGAAAACTGAATACAAAAACCTGTACAGAAACTGCGATGCGGTACGAAATATACGCATCCAACTTACCCGGCACCAATAACCCTGTTGAAGAAATCCATGGAGGACACTAAAGGATTCTCCACAGCCCACCTGAGGGAACAGACAGGTTTGCGTAGACACTGTTTCCATCATTGTCCCGCGGAATCATATCGTGCAAGGGAACGGGAATTATTGGGCCGAATGAGGAGACAGGACGTCACGTGGCTAGGAGTTGCCTGCCACCGTTTCGCAGCCAGCACCTACCAGGCTGACAGGTGATGTGCGCCACTACCATCCACGTAGGACAACAATGAAAATAAAAGACGAGTGAGATTTCCCATTCGCCACAATTGACCTCAGCACTCTTGTTTTGGTAACAAATAACGAATATGAGCTCGCTTGTACGAATGTGAGCTGATGAGGCCCTCACGCGACAGCGCGCGACATAAGGGCTGAGGAGCCACCCTGCCTAACTCCGCCTACTCTCATGGAGGGCTCTTCGAAGAAGCGCCCGCGCGTGACTGATCTGTGTGGGCGTCCCTGTGAGAGAGATCGTTTGGGGAAAATCACGCGAGCGGAATTTGGAGAACATGGCTAGCGACTCCAGCGAAATGGGAAGAACAGTGATGTGGCACTGAGAAACGTTTCGTATGTGGGTGATGCGCTTGCCCTCTGAGCCAATGATTGTACTGACGTCCAGTTTGCTTAACTTGACAATCTCGGTGACGCTGGCATCATGGGGAGGTGAAGGTACGGATGCGGGCTCGACTGAGCTTGTGTTTCGCGGAATGTCGTCAAGCGACACCAAGGGGCAAGTTTTTGCAGCCACTGGCGGCAATTTTTTTAGGGGCCAAAGAAACTGGTCAAGTTTTTCTTGCAACTCAGAATTGCTAACCGTTTCGTATTTTTTCCCATAAAACGCCCTCAGGCTCGGTGAAAGTTGGTTTTGTGCGCCTACACTCCACGACGTTTGGCAGGCGATATTTAAGAGCGTCAAGATTTCGTATTTTCCTCCCACTATCAATGCCATCCATAAACCAGGGGCAACTTTTTCGCAACGGAAGTAGGGGGGCGAAAGCTGATTTTCTTTGGCGGTTAGAGCATAATTTCCGCTCCACTTGGAAATGAGCCGAACAAGTTCTGGCGTAGAAAGAGAAAGATGGAGCCCTTTTTCAGCACCACAATACGGGATCGAAAAATCGGCTTCCATGGAGAAGGAGTCAGAAGTGTAAACCAAAACTTCAATGTCGTACACGCTGAGGGACATGAATAGAAGTAGAGAAAGAGAAAAGAAGAATAGAAGAGAGAAAAGAAAAGAAAAGAGAAGAAAAGAGAAAAGAAAAGAAAAGAAAAAGGAAGAAAAGGGAAGGAGAAGAAAAGAAAAAGGAAGACAATGAGAACAGGAAAGATTGAGAAGAAATGAGAACCGGAATAAAACTAGAAAGAGAAAAGAGAATTGTAAAGAATGCGAAGAATTCGAGATAAGAACAGAAAATACAACGTTCTAGTCGAAATGGAAAACGAATTTCATTCTAGCATAGGATAGGAAAAAAGACTTGATCCAACTCTTTCTGCCTCCTTTCAGATTCATAACCAAAATATGGAGGTGTTCAAACCGTTATGATATAGTATCAGTTTCTTAAGGACGGAAGTTGGTTTTTCGAAAGGATAGAATTCCTCTGAATATCTTTTATTGGTCATGACTGTGAAGGGACTGTTTTTATATTATCTCGATAATCTTTGGAAAGATCTCCGGATCTTGATTATTTATTCCATGGTACTTCTTATAATCTGCAATATCATGGTGAACATAATGGTTGGAAAAGCCGACTTTGTGCTGATGAGAAATATTGAAACTGTCATGTTTTCTGATAAATTCACAATGGAAATGTGAAAGAGGTGACAAAATGACCATTAGAGTTACTGGAATACTTAAATTAGTAGCGTGACTGAGATTTTGCTCGACTGAAATATTTCGCTTTTTTCTAATTTACAAACACTACAAGATAGAAAAATTACAATACAGAAGTGGAAACAAGAATGTACTTTAAAATTTTCACTCATTTACCAATTACATTGTAATAATTTGTGTAACTAGAGCCCATATCAATTATCCGGCATACAGAAGTATGTACGGGTTTTATACAGCTGGTGTATGGGTTTTTGAAGGAAAAATGTACGGATGTTTTATCAGATGTACTGATCTTTTATAGGATGTACGGGTCTTTTCTCTTTGTGCCTGGGTCTCCTTTTTGCAGCCAAAGTTATTTTCCCCTACCAACTACTTGTTCTTTTCAAAAATGATTCAAAAGTAGCCTTAGACGTTATTAAAGTGCTAGGATTAATTGTAAAAGGAACCAGGACCGTCGCAGGGGCCTACAGGACAAGAGGAGGTGGGTCTATCAATCTATAATGGCTACTCACACAACAGCTTCGCCACTGAATACAACCACGTGTACTGGTGGACTGTTTGCACCATCATCATGCGCTCTCGGCGGAGGCGTCTTACTGTTTGGAAAACTAAATCATCAGGGTGCTCTTCTGGCTGAGAAAAGTGGGACTTTGACGGTTGAGAAGGCGTCGAGTTTGCGCACGTCAGATGCAGATGAGAGGGCAGCATTTCGGCAGCCCGCTTAGATGGTGCATTATCTGGCTCCTCGGACTTTGGCTCGAAGGTCGAAGCCGGCGCAGGCGAAGTGGGCGCCCGGCACCAGCTGTCGAGCGCTATAAATGTGCCCGTGCGGCCGACGCCCGCAGAACAGTGCACGATAGGCACTAGGCCCGGGTGTTGTGCCCGCATCTCGCCGAGGACATGCGATAAAGCTAAAAGCGGTTTGGGCGACTCAGGCACACGCGTGTCTCGCCATCCCAGGTATGCATAATGGAAGACTCGTTTTGTAGTCGTCGGCAGGGCGAGGGTCATTTCCGTCACCACGAAACCATCGGGATGCGCCGTTTCGCTTTGCCAGGTTACTGTCAACGCAGGCGTGATGTGGTCTTGTGCCAAAAGGTGGCTCAATTCAAGCACAGGAGCCCTTTCCAGCGGCCAGTAGCGGGCGCATTTTTCAATGCCAGCCTCAACCAACGGCGTCACCATACAGATGGCAACTGCGGCACACCCGCGGCGCTCGGCCTCTTGGTAGCACATGGCCCAGAAATGGTGGCCCGTGTTGTGTAAGGGGCCCTGTGCGGCAATGTACTGGCGGTTTGCGCCCATGTCCACCCACGATGCGTTGATGTAATCGAGATGATCTGGCGCAGGCAACTTCACTCTGGTGCGGTCCCAGGGAAACACGTTCAGGTACCTGTTGCGGCCTCTGTTGCTAGGAGAAAGTGCAGCAGAAACAGCCCAGGGCAGGTTTGGCAGAGCGTGGTCTGCTAGATGGTCTTCGCATTCTGCGCAGATGGCGGCGAACCGCGCCCGTTGCTCGCGGGTCAGGATATCTAGCGCACGTTGTGTTTGGGGTGAGAGGCGAAGAATCATGAGACGTGAGGGGAGACGGCGAAAAGTGGAGGAAAGTGGAGGAAAATGGAGGGAGTAGACGTTTTGGGCGGGTGCGTCTTTGTGTGGAGTGCGCATGTTCTAGTCTTGATGTCAAAAGAGGCGGTATGCACACCGTACCTGAAAGAAGCAGGCACCCTAGATGGATATTATACCGCAAGAAGGACGAGATTTGAGAGCAGAAAAAAAGAGAATTGAAAAAAAAAAAGAGAGATGAAGAATAAAGCGGAAACAAGAGATTGAAGACACAATCATATACTAGATCATTGTACCTAAGTTTGGTGATCAAATATGAATCTCGTCACACGACTAGATAAAATGAGAAGGCAGTGCTAGTCTGAAAGCGAAAACCATGAAAATTTGCTCTCTGTTCAATTATTGCTTCAATCATGCTAATGAATCAGAGTAGCATGCCAAATTTACTAAAGCAAGAATGCAATAACTACACTTGTTTTCACATGTCTTTTATCTACTATTTCTTTTCTCCAGTTGCATGACCCCACTTTTAACCTCAATTGACGAGATGAGACTCTGAAGGGACAAAATTCAACAGAATTGGCAAGTCAGGAATAATAAAATGCCACCAAAAGAGGAGCGTCAGTATAGTGCATCGAGGCTCCAGAATAAATGGACGGCCGGCGCCATCAGGGTGCCCAGGCGGTACTGTTTGCTTATTCTTTCAAAGAGGCCAATTCCACGGGCTCTCCTGGCGTCACAATCTCGTCATAGACCAAGGTGGTCAAGAATTCCGCCAAGCTGTCGCCACGGATCTCTGGAAGCAAGTACTTTGCCGCCAAATCGAACTTGTGGTCCACAGAGGAATATTTCTCTCTGAGTTTGCCAGTCTCCTCCTCCAAGAGCTTTTGGGCCAAGTCCGGCGTGACTTTTTCGCCTGTGTCCGCCAACAGAACGCCGTGGCGGACCCACAGGTACAATTGAAGCCGGGACACTTCAGCAGTTGCTGCATCTTCCATCAAGTTGTTGATGGGCACACAGCCCACGCCCCGGAGCCACGACTCAATGTAACAGAGCGCAATGTACAAGTTCTCACGGATTCCGTCGGTGGAGATGGCAAAATCGGCAATCTTGGTGTCGGACAAGTCCTCGGCACTCACGTGTTCTTCAGGCAACACGTGGATCTGGTTGGGCGTGGGCATGTGTTCGTCAAACACGCCATTGGCAAGCGGCGCCAATGCTGGATGCGCCACCCATGTTCCGTCAAAGTGCATTGTCGCCTCGCGGAGCTTATCGGCCTTGACTTTGGCCATAGCGGCATCGTTGGCCTCTGGATCGTTCTTGATCGGAATCTGCGCCGCCATGCCACCCATGGCATGCACCTGGCGCCGATGACAGATGTTGATGAGGCGGCGGCAGTAGGCGGCCATGAATGGCAGTTGCATGGTCACCAAGCCTCTGTTGGGGAGCACTTTGGACGGATCATTGCGCAAACGCTTAATGGTGCTGAAGATGTAATCCCACCGGCCGCAATTGAGGCCAGCGCTGTGCTCGCGCAACTGGTAGATGATCTCTTCCATCTGGTAGGCAGCTGGAAGCGTTTCGATGAGAACCGTTGCGCGGATCGTGCCGCGGGGCAATCCAACATAGTCTTGGGCCACTTGGAAAATGTCGTTCCACAACTTGGCCTCCAAGTGGTGTTCCATCTTGGGCAAGTAGAAGTATGGCCCGCGGCCGCGTGCCACGAGTTCGTGAGCATTGTGGAAGAAGTAGAGGCCGAAATCGAGAATTGATGCCGAAACGGGCTCTCCGTCAATCAAAATGTGCTTGTCCACCATGTGCCAGCCACGTGGCCGCACAATGAGCAGCGGGATGTGGCGTCCTGGTGTTCTGTCGACCTTGTACGCCTTGCCAGTGGGTTTGAAGACAAAATCAAGCTGCTCCCGCACTGCGTCGTACAAATTGACTTGTCCGTTGATCACATTGGCCCACGTGGGGGCCAGGGAGTCCTCAAAGTCACACATGTACGTCTTGACAGGCGTGTTGAGCGCATTGACCACCATTTTCCGCTCCGGAGGGCCGGTGATTTCCGTGCGGCGGTCTGCAAGCCCTGGAGCAGGCACGGCACCTCGCCAGACAGGGTCGTTGCGGATCTGGACCCAAGCTGGGTCGTCCAAAAACGCAAGAGGCTTGCCCGCGTCAATTTGCGCTTGCACTTGCTGTCTCTGGTCAAGAAGAGCGAGTCTGGTTTTGTTGAAGGCGCGGTGGAGCAACACCACAAACGAGAGGGCACGGCGAGTCAAAATGTCGCTCTGGGCAGTGCCTGATTCGTGCTCGGCGGCTTTGGCGACGGAGCCTAGAACCTGAACGTTGTCAAGCAGCGTGTAGACCATGGTGCAGTTGAGAACGGTGTAATTGAAAGTTGGAATTGAGAGGCTGAAAAAAGCTCGAAAAGTTGAATTGCAGCGGCAGAAGAATACAGAGTCAGACTTTGAGAGCAAAATGCGTCAGCAAGAACGAAATTGATAAGGATAAGACTCAGGTGGGCCGAGCGCCTTTTATATGTGTGTTTCATGCATGGTCCGAGTCAGATCTCGGAGTTAGCCGCGCTCCATGCATCTGACGTTTCTTATCAGATTCCGCACTTTTCCGCGTCTTTGGAACGGGCTGGTCGAGCAATCTGGGTCAGATCGTCTCAGAGATTACTTGTGCTGCGCTGGAGCCTGCTCAACAGTTGGTGCTGGACTGAGTCAGCGCTAAAGTCCGGGGCCGGGGAGTCCGGTCGGACAATCGGAAGTTCCCCAGATCTCGGAGCGGACTATGTTCAGGACCGAAAGGCTTGATGGTCTTCCAGTGAATGGACCAGTGGCAAATGGATGGAGAATGAGAATATAAGTTGCGGTAGGTATGAAGGAAGATTGGCGAAAACGGCAATAAAATTTGAAAGACTCCATCCATGGAGTTGGAATGGCCTTGATTGGTTTCCATCTGTCCGCGACACATTGCCAGACACATCTTGAGACAGGACAATCATCCGAGTCATGATGACGTAAGAAGAAGAGCCGGGTTCTTGGCTTCTATGGATTCTAGACGTTTTGTTAGCCAGCACCCGGAGTAAACGTATTTTGTGTCTGAGACTGGTACTTTAAAACACGGGGAAGGGAGATACTGAATGCTCTGTTGAACTCTGGTAGATTTCGTCAAGGAGCTGAAGAATTAAGTTTGAGCACATAAATCACGAAGCTTTCACAGCATTATTGACATGTCAATTGCAATTACCCACCGTCAACCCCACAGTATAAGCTAGGACATTTGTGCTCGTGGACACATTCTGGTGTAGTTCCAACGGGTATTCTTGACGTTATAAACTCTTACAATAATCCTCAAGGCTTAAACTCTTCAGACTTTCAAATCCTTCTCGAGACACATAGTCTTTTCGAGCCATGCAAAGTAGCAAGACAAAGATCCCTTACCTGATTAGGGAAGCTATTTTGAGTAATGTTTGCCTAAGATGCCTATTTTAGTCTTACAATGCTTAACCCAAGAGCTATTCAAATTACAGACATATCAAACCGAGTGGATCTGGGCCTTCAACCGTTGCTGGATATCCTCATCTGAATCCTTGAGCACGCCGGCGGTTTTCAAACCTTTCGCCGTGTTTTCCACCACCCGGGGCCACTCGATCTCTGCTTGGCCGATTTTCTCGTTGAACTTGACGGTTTTCATCCACAGGCGAGCGTCTTCGGCAGAATAGTTCAAGTGGGTCAGAATGTACTCCACGGCCTCTTCAGGGTGAGCCCAGAAGTACGCAATACCTTCGTTAGCCGCAGCCAAAAAGCTTTCGACGGCACTTTTCTTTTCCGCAAGAGACTCCCCGTTGACAGACACGACCCACAGCGGCCAAGGTGTGTAGATCTCGCCTATGCGGCGGATCTCGCCACTGTCATAGTACTTTTTCGAAGTGAAGTGCTCCCACATGAACGCGTCGCTGTCCACTTTCTTTCCTTCCGCGTCGGAGTACTTCAAGTTGACGGAATTGCGCAAGTTTTCAAAGTTGTGCAAGATCGGGAAGTCCGAGAAGTATGGCGTTGGGAACAGCAGTTGGAGCCCCAACACAAACGACATGACATAGGAACCCGAGCCGATCCGGGACACCCCAATGCGTTTTCCCGCAAGATCCAGAGGCGTCTGGATGTCGCTTCTGTCGCTGCCGGTGGAAATGGCCCAGCAGAGAGGACTTTCCACATACGTTGCCACGACGTTGTACTTGTTGTTTCCGTTGCCAATGTCGGCAATAAACGCTTCGGTCAAGCCAATGGCGATATCCACCGATTTCTCATTGAGCAACTTGATAAGACGGCCAGAGCCTTCGACGACGGGGAAAAAGTCAATTTCCAAGCCACGGGAAGCGTAGAAACCATGCGTCTCCGCAAGAAACAACGGAGTCGAGAAATGTTCGGGAATGTAGGCGACGGTAAGTTTGGTCATAAAGAAGAAGTGGTGGAGGCGGGGTCACGTGAAGGGACCAAATAGGAATGAGTATCGAATATGGCCAAAAAGGTTCATAATCGATACACCAAGCCCGGAAAGATTATTCACGATATGCCTATGAACACCGGGGTATTATCAGATTGACGTAGAGGGTTCATATGGACACATTGTGGAAAAATATAGACTGAGCTCTTCCACTTACGATACTTGGACTCTACGACTAGACAGACATTGGCAATCATCTTGCAATCCAGTTGATTGCCAATGCAGGTTCACCACCCTCTCCTTCATGCTCTATCCGAACTTCTGTTATTCCTATATAGGACAGCCGACACATATTAACCGAACAACCGTATCCAATGACTTGTCCCTAGCCGTGATCCGAGCAGAGCTGGCCAGATGGATGACATCTGACTCGTCGTTCTTGCTGAATCATTCTGCTGAATCGTGTTCTCTGCCGAATCGTGTTCTCTGCAAATATTCTCTGCAAATTCTCTGCAAATTCTCTGCAAATTCTCTGCCTCGTCTTCTCTGGCGAATCATTGCTGCATTTTCACGCTCTAGCACGCACAATCCGAGGCGCCCGACCGCTGGCCGTTGCCGCTCAAGTCGATGCGGCCACTTTCGCCACGCGGCCCCGGCGTCTCGTCCGCCGGCTTGGCCTCGGGGATTTTGCTGCCAATCGCCACAAACACGTCGTTGACGTTGTGGCTGGTCTTGGCGGACGTCTCGAAAAACAACAAGCCCTCCTCCTCGGCCAACGCCTGGCCCTCGGCCACGCTGACCTTGCGCAAGGACTCGTCCGTGTCGTTGTCGGCCGCCACCAAGTCGTACTTGTTGCCCACCAACGCGATGGTGATGTCCTTGGCCGCCTGCTCATGCAACTCCTTGACCCAGTGTCGGGCCTTGATGAAAGATGCCGGTTTGGTGATGTCGTACACCACTAGCGCCGCCTGGGCGTTGCGGTAGTACATGGGCGCCAACGACGCAAAGCGCTCCTGGCCTGCGGTGTCCCAGATCTCGTACTTGATGGTTCTGTCGCCCACGGTGCATTTCTGGGTCAAAAACGCCGCGCCAATGGTGGGCTCTTTGTTTTCCTGGAAATCGTTGCTGACAAAGCGCAAAACGAGCGACGACTTGCCGACTGCAGCCTCGCCGAGAAGAACCAATTTGACCGAAGTGGCGGGAGCGGGGAAACTCATGGTGTATGGGGTGGGAAAGGTGCTCGCTTAGATAGATAGGGAGGTTAGGGGAGTGGCCATATTGGTGCGCGCACGCAGCAATGGTGTGACAGATAACGATGAAAGCCTACTTTAGACGTTTTGCTGTTTGAAGAGTTTCTTTATGGTGGAATCTTGTGGTTGAAGAATTTCCTTATGGTGGAATCTTGTGGTTGAAGAAATCATTTTGGGAGGGAATTTGGTTTGGAAATTCTGTGATGTTAGTGGTGAATGCTAGTATAGTAGGTCTGCTGGCTAGGCTCGTGTTATGGCAGGTCTATGCATAATTGAAGTAGAAACCTTCTCAAATTATTCTGGAGGCTCAATGAAATTGTCAGGCTTGTCAGGAAAGGTAGGTTTCAGGAATGGTGGGTTTCAGGAATGTCCTGTTAATACAGATATGATAAGGGGAGTAAGATATTATTCAATAATGCTTCCTAACTAATAACTAGCTAAGGAGCAGTGCCGAGTGTTTATGCTCCTAAACTGAGGAAGAATTTTTGATTCGCCATCTTCCCTTGGACAGAAAGACTGTCCGGCTACTGGCATAATCTTCTGTTTTTTGATTTTGAATAATTGTAAACAGAAGATCGGGGAAACAACGAAATAAACGAACAATTTTCAAACTAAAAGACGATTATACTGCGACTAGTAACTGAATTGAGAATGGTAAACGGTAGACTATTGGACGGTAAGAGTCGAAATGCATGCCAGACTATTTGTCTTATTGTTTACGTATTCTTCACATTGAAGATGTTTGTGCTTTAAATCTAGAGAATACATGAATTCGCCGCTAATCTTTCAGTGAGCTATCAAAACTGATTTTCGGCTTCGGTCTCATATGATGCATTAGAGAAATATACACCATCATAAATGCTGGTCGCCAGAAACGATAAGAACAAAGATAATGCTTTATTCTGTACTAATTCAAGCTGACCATCAAACGAGCTTGATGCCCAAGGATCATGTTCCAGAAGAAATTTACCACTGTAATTTGGTCATTTTGTTTGGGTTAATTTCTCTCCTTCAGTATTTGGTTCTCAAAAGTAAGACATCAGTGATTTGATCAATACAATAGATGGAGTCAAATAGTATACGGTGTCTACGAAGAATAGGGATATGTCATGTACGACGGATATTCTATTCGGCTACGACACTGAAGGTTAAACGATGACCTCTAGATAGAATCGTTAAATTCACTAGAATCATAAAATGCTTATTGGACTAAATCATTTGTTTGAAGCTTCGGCAGCTTTATGCCATGAAGATCCTCTTTAGCATACTCAATCAGGTTCATTTGCGAGACGAGCCGGAAAAGTTGGCTACTTGTCATTCAAGACGAGAACAGCAGTTGTGTCTTCAAATGTGGTGTTCCGTTCGGAAGTTGATCAAGTGGTTTGGCTCCGAGTCGTTGAATTTCCTCTATGATTTTTGGGGTTAGATGTACCATACACTGTTAAGTATTTTCATTATAGACGTCCATGAGCGCTTCCAGAATAGACCGACTTATCTTGATAAAACGTCTCATTTTTAGTGACCCTCAGTATTGTCCTTGCATTTTTAGTGACCCTCAGTATTGTCCTTGCATTTTTAGTGACCCTCAGTATTGTCCTTGTATTTTTAGGACCTTCGTATTGTACTTGCATCTTCAATGTCCTCTTCATTATCTTTCGCTTTCTTCCGGGCCACCCAAAACTCTGTTCCGTACTGGAAATTCGACAAGGCCCGCACATCACTGCTATATGTTGTGTCGAAAGATTCGTGTTCGTCCACTTCAAAGCCCATGCGGTCCATGAGCTGGAAAAGTTCCTCCCGTGAAAGCTCAAGGCCCTCCATCACCGAAGGGACCTTTTCGCCGTTTCTTGTGACCATGTGCTGCGACAGATCGCCCTCAAAATGCCAATGGAGAGGCCCCACATTGAGCCACACGCCCGAATCCGCCAAACAGTGGTGGATCGTGCGCAAGTAGTCCAATACGTTGTGCGCTGTGTCCAAGAAGAAACACGTGGCCACCACGTCGAAGCTTGCCTTGTTACTGATGCGGAACTGGTCGCTTTCGGCCAGATCGAAAGTCTGGTCGGGGCCATAGAGCTCCACAAACGACCCCGCGGCCATCGACATGAGTTCGCCCACGTCCTCGCCGCCGTTTTCGAAAAGCAGGTACGGGCTTTCGTCGGGGAGATAGACGGGCCGGACTTGGAAAAGGCGCCGGGCCAAATGCGACAGCCGATGCACATAGGGGAACACGGCATGCGTACTGGCGACAGGCACACGGTTCAACATGAAGCCCAGAGCAAGCAACATGTGGTAGCTGACCTCGTTGCCCTGGGTCCAAAAGCCGGCCTTGACGAACTCGTACACCAAACGGCCCAAGCCGCAGCCCGGCACCAAAACCCGGGTCTGGGCTCTCTTTTCGGGCGGGAAAAGCGCCTCTGCCTTGGCGAGAAGCCGCCCGAACGTGGCAAGACGCTCTTTTGCGCCGTCCGAGCTCCATTCTCGCGCCATCTGGAGCAACGTGGATCGCACCTTGTCGTAGTCCGTGTACGAGCACTCGGGCCAGCTTTCAGGCGGCGTAGCAACTCCCCAGTCCTGTGCGGCGACCAAGGCAAGCGTCTGGCAGAAGCTCTGGTTCATGTCTATGCATTGGGCGAGATCTCGAAGAAGCGCCGGATAGAAGTCCACCAACGCCTGGTCTGCTGGCGAAAGCAGATTGTACTTTATGGATTTGGGCGCGAGCACCTGCTTCTTCTGCCACTGGTGGAACGTGTAGAACAGACGGAGCGTCGACGCAATGGCGGCGTATTCTTCGTTTTCCATAGTGTAGGGGAATGTGAAGAAGGAATGAAGGAATGAAGGAATGAAGGAATGTGAAGAAGTAATACAGCAGAAGTATAGCCAAATTAGTATAGCAGATTTAGTATAGCCAAATTAAAGTAGCCGAATTGATACACCGAAGATGACTCGATCTGAATATGAAAGGCTAGCGCTTCCGGATTTCAGATGTCCCATGAATGTCTTCGCGATTCTGGCTTACATGGAATGCAGTTCAGAAATAGCCGAACAAAAATGCCAAATGGTACAGTATGGCAATAGCATTACACAACGGCTACAACTACCCGGATATGATTTCCATCGACTTTCCGAGAGGAATACATGACATTGTCTCGATTACAAAGAATAGCTTGTTGATTCAGCGCTGGTATAAAAGGATGGAGCCATCCTGAATAAATATGCCACCGGAGGCCTTTGGCTCGCGGCGGCGTGACCCGTTTATGTTCATCGAAGCTTATTAAGGTGTTCGATCAGACACTATGCTGACAATCAATGGCGAGAATGCGTCGATTCCTTAATGTTCGACTTGACGTTCTTCTTTATGTTCGTCCTGACGTTCTTACGTGTTCGTCCTGACATTCACAATTTATGTTCCTTGACACTTATGTTCGACTTGACATTCATGTTTATGTTCGACTGGACGTTCTTCTTTTATGTTCCTTGACATTCATGTTTCATGTTCGTCCTGACACTCATAATTTATGTCGTCTTGACATTCATATTCCCATTTCGTCCTGACACTCATAATTTATGTCGTCTTGACATTCATATTCCCATTTCGTCCTGACATTCTTCTTTTATGTTCGTCCTGACATTCATATCTATGTTCATCTTGACATTCATATTATGTCCGTCTCGACATTCACATGCTCGACTTGACATTCATATTCCCATGTTCGTCTGACACTCATATCTATGTCCGTCTAGACATTCATATCTATGTTCGTCTAGACATCCGTATTTATGTCCGTCTTGATATTCACATTTTATGTTCCTCTGACATTCACATTTTATGTTCCTCTGACATTCATATCTATGTTCGTCTGACATTATGTCCGTTGCGGTCTCTTGATGACGCAGTCTATCAATTTGTATCATGTGCCGCGACTAGAGTTCTGGCCGTGCGTCATGGGCAAGCAAGCCGCAAGGCTGGAGCGTCATGAAGTCAACAGGCTGTGGATGCGGCGCACTATGTGGTGCCGGCGCACCAAAGTGTGGGTAGTGCTGCGGCGCAATGTAGGTGGAGGCAAACGCATCAATCTGCACCTCGTGGAGACGCATGCGCGCACAGAGATCGTTGCGGGTCGATTCGATATCGACGCGGCCACGCCACTCAAGAACATTGTCGATGGGCGCCTGCAGCCGCACGCTGTCGTCCACCACCAAGCCGCGATACAAGAGCGAGAGACGCGCCGACAAGAAGGTGGTGAGACGCACGGCATAGCCTGCCAAGCGCTTGAGCTCGGGCAAGATTGCATTGTAGCGCGCGCGCAGGATGCAGAGCGCCTGCGGCGCATCTAAGTCGGCGAAAAGCAGCTCTTCAATGTTGGAGGTGATGACATCGAGCAACAACGGCGTGTCCAAGTCGCGCAAGAGGAAAAACCGCATCTGCGGCGCCGCCGCATACACGGCTTTGCAGAGCAGGCGCGAGAAGAGCGTGACGATTTTCTCGAGCAGGTCGGACGCGCGGCGCACCACAAGCATGCGCGCCGGCTGCACCACGTTCCACCGGTGCACCATGGCGAAAAGCACCTCGTGCTGGAAGCGCATGTCATGCAACCGCGAGTTGGCCGCAGGCACATGCGTGTGGATGGCGTCGTGGGCAAACAGCCTCAAGTCGCCATACACTTTTTGCACGTAGGCGGCCGTTTGCGGGTCGCAAATGTCCTCGGGCGCAACCTGCGCAAGCACATTGCCCAAGCTCGCAAGCATCAGCTCGTACTCGTGCAAAAAATGCGCGCGGTACGGCGGGAAGCGCACCGTGGCCGAAACGTTCTTCATGAGATTGAGGTGCACCGGCACCAACAGCGGCGGCGGCACGCCCTTCTGCTCGCACGAGTGGAGCGCATGGCTGAGTACAGAAAACATGCCGTCGCGGAAACAGCGCGCCGAGTCGGCCGTGGCCTCCGGGTCGTAGATGGCCATGAGCAGCAAGATGTACAGAAGCGACGCGGCCATCTCCGGGTCGCTGTTTTCGTTGAGAAGCAGGCGGAGGCTGCGGATGACCGTGGCGTAGTGCTGGATCAGGCGCACTGCGAGAAGATGCCGTTGCGCCCGCGACACGCCGCCCGCGCCGTTGCGGAACACATTGGTCACAAGGTAGTTGGTGGTGAGGTTGACGAGGCACAGAAACATGACGCGGTGCTTGCAGGCGCGCAGAATGAAGAAGCCGATCCACATGTGGTACAAGTGGCGGATCTGGGCCAAGGACGCGGCGCCGCGGTGCACGAGCGGGCCCAAGGACGCAAGCACCGCGTAGAAGCCGGGCTCGCCGTCGGGCGGCGGCGCGCGCGCGCAAAACAAAAACGCCCCGGCGCGCGCGCACAGAAGAGGGCGGCCCGCGCCGGTGCTGGTGCGCGGCCGCGCGCCTGCGCGCGGCGTTTCGGGGAGCACGTAGACGGGGTAGATGATCTCCGAGTCGTTGTTGGCGAGCAAGTTGTCGAAGTTCTGCGTGGCGTACTGCGTGGGCACGAAGTCGGCAAAGCCGTTGGCGCCGCCGTTGGCGAAGCCGACATCGAAACCGGCCTTGTCGTCGAACTTGTCGATGCCCGGCTCGAGCTTGATCCTGTCGAAGTTGTTCCTGTCGATGTTCCTGTCAAACTTATCGTTCCTGTCGTTCCTGTCGGCGTCGAAGTTATCGAGGTTGTTGTCGAGGTTGTTTCTGTCGCTCCTGCCGCCCCTGTCGGGCTTGCCCGGCGACGTGGACCGCGGGCTGGCGCTGCCCAGCAGATCCGACTGCGGCGCCTGCTCCTCGTGCGCCCGCTTGGCCGCCCGGAACACCGCCAACTGGTGCTCGGTGTAGTCCAAATACTCGCAGCGCACGCGGTGCTTGACGCAGTTGGTGCATGCTGGGAGGTTTTCCATGCACTTGATGCGCCGCCGCTTGCATGTGGCACAGCCCAACTTGGAGTTTCTGTGTTTCTTGCGCCGGGGCGCTTTCTTGGACGACATGGTGCTGGCACAAGACTGGCGATGCCGCACTATATATCACGGCCCGTTTGCGTGCAGAATGCCAAAGTGGCCGTGTGCACATGGGGTCGCCTGACTCAAGCTTGCAGGCGGGCGTGTACTCCGCCAAATGCGGGGCCGCTTGCCGTTGGAACGGCGGGACTTGGTGCTAGCTGAGGCCCTGGCAACGCTGGCACGTCTGTGCTGACGCCATTTTATGGCCTGCGGCCGTTTTATGTTTTCCCTCTTCTCTTTTTTCGTCGTCGGACCGTTGGGCCGTTTCCTTTCGGCGCAATTGCAGGCAGACCCCCACTGGCCTTGGCGCTGGTTTGTCAGCGCCGGCCTTACTGTTCGTCCGGGAATTTTTCAGGGAGTGTTTGTGTCTTTACTGGCTCGAGGTGGATCTACTTCTGTGGCTGGTGTGGTGTCGCCATGCGTGCCCCGACGTTGGGTGCTGCACTAGAACATGCATGCAACAGACATAGTGTGCTTCTGTGCCGGGGTGCGTTTGCCCCCATCGCGCGGTGTTCTTTTTCCTGCAGGCAGCCGATCTCTTGTCCCCAATCGAATTGTTTATTTGACGGCAATCTCGTAATGCGCATCTCGGTGATTGGACACGGGCACAAATGCCAGCAAGCTCACTGCCCCCAACAACGTTCAAATACACAATCGAACAGGCCATATGTGTCTGTCTGCGCGGCGGGGCCGCCAGCGGCGCCACCGGCGGGCCACCGGCGGAGTTAAGCTGCAAGGGCCGCTTTATAATGCCCGCATGGAGCATTGCAGCCCCTCAAAATAATAGCACATTTCGTCCTACCCAGTGGCCAATAATAGATTCCAGCAGCACCGCGTGCGTTGGCTACAGCCACTTGGATTTTATGTCACATCGACCCTTAAACTCGTAACACACATTAGCGTTCGCGTAACCAATAAGAACCCACTAACCGTGCAGGAGGCCATGCTTCTGAGGTGTTTTTTCCCTTCTATTTCCGTCGTGCCCCACGATCCACGTTGCGCCGCGTTCAACGGAATCAGCCTTGTGCAAGACGTGGAAAAAAGCCATCCAGCGTCAGACTAGTGCCATCTACGGGCCCAAGATGCCGGACTGGAAGATCTTGTCCATGTTATTGTGCGCCCCTTTTAGGATGGCGTTTGCGATTCTTCCCTTTCTAGATGCGGCATCATGCATGGATCTTGCGCGAAGTGCCTGAGCAGCACCATGCAGCTGCACCTTGGGCACCCCTGCAGGAACTACATTACCCTACTTCACGTTACAAACCATTAATATGACTTTTCAACACAACATAAACGCACAAGCCCACCCATAAACGTACGAGGATATTGCCGCCGCTGCCGCACGAAACGGCAATCTGTCATGTCTTACGCGAACCACCACCGGGCAGAAAATATTTAAGCCCGCTTGCCGACGGGCGGCCCCATGGCTCCAAATTGTGCAGGGGTGGAAAAAAAAAATATACCCCCCGTTACCGTATCATTCCTATTTCTAATGTACAAGTTTACGCCCTGGCGCCGTTGAGCGCATTGGTGATGTCATTTCTGCTCTGGTTCAAGTGCTCGTTGCGAACCCGCAAAAGCTCGATCGGCACCATGTGACTCAAGCTGGCCTGGCTTTCCCACTCAATGTAGCGATCAATGACTTTGGAGGCGTTGAAGTCGTGGTTCAGCATGCCCGAGCCGAGATTGAACTGCCACGGCTCGTGGTGGAGGGCGCTGTTTTGGCGGGCCGTTTCCTCTTCGATGAGCTGCGCAAACACCGGTTCCTTCAAGATGTGGTCGAAAAACGGGTAGTTGTCGGCCCGGAGCACGCAATTGTTCATGTCCGTCAACTGTGTTTCCGCCACACTGAGCTTTTCGGCAATCAGCTCCACCACGTCGCGGTGCTCCCAGTCTTTGGGCGCCACAAGCGACACCGGGCCGATGAACGGCTTGTCTCCCACCACGCGGTTGGCGTAGAAACCAAGAAGCTTCAGGCGGCACTCGAAGAACTTGATTGTTTTCACGAGGTCCATGAAGACGGGCGCAATGGACCGGTAGTGTGGCCTGTTCCACGGGTCAAACTCCGACACTGCAAAGCCAGCTTTGCAGAAGGTGACGTTGCACGGGTCCACAAACGACATGTACTTCAACGACGGGAACACGTGGCCCAAGCACTTGCCGAGCGCGTTGAAAAACACATAGAGCGTCTTCTTCAACGGGTTGACGGTGCGGTTGAGGCATGTCTTGTCGCCGCGGTAGACCTGGAACCAGTCGTTGGCCAAGTCGTGGGTCAAGGACGGCGAGAGAAAGCGCATGTTGCCGCCTGTGGGCCGGCCAAGCGACCGCTTGTAGTACGAGTCGATCTTGCGGAACAAAGGGTAGTAGTGGTGCAAGAGGCGGGTCAAGAACTTGTCGCTCTCGTGGAAATCGTGCCGGAACAACGGGTCCTTCAACACCTGCACCAAGTCGGGCTCGAAGTTGTGGCCCGTCTCGTACATGTTGATGAGCTGGTTGACAAGCCGCTTGTACACCTGGAAGCTGGCAATCAAGCTCTCCACCATCTGGAACGTGTAGTCCGGGTACAGCGCCGTCACGGCAAAGTGGTGGAGCATGACGATTTCTTGCTGGAGCGCACACGTCAAGTCCGACGACTGCGTGCATTCGTCGAGGCTCTTCTGGATCAACGCCATGGTGCCCGACATCATGAGACAAAAGGTGTCGATGCTCGACGTCATGTGGAAGAAACAGCCCCACGCCGAAAACAACAGGAGCTTGGTCGGGTACTCCTGGTGGTAGCTGCTGACGGACTCTCGCAACGCCCGGATGAGCCGGTCGAACGTCGAGTACGATTTCTGCGTGAGCATCTCCAAGTCCTCCGGATTGTAGAAGAACGACGACGGGTGCAGTCTTGCCGACGGCAGCAGCGGCGACGAGTGCAGCAGCCGCAGCAGCGGCAGCGCCGTGATCTCAATGTCGCCGTTGACCACGGCCGCCGACGCCCGCAAGAGAATGTTGACGGCCTTGTCCATAAAGTACAAGAAGTAGATGTTGAGAAACGTCAGCTGGTGGAAAATCGCAAGCCAGAACACATGGGCATCCTCTTCCGTCCACACGGGCCGGGGCATGAGCACCCACGCCTCGTTGGTGATGTTCTTGAGGTCGAACGTGCCTTTCCGGTGCCGCTCGACGATTCGCTCGAGCATCACGTTGCGGAGCTCCTGCGGGAGCGGCATGGCCTTGAATACTGTGCGGTGCATCGACGCATGGGCAAGCGGGCGCCCGAGCGGCTTTGCTGCCGGTTTTTTGGCCGGGCCCTGCGAGACGGGCGACGGGTTGGTGTCGTTCGAGACGAGGCTCGACGTGCGGAAGGAGTTGGGGGTGTTGGTCGACGAGACCGACTGTGTGAAGCCGCCGCCGACGGGCGGATACGCCGAGTCGCTGGGCGAGAAGCTTTTCGGGATGTAAACGGTCGGGTGCACGGCCACCAGCTCGGCGGACGAGAAATGCAACTCTGGCTTGTCCAACTCCATGTTCGGGAGCGCCATGGGTAAGTTGGTGCTCATGGCCGGGCTGATGAAGGTGCTCGAGTAGAAAATCGACCGCATGTCTTTCATTTGGGTGTAGGACGCTGTTCGCAGAACAGAGAGCCCGTCCTTCTTTCGGTACGTGACCGACGTGCGTCTGTCCGGTAGAATGGTGCCTGGTGTTTGGACAATGTCGTCCATTTTTTCCAGCGGACTGACGTGTTCCTGCTTCACGAACGGAACGTGTTCCTGCTTCACGAATGGACCGTGTTCCTGTTTCACGAACGGACCGTGTTCCTGTTTCAACGGCAGAGGCTCGTACGACGGCTGGTCGCGCGAAACAGCGGCAAACTCGGGCGCCGGCTCGACAGACAGGTCGCTGGCGTCCTGGAGGCGCTTGTTTTCGTCCTGGAGGCGCTTGTTTTCGTTCTTGCGGCGAATGTGTTCCAAACGCTCGGGCGAGAAGTCCAAATAGCCGCAGCGCAACTCCTTCTTGACGCAGTTGCTGCAAGATGGAATCTCCTCGGTGCATTTTATCCTCTTAGCGCGGCAGTTGGGACACCCATCGCGAGAGTTCTTGTGCGATCTTCGGCATTTGCGGTCTTTGCCTGTCTTGGGTGGAGCTTTTGTCATGGACATGGATATGCAAGTGTGGTGTCACGGTGGTGAGTTTTGGATGGAGGAGTATGTACGCAAAGCAAAGAACCTGTAGGGATCACGAAAGGGACAACGACTCTGGAGTCATCAATAGGAGAAAGTAAACGAAAATGAGCGATCGGGCAGAGGATGGGAAACGGTGTGTTAATGCTTAAGATGTGTTTTTTTTTCCTGCGGGCACAGCACCTCAACTGCATACCGTCTTGAATGATCCATGCATGTGTTATGCACACTCCCCTGTGGCTAACGACACCAGAGATGCTTTAAAGAGAAGACGCTGCGCACACCTCATGCACCTAGAGGCATAAAACATGACGCAACTGAAGAAAAATGCACCCAACGGGAGGGTGGAAAAGTGGTGCAAAATGCAAGCGGAAAAGTGAGACAAGAAAAGAGGAAAAAGAAAGAAATGGATCCAATAGAAAAAAAATTGTAACCGAGACCACAGCAACGTAAACACTAGCAACGCATGGTTATAGCAAGCCAGAAAGACGAGCCTTCGAGATTCATATGCTACAAAAACCACTAAAACTGTATCACAATATACTCTGTTTTCTTTGTGTCGCATGGGATACCGGCCATGTCAAGATAACGCGAGCATTAACCCAAACGGCAAGTTTCATCTTGTTTCTGCAGAAGCCGCTAAATCTGCACATGGGCATATGGACAAGATGGATAGACACACACAGTCGACTACTGTAGCCCCTTCAAACCAAGGCAGCTCCACCTCTGCAAGCCACCATTCCCCTGCTTCAAGTTTTCCTCTGATTTTTTACCCTGGATTACCGTCTACTTTTCTACACCACCCAAATGCCTTCGGCAATTCGGCTCGGCAATTTGCTCTCTACTGCACACTTTATTAACTTAATTTCACTTTATTCAGCTGCACTTGAATTCTCTAGTCATCTCAAGACTGCAGCGTATCCGAGCTACACCATGTAATCTTCTTCAAAATGCACGCCGCCCAAGTCGGCCAAATGGCGCATCGTCGGACGTCCATGCGGACAGTTCCACGGTTTTTCGAGCCGCGATAAGTGCCGCACAACTTTGGCCATGGTATTTTTGGACAAGGACTGCCCAATCATAATGCTGCGGCGGCATGCACGCAGCGCTATCATTTTATCGACTTTGGAGCATCGGACAACTAACCGCGGACGTTCTTGCGTCGACATGCTGCTGGCAAAGCCGTTTTCATGCAATCTGTGCATTAATTCATGTAGATCTCCGTCGTCGAACACGACATTTTTCAGCACTGGAACTGCCATTAGTTTCACGCGACGGCCCGGAACAGCATCTGCGTCTTCTTGGACAACAAAGCCGTTGCGCCGCAAGTTTTCGACATTTTCCAATAGCACCATTTCGTCGACGGGCGAAAGTTCAAGAAGCCTTGGGATCACGAGAGGCTGGGCTCGTAGAACCAACGACTGCATCAAGCGCTCATAATTGAAAATCTCGTCCAGCGCGTGCTGATCGACAATGAAAAGTCGGTTGTCATGCACCACCACTACAAACCCAAGATTGAACTGTCCCACCACGCTCATACGGGCAAAATCATCTTTGTGAATTTGCAATGTTTCGCCAATGTCGTGCAAACTGACCAACACAGAAGGTCTAGGCGCGGAATTGGCGCAGGGCGCAGGAATGGAAGCAAGCATCTCTAAACAGTACGTGCGTCTGATACTGCAACGTGAGCGAAGCAACAGCGGTGATCCCATATCGGCCTGTACACAAGACGCGCCCTCTGCGTCTTCATGCACGTCGCGTTCTTCTTCCACAAAAAGCGACTCCACTATATTCTCGTCAATGTCTGCAAAGTCGTCATTGGCATGTGTTTTTTCTGCTTCTGACACCAGTTTTTCATTTGTGTCTTTACTCGAATGAAGACTTCTTGGTGTCGTTATTTCTTCATATTCCCAGCCGGTTTCGCCCGATCCTCGTGAATTGTTGGTGTCAGAAAAATCTTTCATTTCAATATCTTCGGTGTCGGTGGGTCTGAGTGAACTTTCCCTGCCATTTACGGCTTCGGGTTTTTCGTCCTCTCTCTCCTCCTCGCACATGCTATCCTGATCTGGCGCCTCCATGTTTTCGCTCTCTTGACTTTCATACTCTTTTCGACTTTTCTTTTCCTCGGCCACTTTTTCGACATTCTTTTCGACCTCATTTCTCTTCTCGATTACTTTTGTTTTACTTTCGATCTCATTCTCCTCTTCTTCTTCTTCCTCCTCCTCTTCAGCTTGCTCTTTCTCCTCTTCTTCAAAATTTTCTTCTTCTTCCAAATTCTCTTCTTCTTCCTCTTCTTCCTCCTCCTCTTCTTCTTCTTCTTCTTCTTCCTCTTCCAAATTCTCTTCTTCCAACTGCTCTTCGTCCTCCTCTTCAGCTTGTTCTTCCTCCTTCTCTCTGTTTCTCCCCTTTCTCCCTTCCTGAGGAATTTGACTGCACATGTTTTGGCTTTGTGCTATCTGGCTCGTGAGGTTGTTTTTCGGGAGCGAGTTGTGTCTGTCTCTGTAAAAGTAGGTGAGTTCCTCCCGCAAAACTTCACAAAGTATCTCTTCACTATTGATCATCACCATTCTCTTATCCGGTGTGACATTAACATCCACAAAGGTGCTATCAATCTCAATATTCAACACATAAACTGGAGACTGTGTGGCGTTGAAAGTTCGGTAAACTTCATTGATCACCTTGGCAAACCGTTTGTGGTTTACCGGGCGCCGGTTTATGCATAGGTATTGTCTGTCCGTTCCGCCTCGGCCCATGCCAAAGGAGTAGTCTGAAATCCAGCCACAAACTTTCATCGCAAGAGAAACAGGAACGGTGTTCGCCGATAGTTTGAAACGAACATCAATGTCAGAGGCAGCCACATCGATACTCACAAGGCCGTATGCCCCGTTACTACCAAATATGCTGGTCAAAACATCGGTCACCGAAGAAGAGCCGCCCTGAGAGCCCAAAGTCAAGGTTTTCTTCCCGGAGGTGGCATTGATGTTGTAGACGGCAAAGCGGATATGAGGATACGCCAACAAATACGACATGAGCGTCGATAGGCACTTGGAATACTCTCGTTTGGCATGTTTGATGAAGTTTTTCTGCCGAACAGGCATATCTTGGAACAAGCCGCTCACAAGAACTGTTGTGCCCTTTTTGCCTGTCACCTTGCTCTTTTGCGCCACAAGCTTCCCCATGCTGTCGTATTCCAATTCTGTAGCTTTAGGATAGCTGCTTTTGGAGCAAGTCACGATTTTCACCTTGGCCACATTACAAAGCGAACTCATGGCTTCGCCCCGAAAGCCCAATGTGCTAACACGCGAAAGATCCTCGAATGTGGTGAGTTTGGACGTGTGGTGTTTGAGGCAGAGCGACTCGAAGTCCTCTTTTTCAATTCCTGTTCCATTGTCGCTGACTTCGACAGATGTGATACCATTGTTGTTGAAAACGACGTCGATCTTGTCGCTTTCCGCGTCTATTGAGTTCTCCACTAGCTCTTTGACCACAGAAAGAAGCTCAATTATCACCTGGCCCGAAGTGATTTTGGCCACATCTGAAGTTTGGATCGAACCGATGCCCATTGGAGACGCGTCTTGGTTACGACAAATGATAAATGCTCAGAACAAAACGCAAATTGTGATAATCTCGGGCCCGCCTTAAGATCTTATCTGCTATTCGTGGCGCTTTATTCACTGTTGTTCGTTTGGTATAACGTAGCTGTGACTGGGATGCTTCCTTGCAGCTGTAATGCACCTGTACACCTTTGATGCTAGCATCATGAAATGTGCATTGCATTCTGCCTGCATTAGTCTCGACCACGATTCTTGTCTTCTGATGGCCTATGGAACCTCTTACTTTGGAAAAGGTGATTCTCCTGGTCCGTGATTTCTTAGTTGTGTGGATAAGCCAAATTCTATACTACAACCACATCTACCCCGATGAGTCCTATGAGGAACGGTCTTACATGGAAAATGTCGTGTTCCAAACACGGGTTCCTGCTCTTGCAGAATACTTGACAAGTTTTGCAAACCAGATGATTAAGGTACTTGTCGAAAAAGATGGCGGCGGCAAAGTCCACGAGATTATTGTGCTTATTTACGACGAAGCTAGTCTTCATGTGCGCAAAAGGTATATTGCCAATTTTAGTCAGTTTGTGGGGTTGGCGGGCCACTTCACATCTTTGGATTTCTTGAACGGACTGCTGGATGCAAAGCTGGCCCGTTTGAACTTACCCGACTTGACTTGGCCTCATTTGTTTACGGATTTGCGCAGCCTCATGTTTTTCCACATCCAAGAGCTTAAAAGGAGCGAACTGAAGATGGAACCCAATGTATTCTTTAAACTTTTACTTAACATGGATGGGTCTGTCAATCTTTCTCTGTCCGAAAATAATGTTTGGGCAAAAATCACCCTGGCGGACGACCAAAGACCTATGAAATATGTACCTTTGGGAGAAACTAGTGTAGGGTTCGTATGTTTCGATATACACAATGAATATATACCATAGGTGATGGTGCCATGTACATTTATATCTGGAGTCATTAAGTGCTATTCATGTAGTTCGTCGGTCAGTTATTGTTCATTCAATTTCTGATCAATCCAATTTGTTGTTCAATCCCATGATGTTCTTGAGGTTTTCATACATGAAGTAACTGATGGAGACGGCAGGCGCCACTTTGGCCAAGTTTGGTACTAGTCCTTTGAAAAGCCCTGGGATTCCTTCTCTTTGTATGGTTTTCAGCAAAACATCTCGAAAGCCATCGTATCGGTATGGATGTGCATATGTGCCCTGTGCCTGAAGTCTTGTTCTTAGTAAATTAATCGGGTACACCACGGTAGCTCCAAAAGTGCCTGAAATGGCACCAAGTGAAAGCACCTTGTAGTTTGGCAATCTGACTTCATCCTCTGGGATGCCCATCTCTTTTGCCTGTCTCTTGACGAGCCAGTTTTTGATGGTGCTGAAAGTTCCCAAATCCAACGCAGCGTAAGGGAAGATTCCGCTCGTGCCCACAAAAATGCCTCTGTAAAACATCCGGAGGCCACCTTCTCTGTACATATTTTTGGCCGTCTGTATTAATAGAGCGTTGCCCTTCACTTTCGAGTCGATATTAGAGCACTGCAATCTGAACTTCAACGTGTCGATGGGATAAACCGTGAATTGGGCCACGACACCACCAATGCCACCAGCCAAATATGTTGAGACTTTAGACAATTTCGATGTGTCGTCCACACCTTCGATTCGGGCCAAGGCTCTCTTGGTCGCCTCGAAAGAACCGAACTTCATGGCCGATTCGGGGAACACTTTAAGCACATTCAAGCCGTTCCCCACATAAAATGCTTTGAAGCCGCCTTGTTTCCAGAGGGTGCGAGCTGCTTGGATGATGGGAGATCGGATGGTTCTGCGATGCGGTGGTTCTGGAGCTCTTTTCGACGCTTCCAACTCGAGCTGAACCAATTTTCTGCGAGCCTCTTCTATGACATGACGCGATGCGCCCGATGCAACCACTCTCTCGATTTCTTTTCGCGAGTGCATTATGGTGGAGGACAAGTCTGTTCTTGCAATCAAAAACACTTTGATCCGGTCAAAAGGCGCTGTGCAAGTACGCGACACGACTCCCGAAAGGCCGCCGGCCAAAAAGAACCCAAAGCCGCTCAAGAACTGGTTGATCAAAGTCACGTCACCATCTGAAGACAAGTCCAATTCTTCGGCAATGAAGGTGAATGCAGTTTTGATGCGGGACCCGTGCAAACGTGGCATCAACAACAAAAACTCTCGGAACTCGTCGTAGGTGATGTATCCGTTGTCGTTGTGGTCTATGCGGCTGAAGATGTTGTCCAACGAGTTGTTGGACGGACTGAGGTTGAGCGTTTTCTTTAGGTAGTGCATGAAATCTTCCTTGGTCAACTTGCCGTCGTGGTCCTGGTCGATGATGTTGAACCCTCTCAAGATCTGGTCGTCTGTCGTTGTTAGGTAAAGCTTGAAGTCGTTGAAGTCAATCACCTTGTCCTTGTTGCTGTCGAACGACTGGAACACTTTCTCCACAAGCTCCGGGTTGTCGCCCACCGGGTGGTTCAACGTTTTGATGGCCTTTTTGAAGTCTTGCAACGTGATTTCTCCATTGTGCTTGATGTCTAACTTGTCAAACAAAACTTCGTAGTCGTCTGGCACTTCTTGCTGGTTGCTCATGACGATATGCAAAGAGGGCGGTACAGTGTGAATGCAATTGGAGTTACGGTGCTCCGGTTTTTGGGATGCTGGGTTTTTCACTTGGGCAAAAGTTGGTGATGCGGTAATGGTGAATTTCTGCTTTTCTATTTGTTGTACGAACCCCGGGAGTCACGTGTGCGATGTCCGTCTAGGTTCCCAGAAACGAAATCCGTATATTGTTTGACAGCGATGAAGAAAGTAAAGCTTCTTCGTTTATTTGGCTTGGAGCCTGAGCTGGACCGGAGAATTTTGTGGCTGAGTGTTGGAAGATTGGAATCTTTGTGCGCATTAGTGCTCGTGTGGCCGTAGTAGAAAATCACCACTTTACAAAATGGAGAACGAGTGTGGACAGACTAAAGAATGAGAATTTTCATATGGAAAAGTCAAATAGTAGGAACCATGCGGTAGTTTTGGCCACGGATGGTTCTGGTAGTGGCCAAGTCTACAATTCTAACTATGTGAGTCGCAGTGTTATATAATGGTTGAGAATATTTATCTAATCGACCATTTGTACACTGGTCTGAATATCTAGAAAAGGAAAGTAAATTATAAAAAAAGTTTATGCCAAGGACTGATGTGTGTTTTTCTTTGTCTTGAGAACTATTGAACGATCTTCTTAATTACCTATCCTCTCAATGACGAACTTTTGATCTATACAAACCATGGCACCATGTCCAATATCTTTTCTACCATTAAAGGTGTCGGGTAATTACCAACAATTGCCTCTGACTCAAAAGAAACCAACAAATTTGTCGCTTGGATAATTTTATCTTTGGTCTATTTGCCTTATAGCCTTATGTTAATCGGCGGTAGGAATAGAATTCTGTACTTGACGATGTGGTTCCCAAAATTTTGTAATACTTCCATTCCTCACACCAACGAGAAAATGTCTTCGGAGATGTCGCCAAGAAGCTCCTTTATGAGCTCTATAATCTTGTCAAGCTCCGTGGTGATTGTCGTGCTGACTAAAATGTAAGAGTAAAGCAAAACGTAGTCTTCATTCGTCAAATGCATTTGCTCACGAGTGTGTTTTGATCTCATTTCACTAAGTTTGAGAAGCATACGCATTTTGGCGTGTTCTGTTGAAGCAGGTTTCGAAGGCAATGGGAATCCCAACGCCAATGCACTGGCAACCATGTAAAAGATCAAAAAGATCCGGTGCTCGAGCTCGCTTCGTTCGTTCGATATGTATTCCAAAACGTACTCTTCTGTCGGGTCCATTTTCGAGTCCACCTCCACCATAAGTTGGAAATTCAGAAACGCATCTAGAATTGCCGAAGTGCTGGCCAATAGCTTCTCGTAGATGGCCTTGGGGAAACTGCCTTTCAACCGAAATTCGACTGGCGCCTGCTTAAGAAGCGTCTGGCATTCCACAAGCAAGTTCCTGGTGTTTTTGAAATCTTTGATCCCCACAAAGTTGCTTCCTTCTCTGGTCTCGCGATAGTCCAAAGGATCGCTGTTCCAAATAACGCCCATGCGGAGCCACAAGACTGTAAGTCCCGATTTTAGTCTAGCTCTGGCGCTGTTGGGTAAGAAAAATGTGGCCACAGATAGTGCCCACACTATACCAATGGAAACAGACACAAATCTGTGGAATGCAATCTCACCAACGATAGGCGAGTCGCCTCCTTCGTACCCATCTTCGGAGTCTTTCTGGGCCATGCTATACGAGTATAATGCAGTCAAGTTATAAGTCAAGAGAATAAAACGGCCGTAGGCGTTATTCTTTTTCCAATATATGATGATGTAGAAACACGGAAGCGAAACCAAAAAGCCAGTTATGGCAAGGGCCACGCCGTTTCCATCAAAAATCTTCCAAATAACGTACGCGGTGAAAGCTCCCAAGAAGGTTCCCATTATTCTCCATTTAACTGTCATAGTAGTTCCCCCTAGTGACTTATTCATCATGATACAGTAGATGACGAGCGTCCACTCCAATCTCCAAGTTTCAAAAATATCCTTTGTCTGGGGAATGAAAGCGAAAATCGAGATGCAAAAAGCACCAACACCCACTCGAAGTCCAAACTGGATATCTGTGCGGCGAAGAAAACTGAGCGACTTCCAAAGACGAAGTCGATAACGATCAATTTGTTGCGTGTTAGGAAGGAGACTGGTTCTTTCAGTTACAGCGTCCAATGACTTTGGTTTGAGTTGCAATTTGAGCTCCTGAAGCGCATCCACGAATGAGGAGTTTATTGCAGAGTTTTCTGTGTGGCTTCTTTTCTTCCAGAGCTTACACCATTTCCAAGATCGAGGACTGGACTTGGAAACAAGCTCAAAATGCTCTGTAAGCTCCATGAAGTGGATAAGCAGTTTGCCGTATAAAGCCAACAAAAATGAAAAGTTTCCACAACATGCCGTGACTTCTTCTTGATCAGTTTTGAAGTTGCTGTTGTTTGGTTTGAAAATGTCCTGTGAGTATAGCTTGTCGAACGAGCGATCCTGTTTGTTTTCGAAAAGCCCAATCGCTTTGGTCAATGAAAGTCTATAGTTTGAGGACTTGGCAAAGAAATTATGGTGTTCTGTCTCCTCAATCAATTTTTTTTCAAAAGGCACGGCGCTCAACACCTCCTTGACGGTGAAAACAAAAGACTTGATGGACGGAGCCAAATAATACACAAACAAATCAAATAATTGTGTCAGGTACATTGCATTGTAGTCCATGTCACTTGTCTCAAGCAAGGACGTATCTATCGGGTGGCTGCTGCTCATGTCTTCCATTGATTGAGAGAGGCGGATCAAATCTGAATGATAGCTGGAAAAGCTGTGAGTCGATTCGGTTTCGGGGTTGTTCTGCTTCATCGAGTTGTTCGGCTGTTCGTTTGGGTCACTGGGGACACTGGAGGAGCCTGATTCCAGACCTTTTGCATGCAAAAGTTGCCATTGCATTTCGCATGAGGAACGCAAAGCCTGCAAGTGTTCCAGCAACGAAACCGTGGCGTCCACAATGGCTGAATATGTTGCGAACTCCTCTTCTTTTCCCACAAGATAGAGCTCGTACATGGCTTCTTCAAGGCTGCCCTTGAGATCTGTGGTTTTCTTTCGAAGAAGAGAGAATATCTCGGCATCTTTAGCGGACACCTTGTCCCCGTTTAAAAACCGGTGGGTTGTGATGGACAAGAGCGACGACATGATGTTAAAGGAGTCGTTCAAAGACGTTCGAAGCGCAGTAACTGCACTCTTGGGCCATACCAAATAGCATATGGCCACAGGAATAAGCGAGCCCACCACAACCACATGGGCAGTCGAAAGAAGTCTGCCCATTGGAATGACTTGGGAGTTCAACGAGCCCTCTTTCACGATACATGTGGCTAGCGAAATCGATGCAAGAGAGCACGCGGTGTTGAAGGTCTGGCGATTCACCTTTTGCTTCATGAACGCAATGACTCCGAGCCCGATGGAGCTGATGACCAAGTCGATGACATAGCTTGTCTCGTCAAGCCCGTGGGTGAAGAAGTATGTCGAAACGGAGCGGCACACCAACGAAACAACGAAACTGTACGCCAAAGACAAAAGCACAAACAAAAGCAGCTGGTGCATCGACCCTTTGGTTCGTGCCGGGTGGAAGTACACTGCTGTGGTTGCCACGACGTGCTTGGAGTCTGTGTTGCCCAAGAAGCGATTGAAGGGCCCCCAGTAGACGCCCATGGACGCCACCAAGTACGCCAACGAGCATTTGAGCACGTTCTGGAACATGGTCGAGCGCCAAAGCTTGGCTATACTGAGGCGCAACTTTCGAAGGCGATGAGGAACGCGCTGGAGCTGGCGGTTGTGCTCCAACATGGGCAAACTGATGTTGCTTTCCAGATACTCCGAGTCGTGGAAAGAGTCGTCGTTGAAGCTCTCGAATTCCGAGTTGAAGAAAGAGTTGGACCGGTGGACTTTCTGCCCGCTCTCGGCCAAGATGACCGAGTTGTGTTTGGCTAGCATCTGCGCCGTTCTGCGCCCCTTGCCCGCAAAGGTAACGGCAATGTCGCTGTCGTCTTCTTCAAACTCGGCCGTGGTGTTGGGCAGCAGTTCTGCTATGGCGCCCAGGAACTTTCGCTGGCCCGACATTCGTGAAGGCGACCGGCCGGGAATCATGGATGGCTCTGTTTATGGATGCTCTTTCTTTTTCTGTTGGATCTGGTGGAGACAGGAGGTTTTGGATTGATGAAGTAGAGTAGGCTAGCACGGCTATAGCAAGATAAGCAGGTTGGATTGTGCAGGTCATAGACGATGGAGTCCCGTAGATTATTGGGTTTCGAAGAATTAGACACTTCTGGAGAGTTTTGGAAATAGAAGGAGAAGGTAGAAGAGTAAGAATAAATAGATAAAAGTCGCAGTGATGAAGTGATGGTAGAAGCGTAAAGTAGTGATAGTGAAGTAGTGATGTGAAGTAGTGATGTGAAGTAGTGATGTGAAGTAGTGATGTGAAGTAGTGATGTGAAGTAGTGATAGTGAAGTAGGTAGAAGTAGAATTACCGGTGAGCCGAACCAAAGGAGAATATTAGTAACTGGATTATTAGTAGAGCCATTAATAGAATTTCAGTAGAAGAAAGAGTGTAGTAGTTTAGAAGAGAGGTGAGACTAGAGGTAAAAGTTGCGAATGTCTTGGATGGCACGAATTATCAGTCACAACGGAAATAAGTGAGTTACTACGTCTTCTTTTTGCCTTCTGTCAGTTTTTCAACTCCTTATGTTTCTCCTTGCAATATATTATCGAGGGAATGGTTCATAAGATACTACAATGGAAGAAACGAAACAGTCCATAGTACAAAGCTATGAACAAAGAGTATCAATCATTCATAAACTATAAAAGACATGGATAGTGAGAGCAGGTGCTAATTTCCGCCGATTCCATTTACCCAGCTTATCAGGTGTAAGAAAAAGCAAGCTTGGCTGACCCAATCGTCTACAACAAGAATGTTTGATTCATTTGCCTTAACAATAATAAAGCATCTCGTCAATGGCAAGTATAGGAACAAAGATTCGTCTGCTCTGATTGCATTTGGTCAAGTCGTGACTTTTCCTCTTGAACAGTTAAGTTCGATGGAAATCCAGCTGTTCTTGATCAAACGTTTTTAGGGTTCCGGTTACTTTTCCTGTGATACGACCTATTTCTTCGTTTTCTTTGGTTTCTGCGTCTTCTGTGAGTTGTCGAGTCTTCAGGAGGCATAAGGAAATAAGGTCTTTTCACTAGATTCTCTTTGGGAATTCTCAATTTGTCCACGATATATCTTGCTTCGGCAACCAATTCGCCGACAGTCGCTGGAGGTGGTAATTCGTAGAGTTTCATCCGAACCAATACGTTGTTCATCGACTCGATAAAAACTCGCTGGTAGAGATGTGTTAATTTGATCGGGGCGTCCTTACCGTAAATTTCGGCACCCTTTTTCAACCACTCATCACAACGATTCTCCCATGTACCTTGTGGAATCGATCCGAGCAAGTCTAGGACCCTGGAGATTGGCGATTTTGCTCTTTCACTCATTGAAGGGTTGAATTAAGTCAGACCCCTAGAATAAATCTACTCAATAGTCTCCTCGTGACATTCTCATACGGTTGTGGACCCTGGAACTTTGGTTCTGGAACTCTGGTTCTGGACCAGTCTCGTTCAAACATTCTGTATATTAAGACCGCTATAACAGCCGAGTTATTAGGCTGTGCGGGTCTTCAAGCCTAGTTCATAATATGTACATCATAAGTCGTAATCTCAATGGCCCATAATCTCTTCGAAAAGCTGTGCACATGGCACCTTTGCCTTCAACTTGGCACACAACAAGTACACACCGCTCAATTTCCGATGCAATGAGTACGTCTCTTCCGGTGGCGGTGCCAAGCGCTCGTTCAACATGAGACCAATGTTCTCACGCACTCGGTCGGTGATTGTCTGTTGTCCAAAATCAAAAGGCGCTCCATCCGGCTGCGGGCAGAAAGCTTCGCCCAAAACCATCACCGAGTCGACGTGCGCTTTTGTCATTTGGGGGCTTTCCAACCCGGTCAAGTAGCCCAATTTGCGCGAGTACTCTTCAACAACTTTCCTGTCTCTGTTGACGGAACCACGCAAAACAGCACAGTAATCCTCAACAAATGCGTCGCTAAAGTCGCGAGCGGCACCAAAGTCGAGCAATTCGATCTTGTGTGTGCGCTCGTTGTACAAGAAGTTAGCCCAGTTGGGGTCGGTTTGCATGAAGCGGAACTTCTTGAGCTCGGTCAAACAGAGGCGCATGATATGGGTGGCTATCCAGTTTTTCGTTTCCTGGTCCCAGTTGCCCTTGACGATCTCAGTTCCCTCCATTTTTTCCATCGTAAGAACGTGTTCGCCGCACATTTGGTGGAGAACACGCGGAACAGTGAACACAGGGTCATCTTTCAACAAGTCCCGGAACCGAATCAAGTTCTGTGCCTCGCGGATGTAGTCACACTCCCACTTCAACTCGACCCGCGCATTGGCGATGGTCTTGTCCAAAAACAAGCCTGCTGGCAACATGGAAGACGCAGTCAAGAGGAGCAAGAGGTTATTCAAGTCCAGGTCGATGGAGTCCACCACGCCTGGGTATTGCACCTTGACCACCACGGGCGTCAAGTCTTCTGTGACGGCGTCATGCACTTGTCCGATCGAAGCGGCAGCGAAAGGAATGTCTGTGAAGGAAGCAAAGTACTTTTTGCGCCAGTCGGCGCCCAATTCACGGGTCAAAACACGGTGCAACTGGCCCGGAGGCATGTAATGGGCCAGGTTCTGCACGCGAAGCAAAATCTGCTGGATCTCGACGGGCAATATGGACTGGTCCTGGAAGGACAACATCTGGCCCACTTTCAAAGCCGCACCACGCATTTTGGAGAATTTCTTCGCCATGCGCTCGATGTTGGCCGGGCTCAAGAGCAACGACTTGACCAGGATGTTTTTCGAGCCCGACGCATAGTGCTTGAGTCCCTGCGAAGCGGCACTGAGCCCAACTCCAGCGGCCAAGGTGCCGTAGTGGAAAATACGAGCCAATCTTGTAGCTGGGACCTCGCTCTGCGACAAAGTGACGGCTGGCTTTGCTGCAGTGCCGACAACCCGAGGCTTGATGGCAGTTTCTGGCCCGTTGGTTTTCTGCTGGCGGGCCACGGCCCATGTCGAAAAGTGTCTTTTGGAGCGGGCCGAGGTCTTTTTGTGCTGGCTCTTTGGCGTTTTCGAAGACGTCTCGCGAGCTTCGTGGGACTTGACGTGGAGCTGCGTCCACATGGGCGAGCTTTCGTCACAGCGGGCAAGCTGGCTCTGGAGAAAAGAGCGATTCCAGGCTGAAACCGCGTCTTTTTGCACCACGCGAGCCGTTTCTTGGGCGATTTTTAGCGCAGACCCGGTTACGGCCACCGCCTCGAAGACACGGTTTCTTAGCGTCATGGGAAGGGGCACGAAAGCAAAAGCGAAAGCGAAAGTCGAAAAGTCGTGAATATAGACAAGACGATTTGCTGGTGCAAATTTGATTTCGCGGGGACAATGTGGCGGACTGAAAAAGCAAGTGGAGAAGCGAGACGATGGCAGAAGTGGAGAAGACTATAAATTCGAGGAATTTAGAGAAAGGGAAATTTTTGAAGAGAGAAACGGAGATGGAAAAACGAGAGACTCGGGAAAATTACACACAGTAGAAAACAGACAGAAAAGCAGTAGATTGCACATGATGCGAACAGCAGAGCAATAATGAGAACATGACTCAGAGAGAAGAGCCGAGATTTTAGGTTGGATGAAAGCGCATTCAAACTTTGAGTACGATATTTTGTCAATACTTTGATTCGATGTTTTTATTCCATTTTCTCAATTTTCATTCGACGTTATGCAAAGTTTTGCTTTCGGTTTCGTGGGCATCTTCGCATGCATGCATGTACATGAAGACTATTTGACTGTAGAAATTATGCAATGCCAGGCGGTAGAAAAACGAAATAGCGAAAAGCCTAACATGAAAGGCACAAACGAGACAATTTCAATCAAACCTTTCCTTCAGGATTCTTGGCATTCACATTAGTGTGTGATTAAGGCCATCACACAGAAAATAGAAGAACAGGAGCCTATTCGATGGTAGTGCTTAAGATTTCGCTACTGGCTCGTGTATCTCATTACCAGAAAGTAAATCCGGTCATTGATACTTTCGTATCAGGCTAGAATGGTCAGTTCTAATTGTATTTAAGTGACAAAGTTTTTGCTATTGCAATTGTGGAAGTTTTGGCGAACTACGGGCCTCAGGTGCTGTGGATTAATCAAGATTGTGTAGGTTTCCCGGAGATAACTATCTTCAACTCAAACGTTTCTAGAAATGTGTACATGAGCTATGTAATAAACCTCGGCTTTCCTATAAGCCTGTCTTCCGTCATAGCACCATAAAGAAACTTAGTACATCTCTGCTTCCGCATGTAAGCATCTCAACCATAGAAACCAAAACCATTTCCCATCAACTATGACCCTGCAAATAATTGCCCCAAGCCACTTAATTGGCATTCCCTCTTTGGCCATTGCCTTGTCGAATAGTTTTTATCCAAAAAATACGTAGTAGAGACTACGCTTCGACAAACACTCGTATGAAAATTTCACTTTATGATGAAGTCAACCGGTATTTTTTCGGCTACTTTCTTGCTCTGCCTTTTCAGATATTATTCGCATTCTGTGTGCTCAAATAACAGCGTCTGACAAAAGTAGAAGAAAAAGAAAAAAAAAATAAAGAAAGAAGAAAAAAGATGAAAAGAGAAAAGAGAAACAAAGCAAAGAGAAACGAAAAAATACAAACAAGACAAACAAGACAATGACATACGAATCATCATGTTTTATCTTCACCCTTTCCGATTCTGACAGTGGGTCTGATCTCATCGGTCCTGTACCTGACCTGAGATAACTGCGATGACTATCAACACTTTTCTTCCCACCATGTCCAAAGAAGATAAAAAGAAGTACAAAAAACAAAAGCTCATGGACTCCGAGGCAGAGAAAGTGGCCGAGGCAGCCGAGGAATCCTTGAAAAAACACCCGCACCCGGACTCTTCGGGCCATTTGGACTTCCACGACAATGGCGAGTTCCAAGGCGTCCAAAGACACAAAACCACGGCGGAAATCGCCCAGAAGTTGGAAAGCGGCAAGATCAACCCGTTCACAGGCCGCGAGTTCTCGCAGAAGTACTGCGACATCTTGCGTGTCAGAAGAGACTTGCCCGTTCACGCCCAGAGAGACGAGTTTTTGCGCATTTTCCAGAGCACACAGATCATGGTGTTTGTCGGTGAAACCGGTTCCGGTAAGACAACGCAGATCCCGCAGTTTGTTCTTTACGACGACATGCCCCACTTGCACGGCAACCAGGTTGCGTGTACACAGCCAAGAAGAGTGGCAGCTATGTCTGTGGCCAAAAGAGTTGCAGACGAGATGGATGTGGAGTTGGGCGAGGAGGTGGGTTACTCGATCCGTTTCGAGAACAAAACGTCGTCCAAAACCGTGTTGAAGTACATGACCGACGGTATGTTGTTGCGTGAAGCCATGGAGGACCACAACTTGGCCAAGTACTCATGTATCATCTTGGATGAGGCCCACGAGAGAACGTTGGCCACAGACATCTTGATGGGTCTTCTCAAGCAGGTGACCACGCGCAGACCAGACTTGAAGCTCATCATCATGTCGGCCACCTTGGATGCGGAAAAGTTCCAGAAGTACTTCAACGACGCCCCTCTTCTTGCCGTGCCTGGAAGAACCCACCCGGTCGAAATCTACTACACTCCGGAGTACCAGAAGGACTACTTGGACGCGGCCATCCGCACGGTTTTGCAGATCCATGCGACGGAAGAGGAAGGTGACGTTTTGTTGTTCCTTACTGGAGAAGAAGAAATCGAGGACGCCTGCCGCAAAATCCAGTTGGAGGGAGACGAGTTGATCCGCGAGCAGGGCAGCGGGCCCTTGAAGGTGTATCCGTTGTACGGATCTTTGCCCCCACACCAGCAGCAGAAGATCTTCGAGCCTGCTCCTGTCAACACCAGACCCGGAGGACGGCCAGGCAGAAAAGTCATTGTGTCGACCAACATTGCCGAAACGTCCTTGACCATCGACGGAATTGTGTATGTGGTGGACCCAGGCTTCTCGAAGCAAAAGGTGTACAACCCAAGAATCAGGGTGGAGTCTTTGCTTGTGTCGCCCATTTCCAAAGCTTCGGCGCAACAAAGAGCTGGTAGAGCCGGTCGTACGCGGCCCGGTAAGTGTTTCCGCCTCTACACGGAAGAAGCGTTCAAGAAAGAGTTGATCGAGCAGCTGTATCCGGAAATCTTGCGGAGCAACTTGGCCTCGACGGTTTTGGAGCTCAAGAAGTTAGGCGTGGACGACTTGGTGCACTTCGATTTCATGGATCCTCCAGCTCCAGAAACGATGATGCGTGCGCTCGAGGAATTGAATTACTTGCAGTGTCTTTCCGACGAAGGTGAATTGACTGCGTTGGGCCGTCTTGCGTCCCAGTTCCCGTTGGACCCTATGTTAGCGGTGATGTTGATCGGATCCCCAGCATTCCACTGCTCGGAAGAAATCTTGTCGATCGTGGCGCTTTTGTCTGTTCCTAACGTTTTCGTGCGTCCTGCGGCCGCCAGAAAGAGAGCCGACGAGATCAAAATGTCCTTTGCCCACCCTGATGGCGACCACTTGACCTTGCTTAATGTGTACGAAGCCTTCAACTCGGATGACGCATACAATGTTGGTTTGCACCAGTGGTGTCGAGACAACTTTTTGTCGTACCGGTCGCTCCAGTCGGCGAAAAACGTCAGATCACAGTTGCGCCGTCTCATGGAACGCCATGACTTGGAGTTGAACTCAACGCCATACGAAAACCCATCCTACTGGGACAACATCCGCAAGGCGCTTACTGCGGGCTTTTTCATGCAAGTGGCCAAGAAAAAGAGCGGCAACAAGGGCTTTTTGACCGTGAAGGACAACCAGGACGTGTTGATCCATCCGCTGACGGTGTTGGCCAAGGAAAACGAGTGGGTCATCTACAACGAGTTTGTTCTCACCTCGAAGAACTACATCCGTACAGTAACCAACGTTCGTCCGGAATGGTTAGTGGAGTTGGCACCAAAGTACTACAACTTGGAGCACTTTAGCAAGGGCGACGTTCGCCTCTCTTTGGAACGCATCATTGGACGATACGAGGCGATGCAACGGGCCGGCAAATAGACAAATCATAGACTGACATTCAGGAGTGGTATAACAGAAATAGAAGGGCTATACCGTGGACGAAAATGGTCAAATTTATTGTACTGTAAATCTTCAACGACATTCGGGTGACTACACTAAACACTGTATTACTACGAGACTGAGAAGCCATGTGCTGTGAATGTAACTTTCAGTGGTGTATTGTTAATAAATTGCATGCTCAAAAATCGTATTAAAACCTCAACAAGCTGTCTTTGAACGTCAAGAAGAGTTTCTGAAGATAAACTCAGGTAAACGTTTACGGTTTTCACTAAGGCTACTAAAGCTTTCTCATTCATTTGAAAGGGTTGAGCTACTGGGTCATAAAGAGGATATCATTATAAGCATCACTCATTCTCTTTTAGTGCATCTCAATAGACCTTATCTAAGATTGATCCTGTTATTCCAACTATGGCTATAAAATAGTAAGTGACCCGACTGTAGCTCTGGCTTTTAATAAATCGCAAGTGACCCGACTATCGAGCTCTGATTTTTAATAAATAGTGACCCGACTATCGAAGCTGAAAAATTTGAGTAAATCTCAAACACTTTACTGGTCTGATTTCTCTAACGTATTCCCAGATAGTCTGCACGGTGGTTCTTAGATAACCTTCAATATACGTGAGTCCACCTTTCATTTCTCGTTTTGATTATAAGTCTTTTTCAATGGACTTTCTACATTGGCTTTGCATCTACATGGGACGGTCTCTGGTCCTTCACTTTTTCCTTCGAGGCGATATTTTCTGGGCTATTTTCCAATGCGACGGCGCGGCGCCCGAAAGACTAAAATGCGCCAAAGGGGAAATATCGCGTGGAGTCTAAAAGCTTGCATGTGCTTGCATAGAGAGGCCGGGCCAAGGCTGAAACGACAGCAAAAGCACACAAAACATCAACGAATCAAGTGAAAAAAAGAACACAAACAAATCGAATCCGCCCACAGCAGCGGGAAACAACTTTTTTTTTTTTTTCGTTTTTTTCCCTCCTCTTCTCGTTTCCCGAACATGCCACGTCTGGTCTCATGCGCAGAGACGTAAAGTTGTGCAGGCGCCTTTCTATCGTCTACGCATAGCGTCTGGTAAAAAAAACCACCACTTGTCCCCCACTGGAACACCACTGTGTCTACCAAAGAACGTCCGCTCCTTCAACCTAGAAAATCACCATGGGTCACTTAGTCGTATGTAGACGGCCTTTTTCCCTTCTGCCTTGTGTCCTACTAACGCACAGTCACGTCTTTTCAAGAACAGAGAGATGAGAATCTTGATGTTGGGCCTCGACAACGCAGGCAAAACCACCATTTTGTACAAGCTCAAGCTTGGGAAAACATCGAAAACGGTGCCCACGGTCGGCTTCAACGTGGAAACCGTCAAACACAAGAACGTGTCGTTTGCCGTGTGGGATTGCGGTGGACAAGAGAGAATCAGACCCTTGTGGCGCCACTACTTCACCGGCACCAACGCCTTGATCTACGTGGTGGACTCGTCGGATTGGGCGCGGTTGGACGAGTCGAAAAACGAGTTGATGCGTGTCATTAGCGACAAGGAGTTGACCAACTGCTTGTTGATTGTGTTGGCCAACAAACAAGATGTCAGCGGCGCCATCAAGCCCAAGGAGTTGATCACTCGCTTCGATATGAACTCGCTTAGTGGCGAACACACGTGGTCGGTCATTCCAACCATTGCACCCGAGGGCACGGGACTTGCCGAGACGTTGAACTGGATCTCCAGCCACTCCAAGTAAACAGTCCAACTCCAGAGCACCCAAGAACTCAGAGCACCCAAGAACTCAGAGCGCTCTAGTAGCTGTGCTGGGCCGACCAATTTCACTTCTTCTGACTTGGGGCATTGCCTCCGTAAGTATGTTCAAGTTAATATTAGAGCTAGACTTCCGGCCTGTAGGATGATCCTAACGAGGAGATTTGTGCTACTATGTGCTCCTTGTGTGCTTTATTTATGTGGATTCAGCGACTGGAATAGAATGTGATGTAGCACTTACGTAAGTGTCGTTTTGTCCTTGTGATCAGTCATATGTATTCCAAGATCTCTACAGAAGCAACAGTAACGAATCAAGGTGAATTGATACATTAAAGGATCATTCTATAGCTGGCAATTAATTAGTTCTATTCTTGAATTCGGACTTCGGGACTGAAGTATCACAGAACAGAAAGCTTGGTGTCTTCTAATGGAAAGCTAGCTTAGGAACTAGTGCCGCTTTTTACGGTTATTCTTGAACTGTTGAGACTTCCCTTTGTTGTCTGACTTCGATGTAAACCAAGGGACAACTGTGTAAATTATGATGATTAGGGCTACCAACCCCACTAAACCAGAGAGCATGTGCGTCAAAAAACGAATATCACGTTCCTTGATCATTTTGCTATAGTCCAGAACGTCTGATAGAACCAAAGTTTCTCCCTCTTGGAAGAGGTTTCTAAGTTTCTCGTTCGTATCACGTATGTCTGACAACAGACCGAAACCTTTTGTTATAGAAATGCCCATTTCTTCAGGAACCTTATCGAAGCACTTTTGGAAAGCATAGCTACCAGCTTCTTCCACAGACGCATTCATATTGAAAGAAAAGCGGACTGGCCGTTGAGGAATGTTTTCATACTTGTCAGTGTACCATATTCGAAATCTCACGTCTAAAGGCATGCGTTCATGTTCAGAATAGGAATGCTTTGGGCCACAATTAGATTCTTTCAGCCCCAAAAGTCCTTCTATGGATTCTTTTAGAGACATGCGTTGAAGAAGGGAGATGACGTGATAAGATAAAGAGCAGGAGGCACTGATGGAGTGTATGAAGGCTTAGTACACTATTCAACAATCATTCTAGAATCCACTTGATTAAATCATATATGAGATCTAATATGATGATAAAGACCAATTTTGAAACTGATAATATTCATTGTTGACAATGTAAACAACCTGAATGTTGGGGTTAGTTGAGCTTAGACCCAGAGACCTCTTGACACATTTCTCAGGTGCGATAAGTGCATGTCATAATTTATCATTTCCGCCTATTCGAACAAATAGTCGAACAAATAGTCGAACAAATATTCGAACAAAAAGTCGAACAAAAATTCGAGCAAATACTCGAACAAATTATTCATCAGTCGGCGACTCTGACTTTCGGTGTCTCATTTCCATCAGTTATCGTTGTCTAAAGTAAAAGATCTGCACATTCAGATAGAAAACAACTATTAAGGCCTCTGAGTGGTGTCACACAATCAAACCAAATGTTATCGAGAGAATAGGATGAATCGAGAAAAAAATCGCAGTTAACGAAGCAGGCCAAATCTGTTTTTCTATGTATTCTGAGGAGAAGTAAACTCCAGAATGAAATGATCTTCCAAGTAGCCATTGATGAGGTAATTGCCAACAGATTGCTTCTGAAAGAGGTGATCTACGCCAATATATGTGAATCTTCTCTATCGATCAGCCTCAAAAGACCAAAATACTCCATGTAAGGGCCAAAGGTGCACATAATATTTTTCATGTCAGACCTTATGGCGATACACATCACCGATCAGAATAGTTGACTGCAAGGCCAATCCATGCAGAAATGGCAGTATATCAATATCACTTCAATAAAACACTCACTAGCTGTCTCAGTATCAACCTACTCCAAAGCTCAGTTTGAATAGTCATTGCATTTTCTGCCTGGCTCATATAAATAGTACGTAACTCATGCTTCCCACACCGACACCTCGCCGTTTTCCTGGCCAAAGTAGGCCTTCGTGGCCATGCCGGTGAAAAGCCCAGTCTCCACCACACCCACCAACATCTTGATTTGGGCATGCAACGCCTCTGGGTCCGAAATGTCGCCGAAATCGGCATCAAGCAAAAAGTTGTTGTTGTCGGTCACAACAGGCCCGGCCTTGGCCGAGCCGCCTTGCCGCAACACCACCGTCCGGGCGCCTAGCGCCTTCAAGTCAAGCGTGACCTTAGCATACGAGTTGGGCACAATCTCGATCGGAACACCTTTCGTCCACTGCGAGCCCAACACACGCGACTCCTTGCGGTAGTCGGCAACGACAACAAACTTTTCTGCAGCCGTGGCCACCAACTTCTCCTGGAACAAGCAGGCGCCGCCTCCCTTGATCAACCCCAACTTCCCATCCACCTCGTCGGCTCCATCAAAGGCAATGTCAATCTGGGGAAACTGTTCGATGGTGCCCAAGGTGAGCCCGTTGTCGATAATCAACTGTTTCGACTGGAAACCGGTGGGAATACACACAAACAGCGCCTTTTGCGGCAACTGGCCGAGTCTTTCGGCGACATACACCACGGTGGATCCAGAGCCGACACCAACGACTTTGGCGTGTGCAGACAAGTTCTCGTCGACTGCTCTGTGGGCAGCGGCTCTTTTGGCTTTTTCTACGAGCGAGGTCATGGAAAACAGACGGGTCTGGCGTATGGAAGAAAGAAAGAAGGACCGCATCGGACATGTGGGGAAGACGTGTGCAGGTCGTGAAGAGAAGGGGAATAAAAGGAATAAGAAAGGAATAAAGGGAATAAGAAAGGAATAATAGAGGAAATAAGGAACCACGGGATAAGCAAATCAGAAAATGAAAAAGAAATAAGAAAGTAAATTAAGTGAAGGGGGGAAAGAAGTATAATAATGTGGAAAGAGAGTCAAGCTAATAGAGGCAGACTGTGCGACCTTTTTGCGGCTGATCTGACAGATTAGTCATACTGATAGGAATCAAAAAAAAATAAAGACATCGTAGAAGCAGGTAGATATGACTATTGTCTAGGTAGTGGCAAGTTTATTCCAACTGCTGTGCTAATTGCCATTCTGTGGCCTTTCTGTTGCCTTTTAGGTTCGCATCATTACTTAATTTGTTAAAAATGTTCAGGTCGACTGTTTTGGCCATGATATGTGGTACCATGGGTGGCTGTCTTGGATATATGATTTATGAAGGTGTTTTTTGTATCTGCATTTTTTTTTTCATCGCCGTTTGTGTTTGATGGTTGATTGGTTGTATTGCTAATTAATTATGCATGTTAGCCACTATGAAAGGCAGTCAGATTAGAGTCTCTATTTCATCTCATACTTCTGCTGATGTATTAACTTAATTTGGGTAGACTACGCCATTGCACTGTTCATGTGCTCATCTGATTATCTGTCGTGAACTCTTTAGTCAAGGCACAGTGCTATGGTTGTCGTTAAGCCAATTGGAAGCACCAAAGCCCTAGATTACTAGATTAGATTTTAAAACTGTGATTAAACCTGATTGGAAGCACCAAAGCCTAGATAACTGCACTAGATTTCAAAACTACTAGTGATCTTCTTAAGACAGTAAAGAAATTAATTCGATGGCGTTGACAAAGCATCTGATGTCTAATAATATTTATAATTTGTATAAATATAAATGATCAATTGAGCCGATACATTACGCCGGCGATCCTAATTACAGTAAATTGAAGCTAGAGAAGCATAGGACTGAATGGACCGATAACTATAATCTGATACTGAGCATTACCGAACAAATCGTTCTCTTTTTCGTCATCTTCCTTACGATGGCAATTTTCGTTACTTACCGCTAATTTTGTCACTTTCTCTTATCTTATTCTCCTACATGTTCTGGCATTATCTCTTATGTATTCGATCTCTGGTACTCTTCCTAACCCTGATTTCGCAGTCACACCGACGCACGTGCCGCGGCCTTGTCGCCGCACTACAAAAGAGCCGCTGTTTGATGTTCTATTCCTGCACATGTGCTATTCTCGCGACTGTTGTTTGGCGCAAGATGGACTCAAGGCCCTGCACCCGTGCCTCCCTGAAGTAGGTGCACTCCCCACTGGCGATTTTTTCACCTCAAAGTTTTTTTCCCTCTAAAAATTTTCTTCCCCATCGACAGTCCTCACCCAAAATGTCTGCTGCCAACAAGATCTTGTCTGAAAACCCAAACGAATTGGAGTTGCAAGTTGCCCAGGCTTTCATCGACTTGGAAGCCCAAACCGACTTGAAGGCCGACTTGAGACCTTTGCAATTCAAGTCCATCAAGGAATTCGATGTTGCCGGCGGTAAGAAGGCTTTGGCCATCTTCGTCCCAGTTCCATCTGTTGCTGGTTACAGAAAGGTCCAGACCAGATTGACCAGAGAGTTGGAGAAGAAGTTCCCAGACAGACACGTTGTTTTCTTGGCTGAGAGAAGAATCTTGCCAAAGCCAGCCAGAAAGTCCAAGAAGCTCCAAAAGAGACCAAGATCCAGAACCTTGACTGCTGTCCACGACAAGATCTTGGAAGACTTGGTTTTCCCTACCGAGATTGTTGGCAAGAGAGTCAGATACTTGGTTGGTGGCTCCAAGATCCAAAAGGTTTTGTTGGACTCCAAGGACTCTTCTGCTGTCGACTACAAGCTCGAGTCCTTCTCTCAATTGTACAACAAGTTGACCGGTAAGCAGGTTGTCTTTGAAATCCCAGGTGACGTTTACTAAGCTTGTCTCGCCTGTTTTTCCCTCATGTTCTGCAATACGATTCCATCTGTGTTTTTACTCCACGCCCGGCGTTTGTCGTGGCTTGGACTGGTCATGCTAATTAGCACCAATTGACAAATACTTAATGTGGTATTTATCGCTTATAAATAACCCCTACGCTAGTACATGTAGTTGTAGAAATATCTGACCGGCTGTGCTCACGACTTGAGTTTATGCTTGTCTGTCAAATCTAAAGACAGAATCAGTCAAGCCAATGAGAAAAATACCGTTTGGGTGCCAGCTCTCCAGCAAAAGTTCCAACAGGCCGATCTCAAAGATTATATCTCTGGTCTCTCAGAGTTTAATGTTTGTGACATTAAATTTGAAACGTTTAATTTGATCTTTGTAGAGTAGAATGACTGTAACACGATCTTTACAGAAAACAAAGCATGGGAAAGAACCCTTATTCAATCATCAAGAATCACCTTTCTCAACAGCAGGTAATTAAAAATTATTTTTTTGTAATCATGTCCTTCCAATCGTAGTCTGAGTATCATCATTAATTCTGTTTGTCGTTCACTTGTGTTGAACTATAGTAGCTTAATATTAGAAGGATTGCAATACTACGCATTCCAGTTGATTGGCATTTTTCAACCACAAGAAGTCGCCATAGAAGCTGGTTTTTGTTCTGATATCACGATAATGCTTGCGCAATAAAGAGGCTGAAATCAGTTGAAAGACTCGAGAAATCTTTCTCGATTAACAGAAGCAGGGCGCAACATCTTATCGAAGAGTAAAATTATCCTCTTCCACACTAAAAAAGTTTCGAAGTCGATTACAATATAAGGCTTTCTAAAGTTTCTACAATAAAAGGATTCTAAAGTTCTACAATAAAGGCTTCGAAGTCTTACAATATAAGGCTTCTAAGTTCTACAATATAAGGCTTCTAAGTTCTACAATAAAGGCTTCTCAGTTCTACAATAACATTCATCATAAACATTTTTGTGGTCGCTATGCATTGGGTCACACGAACCCTGATCGATGCATAGAACGGTTTTTAGAAATAGAACTAGTCTAAACTGCTTTCGCATATGCTGTTGGGAAGAGACCCTTTTTCCCATTGAGCTCGCCTTCCGTCCATCCGCTTCCATCGGTGTCTTCCTGGACCAACGCGATCTTGTCTCCGGCCCGAATAGTCAACTCGTTGTCTTCCTCCGCATTGTAGTCATACAACGCTTCGAGATAACGCACTCTTCTTGCCCCGCGCTTTGGAGGAACGGATGGACCCTTTTTCTTGCTTGTGATTTCGATGTAGCTTGTAGGCACAAGACCATTGCCTTTCTGCAGCTTGACCAAAGTCCAGCCCGATCCATCGTCTTCTTCCAAGACCTCTAAATCTTCGCCTTGCGCTATGGAAGTCTCGTCGTCGCCTGCGGCGTCGTATGGATAAAGTGCCCGGGCCATAGTTTCTGCACTAGAGCTCTTTGATGCGCTGGTTGTATTTCTGCGCAAGCTGAAAATACCTGCAAGGCCGTGGCCCGAGTTATTTGTCACCTCACTGGCCACTGTATGTATAGACTGGCCGTCATGCACAATTTCCTGGGTCTGCTCGTGCTTGCTGGACTTGAACAAGCCAAAGCCGTGCTTCTTCTCTTTCTTCGTCTCCACGTAGGACAAGTCTTTGTTTCCTGCGAAATTCTGGATCACCTCGATCTCCACCTCGCTCTTGACCCGGGCGGAATCTTCTCTCATGAACTTCTGCAAAAGCGAAAGGGCGTCGGTAAGTTTTGCATCAAACTTGAGGGTGGTCGAGTCGCCGCTGGCTTTACGAGCTTCTGCAGCCTCTTCAAGCCTCTGTTTGGCCAAAAGAGTCAGTTCCTTCGCCGACGCATAGGCATTGAGGCTGGCATTCAATGTCTTCTTCAAGTCTGTGAGTTCCGGCTCCTTTGTGATGAGTGACTCGTCGTCGTGCCAGAAATCACAAGGAACAAAGAGGAAGTCGGGAGGCTCTTTCCAGTCTGCTGCGTTGTGCTTGACAAACATCGCAGTGTCGAGTTTTGGGTTGTTTTGCTCGATGGTGGTGTCGATCTCGAAAAGAAGCTCTTTGATCTTGTCGCTGAAGTTGCGCTCTATGATGTTTGCGTTCTTCAAAAGCTTGTTCAAGATGGCCACGCGCGACTCGTTCAAGTCCTGGAAGTAATCTAGCAACTCGGGCAAGTCCTGGAAATAGTACTTGTCTTTCAAGCGGTTGGCTATGCTGAGACGAATGAGATAGTGGTTTTTCCCAATGTTCATGTCCACCTCTCGCTCGTGGAGTTTCTGCTGGTACTTTTCGCCCAGCGACTTTTCCGTCCGTTGCCGAGCCGCCTCTGTCTTCTGGCACAAGCCGTCGTAGTGTTTTTTCGCCTTGGCCACCTCGTCCTCGGTGGCCTTCTTCTCCGCCACCAAAAACTCGTTGATGGCGCCGATCTGCCGGGCCACTTTCTCCAGCTTCACCTGCAAACTCGCCAAGTTCTGGCATATCTTCGACTGGAGCTCCGACGCAAAATTGTCTCTTTCGGTGGCTATGGCCTCTGTCTGCGTAAGAACGTCGGTCCAAAGCACCACAGACGCCGACTCCAACGATCCGGGCGTGATTTGCGGCTCGTCGCCCACAGACAAGTGCGACAGGTTCTTGGCCTTCTTGTCAAAGTGCTTCTTGCACAATTCCTTGAGGCGGGCGGAGTATTCCTGTTCAATGGTGGCCCTTTCCCGGTAGAATTCCTGTATGTCCGCAAGCCAGTTGATTCCATTGGAGACCCACTTGTTAGTGGTTTTGAATCCGTCCTTGAGTTCGTTACCCAACGAGAGCTCTTCTAAAGACATGGTGGTTGGGCTTGAAATGCAGGCGCGATAAGTGTAGCGATAAGTGTAAAATGGAGCGCAGTAGTTTCCATACACACCATCTAGCTACATTATTGTAGCTGTACATTATTCTGTTTGGAGATGTTACATTCTGTTTGGAGCTGTACATTATTCTGTTTAGAGATGTTACCTTATGCTGTTTAGAGGTGTTACCTTATTCTGTTTGGAGCTGTATTATTTTGTTTGGAGCTGTACATTATTTTGTTTGGGGTGTACATCATTCTGTTTAGAGGTGTTACATTCTGTTTTTAGCTGTACATTATTCTGTTTCTAGCTGTACATTATTGTTTCTAGCTGTGAAAGGAACCAATAGTCACTTGAGGATGGGCTAGCGAGGATCTTCAGTCAGTTGGCTGGACAGATATGTATAGTAGATATTTAGGGACAGGATGGTGCTTGAGATCCATCCTAGAGGAATAAGATCTATACCTAAGATTGATACACAGTGACCAATTCATACACAGTGACCAAAAATGTTGAAAGATAAAGGCCGAGGGGTGAAGTGGGATCCATGATAGAGAAGAAACTGAGTTCAGACTTCACCCCGTGGTTTGTCTTGCTTGTTCGTCTTCATCGTCCGTCTTTCCTCCACAGGGATCGCCGCATAACGATCAACAAGGTTTTTATACTCACCCATTTTCATGCCCACTTTAACTTCACCGTTTATGATCGGCGCCTTGTCAGGGCTGAGAATTTCAAAGTCTCTCTCACTGATAGCAGCAACATTTATCTTCGTTATGATTGAGTTGTCGATTGAGAACTTGCAGCCAGAGCTACCAGAATCATGCGTTTCATTACATATGACTCTCGGGCTAGTGAATTCTAAGTACGGCTCGCTCGATATAACACTGGCACTTGCACGGCCAACAGCACAAATCAACATTGCTGATATAAGACAGGCAAACATCTCACAAGGCACTTTTTGCTAAGACAGTTTTGCTTTGAGTTATAACACTGTAGGATATAATCAGACACTCTAGATATAGTCAGACAACTCTAGATATAGTCAGACAACTGTAGATATTTTCTAATTTTTAATCACTGCTGAATAAAACAGGGGAGAACTGCTGAGATGTATATGCACTGCAGTCTCAAGAGACAGGAGATAGGCTTGTGAAATAGAAAGTGATATAGCGTCTGCTCTATACACTCCCGTCTTTCTAGCTGTTGAATCGATAACAGAACCGATTGAGTCACTTGAGGACGAGCTAGGGCGAGTTCCTTCAGTGTTGATAGTTGGGTTCGACATTTCTGACAAGTAACGTTTAGTTAGGATTGATATTTAGGGATGGGATGATCCTTAGAGAAGAATCCATCCTAGAAGAAAAGATGATGGTCTTATATACTTGAGTCTTTCATAAAGAGACTGTTCTCCAATCAGGAACATAGGGAATCTCCTGATTCCAGTTTAGGAATTGTCCATGGCATTGCCGTGGCATAGTCCTACCATTTCTAGTATCCTCTTCTATGATGGCAGTGAAGTCCTCACGGCATCAGAGAGTAGCATACGGCATTCCCAAGAGTTTTAGGAAGGGCACACAGCGTGGTGATGAGATAATGCAAGAACTCACGCCACATGTCATGATGGCAGACGATTGCGTACGGCAAAGATAAGTGAAGGCCTTACGCCATTTGTCAAGACATCATACGATTGTTCACGGCAATAGATGAGTGCCGTACCTACGGCACTCCATCCTATCATATCCTCGGAGACCAATCTTCATAAAGTAATTTTAAGAAAGAAGTGAATTTAGGTAGAGTGATATACATCACTGTATCTGGTTCTCAACAATAAGTGTAGCGATAAGTGTAAAATGGAGCGCAGTAGTTTCCATACACACCATCTAGCTACATTATTGTAGCTGTACATTATTCTGTTTAGAGGTGTTACATTCTGTTTAGAGGTGTTACATTCTGTTTAGAGGTGTTACATTCTGTTTGGAGCTGTACATTATTTACATTATTCTGTTTCTAGCTATACATTATTCTGTTTCTAGCTGTACATTATTCTGTTTCTAGCTGTATCAAGAACAACCGATGGTCACTTAAGGAGCTAGCGAGGATCTTCAGTCAGTTGGCTGGACAGATACGTAATGTAGATATTTAGGGACAGGATGTTTCTTGAGATCCATCCTAGAGGAATAAGATCTATACCTAAGATTGATACACAGTGACCAGAAATGTTGAAAGAAGAGGCCGGTGAAGTGGGATCCATGATAGAGAAGAAACTGAGTTCATAGTTCACCCCGTGTTTTGCATTCCTTGTTCATCTTCGCCACATAACTATCAACAAGTGCAATATACTCACTCATTTTCATACCCACTTTGGCTTCACCGTTTATGATCGGCGCAACATTCGGCGAAACATTTTCAGGATCCCTCACACCTATCATATCAACATTTATATTCGTTATGATTGACTTGTCATATCTGTACTCGCAGACAGGTTTACCATTATCATCCAAAGTTCCATCACACATAACAGGGCTAGTATATTCTAAGAACGGCTTGAACGGCTTGTGCGGGATAACACTGCCACTTGCACGGTCAACAACGCTAAACAACATTGCTGCTATAAGACAGGCAAACACCAAGCACTCTTTGCGAAGATAGGCAAACATCAGGCACTCTTTGTTAAGACAGTTTTGCTTTGAGTTATAACACTGTAGGATATAATCAGACAACTCTAGATATAGTCAGACAACTCTAGATAATCAGACAACTCTAGATAATCAGACAACTCTAGATATAATCAGACAACTGTAGATATTTTCTAACTTGTAATCACTGCTGAATATCAGGGGAGAACTACTGAGATGGATATGCACTTCAGTCTCAAGAGACAGGAGATAGGCTGTGGAAAGGCTGAGTGCGGAGATAATAATGTAGTGAACGTCTAAATAGTGAACGATTAAATAGTTGAAAGGAAAGATTCAGAGAAGATTCAGAGAAGATTCAGAGAAGATAAATGGATGTCTGGTGTGGGGTTTGTGTGAGCATCGTGTTTGACAGACGAAAAGTAGAGAAGTGACGGTAGCCTTGGGAAAGCTGGGAAATGGATTGCAAACCAAAGAATCGAATACACAATCTATTCAAGTATTTCAGAAGTTTGCTAGCTTATGAAGTTATATTGGTGCGTATTTGACACCTATTAATTGAAGTTGTATTCGCCCACTAGTAAATTAATCTGGACGCCCCGAACGTGGAGATAAGACAGATTAGAAAGACAAATGTGCGTTATAAGATTGTAAGACTGTCATCAAATTCCAGTTGAAATAATTTTAGAGCATCGGCATCTCAAAGGTTTGATATTGGTGCAATGGTTAATAGAATCAGCATTCTACTTTATTGGTGTATCTTTCTTTGAACGACAAGACAATACCAAAACATTCTATCCACCGTACTCGTACCAGATAATGTAAAGAATTCTTTGTTCTTATCGACCTTCCGTCAAAGATCGACGCTTTCCAATAGCGTGCGTTTTAATTGGGGACATCTATGTCATAGCATAATGCTCTGATCCACCTACATCCATATAGACTAAATGTAGTAAAGACACAAGTAAATCAATTCATCACTAATAAAATCCAAATAATAAATCCTCACCACTAAGATCCAAGTAAGATATCCTCACCACTAAGATCCAAGTAGGATATCCTCACCACTAAGACCCAAGTAGTATATCCTCACCACTAAGATCCACGTAATAAATCCACACTAAATGCTAATAATATTCACCACTAATAAAAACAAATAAGAACCATTCGCCTCAAGATCTAGTAAATCAATTCCACAGCAATACAGTATTGAATGCTTGCAAATCCAATTGCTCATTCTGCCATATATTGACTGGCCAGCCTCGTATAGTTCGCATGGATGCAACAGGTATCAGTGCCATTGTTTCCCCCATCTATCCTCCTTCTATCTTCCTTTTATTTTCTCTTCATTTCTTCTTCTCTTCTTCTTCTCTTCTTCTTTTCTTCTTCTTTTCTTCTCTTCTTCCTCTCTCTCCTTCTTCCTTCTTCCTTCTTCTTCTCTCTCCTCCTTTTCTTTCTTCGCGCAACAACTTCTTCTTTGCTGCACGGCACCTCCATTTTTCTGCTCCGCCATTCCGCTTCCGAAGCATCTCGCCCGCCTCTGGCGCCCTCGTAAACCTCGTCTGAGCTCCAAGCTCGCCCTTCTCCGTGCAGTGTACAAGGACTACCGTGCTCTCCGAACCAGTCCGTGGCGGCTTCCAAGAACCCTCGAGAAAGAAAAACGGCCCAGCCAGAGAGACTGGATGGCGCTCCGAAGTGTTCCGGCGCCCAGGGACAGAAGCGACGACAGCCTCCAAAGATTGCAGCGAAAAGGCTTTGGCCACAGTGACGCGAGCCTGACTCTGTTGGCAAGATCGGAGGCGCTCAGCGGCCGTCCGGGGCTCTTTTCCGAGAACGAAGGCAGGGAAAGTCCCGAGCCGAACAAAAGAAGTGAAAAGAATGGAACTGGAAGCGATCCAAGAAACGGAAAGACTGAATCCAACAACAGCACCAACAACAACACCAACAAGTACAACTACAACCACAACAACACCAACACCAACAAGTACAACTACAACCACAACTACACCAACTACAACTACAGCAACAGCCACATCAGCAACTCCAGCGCCGGCAGCGAAAGCATCTACGTGTCTGCAAAGTCGGCCCCCGACAGAGCCTCGCATGTTCCGCGGTCAGACGCCTCGGACCTCTCGGAGTCGGAGCCCAGCCTCTCGGGCAGAGAAAACCTCTCGCCCGAAGCGCCGTCCCGCCGCCAGCGCCTATGGGGCATGGCTCGTGCCGCCCGTGACACCTACATCCCCCGCTTGGCGCTGTCTGTGTCTGCCCTAGCGTCCGGTCGCTCCGACGATCTTATTCCACGCGGATCCACCATCACTTTGTTCCCCACGTACCTGCGGCGCACCCCTGGCGGCTACGTCGTCTCTGTGCGTGGCTGGGTGTGGTGTCCTGGCGTGATGAGCCGCAAAAACAGGCTCATTTTGTCCTTGGCCCGCCAGATTGTGCGCTCACAAGGCGCCGCCGCAGCCCAGGCCGTGCTGCAATTGGAAAACCCGGCGCTTCGCCAGGACCTGGTCTCCGAGACGCCCGACACGGAGCTGATTTCGTCGGTGCCGCCTGTTCCCCCACTGCGGGGCGAGTCCGACGTTCTTGTGCGTGACCGGCTTGCGCCGTTCCTTGCCCGGTCTGTGCTGGCGGCAGGCGTGTCTGTGTTGGTGGGCGCCGCCAGCCCTACTGAAGGCCGTTTGGTGGAGGTTTCGACCGTTACAGACGCAAACGGCCACTTCGAGGCCGATGTCGAAGTGCTGTACGAGCCGTCCGTGGTTCGTGTCGCAGCACAGGAAGACGAGGAAGTCACAGCGTTCCAGGAGGTTTGTGTACTCGAAGACAGGGGCCTCGGCATCATTTCGGACATTGACGACACCGTTAAAGTGACCGGGGTGGTGGGGGACAAGCGAGAGCTCATGCTGCGGCTTCTTGCCGGAGACATTGGCTCGTGGAATATCCCGCGCGTGGTGGAATGGTACAAGGCATGGGCTAGACACGCTGACGTTTCCTTCCACTACGTGTCGAACTCTCCGTGGCAATTGTTTGCATTGATCCAACAGTACTTTGATACGGTGGGCCTACCGCCCGGATCCATCCACTTGAAACAGTACACGGGCAACATCATTCTGTCGTTGATGGAACCTCTGTCGTCGCGCAAGCGGAAATCGCTCTTCCAAGTGGTGGCCCACTTCCCACATAAGACATTTGTGTGTGTGGGCGATTCCGGTGAGCAGGACCTCGAGGCGTATGCGGATTTGGCTGCGCTGTACCCGGGCCGCATCAGCGCCATCTACATCCGCATGGTTCCCGGCCTGGTGTCCGATGTTGACGATGCGCTCGTTTTGGCCGAGCTTCGTCGCATGATACGCACAGCAGACATGCTGGACTCGCTGAAAACAGAAAGCACAGACACCCAGGCAACGCAGTTACAGCCAGCACGCAGCTCCAGCACTTCTACAGCACCAAAACGTCTTTCGCCAGACTCTAGTTCCAGCAAGCCCAAACCACCCATGGTTCCACGGAAACCACAGGCTCTCCGTGCGGAGAAAATCCCGCCCCTCCCCGAACGGAAGTATCTCGGCCATGCTGCCACGGACTCGGCCCTCGAACTTCGTGCCACGCCGCCGCCTCCTCCCCCACCCCGCAGAAGGACAACCATGCCGCAATCGCCTGACATTAGAACAGGCGAGTACAGAAATTCCTACGACACGTTGCAGCAACTCTACGGGCTTGATGAGTTCAATGAACTTGAGGATTTCGACAAGCGAGGCGCCTTGTGGCTCCAGCGCATTGCTGATGTGTTGGAAGAGTTGAAGGGTACAGGTACCCGGTTGTTCTTGTTTGAGGACGACGATGAAGAATGTTTCGAGCAAGCCGTAAAGCTTGTGAGCCGTCTCTCGGAAAAGTGCAACTAAAGGAGCGAGGGCATTGGCGAAAACGTGTGCTCATAGCAGCGGAGCTGGCTATTAGCCCTATCGCATCATATCTTGGCTGACTTGCAGTCTTTTGGAAATAGCGAACATGGATTTCCCTCGTTCGTCGCCTATTTTCGTATGTTTTCTCCTACTTACCAGTCTAATGGCTTTAAGCTCTATATTACACGTAAATATCCAAGATACCACAGTCATATCCGGGTAGATCCCACGGGGATCTACATGAGAGGAGCAACTCCCCAAAATGCACCACATTTGCTCAAGCCTCGACCTGGGCCACATCCACATTCTCCTTTTCCTCCACATCAACATTCTTCTTTTCCTCCACAACGTCCTTTTCCGTGTCTTTCTTCTCCCCATTCTCCTTCTTCTCCTCGTCGAAATCGTAGTCGGATCCATCTCCGTAGTCCTTGAACTCTTCGTCCCCATTTGGCAAAGCGCTTCTGAACTCCGATAAGTCCATCTCGTCGCCCTGGTCGCCGTCCTCTTCCAGGTAAAACTTGTCTGCGAATTTCTTGAGCATGATCTCTCTTCCTGTCAATGGCCGCTTGGCGTTTTCCTTCTTCTTTTCCTCATCCTTTCTAGCCCTCTGCTTCTTCTTCCACTCCTTGAAAGTTTCCAATGTGATGGGTGTGAACTTGGACCGGTCCAACTTTCCTCTTTCCATTTCAATAAACTCCTCCAAGGTGATTTGTGGCTCGGAGTCCTTGGCCAATCTTTCTAGTCTCTTTTGTTCCTTGGTCTTCAACACGAATCCAGGTGGCAAGGCGTGTTTGTACATACACTCGTTACCTCCATTAGGACACACCCAGAACCAACCGTACTTGTCGTTTTCCACCGCCTCGATGAAGTACTTGCAAATCTTGTCTGTGGTGGTTTTTGGGTTCCCGTGCTTGGACAAAATGACCTTTCTCAACTTCTCCTCGTCCCAGTTGTCCATAGTATCGGCTTCCTTTTCTGCTCTAGCATCGGTGTACAAGTCCTTCTTGACATCTTTCCGGCCCACCTCGGGGTTGTGAGAGAACTTACACTTGTTTCCCTTGGTACAAACGCCCTTCTTGAAAAACTCACACAAAATCGACTTGGGGTCCACACCAAACGGAACCTTGGGCTGGACAATGCCAAACAAAGCAGCCGCCTCCTTCTTGGCCTGCTCTGCTGCTTTCTTTTCCTCGGCTTTTCTCTTTTGCTCCGCTTCTCTTTTCTTAGCCGCACCTCCATCCACACCTTGTTTCATCTGGTTGATTTGCTGCTGGACTTTTTTCGACTTGTTTTTGTTCTTCATGCCGAAGCCCTTGTCCTCGTGGGCTTTGCTTTTGGGCTTGGCATCTTGTTGCTTCTTCTTTGGTGGCATTGTCGATTGCTAGTCTGATTTTTTTGTTCTTTTTTTTTCAATCTTGTACAGTTTCGCACATGTACTACATAGACTTTCACACCTATCCATCAGCTTCGATGGCATCTGCCAACTGAAGAAAAAAGACATAAAAGATAATTATAAAATACTGACAGGATCAGGGTCCTTTCTCAATGAGACGAAGGAATATAGAGGTTCCATCTTTTTTTTTTTCTTTAATGTAGTTTCTTTTTCGTGTGCCATCTCTGGGTCTTCATAGATAGATTGCCGAGACTAACATGCTTCTCTTAAAGACTTAGAACTTACACTAAAGTGCTCAAAAACATAAGAAATGTGAGCACAAAGCCCAAAAAATATGAGCATCAAAAGATGTGATGCCTGGTGTTCGGTCATTTCAGTATTGATTCTGATAAATCGCTCGTGATTGCTTATATTCTCGCCTTATCTCTGAACTACGCAAATCGATCCAAAAACCTAAATTATCTACATACCCTGTGTGCGTTTGTTCCGCTTTCTCCCGTTCAACAACAGATCTAGTCTCTTCGAGTCCGGGTTGTTTGATTCCGGAGAAACTGGTTCTTGTGGGCTGTTGGTGTGCAGATTGAGAAACTGGGGACTTGTCTTCAACGACATCCGTGAAGCAGGCGACGAGGCGCTTTGCTCGAAGACACTTGCGCCTGATGTCATTTTCGGCGTCACATTCATTTCCACTTTCCTCGAAAGACGGCTGTTGCGGAACGGGATGTATGATCTTTTTGTAGCTGTACCTTCACTGATCCCATAATGCGTGGGAGACCCATAGTTGTCAGCCAAGCTGCTTTTAAAAGATGTGTTCGATTGCGTTCTCGCCAAACTCCGGTTGAGAATCACAAGCGCTTTATTATCGTACACTTGCGGTACTGAGTCAATTGGCGACGTCAAATCGCTGGAATTGGTGTCCATAGAAACACTGTGCGCATGATACGTCTTGTCGACTCTTTTGGCTGGAACCCGTGACGAATGATGCCCTCTGGTGTCAGAAGGTTTGGTGAAGAAAGAATCAAAATCATCCAATGCTGCCCACATGTTGCTCAAAGATGCTGCTGGTTCTTCTACTCCCATGGAAACATTATCCCCATTGTCTGAAGTAGGCTCATAGTAATCTTCCATGAGGAAATGGATCTCCTCTCCAATCGAATCTTGACGTCTTTCGTCCACCCCTGAAGACTCTCCGCATGTCGCAAATACAGCATGCACATTATTCAA